ATGGGTAGATATGTCTGTGTTGTGCAACAACATGGACAAGCTATGAAAATTGAAGTGCATCTCAGCCATCTAAACACTGAGGTTCACCAGATGTGATAAGCGTTGTGCAAGATAAGTTGCTATTTTGGCATTCAGAACTTGGTATAAATAGAGTAACTCTTGTCTTCATCAATAAATCTTTAGCTTTTGTGTCTGATCTTATTCAAATAAGTCTTTTCTTGTTTTTATAGTATCGAACGTTTTTTATAAGCTACAAATAATAATCCTTTTATTCTTTGTGCTTAACAGTACAAAATAACAGAAAAAGAGTGCCAAAAATATATTGATAGTATGCCTGCCCGAACCAAGGCTCTTATCAAGAGCAAAGGTGGTTCAACTCACTATTAATGATTTTATAATAAAATGTACATTTTTCTTTATTTTTAAACAATAAAATCATTCGATTTCAGTTTTTGAAAAAGTCATAATTATGTATAGATAGCACTACCTTCTCTCATTCAAACGATATATATATCTCGACTTCGTATACAAGGAGATGACTAAAAACTAATGCAGAAAGACAAAATTTTAAACGAACAGGACAGTTTTTCCCCCTACAGTATTTGCTCTGTCATCCATTAAACCGTTCTGTAGAATTTGAAAAAAAAAATACCATACTGTCAAACTGGCAGGTGGAGAGCAGTAAACTGAGGAATCTCTACTACTACTAGCAAGGTAGGTGAGCCTCCTTATAAACTTTAAACATGGATAAAAGTCCTATTAATGAGAATGGACATAACATTCAAATCAAATAAAATCAATTACTGTCTATTCATACTAAAAGCAACTCCAGCAAACTAAGCATGATTTCGCTTTGTCTAGACGAATATTTAGGCTCTTATCCGAAGTACCTTGATCTATCCTTTGTATGAGGATTATTAATATCAATCTATTAGCATGTATCCAATAGATACAGTTTATCTAGCCCATGTCAGTAATAGTACTACACATTTGAGTGTATTACATCGCTGAGTGTACATCTTTAACATGTACCTGGATATATTGCATATCGTGTGTATGTCCATAGCATATCTCATATATAGTACAAGTCTGTATTACATAATGTATCTGTAGCTAGTATCGCTAATATAAGCATGTGTCTTGTAGTGCGAACCATGAAGTGCACATTTGAAGCAGCCAGCTCATATTACATTGTTCTTAGTGTTTACCCAAATATGACGCGACAAACATCCGTAGTCAATATCGGAATACAAGTATAAGTTTATAGCACTATCCACGCCCGTGGTGCCATCTATAGCCTACATCTTATATAGTATGAATCTTGTAGTACTAATTTATCTGAAGTTCATATCATTCTTATAGTATAAATTCATATCGTAAATCTAATCCAGTGCACACTTCCCCCCCTTATTATCTCTGATTTGAAATGTCTTCGGCGAGAGACGGCAGGGGGACGCCGTCATCGAGCGTAACGAGATTGATCGTTTAGTGTATTATTATACTATAGTATTAGTAGTATGTATGTGTTGAGCGAATACAATACTTTGCATGATGGTTGAATGGTTTGATGCTGCTTCTAAAAGAGTGGATAGGCCTGTATTGGTGCTATAATAGATGTTTTTCTGATTACTCACAAAATGTGGGTTTGTTTATTACTACAGCAAGAATATAGACCTGTCCGCTCTAGTGGTAGCAGCATTCAATCATTCAGCGTCATACAAAGCAGTGCAGAGCATGCTATATTCGTTCACCTAGTCCCTAAAAGTATATGTCTCTCTCCATTCCATATTAATCTTGCTAGTGGTCCTGCAGTCCATCATATTGACTTTACACTACGTAAGGTGCCCATCATGCGAATGCAGCCATTTATTCAATCAAAACTCTAATAACCAGTCAATACAGCGCTACTAACAACATTCTTCAAGCCAGGAAAGCGTTTGAATCTCCACTGCTAGAGCGTTGGATAGGTTCATTGGACTCAATGAACGAAACACAAAGCAAACCGTGAACCATGTGCATAATCCATTCAAATTCGCGAAGAGATGCTGTACAACGCATGAAAGATTTAAGAGTTGAGATTGACAGATGTAGATTCAGATTTCCTGAAGGAAGGCTTGTCACTGTCGTTGATACCAATCTTATTACGAACTTGGGCCTGTATATTCATCCACACATCATCAAGGTAACATTCCAACTATTAATGATGGCTAGACACTTGAATTGCTCACAGAAGAAAGAAATAGGACACATGGATTATTAGGGCTGTTATTAACAGATAGGGCCGACGATTGCTCATATCCAGTGTTGTATTTCCTATGGAAATTGCTTGATATAATTGTCGATTTCATTGTGATCTATCGATCCATCAAAGACGATTGATAGAGATCCGACCAACTAACATAATGCCCCATAGGTTGGAGACGCCATCCGAGGATTTAAGAAGTGCAAACAGAGTATAAACACCACAGAGACACTGGCGCTCGCTCACTCCATAACATACATTCAATCACACAATTTAATGCAGTAATTTTTTTAAATAAGTAATGAGACACATACTTAAGTCGATCGGGTATCATAGATAGTTATTCATGTTCATGACATTGAATAACACGTTGAGGACTCTCTCTGAGCCAGTATATAGAATTCACCTCAAATGCAGCATTGACGAACATATCCTGTATATGATTTGTATTTTGTGATTTACATGCAAATGGAACATTTTTAAAACCTTTATACAAGTTGGTATAGCCTTCTTATTAACATATCTAGCGCACTGAATATGAATAGAGGACGTGATATGTATAGTAGTTTTGTAGAGTATTCACGTATCCATGAAATCGTATTTCTCTTATAATATGTTCTATAAAAACAGTTTCATGAAAATGAGCTTAATCCTAGAATTGCACATGATACTCCAAGTATAAACCCCCAAATGGCATAATCAGAAATCGTACAATCTTGACGCTAATTGTAGTAATACGCATAGCATGGAGCAATGAAATAAAGTGGATTAGTTGATATTACTATTTTTTTTATTGAAAACGAACCACACACATAGAATAATTAAAACAATGGGTAAAACAATGGATCCCTCCGAGCATTAACGTGGGCAGATAGTTAGTTTATTTATACCAAGATATATGTTAACACATTTGATAACTAAGCTAGCATTTGAATATTCTCAAGTACGTGTATATTGCATTGAGTATGCATTGCCCATTAACGCATCATAGTTATCTTTTTTGCTTTAATAAGCGAGCCGTTCTTGGTTTGGAAAGGCAGAGCTTACATTGGATCTCCCATTGACAAAAAAAAATTAGATCATCATTTATAGTCTATACTACCAAAACAACTTACTGCTCCTGTCTATACTCTGAGTGTTCATATCGAGCTAATGTCAACAATTGGCATTCCCACCTCTTTCTTGCTTCAATAAGCGAGCCGTAGCTCTGATACTCTTAATGGCGGAAGAAAGAGCTTGTCTCGGCAGCTATTAACTGGCGCAGGTCATAGCTCGTGTAAGCATGTAGAAAATGAAGTAAACTAGTGCCAACAATTGGCATTCCCAACTCTGCTAGGCGGAAGATTTTATATATTAAAGGAAAAAAAAAAGAAAGGAATGCGTTTATCCTTCAATCCCATCACGTCACGTTTATAAATTTGGCCTGAGCTCCAAAACTAGTGAGACATGTGAACTCATTCAAGATTGGACAGATTTCATTTCTTCGACTTCTTTAATCTATTCTGTGATACTCGACTATATAAACTGTAATGATCACTCTATGCTTCCTAATACATTCTTGAAGTACTTTTCAAGGCGCTTCCAATGGTGCCAAATTATATAGATGTTTTGAATAAACTTATTGAATGATTTGTAAAAATATGAAAAGAGGTTTCTGGCCAAAAAGTCGAAATTTTACATATCAAAGTCCCACGAAGATGATTTCAGAGGTTGCTTTCGATCGATAGAAACATTTTGATTCAAGATATACTATAGTAAAAGTCTTCATTATCAAGGTGAAAAATGCGATCGTTTTATTTTCAATGAAAATCATGAGGGGTACCTCATGCTTTTTGGTCGATTTTTGACCATGTTTTTTGGGTCCTCAAAAAGTTGAGCAAAGGTGTCAGGATGTTACTACTACTCAAGTAAAATTGTTTGGCATTATTCCGGTGGCTCAGAACGGTTTACATGTCAATATATGAAAGCTTGAAAGCTGTCAAATTTGGTTATGTATTGCTTTATAGCTTTTATTTTCAAGGTATGAATCACACCTTTGATAGATGCAATTAAGCCCTCATATAGATCAATGCTACCAAGTGTTGAATTAGACGCCTTATTACCATGGTTTTGCGCCTTTGTTTCGCTGCGGTAAAACCCCCTATAAATCAATGCTATCAAGTGTTGAATTAGACGCGTTATGTTCTTCCCCCAAACACCCTCCCCATTACCGGCTTTGCCGGTGGTTTTATTCACCTTGTACAGCACACAATTCTTTAAAATTATGAAAGGATATGATTTGTTTGTCTACTTTTTTTGAATGTTTTACAGTATATATAGTGAAAATTATTATCTCTCATTATATAAAGCAGCGAGAAACATTATATTGATATTTAATCATGTATAATGTCTTTTTGAGCAATGAAAGCAGTATTTTTTTTCGTGCATACTCGAGATGTGCTTCATTTTGATGATGGGGGAATCAATGCAGACACGACACTCATTGCATTTTATTTGGTGTGTGTTATTTTTTAAAATTCATGTCGATCAAGTTAAAGACAGGTGCCATTTGTAATATATGAATTTTTATTCGCCAGTAAACTTAACATTGTCTTGGATGTTGCTTGATTGAGATGCGACACAAACAAGTTAAGTACAATAGTTTGCACACTCCAATTTTGCAATCCATGCAAGTTGATTGCTCATAAGCCAGTGGTGATTAATATTGAGAGTATTGGTATTGAGTGTTTGTTGGTGGCGGTGGGAAATAAGTTGGCTATTAATCGTCGTCTTCCTCATTTACGTTTGTATCGATGAGAGGATGGTAATCGTACAGCTTCTTGGTGTGGATGTTATAATATGTTCCGTTGCGTTGATCAATATAACCATTTTTATCCGGTTCACCAGGGACGATGGTAATAGCTGTGTTCGATGCTTGACTTGGAGCTCTTGGAGCAGCTGATGACTCCGGTGTTGATGCTGGAGCATTTCTAAACATGAACATGGGAAGCTTGGACTTATGGTTGCGAGGTGGCGTGTAGTAGGTATCACGGATGTACGACAGCTTGTGATTTGGAGAGTGGGCCTGACGTCTGTTGAAAGACACGCAATTTGAGTGTTCTGGGGTTTTGTGTCTCTTGATAATCTCGTCCAAGCGCAACATGTGCTGCCTCATAGTCAACAGCCAAGCAATTGTGGGACCGAAATTCTCCAGCGAAGAATATGATGATGGGATATTAAATTCATGCCTATGCATGTTTACGTACAATCCTTGAGATTCAAGATGAATGGAAGTCATCGTACAGTGCGAGCCAGCAAATTGCATTCCCCAACAGGTAGCGTCATTCAGATCTTCAGGTACTAATTTGATGATTTCGTCCAGAGCATCCTTTGTCTCGCGAGTCAATTTCCCCTCGTCAGTGATAGCTTTATCATCGGCATTGTTCAAAGCACATTCACCAGCACCTACATCAATCTGATCATTATGAACATCAACCAAGAGACGGAAATCAATCTTCGATGACTTGATATAGCTGGCACCATTATATTGTTCGTTCTTGTTGATATTGCTTGCCGAGTTGACCGATTCACCACTTTTGATTCTAATGATATTTTTTTCAGGGGGGAACATTGCTTCAAGGATTCGAGACCAGATGCATTGAAGGTAATCACTTTCTGTCACTTTTTTGCTTGGTGGCTTGATCAACATGTGAGGGTACTTTTTCATGATTTTCAATAACGCTTTCAGGATGGTGAGAGCAGCAAGGTTTTGAAATATCCTCCGTTGCATGCCCTTGTCACCGATGTATTCAACACAGCTCTACAGAAGGGTAAGTTTCCTAAATCTTGGAACGAAACCATTATGTGTCTTTTGTACAAGAAAGGCGATCCAACTCACATGAAAAACTATCGACCTTTATCCTTGGCCAACTCGGATTACAAGCTTTTTACTCGATGCATCAACCGGCGTATCATGGACGTCTCTACCCAGCTTATCAGCCGCCACCAGTTAGGATTCATTCCAGGACGATATATTGCTGAAAATGGTATGATTTGTCAACTAATCATGGAAGACGCACAACGAAAATGGACAGTTGCGGAACAACGGGACGACGATCCTACATTTGGCTCTTTGGATGCTGATATTGGCCTTCTCCTTGATCAAGAAAAGGCATATGATCGTGTAAATTTAGACTACCTTCGGCACGTCTTGCTGAAATTTGGCTTCCCCGTCCTTTGGTGAAATGCATCTACAAGTTAATGGGTGACAACCTGATTCGCATCAACCTCAATGGACACTTATCGTCCGAAGTGGCGAAACTGAGAGGTTTGAAGCAGGGTGATCCACTGTCTCCAATCCTATACAATCTAGCTTTTGAACCCTTCTTGTTGGCCATTATTAACGATCGTCAATTCCAAGGGTACCTTATGGGAACTGAACGAACCAAGCTTCTTTGTTATGCTGATGATGCCTTGGTATTTGTCCATGATTCTGCTGATCTCGCTCGGTTGCAAATACATATGTCCAGGTATTGCGGCGCTTCCAATGCCAAATTCAACTACGATAAGGTGGAGGCTTTTTCGGTATCTGGCAGAGATACATGGGATATTTGGGAGACCTCGTTGGCTCAAATCCACATCAATCATCTACATTCCGTCGAAGATGATGTACCTTTAATCTATTTGGGGTTTCCTTTGGTTCAAAGTCGTCTCCAACGTGTCAACTTCATGGGCTCGCTGGTAACAAAGATCAAAATTGCCACTCAAATACATTCTACTCGATCACTGTCGGTTGTCGGTCGAGCTACTGTCTTGAACTCTCTTTTGCTCTCCAAACTTTGGTACATCCTACGGGTTACTCCGTTGACTCTGGCAGACTTCAAACAGCTGAGATCTCTTGCCATACAATTTTTGAGAAAGAACATATTCCCCGTCATCCCATGGTCTGTCTGGACTCTTCCAAAGGAACAAGGTGGTCTCGGGGTGATCGACATCCAGCTACAAGCTTCGGCGTTGTACTTTCGATGGTTGCAACCTTTGTTGGTGTATGATCAATCCACCATTGATGCCCATCCTGTGTCATCTCTTCTCAGCCATCACATTCGAAATGTTAACAACTGCCAATTTCACCAAATCCCTTTGCTTTTTCCCTCGTCTCGTTCTCAAGGGTTACTGAAACAACGAACTGGCACTGTGGATATGATATATCGTGCTGTTGATTATCTCCCTCGTTCTTTTGGCTCTGCCCGCATTAATACAGCTACTGCTATGGCGTTGCCACTGCAGGCTGCAGTGTTTGTCCCTCCCTCCTCCAGCTTCGTGCTTCCTCTTCGTGTCAAAGAAATGATGGTGGCCGACGTTTTTCAGTATGATTCCCGGCTCAATTTCGTCCATTGGAAGGATACTCGCGACCCCTCTCTGCTCACCTGGAAAAGAACTCCCTCCACAGTGTTCAAAGGCCTAGCGACAGGGAAATTACAGTTTCAACCTTACTTCGAGCCAGTCTGTAGCCCAGCTCCTTTAGAGGATTCAGTCGTCTCATTTGCTCCTTTGATTGAGCAGTTTCGTCTCCTTGATGATCAACCTCTTGGTAATGTTCAGGCCTCGGCTAAGGCATTTCGTCGGGCTGTCCTTTCGTCTGTGGTCTCTCCTTTGGCATTGCGCAAAATCTCTGCGTCCAGCTGGAAATTTTTTTGGTCCCTGTCTCTTACCACTGTCCAACGTAATGTGATATACCGTCTCATTCTGGGTCGAATTCCTCACCGTCGATTTTTGCATTTTATTATGCCCAAAGTCTTTGAGTCTCCTCTCTGTCCAGTTTGTTTGTCTATGAACGATTCCCCAAGTCACCTCCTCTTTCATTGTCCTTCTAAAGAGAAAGTTTGGCAGGGAGTCATCTTCGAGTTTCTGTGGCCTACCACCTCGATTCTAGATATTAAAGAGGCTCTTCTGCAACTTGATTTCTCCAACGTTTGGTATTGCCAAATTGCTGGAATCAAGCCTTTCCGAATCCTCATCATCACCCTTGGTCAACTGTGGCTTGCCCACATGAGGTTCATCTATGACAATGTTCCTATGGACCATACAGCGATATTGGCCAGTATTCGAACCAGTGTTCGTCAGACCATTGCGGAAGATCAGTGCCATTCCCTCCTGTAATCCAAAGCCAATTATTAGATAGTTTTTTTTTTTATATAGTTTAGTTTAGTATATTATTCTTCATATTTTAGCTTATAGTTACCCAATTCTTTATCTAAATTGCACTCGCCTCTTCACTCTGACCTATTACTCTCAGTGTACGCGAATCAATCAATAAACAAATTTTTTTTTTTAAAAAAAAAAAGGTGAGAGCAGCAATAGTAAGATCACAGCTTGATTTCTTAACTTCCTTTTTTACCAGCGATATACAGCAATCATAGTCACCAGACAAGCCTAAAGTACCACCAACAATAATGATCACATCCTTGACTCTTTCATTCAGATCAATAGGAACAATCTTGAGCCTTTCATCAAACAACAGCTGTAGTTCAGACCATTCGGATTCTGTGAACAGGCTTCTTTGCGAGGCGAGGGAATTGTCAGAGAGGTCCACTATGGAAGAGAGGCCGTTGGTCATAATCTTGCGTTGTCGTGCAGTCAGAGCTTGTTTCAAGAGTAGTTTTGAATGCATGTCAATGGCTCCCTTTTTAATAATAGTACCAACACTTGCGTCTTGGCCGGCAACAAAAAAGTTGTCCGATTCACTAATATCATTATTCGACTGTTGGCTGCGTCTTTTCTGTCTCCTGGTTTCGATATGGGTCTGATCGCTTCGCTTATTTGTGGAGAATTGCGTAGCAGCAGCAGCAGATGACGATGATGAGTGAGCAGTATCAACAGCAGATGACGATGATGAGTGAGCAGTAGCAGCAGCAGATGACGAGGGCGAGTGGGCAGTATCAGCAAAAATAGCAGTAGATGAGGAAGAATGGGCATCAGCAGCAGACGCAGCAGCAAATGCGGCAGTTTTCATCATTGAGCTAAGTACAACAGATTGGCTAGTTCTGTTCTTGAGAGATAAATCCTTCAAGGTAGTAGCATGCTTCTCCCAGAACTCATTGATAACACCACGGCCACTTGATAAGTTGAGGCTTTTCTTGATTCCTTGTATATGTTTCTTCACTAAACTGTCATCAATGAATGCTGTGTACAGTTTCTCCAGATCTTGAGATAAGTTGTAAAATGCACTGCGCTTGTCTGTGGTTGGAGCTTTCTCAATCAAACTGGTGAGATATCCAATGGCTTCCCAACTGAGAGGTTCCTGGCTGATCCAATAGTCTTGAACGTCAATGCATGAATGGTTAGCTTCACATTTGCTTACGATATCATGGATACTTACCTCGTAAAAAAAGGCTTTCCTTAATCACATCCAAAGGGTCCATTTTCAATTGATTAGAAACAAGAGCAAATGATGAAGAAAAGAGAAAAGTGAGACGCGAAAGACCCCACTTTTTTTATAATCTGCAAGACGTGATCTAACGCTTTTTCCAACGTTGCACTCAATCGGCATCCAATGAACTGCTCTTGCAAACGTTTTGCAGGAATATCCTTTACAGGTACATTCTCTTACCCAAGAAGATTGTGCACTACGCTTATAGCGGGCTATATATGCATATCAAGCAATACAACCTTACACAGAGCAACTGAGATAGCTGTTTGGCGACACTGTCTGTAAATTTGGAATGTTGAGTAAGCAGGTGAGTTTTACTTTAGATACAAATCAAGAGCAACCAAGACGAGCATACAGCTTTTGCTTATTTTAGAATGATTTCTAGGTGATTCACCATCTATTGAAAGCCTTTGTTCTATAATTTATGACAAGCGTACAATATTGCTGTAAATAGTGATTGTGATACCTTGTCAGATATTCCATAGTGCAACTTGTAACAGCTCATCGCCGTGTCTTGGTTGATTCACTTACTCATCTATGTTCCCAAATCCCATATTACTATCATTTCTTTTTCCTCCCTGAGAATTCTTTCATTCTGTCTCATTGGTTTTATTGTACCAGTTTGTAGGTAAACATTGATACAACTACTCAATACAGCTAGTAATAAAGAGGATCGTGAAAAAAAAAAAACTAAAGGTGCGTACAAGATAAGTTTGTTGAGCTTTTTTTTTATTAATCGCCACGAGTAGTGAAAAGTAAAAGTTTTTTACAGAACTAGCCTCTTTTACTATCGTAAAGGTGAATACAAAAACTCACTGATGTTCTTCGACATTGCTGCCGAGTGCGAGCATAAAGACGCTCAATACATTCTGGGTATCATGTACATGCATGGCAAAGGTGTCCCAAAAGACAATGAGTCTGCATTAGGATGGTAGATGAAGGCATCTGAAAATGATACTATCAGTGTCAGAAGAAACATTGGAGTATGCTACCGCAATGGAATTGGCATTGAGCAGATCTGCAATACAGCACAGCTACTCTATACAACATCGGATATCAGGATGAGGTTACAAAATGGCCTATTTATGGTTCAAAATTGCAGCAGAAAATGACCATGTGTCAGCACAATATGCATTGGATTACTCTATCATGAAGGACATAGCGACCGCAAGACTATACCAAAGCACTGACTTGGTTCACAAGAGTTGCAGATTGAGATAAAACTGGTGGAGCTTACAACAACATTGGACGTATGTATAAGAAGGGACTTGGAGCGAATACAGACTATAAAAAGGCTATGGGTTTCCATCTGAAAGCACTATACCAAGGCAACTCAATGGCAAACGACAATATTGGGTAACTATTTGAGAATGGACTTGGAGCCTTATAGGATGACACAGAAGCCGTAGAATACTACAATAAATCAGCAGAGAAGGACAACAAAAATGGGCTACTACATCTCGGCATCATGTACCTGAACGGAAGTCTCATTTTTGCCCTGGATATATCAATTCAGTGGTTTCAAAAAGCACAGGAAGCAGGCCAACCTGATGCAAAGACATATCTATAAAAAAAAAAAAAAAAAAAAAAAGCTCAATCAACACATCAAATTTCAACAGGATTGAAAAGACAGCGCGACACTTTCAAAAGAAGAGTCTCAGGGCTTGAGGAGACATTATCAATTAGCACAAGACAAGGTAGAACAAGCAGAAAAGGACACTAGAGAAAAAAGAAGAAAAGGTGATATTGCTTGCTCAGCTCGAGGTTCAGAATCTCAATTGCGAAACATCATTGACACGATTTGCGATAGTGATGACTGCATATCCGTTATATCAAGCAAAGACGGTCCATCTATCAAAACAAGGCTTTCCTTTCTGTTAACAGAAGATGCACTGTCAATAGATAAACCAAGCACACCCAATGAACTCAACAAGGCAAACAATGAAGCTTTAATACAAAAAAAAAAAAAAAAGCAAACAACGAAGCAAACAAAACTACCTAGAATATCACACATACCCAACACGCGAGATCCTTATAACAACAGTGATTTATAAGCCAAATGAAAAAGATGATGCATTTAATTATTAGGATAATGATAGGGATGTATATATAGAGACTGAATAAACTACTGAAAGAATGCATGCATTAAATGAAAAAAAGAAATGATACGGATATGTTTGCAAGATAAAAAGTGTTGTGAGAATGGGCGATTAATGTCTACGAGGTGATGCGTTTGCGAATGCTGCTGCCAAAGAATCATAAGCGGGTGGTAATGAGGCTGAAAACAAGTCTTGATTCAGGGTAGATACACTGCGATATGAGGGCACCTTGCCTAGATCAACACCATTCCACCACAAGGGTCGACTCGGTGATGATGAGTTTTCTTCTAGTATATCCAAATCACCTGCGCTACTCTCCTCAAAGTCCATGGAAGGTCTTCTTGAATGATGTCTACTGCCGCTGTTGGAACCTGGAATTGTCATTGGCCTTGAATGTGCTGTCAAGTCAGACGATGATCTCTCCTCCAACTCTTCGCTAATTCTGTCTGGTACAGCCACTGCTGATGATAACGACAGCATGCGAGACCAACCCGTGATGCTAACAGGCTGTCGTGAGTCTTGTAACTCTCGAGTAGATGATAACCCCACACCAGCCGATACGATAGGCTCATTTGTGCCTGCCTCTGAAATGGAGGTTCTTGTACGAAGTTGCTCTACAACATGGGGATCATAGGGCACAGATCGCCATGATTCATCATACGCTGGTAATGTTGTTAATTCCTCTGTCACTGCAAATGATTCCACTACAATGATTTGTACTGCACAACGGAGCTCTGAGATGTGACCATCTGCATTTGCTAGTGAGATAACAAACTTGAGTCGATGTCGAATACGGATCATGTCATTTTCAGCATCAGCGAATATGACGGGAGACTTGGAGGGTACTGGAAGATCAAGCACACGATCCCAAGTAGGTGGCGATGCTGTAGTGGATACTGCTTCCGAGAAGGGATGATCGACTCTGACCAAACGAACAATGCGAGTGTCTGTCTTTGTATGGCCGTTGGCAGTGTATGTACAGTACTCCTTGATGGAAGCCATTATCGCATGTACTCGCAGATGTGAAGCGATGGGCAGAATCTTGAATGAGATGGGAATGGTGTCGTTGAATGCATACAGTTTGGAGGGCACACTGATATCATACACCATTTTTTGAGCCCACGTGTTGTGGATTTCCAATGACTGCACCAGTTCAAACTGTGAGGGCAGGATGCATCTGACAATGCGAATGTTGCGCTTCTTGATTGTGTTTTGGACAAATGCTGAGCGCTCAATGGTGGCCTTCAAGCGGTAACTGACACTACCCACATCAGAATCCAACGTTTGTGCTAGATTGCCAGGCAACAGCAGTTCAAAATCCCACTTGTGCTGTCCAGCTGATAGAATGGTGCTCTTTTTGTGTGGAGTTGCGTTCTGACTACTGTTTGCTGTTGGAGAAATCAGTTGGGGTTTGACAAATTCCCAAGCGTGAGATAAAATGGTGCGTTCTTGCTTGTGATAATGCTGATGATGGCCCACTCCTATTCGTCTCCAATGCATCAGCATCCATGCCATTGACACCCTTACTGCAGACTTACCTTCTGACCATGATACCTTCATTTTGCCTACAAATGACAGGTTGACTGATTTGACTTTGATAGGCTCAGAGATATTTAAAATTAAAGATCCCTGAAGCATTTTTCCTGCAGCTTCATTTGCGTGGCCCAGTAGTACAATTTCATCAGACTGAACATTGATCTTTAAATCGATACTTTTACCAAAAGCGCTTATCATGTTTAAAGAGAGAGAGAGAGATAAAGAAAAGAAGAAAAAGGGAAAAAGAAAGAGGGAAAAAAAAAAAAAAGGGACCCTTATATATACCATAATAACATGGGATGATGTGAGGCTCACTAGTGCGTTTATGTAAAAAGAAAATCTCATTGACCAGTCAAAAGCACGCCGATTTTAGCTTGCCACCAATCTCATGAAAGAGGGCGGGCAAGCCAGGGATCAGAAAATTGAAAACCGTTCTGTGTAACTCGTCTGCTGGTTAGGGTATTTTTACAAGGTATATTTTGTACCACGATTCATTCCAATTTCTGCTTCGAATAGACGAAAGATACGGATTCCTACCATGTTGTGTCGAGATCATGGAAATTGTTACTGCCATCAATGATTTCCTATGTTTGTGCATTTTTCCTGATTGCATGGTATCAGATCAACAACAGTAGCAAATAAGCAATGAGATATCACTACGCAATATACATGTACGGGGTATATCTGATCGGATCAGACATGGACAAGTGTACAGGTTTAAATTAAATATGTCTGATCTAACACGGATCGACCCTTTCCAAAGGCAAACGTTGGTCCTTTTGAATGAATGGATCGTTTATAGCCAGACAGCCAAGTTGTCATATACTAAAAGCTGTATAAATCATGCATCTAGCATCATCTGCCGCCATCTGTTCATACCAAGATGTTGTGTCTGTTGTTCCATTCGGCATATTCGCTGTAAAATGCGGAGAAATCAGGAGTGAAAGAGTATAAAATGACATTAAAAAGAAACGTGCACATTACTTATTCGCAATTCTGTTGGAAATTTCTTCTTTTGTGTCAAATGTAACGTTGCTGTAGAGCAGAACACTCTACCTGCTTGTAGTACACAACGAAACATTATGCATCTTGGGCCGATTTTGATAAGATAATGGCCTGTTCATCTAGATGGCAGACTACAAACATGCGATTCATGTGATTGTCTCGATCGAATGCGCAACATCTATTGCATTATAGGCAGATGATGCTGCTAGCGTGGTCTCGGCCTGTATTATTGTGTATAGAGCGCAGGCTTTCTTTTGCTGAGGGTGAGAAGATTCCCTCCTTTCTAAAGTGTGGAGAAGAGGCTCGAACATTGAAAGGATATGACTTCACAGAGCTCTTGCGCAGTACAAGCACGCTCAAATGTCCGCGAAAGCTTATATATCTATATTTATAGCCTTTTTGAATGCATTCAGATGCAAGCAATCAATTCATTGTAACCTGAAACTAAGATGCTCTCGGGTTTTCACGCAAAATTTCATGTGTTGCATCCAAAATTCTTGCTTACGAGAGTCTGACATGCACGCAGCACATGCTGGCATTTGTATAGCAGAAAGGGGTGTTTATGTGCATGTCTCTTTGATGTACTGATTAGAAGAGTATTTTTTCGAGCAAGTGTATCAAAGAGTTGTAGAAACAAACCATTGACGTCCATCCTTGGTTTAGCAAATCGTGCTTCAAAATGCAAAATCCACAGATCAAAAAATGCAAACCTAATGCAGGGCTGATGCGTCTGATGTGTAAGCCCTTCTATTCAGCTTGCATTTATGTCATTTTTGATCTAGACCAGATGCATGCGTCTTCCACCTTGCCCCCCCCCCCCCAAAAAAAAAAAAAAAATAAAAAAATAAGCAGAATATAGCTCAGGTGCTAAAATGATTGATATGAATGAGCTCGAGCTATATTTTTTGTTGCAGTGTGAAGTGAAGGGTAGTTTGGCATGTCCAGAATGGAAGCTTCTTTTCATGAAAGGCACAATGGCGAATTTGAACTAAACAGGGTGCAGTAGTCAGATCATCAGAGTAGGTTTATTACAGTTTAAAGGTTTTATTCAAGAAGGACAATCGAAATACGCAGTTGGAAACACTCTTGCTACAGGATGCCATACTATACCAGCAATGTAATACACAATCTCAAACGTAAGACTCAAGCTTTGTTTCGGTGCATTTGCTGAATCCACCTCCTTGATCTTGCAAGCGGTCAATAAGGCTTTAATTGCTGGATTCGTTGCGTCTCGTTGAAAATTGATGGAAATGGGTATCGTAATGGTTTGTCTGTCTTTGGGCCTTGCTTGCAACATGAGATGCCCTGAATTCCCCCTACCAAAGACATCGCCCGAGCCATTTTCAATGACATTGACAGCCAAGTTTTGTATGTTGGTAGGTATAAAACTATCGTCATTGATCACGGTGAAATTAACATTCCATTCTGCGACCATCAGTGTGTCGTTGTAGACGGGTTGCGTGCCTTCAACTAAGCCAGCACTGAGGTATTGCAATGTAGGTGTTCTTGGCCATACAAAATAGGTGATGACAGCCACAGCAATGATAAGCACAAACACAATGATGAGCAATTTCTTGCCACTACCGCCGCATCGTGCATACCACTTTTTCTTTTTGATAGGTGGTAGTTGTATTTGCTCCAAATGGGGTTTTGTTTGATAGTCATCGTCGTTGTTGTGGTGATGATCGCTCATCATATCCATCACGATATTATCTTGCAGAATAGAGCCTACAGGGCCTCTGCCCTGATGTGATGATGAGCGATATTGGCCTGGCGAATTGAAGCTAGGTAGGTAATCGTCGTCTTGATCCAAGTAAATGGGTTCCACAGGGTCGTAGGGGTTTCGATTGTGGTTTGAGTACGGTAAGTATGAATTTGCTCTCTTTTCTCCTTCCATCATTGTCGTCGTCGTCGTCGTCGTCGTCGCTGAAGAAGGCTTGTACTTTTTCTTCTTTTTGTGATGATGTGATTTGGGTGCATAGGGGTCCTGATTTACTGCTGCTGTTGCTACTATGGGTGTGGCTAATTTGGAGGTGCTGCTCTCTGAGGGTGATCTTGAGTGATATTGATCAGAGTGCAGACTAGGAGAATCGTAGTAGCCATCTGTTTGCGGTATTTTTAGACAAGATTGCCTTTGCGCAAAAAGACAGAGAGGAATATGGCATGCTTACCTGGACTGGGAGGCTTTCTTACTGCTCTGTAGGGGTCAGCCTTGTAAGAATGGCGATTACTATGCGACATGTGGGTGTGTGTGTGTGCTTGGAAAGAAAAGGAAAAAAAAAAGAGAGGAAAAGGGATTCATTGATGTGGATAACTTAAAAATAGGCAAAATCCATATATATTGGTCTGATGTACACCGCTTCCACATTACACAAAGAAATTTGCACTCATCAAATGGCATCTGGATTGTTTGTTGGTTCCAAATATGCCAGCAATCAGCGCCTGCAGCACCCACTTGATACCATCGAGATGAACTGCCATCATGCAGTCAGTCTTATTTCCTGATCGCTTTGGTGCAGTATTCCATCGCTCATCAACAGCCAAAGGGGAATGTTGTACCACTTGCTTGCTTTTGACTCCCAATCAATCAGTGACAAGCTTTTATTTCCTCACATGTTTGTTTAAGCGCACTTCTTTCAGACGACCATAACAAAGGATGATGGCTGACGAAGAGAAAACAACCGACAGTGAGTCTATCAAAGACACTATCACGCGCACCAACGATACTAAAGAGACTGTAACAGATGACCTCATGTTGGCAGCTTGCAGAAACGATCTAGATGAAATGTTGGAGGATATCGTCAAGGAAGGCGATTTTGACATCAATCACACTGACGATTTAGGTGATACAGCTCTTCATTACACGTAAATACAACTGCCAAAGGAGAGCATGCACGGTTGATTCATTATTTGCGAAATTAGAGCTCGCTTTGGATCACTGACATGCATGGAATTACTGCTAAAGATGCCTACTATCCATGTCAATCTCAAGAACAAAAAGGAAGGCAACACACCGCTGCATTTAGCAGTGCAGTATGAAGAGGATCCAGAAGTTGCGCTCAACATGGTGGATATACTGATTGATGCTGGAGCTGATCCAAGGTAGAGGTGCTCAACATATGGGGGGGATATTCTCCTTGCCTGATACACCAATTTGCAATTAGGATCCAAAATAACGCAAAGTCAACAGTCGAGGATTATGTCGTTGGTCGAAGTGATGATATGAGAGATTTGATCGACCGAGCTGTCGCAGGCTACGATATGGTAAGTGGCGTTGTGGACACCGGCGTTTGATCCAAGGACTGACTGTGGCACTGTAGGAGGACGGTTCGGATGATGAGGACCACACTGTCATTTTCAAATAAATGCTTTTATTGACTACTTGAGCACAACAGCAGCATTTCTGCTGGCTAAATAAGCTTGTACATTTGGCACACCCAATGTGCGAATGAATTGATAGATCTCGGCATTGTGATATCGTAATCCAGTCTTGGGGTCTGTGTATTTCGCATTCAATCCAGTGATGTCGCAATATTTCTTTTGTGGTAGCACTGATGGTGCGCATTCAATGTTTTCATCTATACATACCATGTTTGAATTGGTGAATCATTCTATTCAAAGGGCTGCCAGCAAGCACACTTACAAGTAGGGACATCGAGCGCATATACTTTGTCTCGTTCCATTGTCAAGATTTGCTTTAGGTTTTTGTTCTTTTTCACTGTCTTGTAGTTGGGGTTTTTGAACGGCTTCTTTGCCAAAAGCAAGTTGAGTGGTCCTTCATACTCTTCTTCGCTCTCGGATAAGTTTGACTAGGTCAAACAGTGTAAGAATGCGTTGGTTTTGAAAGAAAACATTGCACTCACCTTCTTTCCAAAATGTGATTTCTTTGTGCTCTTCTTGGGTGCCCTACATTGTTCAAGCGTGAGTGATGTATAGACGAGTGAAGGCGCTTTTTTCTTGCTCACATTGTATTGTGTTTGTGTGTGTGTGTGTGTGTATGTGCTGGAGAAAAAGATTTGAACAAAAGCGATTACTCGCGAATCATGGCAATTCCATGGCGGAGTGCGGCTCCCTCTCCATGATAGTGACCTTTATTGAGACTACATCACATATGCTCGCTGACGATGGCAGTAGGTAGAACTGTTGAACATGCCATCGAAGCACTAGCTTACATGAACTCATTTACTTGTAAATTAGTAATGATTCAATGCTAGCAAATGATTGCTATCAATCTTCATGAAATGATGGACATTTGGTACAAGCCCTGCTAGTATCTCACTCCAATACAATTACCCCACATGCCATGCGTCAAGTAAATGCTGAACAGCCGCGCTGCCATTTCATAAAAGTGCTTTGCTTTTCATGACCTGAATACTCACGCATAGGGCGAGGTGGATTATGGCCATTCATGACTAGGCACATGGAATCTGAAATGAAATGTTGGATTTTGGCCATCCCCAAAGAAAGCAATGTGCAAGATCTACGCTCTACAATGTCTCTATGCATCAATATTATGTGATACAGCTGTTATAGTACACTCCTAAGAGTGTTCTTTATCGTATTGGCATTTTGATCCTTGGGTTTGATTGACAAGATTGATGCCAATGGGAAACAGGCAAGACCCAAGCAGATTCGAGCCCAGAAAACATTCAATGCAATACCTCTTTCTGCAATGAGCGTATTAATCACTGATTATTTGCAACATTTACCAACAAAAGGCCCTCCATTCATTTCTAACGACCTAGTACACATGCTCAAGAAAGAGCACTTGACAGCAACAGCATAGGAGACAGTGACATGATGTCCAATGTCAGTGGAGGCACCGTAATGGCTCCATTGCAGCCAGTGTGAATGGTCACATAGCTGACGTACCATAGTTTGGTGACGAATTTTGGACGCGCAGACTATTTATCAAGCACAACTGTCCATTCATCTGCTCTTTACCTTTTTTTTTTCTCTTTTTCTAATCATAATCAGATAACAATACAAAATGGTAATACATCATCGCTGGCAAGAGGAGGCTATGACGCATACTAAACATGCCAATGAGTAGGGTAATTCTCAATCAGGTATGCCTAGAGGCAATGACAAGAAAGACAAGGTAAAGCAGCACCATCATCACGGATTGATAATGCGAGAACGAGGCAGTGTGTTAACAAAGTGGACGGTAGGATAAGGATAAGAAGAAGAAGTGGGAGCCTCCTGTTCCTACTCGTGTAGGCAAAAAGAAGAAGAGAGGACCTGATACAACTGCCAAATTACCTCAAGGTACACATTCATCTGATCCTCTTCTACAGGACTCATATGCAGACTGACATGTCCCCTTGATTAGTTTTCCCTACCACACGTTGTCGTCTCAAGATGCTCAAAATGGAACGTATCAAGGATTACTTGTTACTCGAAGAGGAATTTGTACAGAACCAAGAACGACTCAAGCCTCAAGAAGAAAGAGATCAAGAAGAAAGAACACGTGTGGACGACTTGCGTGGTTCTCCAATGACAGTTGGTTCATTAGAGGAAATCATTGATGATGACCATGTTATTGTATCTTCAGCTACTGGACCCGAATACTACGTCTCTGTCATGAGTTTTGTCGATAAAGATTTGCTGGAACCTGGATGTAGCGTTCTTTTGCACCACAAGACCATGTCTGTTGTTGGTGTTCTCGGCGATGATACTGACCCTATGGTCAGCGTGATGAAGTTGGAAAAGGCACCTACTGAATCTTATGCAGACATTGGTGGTCTTGAGCAACAAGTGCAAGAAATCAAGGAAGCAGTCGAGTTGCCTTTAACACATCCTGAATTATACGAAGAGATGGGTATCAAGCCTCCCAAGGGTGTTATCTTGTACGGTGTTCCTGGTACCGGTAAAACCTTGCTGGCAAAGGCTGTTGCTAACCAAACCAGCGCTACGTTCTTGCGTATCGTGGGTTCAGAATTGATTCAAAAATACCTGGGTGATGGCCCTAAATTGGTGCGTGAATTGTTCCGTGTCGCTGAGGAGAATGCACCTGCTATTGTCTTTATTGACGAAATCGATGCTGTGGGTACAAAGCGTTACGATTCGACTTCGGGTGGTGAACGTGAAATTCAACGTACCATGTTGGAATTACTAAATCAGTTGGATGGTTTCGATTCAAGAGGTGATGTCAAGGTCATTATGGCAACAAACAAGATTGACAGTTTGGATCCTGCATTGATTCGTCCTGGTCGTATTGATCGTAAGATTGAGTTCCCCTTGCCTGATGTCAAGACCAAGCGTAGAATTTTCAACATTCACACCTCAAGGATGACTCTGGCTGATGATGTTGATTTGGAGGAATTTGTCATGTCAAAGGATGATTTATCGGGCGCTGATATCAAGGTAAGCTTTGATAGTTTTGTGAGAAATGACGATACAGTGCTGACTCTATTCAATCATAGGCCATCTGTACAGAGGCTGGTTTAATGGCATTGCGTGAACGTCGTATGAAGGTTGTTGCCGAAGATTTCCGTAAGGCAAAGGAGAAGGTCCTGTATAGAAAGAGTGAAGGCACTCCTGAGGGTCTTTATCTTTAAATATATATATATTTTTTTTTACTGATATAATAAAAAAACAACCAAACCTACATCTATTCTAATGTATCAAACACGGTACAGGTATTCTTCCAAATGATCTCTGACAGTTCCACTGGATCCATATTACGGATTGATGCAACAGCGTGCAAAACGAGGCCCAATGTACAAGGCTCATTTCTGCTCTTGACCATGCATCCCATTTCAAACTTTTCCTTCTTTTTGCTAGGAGGAGAGTATACCTTCATTTCGTCAGAACTCACATTCTTTAAATGAGCATAGGAGGCATGCGTAGGGCGAATATCACACCAAGGAGCATCTGTTTCAATCACCAACTTATCTTGAGGAATAGCCTTAACTACCTCTAGGTTTTCAGCAGTCTTCATGGAACATCCGTTGACGCCAATGTATAGGTCCAGGTCAACCAACATCTGCATCTCTTCTAGACTACCTGTGAATGAGTGCACTACGCCATGCTTGAATTTATGACGATTAGCTTTTACCAACTCCAAGAAATCGTTACCCGTATTGCGATTATGTAAAAACATAGGCAATTGGGTCTTTTCAGCAAGATCAAACTGGACAGCAAAGTATTTCTTCTGGGTCTCTTTATCGCAGAAATGAAGACGATCGTAATCGAGCCCACATTCACCAATGGCTACAACACTTTTAGAGCTAGTAGCCAAGTTCAAGAGCTCATCGTAATAGGCCTGTGGTCCATCTTTATGCTTTTCGAATTCAGAGCTGCGAGTGGGATGGCAACCAACAGTCGAGTACAGGAATCCCCTGGCTGTAATTTGGTGTCAGTGTCGAGACATACATCAGCCCTTAACCAACACACCTTCATCACTACTCTGAATGGCTTCAATGGCTTCCTTTGATTCCTCCAGATTAGTGCCTGTAATAATGATCCTCTCAACGCCTCCTTCGCGTGCACGCTTTAGAACAAGCGCAAGATCATCTTGATACCTTGATGTTAGCACGCTTCTCTCGTACTCCTCTGATTCCTCTGTTACCTGCATGGGCTTGTTTGCCACGGTATAACCCTCTGTACATGGGATCAGTCATATTAGCGCCGATGTCTAGATGAATTATTAGCATGGAACGTAATGCGTAAGCAGCCCTTGGAAATTACCAATAAACTTCATCATTCTACGATGCATAAAGTAAAAGTTTTTATAAATTTGAAAAAAGAAGTGTATTTTGTCCACACAATTTGCTGTCGAAGTTCTAATATTTATACAGATCTCATTAGGGCGAAATTAAGATGGATCCGCAGTGCATGGCTATCAGTTGCCTATTGACCGCACTCGATCTAACCGAGCATTGTTTGTACAAGCTTCCAAAGTTGTTCATTACGGCAATGCCTCTCCTTTATCAGACATCTGTTTGCCTATCATTGCAGCATGATTTCATCCGAAAGAGGCGGTTATTCAAAAGCATTTTCATCATAAAAAAAAAAAAAATCTTCAATTTGAATTTAGCATAGTCTTTTTCAACTACTACACAACATGGAGGATACAGTCAAGCAAGATTTGGGTGCATTGATCAAGAAATACGACGAATTTATAGCACTAAAGTTGAAACCATCGTTAAAAAAGGAACTAGACGAGCGAGATCTTATCTTTAACAGCATTTCGGAATAGTGGGTGATAGACAAAGCTACCATAAACACTCACATTGACATCAACTCGTAGCCAAAAATTAAACACACAAATCGAGACCATTCAAGACAACAAACTAGGTGAATTGAAGACGATGGTGGATCTTGGATCACAGTTTTTTGTTCAAGCTCACGTGTAAGCAACTTGCTGTCAAGTACATTGGGAATCGACAATGACTCATGCTGTTCTATAGACCTGATACTAAATACATCTACGTCAATGTTGGATTTGGATTTCATGTCCAATTCACACTGGACGAGGCAAAGAAGTTTATAGAGAAGAAAGTGATACATTTGCAAGGGTAGCGTATGGAATAGTTGGAGGAAGAGACATGCCATTTGACAGTGTACTCGAAAACTAGACTTGCAGACAAACACACAGCAGAAGCAGATAAAATCAGAGCACACATTAAAATGGTAAGGTGATGGATGACAGCAGCTGATTTGTAGTCCTAACTCATCTGTGTGTTTAGGCACTGGAAGCAATTTCTGAGATCATTGTCAACCAGCAATGATAGTTGATGACATGGACGGATGAAATATAGTTAATAGCTGGAGTTAGTAATTGAAGTTAATAATAGGGGCCATCCATCACATCTTGGGGCCTATAGCATGGATAGTTAGAAATAAAGCAGGACCCAGACACGCATTTCATTAGCAAGTTTGTTTGATAGTCCATTTCATCAATGCAATCCTTTTTCAGTGACAGTTAATCAACTTTTGAGCTACTGGGAAAATGCGGGCAGGGTTTCACACTAGAGTCATAAATTAAAAGCAAGATTTTTTCATTCAGAAACACTCTTTTATTTTTTTGTACATACGATATCATTACTATGGGTTGGGATTCATTCTTGGACAAGGTCGAAGTCGTGGTCAACTGGGGCAACAGAGTTTACGGCAGGGTAGAGAGATTCGCAGAACCGGCTGTGAAAATAGTGGCACCTCATGTCGATACATTCGCTCAGGAGATGGACCCTATTATGAACAGACCTGTGGACTGGGTCTTGTTCTTGTACTTTAGCACTCATATTCCTATCACCATCCTTTTCGATTTACAGCCACTGTATCCTGACTGGATCGTTCCTACATTCTTCCAACAGTTGCATGGATCCTACATGGCCTTGTTAAATGATCCTTTTATGAATAAAACCATTCCCGTCAAATGGTGGTTCAAGAGCTTTTCGCTCTGTGAAGCTTTTTTACAGCTTCCATTCTTCTTTTTTGCTACTTATGGTGTATTCAAAGGTAAATCGAGTTGCTGATGGAGAGTGCCATGTGCTGATGTTTGTTTGATTGTGCTTGTAGACAAATCTTGGGTTCGCTTGCCATTAGCAGGTTTGTAGATCCCAGTCAATGGCTTATGGATAGACGACTCATTTTCTTTTCGCCATAGTGTACTGTGCACATGTGATGACCACTGTGGTGCCTTGTCTTGCTGAAATTGCTTTCAACAAATCGTTTGGTTTAGAAGATTTTCAACGCAACATTCTGCTCATGCTCTACTCTCCTTACTTTTTCATTCCACTTATTGGTTTGGTTGATTCATATCTTCGCATTACAAACAAACTGAGAGCAAATGATGCTGTATTAATAGAGAAAAAGAATGAATAAACTTTTGTGCATTTATAAACAATTGGAAAGATCCGGGATCTTGCTGAAATAATATATAACATGTCAAATACGGAATAGACGCACACAAATTATCTGATCACAACAGTTCCCATCGCTATGACCATCCGTTGCGAGGAATCATTGATTGAATATAACATGCACTTGGCGCCACCACTTGTATTGCCATTTCTGAATTGAGATATGAAAAATGATCAACTTCCAATGATCATTCTTGGTTTACTTGAAGCATCTTCCATCGCATTAACATAATGTTGATAGGCCACCGCCTTGTAGTGATATCGGGTTTAAAGTACCAGTAAAATACAATAGAAATTCATTGATGATGAAGCTTGACATTCAATGATGTTGTTTTTAGGTGGCTATCTTATTACAGCATTCCTCACATGAGACTGTGTAATAAGTGCCAGATCAAATAGTTGCCGCGCCCTAAATTACTGTTGAATAAAGAATGATTTATCAGAAATAAATCATTTGCAAAAAAAAAAGAGTATGAAATTAATCAGGTAAGGAATATCGTTTATTACATTGGAAATAAGAGGGTTTATATACTATTCAAACTGAGGTATTTAATGTGAGGATAAGGCGCCGATCATTTAAGTAATAGGAGGATAATAGATTCAATCAATTATCCTGAAGAACATGCCATAACTACGATCGTAACTGAATCTATATTTCATGCCAAAGCTTATGATCTGATGTGATCTGTGCTTGAACTGACTGTTTCTTCACACTTCGAAATTCGGTTTGGATATGATTGTTGTGCCAGAAGGGCTTCAACTGTCTATAAAGATTAAGGTATTCTTGATGGGTAGATATGTCTGTGTTGTGCAACAACATGGATAAGCTATGAAAATTGAAGTGCATCTCAGCCATCTAAATACTGAGGTTCACCAGATGTGATAAGCGTTGTACAAGATAAGTTGCTACTTTGGCATTCAGAACTTGGTATAAATTGAATAACTCTTGTCTTCATCAATAAATCTTTAGCTTTTGTGTCTGATCTTATTCAAATAAATCTTTTCTTGTTTTTATAATATCGAACATTTTTTATAAGCTACAAATAATAATCCTTTTATTCTTTGTGCTTAACAACGATACGTCAAAGTTTTAAACTGTATCTATTTGGGCACCTTTTATTAAACACAAAACCATGATAATAAATGACAAATACATACAAAGCCGACTGGTTGTAGACCTTCGTTGTTTCAACCTCTTAGCCAATCAGATTGCTTGAAAACTCCGCTGACCAAAAAAAAATTTTGCGAGGGTTTCCCCCTGTTTTGATGTGAGGCAAAATTTTAAGCTCCGCTATATATAGTAATATAGCTGTTACTATCATCAAATTTCCCTCAGGTGCTAGAGCATGCCTTACTTACACCACCTAGCTTTAGATTCTGGCATTGAGACCCTCAATCATCACTAAAGTAAGTAGTGATAATCAAGTGGAGGCGGCCTATCTACCTCCTAGCCTCGGATAAAGTCTTGTTGAGCTTCAGGGATAGGCACATCCACGCAACGTAAAGAAGGTATGCTTCAAAGAAACATAATAATAATAAAAGAATGAAGAAAAGAACATACTACTATAAGAGTATAGTAGTATGTAGGCAAAAAAAGAGGCACTCACATGAAAGCGAGTCAAAGAAAAGCATAACAAACAAAACATCAAAGATGTTCAAAAGAGCTCGCTGTTGTTGCAACAAAAATGCATACATGAGCAAGGTGCATGATAATAGTCTGATGCAAAGGAACACAAACACACATAGTTGTATGAGCAACAGTAGTATAAGTGTGTAATGCAACAAAAAGACTAATATTGTTTCATGTGAAGCCACAGAGGCAACACAAACAACAATCCACGGCCATATAACAAAGTAGTATTACAGCGGCAATACAGATATATAGCAGTGCATCATGCCTGTTGTTCGTACATACGAAGCAACAACATTGCAAGCATCCGTTGAGCTGATCATATCACAGCCAACAAACGAAAAAGAAAGCGCAACAAAGAAAACATCATGAATGCATCATCATGAGAAAGGAAGCAATAACAAAAACGTCCAAAGAAGAAGCTTTATGTCATTGAGACCACCAGAAGAAAAAAGATACTTACGACTTACCACAGCCACAAATAGACTTGAGAATACAGAGCCACCGGAGATACACCAGAGAACGAGCATACACCACAGATAGTAGATGAAAGGAGACCAGACTAGCGGCAGCAGCACCATCAGCAGCACCATCAAGAACAACAGCAACAGCAACAGCAACAGCAACAGCAACAGCAACAGCAACAGCAACAGCAACACCAGCAACAGCAACAGCAGCAACAGCAACACCAGCAACAGCAACACCAGCAGCATGGAAATACCGAAGAACGACTGACGCCGGAGACCAGGCAAAGATTAACGAAGCAACCGCCAGAGATAGAGACCAAAGAAGCAGCTAACAGACATAATAAACCAAAGAAGCAAACAGCAGAAGTAGCAGAGAAGTAATGGCAGCAACACCCACGTCTAACAGGAAGAAGAATAACCAAAATCTAATAAACAAATACAATTAGTGTTAATTCTATGCCTTCCAGTGCTCGCTATCGAATGGTACCTACTATATTCCATTTTAAAGAAGCAATATCAAGTACCTTTAGCAGTGCAAGACCGTGTTATCAGAAGCTAGAGTGTTGTTTTTAATCAAAAGGATTCCAAAACCAATATGATTTGATACTGCATGCGTTTTGCAAAGGGGAAAAAAAACGAGGGCATGGAAAAATGAGAGGGAACCCTATCCGACGTCACGTCCAGTAGGTTTAGTCTCAGTCTTATACCGTAGCAGCCGTACATGCGGCAATTTAATTTGAAATTGTGCAGTGGTATTTTCGTGTTCAAACTGGTCTTGATCTCACATCCTTCCAACGTTTTTGCTGAATTTGACTATGAAAACTGTCGTTGTCACACTAAACTTTCTAATACATCTTTAAAGAACTAAAAAAGCTGCATCGAATGGTGCTAATTACATTTAGTTTTTAGACCGAAAATAATGAGCAATTTGCGAAAATATGAAAACAGGTTTTCTGCGAATATGTCAAGATTTAACATATACAAGTCTCATAGAAAGAGCTTCCAATGTTGCATTTCATCCTTACAATCAATTTGATCTAATATATATTATAGAAGGAGTCTTCATTTTTGGGGTGAAAAACGCGATCGTTTGATTTTCAAGAATTTTCCCTTGCTAATACTCATGGAAAAACGAGGATTTTCATGAATTTGCAATGACCCAAAAAGTTTTGAGATTAAGCGTCAGGTAATAAAGAGTGATCAAGAGGAGGCATGTAATGCTATTCCAAGCGCTCAAAACGCTTTGTGGCTTGAGCTATTTGTGCCTGAAAATGGCTAGATTTGAACAGAGTTCGGCCTAATCAAAAGTGTATTGGGTTGCATTGCCAGAAGAGTAAGTAAATTGCGCTTTTATCTCATGAACCAGATGTTCTGCATTGTACAGAACTCAATTTCCAAGTAATAGGCGCTTTTATTCCAATTCCAACGCTCAGATCTTGCTTCTTGAAATGTGCGATGACAGTTATCTTGGTACTTGAGCGTCAATAATATTATGATGCAAATTTGAAGCTAACGACTTGCTCGGACTGAAGTAAATGCTCATCAGGTTAGCAGGATATTTTTGATGGTCGTCCACGACAGAGACACCGTATCTAGCCGTAAAGCTAGATTTAAGAATCTATTTACAATGTTGGACACTCATAATTCAGGGGAAATGGCTGATACTACCTGACACGCTGAGTCGTTGTAAGCGCAATGAGGGGAGAGGGGGAGCAAACAACGCAGTTTTGTTTTAAATTTGAGCGAATAGAGACCCGAGGTATGTATAATTTGTATTATGATACAAAGGACTACATTCACAGACTGTATTAGAATCGGGTTTGAATGGTTTCACGGAGCTGCAAAGCCGAAAAGGCAAATTATCCAGAATCAATCACTCGAACGCTATTTTTTGCTATAGTAGTGGCACATATAAAATTTTTTGTTTTGCTCCAGCATTAGTCAATGGACATCCGGGACTTATTTTATAGACTTGAGAAGGACCTTATGGAAGCTTCTGTACTATTGTCATTGAAGAAAGTTGTATTTTTGTCATGCGAAACTCTGAAACAGCAAAGAGAGAATGTTCAGATGTTTGATCGGTTTGATCAAAAATGGATCCTTCTTCTCGGATTAATTTGGATTGAAATATATGTAATAGGCTATATAACATTAAATGAATTAAAGCCATATTAATAAATGTTATCCACTTGATTCTCTCTACAATCATCATTATCGCACTTACAATCACAGTAACACAGCGTGCAGATATGACAATAGATCAAATCTAATGTAACTGATATCAACAATGTAAAATAAGAAGGAAAGATGAGTTTTTTATTTTAAATGTCTTGGATGGGCTATTTTGATGAATTCGTAATAATAAGTCGATGATAATAATCAGTTGTCAACTGTATCTAAAACGAAAGCAAAGAGCTTCTTTATTACATGGCATCTAGCTTGATTAAATATGGTAGATCACTGGTCAATGACTACTACGTTGAGATGGTATATAAATAGCAGGCCACTGGGGCCATATGGATTGTTGGTATAGCTTGTTGAGAGGCCACCTAAGTCGATATGTTTCATGTAGTGTAGGTGGATCTCGATATCTTGACATTGGGGAGATTGAATGTATTGTAGTTCCTGAGGCACCTGTGCACACACAATTGACTGGACTTGTAAACATAGATGTGATGTGATACGATAAACATCATCTATGCTACTACACTGTAAAAGGTGGCTTGAGGAGAAAGTGAATGTAGCCTAAGATGCATGCTTGTATGCAACATATTTATATTATTTTCAGAAGGCTGGAAAGGATAGAATGTGTTTAGATTGGCACTGATATGTATTGTTTGCGGTTGTAAATATCATTTAGAGGGATGGAATGTTTAGGGTGGTGAATTGAAAGGATGGGAATGATGAATTATGGCTAGCCTTGGACTGTGGTGCACTAAAAGTGCATGCTTCTATTGTAGGACGAGGAGGTAAATCCAAATTGCGAGCTGTCAACAAGTCTCGTCCATCAATTTGACCATGATTACCTCCTCAAACCTATCAATAGAAGCAAGACTTTCAGTAACCGACATGACTCAAGGCTAATCTTCCGTAACAGGAAATAAGCTATTTCCTTTTATATCGTGTCAGCTCCAAATTTGGGAACCAAAAAACAGACTCTGGAAACTACCTTGTGGAATTTGAGGCTTGATACTCTAAAATTCACGGAAAAAAAAGAATAAAAAAAACAGTAAAGTCAGCTTGATAAAGGTATGTTTTACTATCAAACTGACAGGTGTAAAGTAAAACTGAAGTCTCTCTACTGGCCAGGTAGATGATCCTTCTTATATACTATAACAATGGATAAAAGTTCTATTAATTAGATTGACAAATAAGTCAACTCAGATCAACTAATGTCTAATCATGCTAAAAGACAACTCCAGCAAGCTAATCATGATTTAGCTCTGTCTGGATGAATGATTAGACTCTCATCCAAAGTACCCTGATCTATCCTTTCCATAAGGATAATTAATATCGATCTAGTAGCATGTATCCGATAGGTACAGTCTTCTTAGTCTATATTAATAGTACATATCTGAGTGTATATCGCTAAGCATACATCTTTAGCATGTATCTGGATATATGGCATGTCTATAGCATATCGTATGCATGTCTATAGCATATCGTATGCATGTCTATAGCATGTCTCATATATAGTACAAGTCTGTAGTACATAACGTATCTGTAGCTAGTATCACGGATATAAGCATGTGTCTTATAGCGTGGATCATGAAGTGCACATCTGAAGCAACAAGCTCATATTGCATTAATCTTGGTGCTTATTCAGATATGGCAAACATCCGTAGTCAATGTCGGAATACAAGTATAAGTCTATAGTGCCATCCATGTCCGTGGTGCCATCTATAGCCTATATCTTATATAGTATGAATCTTATAGTACTAGCGTATCTGAAGTCCATATCTTCTTATAGTATAAATCGATATCGTACATCTAATCCAGTGTACATACAGTTTATATCTAAATCTGGTAACTGGATGAACTGTCGGAATGCAGATCATAGTGGATGTATTCCACATACCTAGTATTGCTGTAGGTATCGAGACGAAGTCTCATTTTGTAGAGCATGTCTAATATAATAACAACGAAATATAGACAGAGAAAATAAAATTACAACTGAATATATTTATTATGATAATCCAGGATTGAATGAGTATTAAAACTAGGGTAAATTTTGAAGGTATATATAATTATTCGAGGGTGCCGCAGCAACAGGGCCTAAATCTTGAAGTGGAAAGATTGTATAAGCCTTGAACCAGTTAACAAAGATGTGCTGCGTAAGAGCTCATAGATAACCAGTTAGGAACAGAAAACAGAGGTGGCCCAGAATAGAATATATTGCACCAGAAGGGCTGTTTAGAATAACAAAATATAGACAGAGTAAATACAATTAGAACTGAATATATTTATTATGTTATTCCAAGATTGAATAGGGATCAAAACTAGTGTAGATATCAAAGGTATTTATAGTTATTTGACAGTGCCGCAGCAATAGGACCTTGATCTTGAATGCGGGATAATTGTATAAGCCTTGAACCAGTAACGAGGATGTGCTGCATCAGAACTCATGAACCACCAGTCAAGGATAAACAACAAAGATGATCCAGGATAGAATGTTCTTCCTAATAGCTTTGACGGAAGAACATTTGTCGGAATTGAAACCCACTTCCAGGGACGAAAGGCCATAGGCTACCACTCTCTAGGAACCAGGATATAGATTAGCCATTTGATGGCACCACTCATGTTCCTTCGTGCTGCTTGAATAAAGACCTCTCACTTCTACTATGCATCTCAGCTCATTCTCAGATCCTCTTATGTAATAAACGACGCCTAATACATTTGCCTCTCAGAGATGATCTATATCCTCAACATTCGTCCCCACCAGAATCGATAATACTGCAAGAATTGTCGATTCGATAAACACTACATCACAGGAGATAGATCAAACAAGCTTGGCTCGTTGAAATACTTCCTATGTGTTATCATGAATTCGGAACAATGGCCATTAAAACATCCCAATCAATGTAAAACCCAATGGGAAAAAAAAACAATGATCAGGTAAAAAGGTACACTGCTACCACAACACATGACAACACCCTCTCGATCACCACTCTTACCTCGTCCCCACTGTCGCTCACCTTCCCACTTATCCTGTCTTCTTCCTAACATAAGTGGCCCGACGCCGCTTCGCTGGGGATTGAGGAGCCCCCGCCTGATCTGCTTCCCCAGTGGCAGCGCGTTTCCTCTGTTGCTTACTCGGCATTTGAGCCACTCGCTCTCGGATGCGTCCTTCTTCTTGCTTCTGCAGCTGCACATGCTTTTGCCAATATCTTTGCAAAATATGGGGATCCGATACATCTTCTGCAGTTATCCACGAACACATGCGTTCACCATAGCCCTTCCATTTGATGAGATACTCACGATTCGCTGCTTTGCCCCTATGATCTCGAATCGCCTCAATTTCGAAATACTCATCATCAATGGCCTTTTCATCTATGTTCACCACCTTTAGCTCGGATGGTACATAGTTGCGATGAAGAATCTCATTCATTTCATCCTTCAACTCGTATGACCCGCCTTGATTTCTACGAATGACCGTATATGGACCATCATAAATGGGACTCAACTTGCTTGGTCGTTGACGTATCTTTACCATCACATGCGCACCCACTGGAATGTCCACGAGCATATGCTTGTCATTAAACCTCTTCTGCATAAAATGGCACTTGCTCGGCTGTAAAATCAATTTTGCCTCTGTAAGCCGATCAATCACCGTTTTTACGGCTACCTTGTAATGCTCAAAATCCACGCCAGCGATAATGATATCGTCTAGAAAATTCTGCGTAGTAGATACCACTCGTCCTGACTCGTCACGCACTTGTTGCAATCCTGCTAGCAACGTAGATAGTGTAAATTGATACTGGCTTGGCAGCTGGCATAATCCAAAACAAGCCTTCAAGAAATAATATCCTTGGCCGTTAAAACTAAAGCTACATTTAAATTGGCTCTCTTTTTCAATGGGAAATCTGTGGTAAGCATCCTTCAAATCCGTGGTCCCAAAATACTTCATACCACTCAAGTTCTCAAAGATGTCTTTTACTAAAGGAATTGGGAAATTGTAGGGAGGTGGCAAAATACTATTCAACAAACGCACATCCAGACACACACGATGATCCACTACATTTCCCAACTTGTCACGCTTTGGTACTACCAGCAAAGGGCTATTAAAGGACGAATTGATTCTCGAACGTCCGATCGTCTTGGTATCCAACCACTTTTGAATTTGTCTCTCTACTACAGGCTTCAACGACTCAGCAATCGGATAGGGACGACGATGCGCCGTCGCTCCTTCTTTTGTAGGTAATTTCACTATAGCTTCTGGCAATGGACAACACGACTCGATAGGTATCTCTTCATTTCTCTTTAAGGCTTCGCTCATATATGTCTTAAACTCCTGACGCTCTTCCTCAGTACCCGCAGGTGAGTTATCCGCCTCTAAATGTTTGCCCTCAAAGTCCAAATTGATATTCTCAAACATTCTTTCATTATGTTCTGTAGCATCTGAATGCTGATGCTCACTGTCGATGCGAAACGCCACACCAGTAAGCCCAATATTCATCTTTGGCAACACATCTACTCCCAACAGGACATCAAAGTCCAACCCTTGCTCAAACGGAACCACTTCTAATGCATGTTCAAATACAATGCCATTAGCATATTTAAATTTCAATGGAAATGTCATTGCCACTCGCTTCACAGACTTCGATAAAAATTTCAGGTACCCATCAACTTTTCTCACTTTTTTGATCTTAAGCACATTTATTAGAAACTTCAAACTAATACAACTAATTTGGGACCCGGTGTCCACCTTGCCAATGACCTTGATATTCTTAGATTCTACACATATCAACAACGGGGTCAACAACGCAAAGTAATTAGTTTCTGCTTTGTTCACATTCACACTAGGCAACTTACATTGGAAAGCCAACTCACTCATCAGCTGATCTTGATCAGCGACACTATTGGCATCGTCTGCATTGGCATCCCTCGAAGCTGATGCCCCTGGCGAGGACGACGACTCATTGTCCTTGGTAACCACACTTGCCGCGAAGACCTCATGATTCAGAGCCGTGTTGGACGGACCAACCCCAGGAGGACGACGAGTGCCGCAATCATGTCCTCTTTCAAATGGCTTCCAACACTTCACGCATTTGCCTTCACTCCTGGCCTTCTCGAACTTCAAAAACTGACACTCCTTAGATCCATGGGAATCATTCGGACCATGCTGCTTACAATGATACTTCTTGGTTCCACCACTACTCTCCACTCGCTTGAACCCTCCATAGTTACGTCTTCCACTTGATGACATCCCTCTTGACGATCTTTGGTACCCACGACGCTCTTGACGATCCTCACTCGCAGACCCCACCTCATTCACCGCAGCACCTGGCAGCAAAGCTGTTGCATGCGCATAGAAACGGTTGTCATCTCCCAACACATCGCGCGCCACTTGGGTAATTCGATCCACTGTCCACGACTCAGTGCCTTGTTCTCTCACCAAGGTAATGCGCACAGCCGTTTGTACCGGCAAGATTAACGACGCCATGAAGCGATCAGCCACTCTTGGATCATCCAACTGGAGGCCCGCATTGTACACTGCTTGCTGGAATCGACACGAGTAATCCATAATGGATTCAGACGCACTCATCACCATCGTAAACACTAAATCCGTATTGCGACGAGTAATCACTGCAGACCCAAAGCGTCTAGAGAACACTTGCTTCGCTTCCCACCACGAGCTGCACTTCAACAAAGTCTTGTCGACCCACGCACGATCCCCATTGGGCATACACAACGGAAGTAACTTGGCCCACTGCGCTTCCAAGTCCAACGATGATGAATTCAAGATGCTCTCAAAAGTACGCAAGTAATGATCTACGCTCTCAAACACTTCTTCGTTGGGAAAAGCCTTCACCGCTGCAGAAGCCAACTGGAATTTGGGTAAATCGCGACGATTCAGAGCCAAATTTTCACTACGCATCATTCCACGACTCATCGCACTTGTCTTGGGCTTGACCACATCCCGATAGCTACGCAATTCCACAATCGCATCCTTATTGCTGCTAATCACTCGCAAAGCCTCATGACGCTCTCTCGCAGTAGGTGCCGTTGCTACCACCTTCAACAGTTTCGCATTTTCTTCACGTAATGCCTTCAACGCATGCTCTAATGAAGCTTCTTCACTTGCTTCCATCGCCTCACTCAATGGCTCAGCTGCGGACTTCCCCCCAGATCCAACCTCTCCACTCACACTCTCCAGAGGCTCAAACGCAGACAAAGCCGAAGAACCACCACCAAGTTCAGCCATCAATTCGTCTTCATCAAGCACTTGACCGTCTTGAGACAGAACCTCGGTAAGACCATCCATAGAAGGATTGAGATCGAAATCTTCCAGCATAACAGGAAGACCAGCCGCAGTAGCCCCAGGGACTTGAATCGAACCATTTGCTGAACCAGCAGTAGAATTAGAGGACACAGAACCAGCAGACATTCTTGATTTAGGATTGGGATAATATAATGCAATATATAGAGGTACAGTAATTAATTGTAAAAAATGTTTAGAATAACAAAATATAGACAGAGTAAATACAATTAGAACTGAATATATTTATTATGTTATTCCAAGATTGAATAGGGATCAAAACTAGTGTAGATATCAAAGGTATTTATAGTTATTTGACAGTGCCGCAGCAATAGGACCTTGATCTTGAATGCGGGATAATTGTATAAGCCTTGAACCAGTAACGAGGATGTGCTGCATCAGAACTCATGAACCACCAGTCAAGGATAAACAACAAAGATGATCCAGAATAGAATGTTCTTCCTAATAGCTTTGACGGAAGAACATTTGTCGGAATTGAAACCCACTTCCAGGGACGAAAGGCCATAGGCTACCACTCTCTAGGAACCAGGATATAGATTAGCCATTTGATGGCACCACTCATGTTCCTTCGTGCTGCTTGAATAAAGACCTCTCACTTCTACTATGCATCTCAGCTCATTCTCAGATCCTCTTATGTAATAAACGACGCCTAATACATTTGCCTCTCAGAGATGATCTATATCCTCAACAAGGGCTACAAGTGCCTTAAGGTTTAAGGTATTCTTGATGGGTAGATATGTCTGTTGCAGTGAAATTGGGTTAAAATGGATCTCACAAAAAAAATAAAGTAATAGTAAGATACAATAGAAATCAACTGTATTTTATTTGTGTATAAAATGAACTGAAGATCCTGGAATTGAGTAAACAAAGAAGAGTATTTATACATTTGCAACTAGCTTGTAGGATTAACGATGATAGAGAGTAATAGGTGCTGCTATTGCGATATCTGGCAAATGTTGCTGATGTTTGATTTAAAGTTGTAATCAATGCACTAAATCTTGACATATTCGCAGAAAACCTGTTTTCATATTTTCGCAAATTGCTCATTATTTTCGGTCTAAAAACTAAATGTAATTAGCACCATTCGATGCAGCTTTTTTAGTTCTTTAAAGATGTATTAGAAAGTTTAGTGTGACAACGACAGTTTTTATAGTCAAATTCAGCAAAAACGTTGGAAGGATGTGAGATCAAGACCAGTTTGAACACGAAAATACCACTGCACAATTTCAAATTAAATTGCCGCATGTACGGCTGCTACGGTATAAGACTGAGACTAAACCTACTGGACGTGACGTCGGATAGGGTTCCCTCTCATTTTTCCATGCCCTCGTTTTTTTTCCCCTTTGCAAAACGCATGCAGTATCAAATCATATTGGTTTTGGAATCCTTTTGATTAAAAACAACACTCTAGCTTCTGATAACACGGTCTTGCACTGCTAAAGGTACTTGATATTGCTTCTTTAAAATGGAATATAGTAGGTACCATTCGATAGCGAGCACTGGAAGGCATAGAATTAACACTAATTGTATTTGTTTATTAGATTTTGGTTATTCTTCTTCCTGTTAGACGTGGGTGTTGCTGCCATTACTTCTCTGCTACTTCTGCTGTTTGCTTCTTTGGTTTATTATGTCTGTTAGCTGCTTCTTTGGTCTCTATCTCTGGCGGTTGCTTCGTTAATCTTTGCCTGGTCTCCGGCGTCAGTCGTTCTTCGGTATTTCCATGCTGCTGGTGTTGCTGTTGCTGGTGTTGCTGTTGCTGGTGTTGCTGTTGCTGGTGTTGCTGTTGCTGGTGTTGCTGTTGCTGGTGTTGCTGTTGCTGTTGCTGTTGCTGTTGCTGGTGTTGCTGTTGCTGTTGCTGTTGCTGTTGCTGGTGTTGCTGTTGCTGCTGCTGTTGCTGCTGCTGTTGCTGCTGCTGTTGCTGTTGCTGTTGCTGGTGTTGCTGTTGCTGCTCTTCTTGATGGTGCTGCTGATGGTGCTGCTGCCGCTAGTCTGGTCTCCTTTCATCTACTATCTGTGTTGTATGCTCGTTCTCTGGTGTATCTCCGGTGGCTCTGTATTCTCAAGTCTATTTGTGGCTGTGGTAAGTCGTAAGTATCTTTTTTCTTCTGGTGGTCTCAATGACATAAAGCTTCTTCTTTGGACGTTTTTGTTATTGCTTCCTTTCTCATGATGATGCATTCATGATGTTTTCTTTGTTGCGCTTTCTTTTTCGTTTGTTGGCTGTGATATGATCAGCTCAACGGATGCTTGCAATGTTGTTGCTTCCTATGTACGAACAACAGGCATGATGCACTGCTATATATCTGTATTGCCGCTGTAATACTACTTTGTTATATGGCCGTGGATTGTTGTTTGTGTTGCCTCTGTGGCTTCACATGAAACAATATTAGTCTTTTTGTTGCATTACACACTTATACTACTGTTGCTCATACAACTATGTGTGTTTGTGTTCCTTTGCATCAGACTATTATCATGCACCTTGCTCATGTATGCATTTTTGTTGCAACAACAGCGAGCTCTTTTGAACATCTTTGATGTTTTGTTTGTTATGCTTTTCTTTGACTCGCTTTCATGTGAGTGCCTCTTTTTTTGCCTACATACTACTATACTCTTATAGTAGTATGTTCTTTTCTTCATTCTTTTATTATTATTATGTTTCTTTGAAGCATACCTTCTTTACGTTGCGTGGATGTGCCTATCCCTGAAGCTCAACAAGACTTTATCCGAGGCTAGGAGGTAGATAGGCCGCCTCCACTTGATTATCACTACTTACTTTAGTGATGATTGAGGGTCTCAATGCCAGAATCTAAAGCTAGGTGGTGTAAGTAAGGCATGCTCTAGCACCTGAGGGGAATTTGATGATAGTAACAGCTATATTGCTATATATAGCGGAGCTTAAAATTTTGCCTCACATCAAGACAGGGGGAAACCCTCGCAAAAATTTTTTTTAGTCAGCGGAGTTTTCAAGCAATCTGATTGGCTAAGAGGTTGAAACAACGAAGGTCTACAACCAGTCGGTTTTGTATGTATTTGTCGTTTATTATCATAGTTTTATGTTTGTAATAAAAGGTTATCTAAATATATACAACTCAAGTTCTTTTTCAAAGGTAATCTAGACTGCAGCAACTACTATAGGGGGAAAAACTGTCCCGTTCGTTCAAATAATCTTGACTTTTACCCAGTGTATTGCCAAAACTCAAAAAGAAAATACCTCCCATACTGCGTTCGACAGAACAGCTAACAGGAATTACAGTAACGTAAAAAACTTATGGTTGGACTATATTTTAATCCCAGTATAACTAGCCAAAGTGGGAAGTGTCAAAACTGTTAGGTGGGTAATTCTAAATGATATAAAATCGTTGATATCTTTACTTCCAATAAACGTATCGGAGAGATCTAAAAAACTACCTGCGGTATGCTCATGATATTTAATACCCCAGGAGCATTTTAAAAGTATAAAAGAAGCTAGTTTTCTCATATTTTTTCTTTATTTCTTTGCTTTCATATTTTTTTTTCAAAACTTTCATTATGCCTGCTCGTTTAACACAAGTGTTGTGCCAGAAGGGCTACAACTGTCTATAAAGATTAAGGTATTCTTGATGGGTAGATATGTCTGTGTTGTGCAACAACATGGACAAGCTATGAAAATTGAAGTGCATCTCAGCCATCTAAACACTGAGGTTCACCAGATGTGATAAGCGTTGTACAAGATAAGTTGCTATTTTGGCATTCAGAACTTGGTATAAATAGAGTAACTCTTGTCTTCATCAATAAATCTTTAGCTTTTGTGTCTGATCTTATTCAAATAAGTCTTTTCTTGTTTTTATAGTATCGAACGTTTTTTATAAGCTACAAATAATAATCCTTTTATTCTTTGTGCTTAACAGTACAAAATAACAGAAAAAGAGTGCCAAAAATATATTGATAGTATGCCTGCCCGAACCAAGGCTCTTATCAAGAGCAAAGGTGGTTCAACTCACTATTAATGATTTTATAATAAAATGTACATTTTTCTTTATTTTTAAACAATAAAATCATTCGATTTCAGTTTTTGAAAAAGTCATAATTATGTATAGATAGCACTACCTTCTCTCATTCAAACGATATATATATCTCGACTTCGTATACAAGGAGATGACTAAAAACTAATGCAGAAAGACAAAATTTTAAACGAACAGGACAGTTTTTCCCCCTACAGTATTTGCTCTGTCATCCATTAAACCGTTCTGTAGAATTTGAAAAAAAAAATACCATACTGTCAAACTGGCAGGTGGAGAGCAGTAAACTGAGGAATCTCTACTACTACTAGCAAGGTAGGTGAGCCTCCTTATAAACTTTAAACATGGATAAAAGTCCTATTAATGAGAATGGACATACCATTCAAATCAAATAAAATCAATTACTGTCTATTCATACTAAAAGCAATTCCAGCAAACTAAGCATGATTTCGCTTTGTCTAGACGAATATTTAGACTCTTATCCGAAGTACCTTGATCTATCCTTTGTATGAGGATTATTAATATCAATCTATTAGCATGTATCCAATAGATACAGTTTATCTAGCCCATGTCAGTAATAGTACTACACATTTGAGTGTATTACATCGCTGAGTGTACATCTTTAACATGTACCTGGATATATTGCATATCGTGTGTATGTCCATAGCATATCTCATATATAGTACAAGTCTGTATTACATAATGTATCTGTAGCTAGTATCGCTAATATATCCACTGTTGTATTTCCTATGGAAATTGCTTGATGTAATTGTCGACTTCATTGTGATCTATCGATCCATCAAAGACGATTGATAGAGATCCAACCAACTAACATAGTACCCCATAGGTTGGAGATACTATCGGTGGATTCAAGAGGTGTAAATAGCTTTCATGTAGCATGGAAACACTAACCCTTGCTCTTTTTATAACTTACATCAAATTACATGAACATTACATATTTTTCTCTACGAAAGATGTGATTTTGATGTTATTTTATGTGCACATTATCTAACATCTAATCCTACCACTGTACTTAGATATGATTCATTTGTGCACATATTTTAGATGCAAACCTTCACAATTACATATTTCGTATCAGAATCAGAGATTATTATGCTTTTGTCACGTATTTTTTTTTGCTACCATGACGGCAAAATTAATCATGTTATACCATCATGAAGATGAATATTGCTTTGGAAAGCTAATACTGTACGCTTGTACAAACTGGCGCAGATTTTATGCTCAATTGCGAAATTACTTTATTTAAAAAAAAGAGGAAACTAGAAGAACAGTGTGAAGATGGCACCGACGATGCAAAGAGTAGCTGTCATGAATGGAGCCAACTGAGCAGCGGCTTGACTTGTTTCTAATCCTTGGATCTTGAACTCATCCTCCTCAATATCAGCAGCATCAGCAGCATCTAGTACAATTGATTTTTGACCTTGATGATAACCGGCTGACTGAAATGAGAATTTGTCCCCAACGTATTCTGTGCTGTTGGCAACTATTTGTAAAAATAAAAATGAGATGACGATGAATATGATTTGAAGAAAGCAAGAGCTTTAACAAAACTTACATCGTTTATATGGCTTGGGGTCATTTAGACAGCCATCCAATCGCACCATGGTGTAACCCTCTTCATCAATGGTGTTAATGATGCGAGACACAGCATTCAGAGATCCAGTATAAGGTAAATCATACTGAATCGAAATGAATGAACCCTTGGCATCATAAGTGTCCTTGTATTTCTTGAATGTTTCCGAGTAAATCTCTTGAATTGAATTAGCGCCAGTAGCTTCCTTCTTCATGTAGTCCTGACTGTCCAAATTGTAGCCAACAATGATAAAGCCCAGATCCCTCAAAATGCCTTCTGTGCGAACATCCTTCTCTTCAGTGTAATGGAGGCGGACATACTTGGGTGCAACATTGATCAGGGTCTCAATGATATGAGCATTGTTCAGGATGTCGATACGAATATCTTCATCAGTGAGAGCCGAGGAATTGTCATTCGGCACGCGGTATGTCATGCCAATGAAATGGCCTGCATTGTAAACGTTTTGTACTACCATGGCATATTGTTGAGTGTAGAGCCATGTTGCATTGACAAAGAAATTGGCGCGAGCATCAGCCTTGGCCAATTGACGGACGATCTTTGCTGTTACATCACTAGGTCCTTCGCTCTATTCAATAGATTTAGTAGAGCTATAGGCCGGCTGCTCAATATATAAACCTACATATGTCAATGCAATTTGTCCTTGAGTTTTACAGCCTGTTACTTGAGCTACAGCGGGTCTTGTTGATGAGGATTGCAGGAGGTTGAGGGTATGTGCAGAGATGGCATCTAGTACAATCTATGTTAGTACTACTAAATTTTCCGATAGTCTATCTCTAGACACACCTTCATCGTACAAGGATGCCGATGCTGAAGCAGCGTCAACAGTAATGGAGGGTTCAGCCTCTTCGTCAACAAATGGCTCTATTTCTTGAGGAGGTGGAGGATTTTCCAACGTTTCATCACCCATCATATCCTCTTCTCCGAGCATGGGATCCTGTTCTCCGAGCATGGGATCCTGTTCTCCGAGCATGGGATCCTGTTCTTCGTGCATGGGATCCTGTTCTTCAAGCATGGAATCCTGTTCTTCGTGCATGGAATCCTGTTCTTCGAGCATGGAATCCTGTTCTTCGTGCATGGGATCCTGTTCTTCGAGCATGGCATCCTGTTCTTCGTGCATGGGATCCTCTTCGTCGAGCATGGGATCCTCTTCGTCGAGCATGGCATCCTCCTCCTCTGAAATAATCTCAATTTCCTCATATTCTTCTTCTTCATCTGTTTCATCGTATTGCGGCTTGACTTGCTGAGGTTCGATCTTGTCCTTCTTTCCATCCTTCTCAGGAGTACCAGCACCAGCATCAGCTTCCAAGCCAGTGTCAGTGGAGGATGTTTGAGTAGGCTCTGTTGTTATTGCAGTTATCTTTTTATTGACCTCATCAAAAGTCAATGTAAGCTTCTTGCCTGTATTAGCTTCTTGAACGGATGTTGCGGCCAATATCTGGAGAATCAACAGAGAAAAGACAAAAAGTGTAGCTATTCTCTGATAGTTATATGGCATGCTGTATAAAGGAAATAGAGAAACAAAGAGCAATACGACCGTGATGTCAAGCATAACGCAATATAAATATCAAACGAGCATTCTTGAACTAAATAAACCTCCTTAGCATGTTTTGTACAATGGAAACGGAAATATTTCAAATAGGCTTGTAAACATCATATTCGTTTATTTCAATGCATACATTTTTCAGTCGTTGTTTTTTTGTTATTACCATTGCACTCTGAATGAGCTGACACGAGGCCCAATATCATCGTCATCATCTCTTCGTCTGGGTCGTCTTCTATCATGCGTAGGTTGGAAGTTGGAAGGGTCATTGCCGCTGTCTTGGCTCATGCTCAATAACCATCCAGGCACCTCTTGCTTGGCGTCTTGCAAAAGCTTGACCATGGGTTTTGACATGAAACGGTTTCCATTGGTGAAAAATGCAGTAGCGATACCTGTATTTCCTGCACGACCAGTACGACCAATGCGATGAACGTAATCATCAATGTCACTAGGTAAATCAAACGAAATGACATGTGTGACATTGGGGATATCCAAACCTCTTGCTGCAACAGCAGTAGCCACCATGATGGGTGTGATGCCCTTTCTGAATGAGTCCAAGGCGGCTTCACGTTCACTCTGAATTCTGTCACCATGGATAGCAGTGGCGGGCAGGTGATTGTCGTTCAAGAATGAGCACACAGTATCCGCCATACGTTTGGTTTCTGTAAAGATCAACGTCAGGCCTTGGGCATCCTTGTCTTGTTTCAAGATCTCCAATAAGCGAGGACGCTTTTCTTCATCACGCACAAGCTCAATCTTTTGAGTGATATTTTCAGATGTAGCACCTACACGACCCACCGATAAAAACACATATTCGTTCATAAAATCACTGGCCAGTTTCTGAATATTGTCGGGAAAGGTAGCAGAGAACATCAAGGTTTGACGCTTTGCCGGTGGAGGCATGTCTTCACCTTGGACAATACGACGCACCTGAGGCTCAAACCCCATGTCCAGCATGCGATCTGCTTCGTCTAGCACCAAATATTGAATATTCTGAAACGACAATCGACGACGCTCCAAGATGTCGACGAGACGACCAGGAGTAGCTACCAATAAGTGGCATCCACGGTCAATCAAACGCAACTGTCTCTGAATATCAGCACCACCATACGCAACACAAGGTCTCACATAGGATCTGTAGCAAAACTTGCGTGCTTCGTTGTAAATTTGAGAGGCCAGCTCTCTGGTAGGAGCTAAAATCAGTACCTGAGGGTATGCCTTTTTATAAGATTGATAGCCTTGCTTGACACGAGGCTCCTTTGGATCCTCCAAGGGGCCGTTTGTGAACATGGCAGACAAGATGGGGAACAAAAAGCCAGCTGTCTTTCCAGAGCCAGTCTGAGCACAGGCCATTAAATCATGATGTTGCATGACGATGGGAATAGAGTGTTTTTGAACAGGTGTAGGTGTGGTGTAACGAGCGTGCTGGATGTTCTCCAGCAAGTGTTTGTCAAGACCAGAGTTGGAGAACTAGCATCATGTTATTATAGGCAGCACATTAAGCTGCTGCATTGAAAGCTTACCTCAGTAATACCCTCAGGTACATTCTGCCCCTTGGTTTCTACGGGGATGTTTTCATACTTGTCAAAGTTGATACCCGAATGAACGCTTTCATGACCTGTGGCTGTGCCAAACAACTTGATCTTGGCCTCTTCGCTTTCTTCTCCCAGTTGATGCACGCCATCCTTCCATATACCTTGACCAGGCTCAATTGTATCTTTGGGTTTCTTTCCTTTGTCTGTCCACCCTAAACTGTCCATGGTCATGGCACCCCATTGACCGCTGTTGTTTGATTCTGTAGGCGTATTCCAGCCATCATCCTCGTGCTGCTGAGTGGCTGATTTTGTTGCTGGTGCTTGTGATACAGATGTAGATGCTTGAGTTGCTTGAGCAGCCCAAGAACTGGTAGCAGGCTTGGCATCCCAGCCAGATGAAGAAGGTTTTGTCGTGGTAGCTTGAGGTTGTTGATCCCAAGATGACTGAGATTCTGAGGGCTTTTGATCCCAGGTAGAGAAAGTGTCAGCACTGCTATTTGAAGGTGATGCGTCCCAAGAAGATGTACTAGTAAGCCTTTGATCCCAAGCAGTGTCGTCCTTTGATGGAGTATTCCAGCCTGTTTGACTGTTGTTGATAGATTGATGTTGATGCCAATTATTTTGTTGTTGTCGCCGAGGCTGTTGTTGTTGGTAGCTCCCTCTGCCTCTACCACCTCTAGATGGTTGTTGCTGATAACTGCCTCCTCCTCTGCCTCCTCTGTCGCCACCACGCTGATAGTTTTGTTGATATTCGCCTCTGCCTTGACCTCTTCCTTGTTGATACCCCCCTCTCCTGTCACACTGTTGGTGTTGATTGCGACCCTCAAAATCTTGCGCCGTTAATGGACGATTACCCCAATCACCTGCTTTATCCACACGAGCGCTCCATCTGCCATTGACGCGCCTTTTAGTTCAACAGGACTGGTTGAGTAATTGAATGATAAATCGTTACCTGGTGTCATTTGATTGAAGTTTTGCAGGTTTATCCCATTCAGAATCTTTATCGGAACTATCTACATTCAAGTTTTCTGGATGAACAAGATTAGTTTCCAAGGTAGTGCAGAATCGCACAACATGTCAGCAACTTTACTCATGTTTTCTTGCAAGCCATCCATGTTCCAGTTACTCATATTGAACAGTTATAGTTTGATAGAGAGAAGAAAGGTGCATTCTGCTGTTTAAAATTGCTTATTTATTTATTTGTTTGTAAAAAAAAAAAAGGTAGGCGTGTGTGTGTGTGTGTATGTTGACCTTGAATGAGAGGGAGAGAGAGAGAAAGAGAAAGAGAGAGAGAGAGAGAACCAGAATTCATCATGGGAGTGAAAATAGACAACGGGGAGAGGTAAAATGATGTTCTTGAGAAGACTTATATATATACAATGTTCTTCTGTTCTTCTTCTTTCAGTTTAATCAATGCGAGAGAGCATACGATGAAGCGTGTTGTGAACCTTTTCGAGTTCATGGACCACCTGGGCATTGCCATCTTCTTCGTAACGGCCAGAGTTCATTTCAGGATTGCTAAAAGTGCCTTCATTGTATTGAGAGTCAATTTGACGAAGTCTGTTTTGGAGCTTTTCAACATCATCAGAAGTGTATTTGGTATGAGACAGACGGTTGGATTCTCTGGCAATATCCATCAACTCCTGATGAACGTTCTCAAGATTCTTGACCATTGGCATTTTGAATAACAGGTTTATATATATATATATAATGAAATATATAATATAGAAAGAAAAAAGAGGCTCAATTTCGCCTGCATTTATACTTTCCTCGCTCATAACGCCCTCTGTCTCTTTTGTTCTCACATAAATCTTGTGATGTTTCTTTCTTTTTTAAGAGATGGGAACAATTTATGCAAAGAAACTGATTGGCATTTTAGGTTCAAACCTCTGATTCGAGAGACAGCGGCCCCAACCCCCTCCTCATTCAGTTCACAGCGCTGTACATGCTAAACATTTGCATCGTATGATCACAATCAATATAAATAAATCAACTTTTTTACTATAGCACCGTGAAATTGTGGATGCAATGACGCTTATTGGTTTCACACTAATTTCTCTTTCATATTGCCTGAGAGAACTCTCATGGCAAGGTGTAGAAGAAGTGCATCGACTCAAATACCATGACAAATGTGCATTTACAATGGTTTGCGCACGCAAACGTAAGGTAAAAGCTTTTCATGGTATCATAGAGACAGGCGGAATAAGCTTTTTTTTTTCCAGTTTATACAAGATAAACTCCATATAAATCCGCGAAAAAGAAGAGTTTAGTTCATGCTCTTTCATTAGAAAACGACCCATTTTCCTTGACACAAACAGGAAGATTGACATTTAACTCAAGACAACTAATGTACACAAGCACGCCATGGAGTAGGCCGATACCACTAGGGGGGGGGGGGCTGTAAACCAATAAGCTAGCTTTCCGTTGAACAGCGATGTGGAGCCTCACATTCATGCAAGAATGTCCTTGTATTATATTTGAGTCAATAGAGCACAATATCTATTATAGATATCAAGACAGGATGAACAATGGCAACTTCCCAGCGAAAACTACAATGATTCCATCGAGCATAAACTCAAAGTTTGGATCTTTCGAGAACGTTTCAAAACGTCAAGGCATCATGTACAGCACTTTACATTTCAACATTCATCTAAGTTGTTTATTTTATGGTACATGTATGAAGGAAGAGAGGAGGGAGGGGGGAATATATATCAATTCAGTATTATACACATCTTCTAGTCAGTTCTATTGACCCGCCTATACTTGGAATTTCCAGGGCGTTTAAGGTCTTGAATACAAATACGGACGAGCTCCTTCTTGGTTTGCTCGTCTTCTAGCTGGATACATTTGTTGTAAACTGGCATCATTTCACGCAGACGAGGAGCGTGTAGACTAGACGAACGACGTAGTTCACTTGTTAATAGACTCAATGCATTTTCCGTGTCATTTGATCTAAATATTTGCTTATTTTAGTATATAGTTCGTGTGAGTGTGTAGACATGAATAGTTACCTTGCTAACGTATTGGCCATCAGCACAGCCATGTGTTGCTGCTGGTAATCTTTCCATCCTTCTTTAATGGCAAGTGCGTTCTTTTCCGCCTCTATCGCCTTCCTCTCAATCTCACTGGAAGCATGGGCCTCGTCAAATTGCTTGGCTCTTGACTCCAGAAAGTCTTGATAATCCTCCCACACTTTCCAAGCCAGTGTCTTGTCCTTGGTATTGTAGCATAATTGAAGCATTTGTTGATAGGTAAATGCATTCTTTTCAACGCTATGTTGGTCAAACAGTTTGGTGTAAATATCTACGCATTTGGAGGTCTGCTTTTGAGAAATGTGCAAAGTTAAATAAGATGTCAACAAGGCAGGTGTCATCTCCACGTCTTGCTCGATCTGCTTAAACAACCATTCTGCCTCCTTGACAACCAGCGAACGTTTGCTAGGGACATTGACAGGCAATAAATGACGCTCAGTGGATAATGCTGTGATAGACGCTGTTGTCGACTTGGGTTGATGTTGGTCTTGAGGCACTGCTGTTGGATGATAGCTAGCATAACACCAAAACAGGTTGGTGTAGGTTGTGCTATCCGGTTTCAGTAAAGATTCACTGCCATTCTTTTCAACATCCTGCCACATGCTTTGTAGAATAAGTCGAGCTTGCTTCAAATCCTTCTTTCTCGCACATGCAGTCAAGAGTGTGTTGTATGTGATCTTGTCGGGCTGGAATCCATAGCTCGTTTGCATCTGATCCAATAAACTGAAAGCTTCGTCGTAATAATCGGGCCGTTTAGCGCAAGCGTTGATGAGAACATTGAAAGTAACGTCTGTTGGGTACAGCTGATATCCCGCCATGTCTTCAAACAAGTTCAATGCACGCTCCACTTCTCCTCTCTACAACACCAGCATTCTATAAGTTACCTATTCAAGCGCCATTCTACAGACAAACTTACCTTGGCACAAGCATGAAGCATCAATGTAAAACTCACTTCATCGGGCTGGTGATAGGACAGTCGCATTGCATCAAACACTTCCCATGCTTTTTCCACCCTGTTTGCTTTTAAACATCCACTGATCAGATTTGAGAAAATCGGCTATATGTGTGTATGTTAGTTTTTTTTTTCCATGCAAGGTGTCAATGGAAAGGGATCCTACTTGAGATGGAATGATGGACGCATCCTTCATTTTTTCAAAGATCACAAATGCATCATCCAAACGTTTGTTGGTGACAAAGGCCTTTACCAGGGTGCCGTATGTATAAATGTCTGGTTTCATGCCGAGCTCATCCAGTTTCTTAAAAGTGGCTACTGTTTTCTCGACATCCTTAGCACTGGCATAGGCATCCATCAAGTGATTCACTGATCTCAGGCTAGGCGTAATGTTGTAGCTGGTCATCAAGTCAAATGCTTTCTCTGCTTCCACAGGTCTCTTTGCTAATGCGTTGGCGTAGATCAATTGCTCAAAATCTTGCACGGTCAGACTTTGAACCGTTTCCGCAGTAGTGGTAGTTGTGGGTGCATCTTTGGAGGTCTCGGCACTGGCATCACTGGGCAGTTGAGCTAATAGAGCAGCCTGTTGATCGCCTCCAATCTGCTGCTGTTGTTGACGAGTATCCAAAAACTTGATTCGCAATTTCTCCAAATAGTCGCTGCTGATTTTAGGTTTGACAGGTATAGGGGCTGCCAATTCCTTGTAGACGGAGGCAATGTCCTCCTCATTCACTCTTTCGAAGGAAGCATATTTCTAAGGAATTTGTCAGGATCAGCGAGTGATATTCTTGATAGATTGGTATAGCCAACATACCTGCTTTGATTTGGATTCGAGTTGGTATTCTAATTTCTTGATTTCCTCAATGACCTGTTTGGTTCTCTCTTCCTGGAGTCCTCTACAACACACCGTTAATACAACATGTCAATTGCACCTCGAAAAGACATTACCTGGAAGCAAATGTCCTTGTCAGTATGTTTAGCAAGGGAGATTGTCTATTCAACATTTGAGAGCGTCTCAATAAATGTGCTCTGGACAGCATGATGTATGATTGGGGGGGGGGCAAACAAGACGAAAATGCAAATATTTTTTTACCCTAGCAACTGCTTTATATGTGACATCCGGGATACAGACTTGTTGGAGCCCGATGCTTTAAACATCAGCTTTTGACAAGATAGAAATTGATAAGGATCAAATGAGAGAGAAAGTCTATAGTCAATGGCGTGGGTTTATTTGCTTAAATAAATAGAAATGATATATAGAGGTTGCATCCCGGGATATATGACGATTCAGCCTTGCTATAAGGTGTATGCCCACTGTATCGTCTCCATCATTCCGTAAATGAAACCAATTCAAGCTGTCTATCTGTATGAGTGATTGTGTATAAATAGAGATTGTGTCCTTCATCGTTAGAGTGATGATGAGCTTTCTCCTCCTTGTATGCTTTCGTATTCCTTCTTCTTTTCTAAAAGCATAGCTAATCTCTTCTCCTATTAGATATCATATTCAATTAGCTCACTTTTTTTTTTTTTTTTTTTTACAAGGATGAACAAATCTTAATTTCCTACCTTTGACTTGATTTTGTACATTTCCAAGACATAAAAACCGGCTGCACCACCTGCTAGCGCACCAAATGAAACTGCTAAAGCTTTACCAACTTTCGACATGTGTGAAATATGAGGGAAAGGAGAAAAGGGGTGAAGGGGGGGTTGAAAAAGCACATCCGAACCATGATTTAACAAGCCGTGGGGTTGGGCTATTGTTTGTGACCACCACGAATACGAGGTATTCAAATGCATAACCAACCTCCTGACAGGAGGAAATCCGAAATATAACGACGGACTGGCGATGGATGTTTGTATAAATAGGTGCTACATGAGCTTTTAGTAAAGTTATATACTATTATGCACATTTCTCTATACCATGCAATTGGCATTCATATTGTTTGTAGTATCATTTCAATCCGCATTTGCCATCCCATTTCACATCAAAACAAAGCGTGGCACTGGTGTAGACATTGCTGTCAATTCCAACTCTGATTTCTGTACCTATTTGCCTCCTCATCCTGGACAATCTGTATCTGCTACTGAAAATGATGCTGATCCATTTTGCACCGTGACAAAACAATATGCTGGTTGCTTCCCTGATGGGTTTATCAAATCTGCTCACTTTTACCGAACCGCTACCTATGTCCAGGTCACTGGTCGGATCAATCATACCGCGTATGATATCTTGACTGAGGATGGAGGAGGTCAATATGACAACAAGGTAAGTCAGAAGCCAGCTACTGTAAAATGAGATATTGATGCTATTGGCGTATTAGAACCTCCCTCATGGCACTTGTAATGGATTGAAGCATTGGGTTAATTTGATTGAGCCGGATAGCGAAACATTTTGTATTCGATGCTGTCAATACAAATCAGATTGCAATATTGGGATATCCACACATGGATGTCTTCGAATTGTACCTGGAGACTATAGTTAATTCTTCAAATCTTGTCATAGTCAAATGCATTTATATATTATACATTCTCTTATCACACTGTACGTGGCATACGCATCACTCCTACAACTCTGCCCACGAATACACATTAATAAAGCAGACTATTCCTAGTAACACACGTATAAACAAATAGTAGCAAGTTTAAATTTCGCATTAAAAGTCTCATTTTAAGAAAACAAACTTGTAAAGCTTGCGTCAAAACAATCCTCGAGTTGATTTGTTGTATTTTTTAATCTGCAGTGCCTTCTCAAGAGCTTTCAACAGCATGGGTTACTCTCAGCATTGATATTGCCAGCCGTCGCCGCCGCCAAAACCAGTTGTATCTCCGACATTGATTTTCTCGCTCGAAATAGGAATTTTTTTGATCCAATTTCGACTTTTTTTGAACTATTTTGTGAGATTCGACTATATGAAATGTGATAATTCTTGCAGACTTCCTTAAGCTTTCTTAGAGTACTTTTCAAGGAGCATCTAATGGTAGTAATTAAGGTGCGTGTTTTGGCTAGGCTTATTGAGCAATTTGTGAAAATATAAAACGAGGTTTTTAGCGAAAATGTCGAGATTTTACATGTGAGAGTCTCATAAACAAAGTTTCACGGATTGCTTTCGATCGAAACAGACATTTTGATGTAATATATGTCATAGTAAATGTCTTCATTTTGGAGGTTAAAAATGCGATCGTTTGATTTTCGATGAAAACCATGAGGTACCCCTCATGATTTTTGGTCGGTTTTTGGCCATGTATTTTGGGTCCCCAAAAAGTTGAGCAAAGGTGTCAGAAAGTTACTACTAATCAAATACAATTGTTTGGCGCCATTCCGGTGACTCATAAATATTTAAATGTCGAGATATAAAGGCTTGAAAGCTGTCAAATTTGGTTATGTGTTGCTTTATAGAGTTTATTTACACGGCATAAATCACATCTTTAGTAGCTGCAATTTACTGGAAAGGCAGTTCTGTAACTGGGAAGACAGTTCTATAACTGGAAAGGCATTTCTGTAGCTTGAGCAATTTTTAATTCGAATAGGAGGCATATTGATTTTGGTAAAGCTGATTCATGCAAATTTTGATGCGCAATGTTGCTGGTAAGCTTATTAACAATGGAAATGAAAACCCGAATTTGCTGCTTGAGCACTATGGTTTTGCACCTTCGTCTTGCTATGGTAAAACTTTATTATAAGTCAATGTTACCAAATGTTGAATTAGATGCCATCTCGCTATGCTCGTTTCAAAGTTTTACAGTATATGTTAGACGACGTATGTATTTTGATGCTTAACCAAGTAATCGAGCTATTCCGATGATCACTGACATCTTGCATATGATAACCACTTGGTTTTATCAAAGTGTTATACGCTCCCCCCCCCCCTTTTTTTTATGTTTATTGTAGTTTTAGCCCTGAAAAAATGCGAATATCTATTTAAATAAGAACTTGATTGACATTTGTGTATTCTGCTCATTCTTCTCTTCTCTTCCTTGACTCTATACTTTTAATGCACGGCATGAAATTATCGTCTTGTTCCTTGATGTTGATCATCATCACTTTGCTTCTTGTTCATTATACAGATGCGTCTCCAATGACAGCACAGCATCATGCAAGAGATGAAAAAAGTGGTGTTTCATCAAGCACAACAGCATCACCACCTCCCATTCGAATTCGCAAAGGCCTGCCATTCAAAAATAATGAAATTGGTATCGTTGGTTTTCAAGGCTCTCCAAATGATACCCCCTGATAACCTGAGCAAAAACTTATAGGCACTGTACTGTAACTGCTAAATACCATGTACCTTTTTTGAAAAAAAAATATCTGCAATAAATCAATCGTGTTAGTTGCTATCGCAATAATGCATCAATGCTGCTTTTGATGATGAGCATGGACCAGTCCATTGTGTTAAGCGTTGTGTCAATATAGAGTATATCTGTGTCTAGCACTCATGGCAATTGTATCGGTTGCATCCCGCTTATCGCACCAGCACGCTTTCCATGTGCGATAGAGCATCATGATTGTAAATATGCAAGATGTAGGGTCCAGATTGCACCACAAGAAAAGAAACAACTTTGTGCATGAACGCCCATTTTTATAATTACATCAAATGGGCATATTTGACATTGAAATTGTGATCAATGGCGTGTGTAATCAAGTGATGATGCTCATGTACGGCACAATTATTTCTGACAAAGTCATTTGACTCTAATTGCTCGTTCTGCGGATGAGATAAGAGTTTGATTTGAAATTGTGTCGAACAAAGACAAGATGAGAGATGCCTGTATTCTGATCAATGTAATGAAATCAACAGTATAAATACTTTGCAGACTTCAAGAGTATATTGAAGGTATCGAAGTATGAAGGAATGACAAGTTGATATCCCGATATCCATATATTGTACCGAAGCAACTTTTAGAGATGCAACAATCCAGCAGAAACCTTTAATAAAATGCTGCTTACAGCGGCAAATCTAACGTCTCATAAAGTCTATTAGCATGAAACAAAGAGGATCGATCCCGAATATAAAACTCCATCGATCCCCACACTCTCGTATACAGCCTATAATTACAGCAACATCCATGCAACTAGTATAATCTAAGTTCCTGTCTCGCATAAAATAGCATCCTCATTCAATTGGTCGCAAAACCCTATCCTGTTGGTAATAACTATCAACGTTTTATTTCGTCAATAGAATACAATAGCTTGTGCTGTGTAGATGTGAGTTTTCCTATATAATACAGTTAAGTTGGAGGTGGAAGGGAGGGCATGGGGGGGGTTGTTGGGTGGATAAAAACAGGGACAGATCTAATAATTAGTGAACAACTTGAATACCAACACTCTTTGCAACACCAATGATACTGCTAGAGATGCTCTCCAGTGACAAATGCTTCAAATTGGCGTCTTGTTGCTTGATTTTAGCGATTTCGTAAATGTGCTTTAAACTGATAGAACCGACGACTTCAGTACCAGGTGTTTGAGCACCCTTTGTAATACCAGCAGCTCTCTTGAGGAAATATGTTGTGGGTGGAGATTTGACAACGAATGTAAAGGTACGATCGGGCTTGATGGTGATGACAGTAGGTAAAGGTGTATCTGTCACAATGTGCTTGGTTTTATCGTTGAATTGTTTACAGAAATCCATGGATTTGACACCACGAGCACCCAATGCAGGACCAACAGGTGGTGAGGGTGATGCCTTACCAGCACCAACTAAAAGCTTGACAAGGACTTCAGCTGCTTGGGTCTTTTTCGACATGTTGGATTGTGTATAGGTTGAACGAAAGCAATGAAAAAAAAAAAGAACCTGGGCTAATTTGGCTGGTCTTTTTTTTTTTTCTTCTCCACCCCTTGCAAGTTGGTGGCTTTTTGGATTTGATGGCTCTAAAACACCGGATCCTTTAAATGCGGGGATGTAAACGGACCTTTCTTCTCTCTCTTGTTCCTACATCTGAATCATGCATCAAAAACAGTTGACATGTAATACCAGCTTCATGTGGTTCCTCAGTGTAAATGGTCAGAATACTCATTCGTAATGATAGACTTTTTAGAGGATCTACTGTCTTCGTTGAATGCTACCAATCTAATTGACAACCAAGCATTCATTAAAAGGATATGGGACAGGTCAAAGCAACTGGAAGCTGCTGAAAACGACGATGAAAGCAGAAAACTAACACAATACGGTAAGATGAGTTGAGCATCAGTGCAACGATACCGCTTCTAATACGGTCTTGTAAGCATTGAAGCTATGGAACATGACAATAGAGATGGTTCTGCTCATCAATACCAAAAACACACAAAAGCTATCCATTGTAGCCACATGTACTTAGAGAGGTGATATATGGCAGGTTGTTTCCTATGGACTGACTCAGGTATATACTAGTAAAAGACATCTGCTTCAATGTCCTGTGTAGAGACCAGCAATGGAAGGACACCAATTCATGGACTTACTTGCATATTATTACGGCATTATTCAAAACCTGGTTAGGTATGTCTCATCAGTTGAAAGAGAACAAAAACTAACGCTTGTTAGATTCTGATAATATCATCTACATTGAAGAGAAACTGATCAAAGAGATGAAAAAGTACAACGACATTGATTTGAACAGTGATTTACCGGATTGTTGCATCAGAGATATTATCAAATGTTACATATATCAGTCAGAATACGTATGTATACCTTGGTGAGCAAAGTGCTGACCTTATTGACATGACTAAATAGGCTTCTCATTCTGAAAAATGGCCTGAATGCACAGAGTTCTTTGAAAAGGCCACTCATCTTGTGCTTTCCATGTCTTCAAGCGACAAATGTAATGAGGTAGGTGTTGTATTCTGTCAGTTCTTAAGAATGGAAGCTAAATATTTGTCTAGGTCGCCTATCTCAGTTATTTGGTTCTCGATACTGCGACAAGTATGTCAAAGTCAGTGTCTAAATCATCCGTAGATGTGCTTACTTGGGTGTTTGATGCGCTTGCTAAGATTCTGAATTGCAAGGGAAGCGTCTCGCTGCCAAAGTACCTTCATGTAAGAATATGGTTCATATTATGATTACCACAATAAGCTGAAGCAGTTCTATACGTAGATAGCTTTACTAGACCTGATTAGTGAGTTTCATCCTGTGACATATCGGAATTGCCGCTAAGTTATTTTTACAGTACACGTGTGCGAAAAGGATACCCATATCTTACGATGTGAAGCCATGAAAAGTGCATTAGCGACATTCGACGAAATATTTTCTCAAGTAGGGTAAGATCTTCAGCATCAAGCATTTTAATACTCATATGGAGCGCTCAATTAGAGCATGAAAACCGATACGAGATTCTATCTATCCAGAATACATATCCAGCTCAAAGCGGTTTCTCTATTAAGCGAGTCTCTTCACAAGGCGTTACAAGCTGGTAAGTGATGTGTGATGGCTGCTATTGATATGAGATTGACATATTGATATGTAGAATACTTCAAAATGGTTGAAAATGTTGTCATTGCTGTGGATGAACTGAACATGTACATTACCAAAGACATTTTATAAAGATGAGTGCTAATACGTGCGCACAGACTGGTTGCTACTGTACGCAAACTGAATCAAAATCGAAATATCAGGTATGAGATGGCATTTTAAGGAGCCTGTTACTTAGGAGTACATACTAACCTTTGATTGTAGCCTATCGACCATTATGGATGGACTGGACCTATTGATTCACAGGGCAGAAAACAATTTGATGGGAACTTCTGTTGACAGTAGCACGCTCTACTTGTGCAAGATATTCATACTATCGGAACTGACGATTGAAAACAGTAAATCTTCAGCGCAATGCAATGACGATGTCATTCGTTCCTCTATGGATGGTAAGGTCAAACATCATCTCTTGTGTAGCCACCTAACACTGCTGCCTACAGCTGTATTTCTTATCAAAGAGGACATTGAAGAGGATGATCTAAATGCTATTCAAATTGTCTTGTGGAGAACAGGTGATTTCTTTTACAATGTGAGTACATTGAAGTGCTATGTGTGGCATGTTAACTAATGCCATGAGCATACTACATAGAGACGCAATTACAAAGATGCCCTACCATGGTATCGCCATGCTTATACTGCAACACAATCCACATTTCACGGGACGGATAATGCAATTATATTAGCAAAGTAAGCATTTTTTGATTTAGAAAAATCTCCAGGCCTACAACGCTTGCATCTAGAAAACTCTCATTTTGCCATGTTGAAAGCAATGATCCTTATTCTGCTTATCAGTGTATGAAAAGGTGTCACCAAGACCCATCGAACTGGACTACTGAAGACTTTATTTTGCTACTCAAGTATGGATTGATGCAGACAACACTGCCTCAAGATGAGTGTTTGTATATTGAATCAGGAATCAAACATGCGCAGTTATTTACATGGTCTGCTAGTGTTGAGTGGCATTATGGAAGACGTTATTGAGTCATCTTCGTTTCAGCCTCGATATTTTGTCGACATCTTGGAGTACTGTTATCAATACGGCAAAAAGAGCTCCATCTTGGGAGTCGTCATGGGGTATATTACAAATTATTACACGGCAAACAATGTCAACGAAGATGGAGATACAGACGCTTTGTATAATGCTCAGTGTTTGCAGGTCAATGTGTTTGTGTGGGTTTTAAGGTGAGTCTGTGTCTGCAAGATGGTCCCTCCTTTTATCTGAAATTGCGTAGATGCTTGGTTCATATAAAAACTACAGTGTATGAAGAGATCAAAAACGATGGAAAATCTACAACAAAGTAAATGCGATGATATGAGTGGATTCTTTTTTTTTTTGAATATTAATGCTAAAATATAGAAAACTCGACTTTAAATCCATTGCTGATTACATGCTTTCTGGTAAGACAGCAATATTATTCGACATTGAGATGTTGTAGCTTAATATGCGTATAGTCATTACTCTGCTGGGAAACATTGACATGAACAAGTTCATACCTGGAATAAACGACAACAAGGTCAATTGCAAACTTATGACTGATCTCGAATGGATGCTGCAGACGTCATGGAATCTCGGTCTATTCTGCTTTAGTGCAGGCAAAAACACCGAAGGAATGCGCTTGTTTGATGTGATTAGTGAGGTACTTGTAAGCGTGTCTTTACCAAGCAAGTGCTCATTTTTGCTATATAGCTATTTTCGTATTTCGACAACATCTCCTACTTTACCAAAGAGCAAGATCGAGTACGCACATTTCTCTTTACAGCATCTTACATTCTCATGTACAACAATGCTTTGGAGGTTTGTACTAGACTGCCTGCTGATGCTTATATGCTCATAAAGTGCATGTAGAAAGGAGAGGGCTGGTGTCATGCTATGAATGCCAATAGTCAAACAGTGGTTGACATGCTTCAGACTGTCAAGAAGGACAGCAACAATGACGCGATTAGCATGCTTGCTAGTGTATTTGAGCTGGAAATATACACACATCAGGGCGACTTTGACATGGCCTATACATTATTTGAGGTAGGGCATACAGCTGGCATAGCAAGCCGAAAGCTATGCTAACAAACAACCCAACACGGTAGACCATAGAAAGTTTACCCGAGTGCTCCTATGCTTTACTAGAGCGCATGGCAGGTAACACAATAAATCTACAGTTGATCTGCCATGTTATTGATCTAATATAGGCATTGTACTACTCCATCCTGAATGTCCTATGGATTGTAAGTGATTTTTGAAATGGGAAAAAAAAACAAGCAACTTATGGGTTTGATGTCAGGTGCTTTTCTCGTCCTAAAGGTATGAAGCTACATGGATATTACAAATAGGCATATGTGAATAGCATAGACTGATGCCAATGACATAGAAACTACACGCATCAGCTAGGCTTATTCAGGCAAATATTAATGATTATGCAAAATGGACACGCATCTTGGTATCTGTAGCATTGAAGAGAAAAGTATCTATCGATTTGTATCAGTGCATGTCCCAGATCATCAACCAAAAAGTGTATCAGCGTGTAAGTAAGCTTTTTTTCAAAAGAGTAATGAGACGATGATTTTCCAACAACTGCCAATTTTTAGGCAACTTATCCCCAAAATGAGCTGTATTACCTGATTGTTGTTGCTTGGAATGAAGGAATCACATGTTACTTAAAGTAGGTGATGTACAGTGCTTGCTCATAACATGTCGGTATTGACAAGCATGCCGCAGATCAGAGCCACAAGGTCAATATTGGTGCACTATCGCATTTGAATTGCTGCGTCACTATACGGATGGACATAAAAAGGATACTCTCGAACAGCAGGTATAATTTATCCGGGATAGGGTCTAATTATTGTGTGCTGATCTCTTTCTTCTACATCCTATTACGTATGCTCAACCAGATGAACGATGCCTACCGTATGTTTGAAGGTGAAGGCAGTGATTCTGTTGCAGATTCGAATGTATCAAAAGAATAAATCATTCGATGAATGTCTTCCCCCCCCCCCCAAATTTTATGGTTCGATTTGCTCATAAATATGATGATTCACGCTAAATATATTTATGCGTCCTACAACATGAAATGTATGCAAAACAGGGACAACACACAGTTACCCTCATTTGATCCATTTTCCCCTCCCGCTTGAAAGAACCCATTTGTTTCCCTTTCTTTTCCCTTTTTCCTTTTTCTTTTCTTTCTTTTGTATTTTCATCTTTTCCAATACAAGATACAATAAGAGAGAAATGACTCACTTGGGATCGCCGCATGATGCTTATGATTTCATAGAACAAATAGGCGATGGCTCCTTCGGCACAGTTCACAAAGCACAGAACAAAATTAGCCATAAAGTTGTGGGTTCTAAAAAGCGAAAATGCGGGGTAGCCTAAGCGTAAGCTGACCATCACACTGTTTTATTACCAGGTTGCTGTAAAGGTGATGAAGAAGAAATACAACACGATTGAAGATTGCCAAGGCCAATTCGAGCCCAAGCTACTGGATCTCATACCTCCTCACATCAATATTGTGCAATTGTATGACAGTTTTCTATCACCCACAACATGCGATTTGTCTTTTATCATGGAGTATATGGATGGCGGTAATCTGTACCAGCTCATGCGAGAAAGGAGACACCACAACTTGCCGTTCAATCACTGCGAACTAAGAAACATACTGTAAGTGCCTACACACGATAGCCATCTCCACCCCTATTCACATTTGCTCCATCCCGCGCATTCAGACACCAAATATTATCAGCTGTTTCGCATATACACAGCCATCAAGTATTCCACAGAGACATGAAGCCTGAAAATCTGTTATTAGACTATTCAGTTGGACGACCAATCATCAAACTTGCTGATTTCGGTCTAGCTAGAGAATTAAAAAGCAAACCACCCTATACAGAATACGTTAGTACGAGATGGTAAACTTCAAAGAGCCGCATTCAATAGCCACCTTATACTGAAGATGTCATAGGTATCGAGCACCCGAAGTGCTATTGCGCTCTACAGAATATTCTGCACCTGTCGATTTATGGGCCATTGGCGCAATATTTGCAGAACTTATTACCCTTGAACCTCTATTTCCGGGTGAATCGGAAATTGATCAAATATACCGTATTTGTGAGATATTAGGAAGTCCCGGAAACAAAATTGTGGGCCAAAAGAGCAAGGTAGTACGACAAGAAAAGAGACTGAGTCCTGGATTTGCAAGAAAGAAGGCAAAAGACCTGAATACAGACCTCCGAGCCATCAACACAAGCACGACATCCACCATTTCGATCCTGGATGGCGGTGGAGAATGGAAAGAAGGGGTGAAATTGGCGTATAAAATAGGGTTTAAATTTCCTCAGGTACGTTTCAATACACATCTCGTGGTTTAATTGCAAATTGAAGTAACAAGACAAAGAACAGCTCTCACCAAAACCATTGGAATCAGTCATTCCAAACGCAACTGAATCCATGCTTGATCTCATCCGGCATTTTCTCTTCTTCAATCCGTGCCAAAGATGGTCTGCTGACACTGCATTGAGACATGTCTTCTTTTCTGAAACAGACGAACCAGAGCATACCATTGTGCCATCAGTAGCAGCGCTCAATGAGCCCGTTACGCCACCTGATCATTCTACTGTCAAAAAGACGCCGTCAGCCATCCTCAAGGATATTACCCCGCTCGATCTATTGCCTATACCCCAATCACCCTACCAAATATGCCCTGATTGGAATACAGATCATCCAGTGTCTCGTCATGGTCGATTATGCTCTGCTATCAGAGACGATAATAGATTATCCAGTTCCCGTGCAACTCATGTCGATCGCTTCTTGCATGACACGGAGTCCGCCGTAGAAAGTAATGCCTGGCTGACTCAAAGCAGACCTATATACAGCTCGCATCAAAAGGTGCATCCAGTTACAGATCGACCCAACTCATCGCATGTATGGAACAAGTACAACTATGCAGCTCATCAGCAATTGAGGCCCAGTACTCCTGCTGTGGAACACGTCTCCTCTTCCAATGCTAAACCATCTGTCTCCACTTCAAGCAAAAGATACTCCTATGGCCATGAAGAAGACACACATAGTCGAAGATTAAGCCATCACCCTCTGCATCATCATCACCACCATCCTCACCACAACGACTACCACCACCAGCAACAGCAGCAGCATCACCATCGCCCACCTACCACGGCTACTACAGTGACGGCTTCTACAGCGACTGCTCAAGTGGGCCCGACTAACAATGGATTCAGTATAGACCGTATACCTCATTATGGCAACCAACTCATCAAATGGGCACCACCCCATTTCCCGCATCAAATGGATCATGGTCATGAAATAATAGAGGCCAAAAGACCTGAAAGTAGAAGATGTAGAACGCCTGCGCCATTCTCATCGTCCATAATGAAGCACAAATACACATCAGCGACAATCAATACCAACACCGCCCCTTCCTCCTTTTACACCAACAATGCTTCACCCATCAAACCATGGACGCCTGCTACAACCACGACCACTGTAAACACGGACAAAATCCTGGCAGACGGATACTCGAGCAGAATATCAGATAAACCTCAATCCACACATCGAAATTCAACATCACGCCGCTTCAATCTATGGGTTCCCAAAGACTATGAAGATGACGACGACGATGACGACCAAGATGACGATAATAACAGCAAGGAGGGTCATCCCAATCACAATAGGTTTGTATTCTTACCTGTTCATCAATAAGAAACAACAATAAACATAATTATAATGGGGGGGGAAAGAGGGATGTCTCTTTTTTCTTGCCATTATCGTTTGGTCTTTGAGAAAGGAAGACCCCTTTTTTTTCTTCTGGATTATGGTTTATTTATACTGATGTGTTGTTTTACTTGTGTAGATGGGTTCAAGTTCTGTAACTATACATACAACAAGTGTACATACATGTTGAAAAATTCCCGTTTGATTGACATCAGGCAGTGCTTCATTGTCTCCTCTTTCATAGCAGTAAAGCAGTAGCAACCAAGAAAGAGGAAATTACATTTACCAAACAAACAGCAAGTTTGTAGCTTAACTTGTCATTATAGAAAAATTGATATAAATCATGAGTGTCATCATGGATGTGGATATAATGATCCTCTCTCTCTTTCTTTCTCTCCTCCTTGTCTCTTTTATTGATCATGAACACGCCAACATTACCATCATCAAAACAGCAGCAGGCCTGTATACTATATGAACACTATCTCGAGCTACGAAAGATGAGAGAGCACCGTCTGAAACTACTGCAAGAACAGCAGAAACGAGTGCAGCAACATGAGCGGGGCCTCTTCAGAATTAGAAATCACCTTGCCAAAGCTGTAACAGAAGTCGCCAAGGTCCACGACAAACTAAACCAGTTGGTAGAATCAGATGTCTGGGTCACAGCAAAAGAACATGAACAGATCCATTGTGTGTGCGATATGGTAGAGAGAGAATTTTCCGACTGGGATCTCAAGAAGAGAAAGAAGCATCAGCAGATTGATAAAGAAGCCAATGATGCCAAGATACATGCGTCTCATATTGTGGGTATCGAAAGAGCTCTATTGTGTCTGGAAGATCAAATGCGACAGCAATTTTCAGAGTACAAAAGCAAACGCAATCGGGTTCATGATTATCAACAGCAGCAGCAACAACAGCAGCAGCAAATCTTTCTTCGTCGCTCTAAATCACAATGTTCATTTACATCCATCATCACTGCCACTTCCAAAAACTCAACATCGCTATCAGGAGCGTTATTAAAAAAGTGGCTGCAGCCAAGATTGCAGCAACAGCCACAGCCACAACAAGAAAGTAATCTTCACGCAAGATATCGCCATGTTGCTGCCATGTAAGAGTGTCACTTGCTATCATTTCACATAACGTACGGGTACAAACGGCCTATATGCTCTTGATTACATACTGTTAATGCTATATACTATATTTCATTAAATATTTTACATACATTCATTATCAACACGAGCCTTTGGCTAATATCACAAAATTAATATAGCTAAAATGTTAGAAGAACCCTGATTGTTGATTGATACAAAATCACTAACCATATAAGTCTATGCTTCGGATGATTCTCTACCTTCGCTTCGCCTTGGTGAGGGTCAACATACGTAGCGGCAGTTCGTGCTATTGATTGCTCTTGCGTATCTTATCAAAATACTGCTACTTTCAATTTGACCCACCACTTACACATAAAACCCCTTTATATTATCTGTGGATCTGATTCTTATATGATGCTCTACATCCATATACACGTAGCTACTTCTATACGGGCAAGCAGCATACTGGTATTTCCTCTTTTCAATCCATAGTCTCCCTGATACAGCAAAACCTGAGTGCATTTGAGCCGCGTTTTCTCGCGTTCAATGCTGTTTTAAGTTGTCAGAATAGCATCAAACGGTTGCTCTCATCTGGCAGTTACTTTCTGACATCTTTGCTCAACTTTTTGGGGACTAAAAAATCATGAGCAAAAAACGACCAAAAAGCATGAGGTATCCCTCATGGTTTTCATCAGAAATCAAACATTCGCGTTTTTGACCTTGATAATGAAAACTTTTACTATGGTATATCTTGAATCAAAACGTTTCTATCAATCTAACGTAACCGCTGAAATCATCGTTGTGGGACCTTGCTATGTAAAATTTCGGCTTTTTGGCCAAAAACCTCTTTTCATATTTTTGTAGATTACTTGATAAGTTTATTCAAAACATCTTTCTTATTTGGTACCATTGAATGCGCCTTGAAAAGCACTCCAGTAAAGCATAAAGAAGCTTAAGATGATAATCATATTTTACTTAGTCGCATCTGCAAGAATAGTTCAATCGAGTCGAAAACTATCAAGATTTAGCCAATCTGGAACAACCTATGAATCTGCGTTTGAATTATTTTTGACTGGTGGGGCTGGCTGACAAACTCAATGCCCTTTTCATAAGGCTATACAGTAATAGATGCTCTTGAAGCGTATGGAAAGTAGGTGGCAAGCCATAATACTACCGTTTATTATGCTAGTTTTTTAAATTCTATATTTAATAACGTTAGTCTGGACATTGACGATTCATGGGCTGCATAACATGTCTTCAGTAAATAGGGAAATCTCTGAGGCTTCGGGTCGTCGTTCAAGGAAAGTGTTATTGACAGCATTGAACAGAGGAAAGATGGCAAAATTAAAGTGGTTTTTGTTGATTGATTGTAAAATCATTAATCATATACGAGCCAGGCCTGACAGATGCCTGAAAATTCAGTTTCCATATGAGGGTTGTAAAAGTGTCTAGGGACTGAAGATTTATTATGTTATGATGATGTTTGTGACAAATTTGAGCTTCTATACTGAAAATTCATAAACAAATAAATGTCTTACTCAGATCTTTGAACAAGCTGTCGATAGTGTCTGATTGAAAGGGTAGTGCTATCGAAATACCCCTACAAATTGAAGTGGTTGCCACAGTTTCTCAAGGAGTTTCTGTACAAACTTATCACAGACTTAAGGCGATAGCATTGGAAGAATAAACTACTAAAGAAGCCATCAAAGTCGTATTGTATGCTGTTGAGGTGGGATATGGTTATGCGATACACCTATTGAATATATATTCATTTCACATCTGAAAGCCATCTTCAGTAATTTGGTAACATGAACGTCCTGGACTACATTTATGGGCCATATGTTCTTCAAGGCAGCAAATATTTCACTTGGTATTTGCAACATTAGCAGCTATTGCATCATACATCAAATGATCAAAGCGAGATCAATAGCCTGAGTCAAGGATCCTCAAGCTAGATTGCAACACCTACAAATGTAGATGTTCAGAATATGATCAAGCAAAGGTTTGTTGTCTTGCACAAAATGTAGAAAGCGATCAGTACAGAGATATTCTTGCAGTTTATTCGGGAATGAGATAATGAATGAAATGTAGTATATTCATTGATTTGTATATAAATAATGATAAAATGTCCATATGACAAAGGTATAGGTGTGCTCTAGGTTTTCATGTCTACAGAAGCGTCATATGAATTGATTACTTTATTGGTGGTACCAGCTGAATGAATGTGAGGTTGTATAATGGCTGCTGAGGAAGCTTCGTAGGGCAATTCATAGCTGCCTGGTTTTGCTGATTGCAAAGTAGGCACCATTGATTCTGATATAAATGTTCGTTGATTTGGAGACAAGTGATGGCCAAATCTTGACATGACATTGTCCATGTAATTAGGTACACCTCCTCTTTGTGGTTGTGACATTTTTAGCTATAGTATATCCTGAGAGAAAAGAAAAAGGGGAAAATTTTTCATAGTGGTATATATAGGTATAAATCTGGATGCTTGCAAAAAAAAACACACTAAAAAAAAGACCCTTCTTGATAAGTTTGTGTCGTTGCTTATCCAATGGGAGAATTCTTTTTCAAAAGGCAAATATAAAAAATCATCTTAAAACATCATAAATAATCCGTATTTCACGTATAAACAATAGTTGCAGAATTCTGTTTGTAAGCTGTGGTGATACGCTACTATTTGGGCTGTTTTCTATCGTCGTTTCAGTAAATCAATTCGTCATTTGCAATTGATGCCATGTGCACATTGAGTTTTCATCATGAAAAATACTTGGCTCTCAATGGCAAATGATGTTTGATAAGAGTATTGCGTCTTGCTAAGGGGGGCAATGTCATTTGCATCTGTATTTTGAATTACCAGCCAGTCTTTCTGGCAATGCTGACAGTGATAGGAACGTGTCTGACATTAGAAGAGCAGGGGCAATCCCCATGTGGAACTACTTTGTGCTACTACATCTCATAATTGTTTCTGGTCAGGTTTTATCAACCCAGACAAGTGTTCCTGAATATACTAGGCGAGCAGCGCCATGAAAGTTGCCTGGCTCATCTCAAACAATATAACAAGAGGGCCCCACTTCAGTTACCAAGGATTTGAGGCTATTTCTAAGCTAGCATTCATATCATCAGACCTGTATCAAAGGACCTATACATTGTACAAAACTCAAAGACATGAATCTTCCTTTGTAGACGTCAGGAATGGTATCATTGTGGATTTTATCAGTCATTTAATACGGTACGACATTTGTAAGAGGTGGAATTTTGGATGATCTGTGCATTTGCAACGGCTCTTTTGGGAGTTTGCGTAAAGAATCAATTAGAAGAGAGCTTCGTGTAATTACAGCATCACCAGCAAGCAGCTTCCATTGAATACTCTTTCAAAAATGATGACAATGATGGAAACCTCTAAATGTAACATGTATCACAGTTTCCTGAGCATCCATATCATTTAAACCTCTTGTAATGAGACACCTATAACAGCACCAATACTACAACCGTCCATCTATCCAAATTACTCACAAAAACTTGAAAGATTGTTTCCTACTAGACCATAAGCATTTGACATGTCTTTTGTAGCATGAGAAAAAGAGTCACCTAGAGGTCAAGCTTTGCCTGATAATTAAATGAATACCCAATTAATTTGGGTTGCTTTCTCTTTAATTATATATGAACGATACCAATCTGCTAGAGAAAACTAGTAATTCTTGTATAAAAACAGAGAAATCGCACCCTCAGCTACGGATAGACGCAGCGGATGACCACTATTTTGATACAAAGCAACGCAACAATCTAATCATGTCCTCTTCGCCCGGTTCCTCACCGTCACCGCCCTCCTCACCAACTACCATGAATCGTGCATCACTACCACGACTGTACCGAATCAGGACGACAAGCAAACTACTGCTAACTGCTCTGATATTGTTCAGTTTGGCTTCCATCTACATTATGCTGGACTCATTCCAGCATCATCAAAGAGACGTTTCTGGATGTCAAACCAGCTACATGCGACCAGAATATATCAAGCAAACTAATTTTGATAGCGAAATGACTCGGTTTGCAGGAAAATACGGCTTGTATCTGTATCGAGAGAAAGGAGTGGACTTTTCTGATCAAGTAAGACAATGGATAGAAGAGGGATTTGGCTTGGATGCTCACACTTTCTTCCACAGCCAACTGGCGTGCCAGTCCTCTTCATTCATGGACACGCTGGCAGCTATAAACAAGTCAGATCCTTGGCAGCAGAATCCGCATTTTATTACTATAGAAACTATGTCCATGATGCTGAGAAATGGCAGCAAGGCGTCCGTAACCTGGACTTTTTTACAGGTAAAGCAGCACAGGGAGATGCCACAGGCTGAGCAGGCTGACTTACATAGCTATAGTGGATTTTCATGAGGAATTTTCAGCGCTACATGGACAATCAATATTAGAGCAAGCAGAATATTTGAACGACGCTATAGACTATATTCTCAAATTGTACCCACAGACTCGAAAATACGACGCAGAGACCAAGCTTCCAGACCCAACATCCGTTATCATCATCGGCCACTCGATGGGTGGCATCGTGGCTCGCACCATGTTCACCATGAGCAACTACCAGCACGGCACCATCAACACCATCATCACCATGTCTACACCCCACATGCTGCCGCCAGTGCCATTTGACTGGCAAATATCACAGCTATACGACGACATCAATCACTTTTGGCAGGAAGGGTTCTCGCACCACGATCAGCAAGTGGACGACAGCCACAAATACCCGCCTCCACCACATGTGTCTCTTCGGGATATTTCGATTATTTCCATGGCAGGAGGCACACTGGATAATACTGTATGCAGTGACTCTACTAATATGGGTTCGATTGTTCCAGCAACGCACGGATTTACCGTCTTCTCAACAGCCGTACCGCATGTTTGGACAGGGGCAGATCATGTTTCAATTTTGACGTGCAACCAGTTAGTCAAAGTTGTATCAAAGACATTGCTAGACTTGGTAGATGTCAGACGAGGAACACAGACAAAGCCCTTGGAAGACCGTATGCAGATCATGCGACATGCCTTTCTGAGTGGCCTTGAGGACCGTAAAGGAGATGGTTCGGATGTGGAGCTAGGTAGGTGTTGATTGAACCCAGCAGTGTCGCACAAAGATGAAGCACAACTCAACTATTTTGTTTAGGTAACCTCACGTTTTACAACCTTCAGCCAAACGAGGGTCTCTTTCTAAAGCCAGGCGAGAGATGGGTCATTGGCCAGGAGCCCGCAGCCAACATCATACTGCTGCCCACAGTAGCCAATGCGGATGCATTTTCCATCTTGTCTGACAGTGCCATCGGATACAGCGGCAGGTTTGAATTGATGCTGTGCTCCAAGGTGGACGGATACGTTAGCAATGCAACACGTGTTGCTTGTCGATCTACAAACCCAATCGCTGTGCCTATCCCTGCTTCAACGCAGAACGACGTGTCCCCATTTTCTGGTAATACGTTTTCATTCGCAAGCGTTGAGTTCAGAGAAATGGGCGCCTACTCTTATTTGGCGATCATTGACAAGGGAGGTCAGCGTGGCGGATTCTTGGTGGTAGAGCCCTTCAAAAAGAGCACGCACAGTCAAGTGATTCGACAATCCATGCTGTCCATCGCGCTGGAAGGCGTGCATGTCAAGACTGGCCCTGGCCTATTTACTAGCATCCGCATTCCATCCATAGAAAGCCCCATCTTGGCATACCATTTAAAGGTGTCCAGACCACACTGCCGCAACTACCCTACTCACTTTGCACCGTTCCTTAGACAGTCCATCTCTACCATGCATGAATCCAAGTTTTATGTCAATCTAGCAGATAACAATCAAGCAGAAACAGACGTCTCTATCCATGGCCGCACTGCATTTGCATCCATTGTCAGCAATTCACGTGATATCGATCAAAACGGCCTCTCATTTCAGCTGTGGATGGATCCTACATGTCCTGAACCATTGCAGCTGGACCTTTCCATTGACTGGTACGGCAGTGCGGGAAGACTAGGCTTTCGTAATGGCATTATGCTGGCTACGTTCTCTTTTATCACTGTCATGCTGGTGTTTGCTGCTCAAATCAAATGCTATAACGACACAGGTAAGTTTTTCATTACAAACCGCACAAGCATGCCCTTATACTTTGATAGGTATCTATCCCCATTTTGGCCAGGGATTATCCTTCTGCTTTCAGCGATCGTTTCCTTTGGTGATGATGTGTGTGGCCCTCTGCAGTATTGCACAATGCACATCGCCGTCTACGCACTACACATTCGACGATCTGTGGTATTTGCCTTCATCCAAGCTCTCTTGGCAGGATATCATGACTGGAAATACAGATGGCTTCTTTTGGTGGATACCGCTCGCTGGTTTGGCCATGAGCGTGGGCGTGGTGAGTTTGCTATGGCTGATAGTAGATGGCGCCCTTCGTATCGCTGCTCATGCATCAGCCTTCTTATCAAAGCAATGTGGATTGACTAGTTGGCCCTCTCGCAGCCACGAAACGAGGCAGCAGCAGTTTCAGAGACGGGCTGTGACAACCTTGATCTTGTTCTTACTGGTAGCCACATTCATACCTTACCAGTTTGTGTTTGTAGTTGCCTTTCTCGTTCATATAGTTACCTGTGTTAGAGCACTTGTCAGATCAAAGGTTTCGGTAATGCTCAATAACAATGTCAAACGCGTTATTTTTGCTAACTTGCTTCTTACAGCCAAATCGCTCGGATGATCAAAGATCCAATCGCTACAATTTCATGTTTTCGATATTATTACTATTCTTTACACTGTTGCCGTTCAATCTGCCCATTCTGCTGGTTTGGATCAGAAACATATCAGTGCATTGGTTTGTGCCCTTCTCATCCGATCATAGTGTCATGGCTATTGCACCCTTTATGATATACATCGAAATTTTGACAGGCAACCACAAGATGTTACCACGTCAAAAGAACAGGTAGCGTGTGTTGGTAGGCTATTGTCTTTGGAACACTGATATTCATTGTGTTTAGATTTTGGAGTGTCGTAACATATGTAATCATGTACTATATTGTTATCTACGCCTTTCTGTATGGCATCAAGTATACACATTGGATCTATTTTTCGACAAATCATCTAGTGGTGTGGTTCTTGTTTCTTCATTTTCAAGACTCGCATTATGGAAGAGTGTCGTTTCATTATTTGATGGACCACCTCATGCCTGGCAGTAAGAAGCACTCATAAACTAGATCTTCACTTCCTCCTTTCCATTCGACTCCCCCTTCATCCCTAATACTCACTACCATCGTACATATCTTAATTTACTTTTTACATTTACACAAGAACCCCGCTTTACTACATGGCAACAAGCCACATTAAACACTAATACAACTACTATTATTTCTGCTTCTTTCATCAGGCACAGAATAAATACACTACTTAATTTTACTCCATATGTAAATCCCTGGATTTTATTAGCAAAAATAAAGAGAATTCATCAAGTTCATTTTCTGTTGTATATTACGCGCAAAAACTTAGTTCTTTTGAGCACGAGGACCCTTGGACTCACGCTTGGCATGAACCTTCTTGGGTTGTTGAGTGGAAAGAAGAGCAGAAGCACGGGCAACGGCAGCCTATTTGGATCAAAAACAAATACAGGTCAACATCATGGTGCCATCTCGCAAATTTCATCAATAAACACTTACAGCACGGAGATCAGGTCTGTACTTGCTCTTGGCGATCAAGTTAGCAACAGACTTGGAAGTTTGACGACGGGTCTTGGCAATGACAACAGTGTTGATGGACTTCTTGGGGGAGTTTTGCTTGTTGGCCTTGCGGGTGGTAACACGGACACCACGGGCAGCAGGGAGAACAGAGACAGTCTAATTCATACCATTGAATATCACATCCACCAACTCTATATAGTTAAATTTTACCTTGTAGTTGGCAAGACCAGAGTACTTGAAGGAGTTGACGTTCATCAAGTTAGCGGGTTCAGAGGAGAACTGAACGTGTTGACGCTTAACGAGGAAAGAGTTGTTGTTCTTGATGATAGCCCAGACCAAATCGGCACTCATTTTCTAATGCGATGGTAAGATTTAGTCCACAATGTCCAATGTTGAATGATGTTCCTCTCATTATTGTCTCGTTTAATCGCGTGATTCCCCCCGTCATTCGATGGCAAAATCTATCTACTCCTCCTCTTACAGTTGGAAAAAATGACACTTACAATGATATTTTACGTAGAGAAACGAAAGAGGAAGAAAAAAAATTTGCGTTGCCTTGACGCTGATAGTAATGGACTTCGGGGACCTTCTGAGAGTTGAAAAAAATTTAGCAACAGTCCTGTTCAATTGGCTCCCTCTATATGGTGGCTTGTCAAATGTCATTTGTAAAAGGTGGAGCATCATGTCAGTGGATACTCTCAACTTAAATCTTGATGATTTTTGGCTGGTTACTGATAATAATGCCTTCCCAGTACAGGATGAGTCAAGTTTATGGGACATTTTGATTCAATAGCTTGCTTGTTATTTGCTGCTGCCATCTCAATGAGAGGGTGGGATAGCCAGTATGAAAGGCAAATATCGAGATTGCTACAAAAATGATGTATTTTTGGGATATTTAATTTTTACTAGCTGATCTATCTCGCTACGCTCGGTATCGGCGGGTTCTCACTGAAGACATTTTAGATCAGATATAATAAAATTTTGGTATACCAAGTAGATTTTAAGCAATCAATTATTAGTTAGTAAAAGAAAGGTTATATAGAGCCAGGAGGAGGAGAGTAGGGATCTCCCTCAGCACCCTTTTGGCTTACATTGGTATTAAACGAAGTCTATTATTGAAATGATGTGAACGAAAATTCAAGTTTTATGCAGCATTCGTACACCACAGTCTCCACTTTCTGATGGTAGAATTGTCATATCATTCGCTACTGCTGATGCTCTTAATAAGATGGCGACATAGAGCTGGTCATAAGTAAATACAGGACTTGTGTAATATGTGTTTTGAATGAACTTATTGAGCAATTTGGTAAAATTTGAAATGAGGTTTTTAGCGAAAATAACCATAATTTGCATATGAAAGCCTCATAAAAGAGGTTTCAGGGGTTGCTTTGGATCGAGAGAATTACTTTGATTCAATATATACCATAGTAGAAGTCTTCATTTTCAAGGTGAAAAATGCGATCGTTTGATTTTTGATGAAAATCATGAGGTACCCCCTCATGCTTTTTGGTCGATTTTTGGCCATGTATTTTGGGTCCCCAAAAAGTAGAGCAAAGGTGTCAGGAAGTTACTACTAAAGTACAATTGTTTGGCGTTAATCCAGTGGCCCAGAAAGGTCTATATGTCAAGATATGAAGGCTTGAAAACTGCCAAATTTGGTTGTATAGCTTTTATTTATACGACATGAATCACATCTCTAGTAACTGAAATCTTTTGGAAGGGAAGTTCTGCAGCCTATGCAACTTCTAATTCGAATAGGAGGCATATTGATTGTCAAAAAGTCAATACAGTACATATATGGATGGAGTTATTATACAACAAGAAGGAGTGGCTTGAGAACATCCAATTTTTGCATTGGCAATGTGATTTTCAATATATTATTATACCAACGAGATCCGCTGTAATAATGAGACAACAACACCAAATAAGTTCTCAGAGCGTCTTGTAATATATAGCTCTTTTTATGTTTATCACATTTATTCGAGACAAAAGATGCTTGAATAGATATGGCAAATCATAGTTGGCATTTAACGGGGTATGATTTCAGGCGTTTGCTTGTTACGTATAGAGTAAAGAGAATAATAAGGATACCATTAACTGTTCAAACTAGCATTAATGCCGTCTTCTGTATTAAATACTGTGCATAAAGACAAAAGCTATTTTTGAAGTAAACTATCAACAACTCTTTCTCCATCAACGACTTTGTTTAGTCCAATGTGTTTCATTTTCAATTCCTTGATGACTTTTTCCTGTGCCTGTAGTTCTTGATGGAGACATGCAAAAACCTCGAAAACTTTGATGAGGAGCTCTTTGTTTTGCCAGGAAAGGGGAACCACCGCAGAACGGCTTTCAATTGCTTTCCATTGTTAATTGTTAGCAACAGAGTACTGGATGAGAGTCACCTTCTCGATTATCTGGATGATATTGTATCCTTTGAACTGCTCATACTAGACGGATAGAGATTTTGAAGATGGAAAATGAACGAAGAAAGAGTGAATCAACCTCGCATTCAATCAAATGATATTAGTTTGAAAGCCCAGCACGGATGATATCACCATCACCCATTTGATAATTGAAGCAGTGCCTGATATGGTAACCGTATAAAATGCAGAAACTTACTCAAGCGAAGACATTGAGATACCTTGAGCAAAGCACTGCATTTACTCAACAAACGTGCTCAGCAGCTTTTTAGAGAAAAAAAAATTATGAGGAAAGTTAATTTGCTAATTTCATCATTGGCCTATATTCAATCCACCACATCTTAATTCACCACACCTTGATTCACTACCAGCAATTTGATTTTCGTGATTGCACCTGTTTTTTAGGACATGTTAAAGCAAATACACTCTATTGCAATCATCTCTCGTCTAGTTACGATCGGTTTAGCAATAGCTACCTACTTTTTTACTGGAAGTTATGACTCATCTGGAGAAATACAACTAGATGCATCAGCAAAGTGTGTATTGAACGTGTTCTTACGTTGGGATGCACTTTATTTCTTACATATTGCAGAGAAAGGATATGTGTTCGAGCAAGAGACAGCATTCTTCCCTATGATGCCATTACTCGCTAAACTATTAGCAAACACAGGTATGTTATATGATATATAATGCAATGCGGGCACAAGGCTAATGACATCTAGTGTAGTGTTCTTGCCTCTTCAAAGTCTGCTAGGCAGCAGATACACATTGTTGCTCTCTGGCATTACAGTGGCCAATGTATCATTTGTATTAGCTGCAGGTGCCTTATACAAGTAAAGTAATTACAGTACATGCTGGGGTACACGCCTGACTAATGACATTATATCTGTAGATTGACATTAGCAGTATTACCAAAGAGCAAGCAATTAGCCTATGTGTCCTCTATTGCATTTTGCTTATCACCACCTGCTATGTTCATGTCCTCATTCTATACCGAATCGATATTTGCTTTGATGACTTTTACTGGTATGCGATGGGTAATTGAAAAGAAGTACATGCAGTCTGCATTGATTTGGGGTATCGCATCTGCTGTTAGATCCAATGCCATTGTATATGCTGGCTTCTTTTTCTATGATTTGGTCTGGATTCGTTTGATCAGTCGCAAGGTAAGCAAATCAAGCGTGGTATATTTGACAGCGCTACTGATGCATTACAAGTAGAACTTTGTCACTGGATTGGTTCGGTCCATTGTATATACAATGACTACAGCAAGCGGGTTTGCTCTATTTCAATACTTTGCATACACTGAGTTTTGCTCGCTAGATAGACCATGGTGTGCAGACAAGATACCACTCATCTATTCATTTGTTCAAAAGGAATACTGGTATGACATGAGACGTCAATGGGTCGTATAGAATACTGAATTTCACTATCAGGGATGTTGGATTCATGTCGTATTACGAGGTCAAGCAGATACCCAATTTTGTTCTTGCGGCACCCATCATTGCTCTCAGTGTGTCTGGATTGAAAGCTTATATCTATAATAATCCAATTGAATTCTGGACATTGGGGATAAAGAAGAGCAAGGGCAATGCCAATGACGGCTATTACAGCCCCAGATTAGCTGTATTCATGTACCTGTGGGCTTTTCTACTGCTATTTGCCACAACCAACATGCACATTCAAGTCATTATTCGATTCTTTACATCAGTGCCACCACTTTATTGGTACGTGGGGAATTTATGGATCAAAGGATTCTGTGAGGGCAAACACACATGGATGGCCAATGTTGTGCTAGGCTACTTCGCTATCTACGGGTTGATTGGCGTGGTGCTATTCTCTAGTTTCTTGCCTCCTGCTTAATAAAAACACACGCTTCTGTATATATTTCAATCTGGATACAATGCTTGCCGGCTTGTCAATATAGTTCCATACCTGTATATCAAAAGGGAGAAATAATTCGATGATAAAACGAAAGTGGTTGTGTGGCATTCCTTGGATCGAGAAAGTCTGGAATACGATAAAGACATTGACACGTCCATAAGAGTGCTATATAAACAAAGCGACAGCTGCTTTTTATCCTCTTGCTGCCTTTCTTTCCTCATCATTGTCAAAAATGAAATATGCTACTTGCTTTATCGTATCCTTCCTGTTTGTATTCTCAGTGCATGCTTCCACAAGCAGTGAATCAAAGCAGGATGTAGCTGATTCAGGTACAGATCAAGTTCCTCCTATTGGATTTCCGCCCGTAAAGGTCCCTGCGGCTGCAGATAATTCCAACTTGCCACTGCATGTTCAAATCGACACAGAGGGAAATTCTATCAACGTAGATCTCCGTTCCAATGATGCAGATGCATCATCCTCTTCTCAAACACCATCTGGTTTACCAGCCGTCCCAAGTCCTTTCAGATCAGCTGCAACAAAGATTTGGACCCTGTGATACAGCGAATGAAGCGAGATGTAAAGCTAAGAAAGAGATGGGGACTTCTTCATGTTCAAATTCGTCACTGGAAACCGCCTGTAATACTGCTCAAGACAAACCTTGTTCTACAGAGGCTTTGGGTGCGTGTATTGATTGTACAGGTGCCAATGGTGTTTATTGCAGTGCCTTTGGCTGTGCTCAATATGTGGATTAACAAGCGTTCACAACAATAAAGCATAAATATTTGCATAAAATACGAATTTGGTTTTATTTGATTTATCTGTTCATTCATCAGCGAATACGCTTCCACAAGTAGTAAGACAAGCTTGTTGCTAGATTGCTAGCATAGTACTTTTCATCGTCTGTCAATGCTGTGGCAGAGCTACCGCGATCCTCCTTTGAGTTGATACTGACTTGACATTGCTCGCCTGGTGTATACACGAAATGAAAAAAGGTGGTGTTAGGAATGAATAAAAATACATGTCTGGTGTCTTTGGTATGAATGTCGCCGCAAGTCATCATGTAGAACAGTTTCAGGTTGTCCAGCACATCATTCCAGTTGACCCCTTTCAGCGCAAGAAACTTGTTGAACGCAGGGTCCACGTCGCCTAGCTGAACAGGATTGAATTTCGAAGCTAAATGAACCAGATCTTGAGGCAGTTCCTTGGATAGATTAGGACGCACAATTTCATACAGCTTGTTCCAATGTGCTTCCCGTTGGAAAAAGTGTACAGCCTATTTAACCATTAGCATCAGTTAAATATCCTCATAAACTTACAACTCGCACACACGCATACTCTACATTACCTTGTTGACAATGTGATCCATCTTCTTTTTGGCTGATTCAAACACATCATTTAGCGTGAATGCTTCTGGCGAAAGCACTTCATCCAAAAAGTTGGTGAATCGTTTTGGCTTGTCCTTAAGCACTTTGGACCACGCTCTTTGGCATCGGTCTGTGGAAGTACAGCGATCCATACCTCGGTACGTAACCAGAATGAAGTACTGCAGGTGGATCTTGGGTGACAGATCAGCATCTCCCACATGTGTTTGATCATTGACTATTTTATGAACAGAGCTGGAGCCCATCATGTCAAAACTGCCTTGTCGATGGACGCTGATACTGTCTTTCCATCTGCCCGTGCTTGATTTATCTGCAGGACACATGATCAACGTGTACCTGAAAGGCGCATCCTCGTTGCTGTAGTTTTCATTCACGTTCCGGTTGCTTTCAAATGTCAAATCATCCGAGGAAACAAAACAGGCAACAGGCACGTTGTCCACCTTGAGCGTCTTGAGCCCCAGCTTGGATCCCGTATTCATAAACCATGCTGTCAGTCCCCTCAGGGAATCGTCCACAGCCACTTCATACAAACCATTGATGATGCGATTTCGAGCATAAATAGCAGGGCGATCATAGACAGACACCGTGTTCTTGATGATGCTCAGCAAATTCAAGTTGGGAGGCAGTAACTCCACATCATCCAAGCTGCGTTGAATATATCTCAAGTGGAAGTCAAACACAAACGAATTGACGTGAATACGCTGCTTGAACTGATCGCATTCGGTCATGAAGTTTTGAAAGTTTTCTCTTCCAATTTCCTTGCGCTTGCGTTGGTGTGAATAGGGCGAGAATTGCAAACGGCCGTAGCGACGGTGCAGTGTGTACAGCGTGACAGAGACAAAGGCGCCAGTCAAACGCACTTCACACATGATGGAGCCGCCCTCAAATACCTGGAGTAGATAGACCACAGGAGAATTGACAGCATAGTCCTCTGTGATGGTAAAGCTGGACAGATAGGCTTCTATTTCGTCTTGCTGATCATTGGAGGGGCCATACACGATCAAATGCATCCCAATGCTCTCCAAATACGAAGCATATTCCCTCATAAAGCCTCGGGACAGTCTTTCATACCATGCTGTCATTTCCTCACTCTTGGAGACGGTCGACTTGTTGAACAATGACTCGTACCCTACTCCCCCTACTCCTCCCAAGGTGCCTGCTGTTGCTGCTGCTGTTCCATTAGCCACACTAGCGATATAATTGTTGGACAGTTCTAATGAATTGGGCGAGTTGGTACCAGAAAAGATCAATGGTGTTCGGCAGAAATGCAGCAGTCGAGATGCCTTGAGGATCTGCTTGAGTTCATCCACGGTCATCATTTCATCGATCGTCTTTGTATGTCCAGGGCCGTAATACTGATCTGCCCATTTAGTGTACACTTTAAATGCCTTTTCATGTGCTGCTAATGGCTTTGATCTGGCAAGGTACATTTCAAGGTACGGCTCACCGTGTCGTAACAAGTAGTCTTTATCGTACCAGTTGCGGTTATCCTCTGTGGAATCAGCATAGACATCTCGCAGCACTGTATTGGCATCTGCTCCTCGAACAGCTGTGAACACGGCTCCTGCTGGATCAGTTGTAGTTGCTCCATTACCATTAATGTATGATTTGCATAAGTTGGCATTGTCGTAGATATCCAAGACAGAGGCTGAATGTTGTAGTGGCGGTTTATCCGTGGGGCCGAGTCTGGCAGCTTGTATCATGCGAGAAGCGCGATTCTTGTACTCGTAATTGTTAGTAACAAGGTGTTGCAGGCTCTCAAAATCGGCCACAGCCACAGGAGCCGCAGGCGTAGTGGATGCAGCTGCTTTGCCGCTGAACCTTCTTTCGCTGTTGTTGCCAAGGCTATCAATGGACGGAATAGACGAGGAAGAATCCATTTGAACGAGTCGTCCAATGGTATTGGCTAAACCGGGCGAGGATCTTCCCGTGATGTTGGTTGCTGCTGCTGCTGCTGCTATCTGTTGCACTTGCGTGATGGCACTGTGTTGAAGCAGTGGTGTCGCAGGCACCAAAGCGGGTGGTGTTATCATGTCTGATGGCGCAGACTCTTGCAAGTTGCGAGATAGGATGTTGATCATGGTGTCTGAATGATGGAACAGACCTAGCTTTTGGTGCAAGATGTTGTTCAACCCCATGTGTCTGGTCTCTTGTTGGAGCACGTTCTTCATGGTGGCATTGTAAATGTGCTCCACAAACTGATCCGAGCAGTTGTAAGCGTAAATACACAGTGCATCTGAATCTATGGTGAATACGATAAAGCTATGCTGATGAGGATAGTCTTTGCTGAACTGTTCAATTGGTTTGGGCTGTTGCTTGGGGTACACATTGGACGAAGAAGATGGTAGTGCCTTTGTGATACTGGATGCCAACGACTCTTGTCGACTATGCAAACTAGCATTGTCGTCTCGTCGACTGCTGCTGAAGGAGTCTGTCTTGTGCAAATGAAGGCTTGGATGAAGGACGTCGTCTTCACCAATCGCATTGATGGTTCCCATACTGCCAAAATAGATACCACGGCCATGAAGACGGTGATTTGGCTCTGCTGCGACAGCCTCAGCACTGGATCTTCGGAAGCTAGTCGATGTGGACGAAGGGAAATGATGGATGTTTTGTTCAGGCAAGCCACTGATAACAAGATAGCGGTAGTTTTTGTTGTCAAATGTAGGTATCTCGACCAGTTTTCTGTCTTGTGGTTGGCCCTTGCTATTCCACAAGGCACTCTGACCCGTCTTGATAGATAACTGAGCTACCAGACTATCCTTGCTGTCTTTTCTGGCACGCGGTCTATCCAAGCTGGGATTGTAGAGTTTAAAGTTTTCTGTATGGTCCTTCTTTTCGTTATCATCATCATCGAGCAAGGCAGATGTCATGACAGCTCGGGCGACAATGGGATCCAAAGATGGATGGATATCGACGAGGTCCGACTTGAGTTGCATGGTGATGCCATCCAGATACCAAGGAGCTATCTTGATCGACTGCACGGACTGCTTGACAGTAGAGCTCTCCCACTCAGCCGCCTTTTTGAGAGCAAATACCAGCAAGGTAGACAACGACTTGAACTCATCGTCATCGTACTTGACCAGAGGCAGACATGACACGGTATTTTCGATAATGTAATCACAGATACTCTGCCTGAACGAATCGTAAATGTACCTGTAAATTTGGTCCACGTTGATCTTGCAATGCGACCAAATATCGATGCTGATCTTGACCTTTTCACCACAATCAGATGTGTCCTCAAATTTGGAAGTCAAGCATGATATCAGTCGACTAGTATCCAAGTCACTAAGGTCTGCATTCGATGAGCTTACTTGCTCTGAGATGATTCGTCTGTAGGCAATGTCTTGATTGTCCAGCACAGACAAGCAGATACCAGCAACACCTTCACCAATCTTTTGCTCAAAGGGCAAATATGTGCCAGGTGCTCTATTGAGATAGTTGTAGTAGAATGCAAAGTCCAAACAGGACCATTCATCTGTCGTGGCAGAGGAAGAGCGAGGCCCGCTTTCATCCAGCACTCTGTTGCCGTTGTTGCTGCTAAAGTCATAGCTAGAGTACCTCAAATCATGCTGTTTCTTGAGCACTGCAGGCAAGTAATTCGAGTGCAATACATGCAAGGAGGATCCGGTCAGCAAGTTCTTGCGCAAGATCTTGAGAAAATGCACTGTATTCTCAATGAGACAAGGCACGCCAAGCTGTCTGTGCACCAAGGGCTCCGTGTCAACAGGCAATATGAAATCGATATCAGCACGAGAGAGCTTTGAGTTGGGATTGCGTACCAAAAACTGCTGCACTTCCTTCAGTGTGATTTCAGATGTGATGCGAGAATTGATCATTTCCACCAGACCATCGACAATGTAGTAATCCATCTCTACGCCATACACTTCCAGCAGCAATTCTCGGCCTTCATAATGTCGTGTTGTGCCTGGTTTTCTGCCAGCGATGGGTGATGAGGCGGAGGCGCCTGCATCTGTCAAACTTGGGCTCTGACGAGGACTGAACTGTTGACGTTCACTGGTCATACTTCCTTGAGGCGACGGCTTGTTGTTGTACATATGCGACGGATACCGTGCTCTTGTAGTATTGGATGCCACGTCCGACTCATTGGTCATTGCCGCGGTCAATGCTACACCACCGCCATAAGGAGACTCTGGATTTGCCATGTAGTAACCATTGCTGTCATCTGCATTGCCTGTGCTCAAGAACGACTGATTCAAGCTGTCTGACAAAGTAGCACTGTGCACCATGGTCGTCACTTCTGACAGAAAGCAATAGACTACAGCATCTTGATGCGAGCACACAAACATACCGGGCTTGTTTTGCACCAGGAACGGAGGCAATGTGTCTGTCATCAGCTTGTTATAGGCTGCATTGGGTGCTAATCGCCAGTGAAGCGGAAACCGCTTTGTAAACACGAGATCGCAGCTGAATTGACCAGGCAAGAACTTTTTAGGGGGTGAAAAGGTGGTTTCTTCACCTGATGTGGATAAAATCTCTACAAGGTTGTTACCTGCTGTTGTTGCGGCGGTAGTGTTGATGGTAGTAGTAGTAGTAGAAGGGAGAGCGGTGGATAAAGCATAGTCGTCTTCGTCACTGGATTCCTCGCAAGACGAATATAATGGCTTTTCTTCTTCGGCAGAAGCTAAGAGGTATTTACTATGAAAAGGAGAGTTAGCATTGGCGCTGTCGCTGGCGTGCACATCAAAAGTCATTTACCTGCATCGGCGCGTTTCATGCAAGTATTGCAATAATGACATTTTGTTGGTCCTCTCCATGACCTCATTTACCATGGATTTAGTGACACGGATGATTTCTGAGCGATTGACAGCCTGTTGCATCTTTGAGTAAAAGTAGATTTGTACATTTTGTGCTTGAGGTATTAACAATAACCAGTACAATTGAGGTCTCACAGGCTCGGGTTTGACAGCATGGCTGTCATCTTCATCCGGCGTCTCGGGTTCTAATATACTGATACCTAATCCTTGACAGAACTCATCACTTTGTTGCTCCTCCTTTTCTTCATCATGTACAATGCCACTGTCGCTAACGCTGTTTCTCTTGCTGTTGGTGTTTTTGCGTCTATCTGTTGTAATGTTCAGTCCTTCGCCATCAAACAGGGATATCGTTTCATCCATCTCGTCCTCCTCTTCTTGACCTTGTTTATCCGCTTCTCTCTCCACAAGTAGGTCTGATGGCAGGGCGAATGAGCTGGATCCATTATCGCTGGCATAAAAGCAATCGCCTACACGCACCAATCGATAGGGTGTCTTGTCGTGCTTCTCCAGCTGCTCAAAGAACATGCGACGGCTGTCTCGTTGGTTTTTGACAAAGGCGAGTGGGATAAACATGGTAGTTGGGAAATCGACAAACGGGTTCTTCTTTTTCAATTGAGCCTCAATGTAGCGAATAACGTTTTGCGTGATGGGGCCTGATCGCAGCAAGCCGTGCATGATTTCCTCTGTAAATAGCCATGTCAGTCTAGCCTCTGTCTCTACTAATGCGTCTTGCTTGTCTTGACTCAGAGAAGGCAGTCTGGCGCGATGTGTTTTCTCGGCATCCAAGAAGGATCTATATACAAATTTAGCATTCCAATTCACATGTATCCAAATAGACTTACGCTTGATGATGCACTGCACTGTCTGCTGGACAGCCTGACTTGTGCGAAAACAAGGCATTGGGAGGATCGTATTCGGATTGAGGCAGCGTCATACACACTAAATGCAACGTCGCTGTAGTGCCGTCAGCAGAGCCCACAGGAGAAAACTTGGTGCCAATTGACTCAGGTTCATAATTGTACGCAATGCCGCTCTCTGTCTCTCCTTTGTACAAAACAGGAAGATTTTTAAGCGGGAAAGTGATTTCTTCGAACCCAATACCGGATGCTGCTGGTTTGCGCAACGTACAATCTAGACGAACAAACAGAGGGTTTTGAGCGCACACTACCACATCAGCCAAATTGCTTGGCTTCTCACCGGACGACAGAGACAAGCCCAGCTTTTGGCCGACTTTAGCAAACGGAGGACGGTAGCAGTACATGTTGGACCATTTGGTGTTTGAGATGATCACAGGTTCAAAGTAGTGGCCCAAGACAGAGATGAAGCGTTGATTGGCAGAGACGAGTTCTTCTTCGCTTGTTCTTGATCGTCGTTTGAGCAGTGTTTGCACGTTTAAATAACCCGTCAAGTCAATATCCAGGTTGGATTCGTCACAAATCTCGAGCACCTTTTCAAAGTCTTCTGAATCCACTGCTCTGCCATGCAAAAGACAGGTAAAGATGGATTTGACAAAGCTTCTGGAATACACTTGGGCGATGTCCTGCATTAAGCGTAGTGTGCGATCTGACAGGGCTTCATTGATCAAAGCTGTGCCAGACAAGTAGCCCCTGGATAAGCTGGGTCTTAGTGTAGATCGAAGACTCTCTAGCCAGTCCTTGGACGAGTTGAAATCAATAGGCTTGACCTTGATGTGATGATTCACATCGTAGTGGTGATTGTGCATGGCTTTGTCTTGACGTTGGCATTCAAACATTGTCAGCCCCATATGCTCAAACGGGGATACAGCACCCGCAACATGATCCAGTTTGCAGAGACCCTTGACAATCGCATCCAGTCGAGGAATCAGAATGACAATAAAGACAGAGGGATCAAACAGCTTGATAAAGCATTGTAAATCACGAAAGTTCTGTGCCACAAACAACGTGCTTGCATGTGCGCCAATATTGTTTTCTTGCGCAAAGATCTCCTTCATGAGGGCAGGCCAAAAGTCATCATGCGTTGTAGCCTTGTTCAGGGACATACTGCGATCCGTCACTGCAGACAACGATTGTTCTACATAGTAATGAAGTAATGCCATGTCGCGCAAGACAGGCCGCAGCTTGGAAATGTCGTCTTTCTCTGTGCAAAACAGTTCATCAGGTCGAGGGCACGTGCATGTCGTGCTGCCCTTGTCGCTGTGCCATGCTAATGGTGTTCGGGAAGTTGTTAATGGCGATCCAATGGGACTGAATCTAGATACGGTGCGGGAACGAGATGTGCCTGTGGGCGTAGTGGTGGTGGGTGTTGTACTGGGGGCAAAGGCGCCATTGCGTCGGCGAATGTAGGTGGCAGCACTTTCAAAAGATTCTGGGGCGAGACCCTCTTGATGCTGCTGTTGTTGCTGCTGTTGTTGTTGCTGCTGTTGTTGTTGCTGCTGTTGTTGCTGCTGTTGTTGTTCTACCACGACAGAATCACTTCCCTCTGGATGAAAATGGCGATTGTAATTGGGACATGGATAGAGAGCAAACAAGAACTGCCCCAATTTCAATGCAGATGTCATATTGAACAGAGACGTCTTGTGCATCCATTTGGTCACACCTCTCGTCTCATCCTCCATCTCCATGAGATGCTCTGATAATGTATGTGCGATAGAGGCTGTAGCACTCTTACCAAACAGATACATGATGTCGAATGTAATCAGTTGCGACAAGATGCTCTTGTCCTTGTCAAAGATCTCGGCCTTGATCGCGTCGTACAACTTCCGTGTTTGATCATACATGGGTTCCAGCCATAGTTCTGTCGAGATGCGTTTCTTGGGCACGTCTTTCCAGATGAAATACTGAGCAGAGTAACAGATGTGTGTCGTATGGCTGCCTTCATTAGTAAAGCTGACCTCCTTGTAGAAATGGGCAAACGATTTGTTGAAAGAGATCAGGCTCCATTTCTACAGTGCGGCATATTCTGGTAAGTAAAGGAGACATGCAGAGATGACAGTGTCTATACTTTACCTGCTCCAAGCGAACAGCCATGATATGATCAAACGCCAGATGGATGATGGGTGAGAAATAGCGGTGGAACACTTGCTTGTCATTGAGGACATCTTGAGTATCCCAGTGCCACGTATACTGATACAAGTAGTTGCGAACAAGAAACTCGCCTGTCAATTGCATACTGGGACTGACAGACCATAGTGCCTTGCTGCTGCTATTCTTTTGGCTATTGAGTTTGTTGGTAGAGATGTCCAACAGCCCTCCTGCTTGCTGTCCAGCAGGCAAGAAATGAGAGCAGTCTCTCATCATCAGGCTGGACAAGGGTCGCTTTGTTACTGTAGTCATGGTGCTGGTATCCAGGTAGTACTCGTCTTCTGCAATACTGCTGCTTGGACCCTTGACGTTGAGTGTCTGTACACTGTCCAGTATGGGATTGGATTGCAGAAGGTCTTGCAGTTCCTCCACTACAGAACGACCAAGACGTATATCCGCATTGAAAAACATCAGCTTGATCAACAGCACACGGTCTGTTTCTCTTACCACTCTGACTTCGCAGAATTGAGGTACAATGTGTTTTTTGCTGCTGCTGTGAGATGCATTGTTATACATGCCAGAAAGTCGCTTGTTGTTGTTTCTGCTACTAGTAGTAGTATCCACGATAGATGTGTGCCTAATAGTCTCACCCACATTGAGCAGCTTGATGTATACTTGCTGATCTTCGCTTATAAACGTAGACCATCGGTGCAGTTTATCGTATATTACGTTCAACGCAGTTTGTACCTGGTCAACATCCATCGCATTCATCATCATCGTAGCGTTCGCTTTACAGTAGTCTGTTGCATCGCCGATAATCACATTAAAGTCGTGTTCATCGTACCAACAGGCATTAAACACACGCAGTTCAGATCGCTCCAATTTGGCCCAGTGAGAACTGAACTTTTGGATAAAGTTCAACCGAGATGACCACTCCATGATACCAGCATCCAGGCTACTATTGTTGTAATCATGCTGAGAAGACATTGCTGCATGCTGTCCCTTGTCAGCGATATTAAACTGCACCAGCTGCTTTAACATGCTGTCCGTATCTGCCAACCGCTCCAACAACCGCTTCATCTTGCCAACTTTGATAAACCCTGGCGCGCTTGCTAAATCAATGGTGGAATGGCCACCTTGCACTGCCATCATCTGGCTTCTTCTCTGAAACTGATCCCAGTTATGCAGCATGTGCGAAAAAGTGGAGGTAGATTTGATCACGATTTCTGCCTTGGGCGCTCGCATACAACTAAAGATATTGTCGTTATCCAGCATGTTGGGTGGCTCCTCTGGTATATTCATCAGTTTTTCCTGTGTCAGTGACATGGATTTTAAATGATATCGTAGTGAGGATGTCCACAGGGCTTTGATAGAGTACTGAACAGTGATGTTGGGCTGCCAGCGCAGTATAAAGACAATCACAACGTTTTGTTTTCTTTGAAAGTTGGGTAGTCCCTCTACCGTATGAGGTTGTTGTTTGAGCGTGCTAACAGATTTGGTTAAGGCAGCTGATTTAGGTTCATCGATAAAGGACACAGATTGCAACACAAAGCCCTGTCGAAGTCTGGCTCGCATGAAATGCCAGCATTCTGTAGGGAGAAAGTATTCTTTGAACTTGAGTTTTCCTAGATCCTCGGCAATAGGGATGGACATGGGATCCCAAGGAAACGCTCTTCGCCCGAAATGAGGCACTGTGCCAGGCGTCACGGTGCCAACACCATTGGACTGCAACGAGGCTGTGTTGTCTGCTGAAGAGGCATCATTGTCGGTTGCCTTGTTTTGGCTGTTGTTGCTCTCCTTGTTCTTTCGCAGTAATCGAGACGTATGGGCATGATCCAAATTGACTTCTTTCAACATGTAGCGATGGTGGTAGATATTCGGCGGCATAAAAAAGAGGTCCTCCATCACATTGTTACTACTGATGTCCTCTATGACAGAGGGACAATGTTCTGCAAATGAAAAGTTGCCATTGGTTGCTTGAGCTACAAATTCCAAAATCTCGTTATCAGGCACAAACCCAAAATTGAGGCCTGGAAAGAAGCCTTTGTCTTGGCCAATTTGAACCACACTACAAGCAATATGCTCCGCTGTCAAGTGCCGGATCACAGATTCATCTTGTATGTTGGATTTCACCACTCCATCTGTCAGTAAAATCAAGGAGGGTTGCCCGCTGTGTTTGGGCAGCAGACTCAGTGCAAAGGATCCTGCTCGTAATATGTAGGATAAACTACTGCCTGTTTTGCCAACACCCCACACATCTTTTTTATCTTTTGCATTGGTTCTTCTCGTGGGGCCCGCCTCGGTGGTGGTTGCTGATAAAGAGGAAGATGAATGTCTATGATGATGATGATGATGATGATGCTGGTGATGTGTGTTGGAGCTTGTATTCGTGGCTTTCTTGTTCGTCGCATGGTGTGTAGTGTGATGGGTATCCGATTTCTTGGGCTGTTGTTTGGACGATATCGACTTGTTTCGGGTATGTCGAGTGGGCGGCTGATTCGGTCTGCTACTACCACTCAGCGATCCTTTGCGAGATTTGGCTGCTATTGCTGTTGCTGCTGCTGTTGCTGATGTAGGTGAATCCAGCGCATTTTGAAGCTTAAAGTTGGATTCTACGCTTTCAGCCACAGATTGGGCATGATCTTCTCTGACGTCCAGTTCGTATCCCATCTTGGATCGCTTGATGGTGAGGTTTTTGCGAAATTTGCCCAAATCCTTTTTAAATGCGTCAATCATCTCTTTAAGAGTTCTCAATATCGATGTGACATTGCTGATAGAAACATGTGCGTTTTGTAAAAGCACTCGCATGGTGGGGTATTCTGCTAGAATGGGTATGACATTCATGTTGGATCCAAATTGCGAGCATTCCGCAATCACTGTGATCCGAATCATGTATTCCATCTAGGATACAAGCGTCAGTTTGACAAGCATTCTTCCGTCAAAACCACATGCTTACCACAATGGGAGGTGATGTATCTGACGTATAAATCGAGAATGGCTTGACAAGGCCCTGGATGATATTTTCCAACACAGTAAAGGCACTGCCAATCATGACCTTGCCAGTGCTGGTTTCAATGGTGGCTAAACTGGAACTCAGATCAATTACAAACACCATACAATGCTCTTTGGATACTGTCAAAATGCGAGTACGAGGCGTGATGATGTACACTTTGTTGTGGTGGCGGTTCGATGCTGCTGAAGCCAATGGCTGCATGGATGAACAAGAGGATGATGGCGGGGTTGGTGTTGCTTCATTGGTAGTTGTTCCTGAACAAGATGCGATTTGATGCTGATGATGAAGAGCAGTAAGATGACCCTCTTGCTGCTGTTGCTGTAAAGGTGGCTGATATTTCTTCCTTTCCCATGCTGGTTTCATACTGGCTGATAAAAGTAGAAATTGATAATCCTATGCACCTTTAGATTAATCTCTAGATACAATGGCATTGGGCATGCTCACATACATTATAATCGCGTGTTGTCAATGGTCGAAACATATGATCTAGAATCCACATTGTGGATTCATGTCGACTGGCATAGGCATCATTCTTTAACAGCAATATAGCGCTTCGAGCTTCTAACAACTACTCGCATTTGATCAGTCAAATAGCCCATTGCACATTCTGTATACACTCTATTACTTTGATATCTGTGGCGGTAGTGATGTCGTCTTGTTCTGCAACCATGGCCACTGTTCCCGCTTTGATTTCCTCCTCGTCTTCTCCTGCTTGGTTGATGGTTGCAGCATGGATGTCGTTGTTTTGCGGGGCATGATGCGTATCAATAAGATCACTATGAGTCAAACAGAGGATGTCAGCCCTGAACAAATGAGTCTTTAATATGTCATTCATAAATACCTTTCTATCGTCATGTTGAGTTAACCAACAAGATACATATGTTTACAGAGAAGAAAAAGTGAGAGAGAGAGAGAGAGAAAGAGAGGACAAAATATAAAGAGAGCTTGTTTATTAAACTTTCGCCCGCTTACTACTATTCGTCAATGGCCCTGATTTCCAGTGTTACACTACCATCTTTCTGCTGATATTCAGACCATAACTATATTGTTAAGGGCGCACTCTTTTTAATTGATAGCGGTAGCTGTCTTGCTCAAGATTGTAATATGAATATCGTTTTGTTGCTGCCATGGTACTGAGCAAATCGACATTCGATCTGATTCCAGAGAGAGAGAGAGAGAGAGTGAGAGAGTGAGGGCATTATGTTGATTGGAATGCAGGTCTCATCTTGGGATATATGTTTAGTAATAGTATCATTCTATCAGATGTGAGTCCTGGTGGAGATTCGTCTGAGGCTCGCCCGTAAACTGATTTGGCCTGAATCAGAGATGATGCTCACTAAATGAAGCTCTCATAATTACTGATCTTTTGAGATGCAAAATCTTAAATGCTACCATAAATGTCTCAGGATGTGTGCATTTGGATGTATATAGACTTGATAGAGCTCATTGGCATTTTCGTTTGTTCAATTCTCATAGAGAACAATCTGACATGCTTGCAGTATACCTGTAGATCGCCATGCTTGACAGTCGAGGCATGTAGCGCATTGGATATTGACATGCCATTGCCTCTCTATTCAAGATGATCGTCATCGTCATATGTCCTCATTCATGATGCAATGCCTTACATGGATAAGGTTCTTAGAATGCCTACTACTAGACATTTAACAGAGATCCAATGTTGGCAACGTCGGCTTGTTTTTTGAGTTCCAATACTACCACCTTATTTACAAGCATATGACGTGCCTAGCCCAGGGTCAAACCACTAGTAGCACGTTTATGGGGGCGCTGTCTTGACTTGTCATTCATTGGCAGCAGCAAGCAGTAGTAGTCTGTGGCGGGGGGAGAACAGACATGGCAAAAGAAAAAAATTGAAACAATACGCTCCTTCCTTCTCTTTCATATTTATTCAACAAAAACAACAAAGGCTGAAAGAAACAGCATGTATAAGGAATGGTATTTCGTTCCTGTTTATGCTCTAGAAAATATCAACCTCTTTTTACTCTGCACAAACTAAAGCCATCCTCCTATGGTCCATCCAAATACCCTGGCATTTTAGCAACACACCCTCGCCCAGTAGCACCATCCATCACTCGACACTTTACCACCACACCACATCAATTACACAACAAACAAGACGCTCCCTTCTCCGAGACACATTCAGAGCTATTCTCGGTGCTCACTAAGAAATACACAACCAGACAGGCAAAATCCTATTATAGACGCTTGTCAAAGCAATCGCCCGAGCAACTGGCCGATCTTTTGGGCTCAATAGCAAAGGCCAGAGGATATGACAGAGATCTAGTGCGAGTGACAGTAGACGCTGCAGCTTACTGGCCAGTACCCACTATTCATCGTGTGCTAGAGATTTGGAACAATCACTACTTGTATCTGCAATTGGAGATTCTGAAATCCATCTTGCTGAAAAAATATGTCATTAACCGAGATATAGTGCCCATCATCAACGCTCTGCCTGAAAAGGGCGCTTCAGCCAATGTCATGCCATTCTACAATGCTGCATTGAACACCTGTCAAGACCTCGAGGAATACCAACACATGCGACTGATATTCAGCATGATGAAGGAACGCAATTTGAGACCGGATACAGCATCGTATAACATTTTGCTAAGGATGCGACTGAACCAGGAAGGAGCAGACGTGCCTGGATTAAGGATGTATCAAGATATGGTAGACGAGGGTGCTCAGCCTAATCACGCTACGCTCAACACGTTCATCAAGCATGCGATACAGCGCAAGGAATGGAACACATTGGAGCAATGGCTGGATCTAATGAAGAAGCAAGGGATCACACCTACCCCTGTTACCCTACGCATCTTGTTCAGAGCGTTGTGTGTCAATCCCAATCAACCCGAATTGACTCGAGCATTTGATCGAGTGTCGGCTATTGTGCCTTTATCCACCAAGCAGGAAGAGTTTTTAAATGCGGGCACATCAGCATTACTGGATCAACACAAGACGATTGCCGCTGCCGATCTGCTAAAAACAACACTTGGACTGAAAACCAAACTCTCGACCTACGCTTATAATCTACTGCTGCGATCTCTTTGTCAGCAAGGCCGAATTGAAAGCGCACAGCATGTATTGACGTCCATGATTACTACTGACAGCATACCCGAACCCGATATCGTCAGTTTTACCACCGTGATCCATGGCCTCATACGCCACTCTGATAAGATTGACTTGAAACAAATCAGCGCTCTCTACGACAAGCTAGAGCAACAAGAGCTGCGCTCCAACAATGTACTGCAGTCTGTCATTTTATATGGCTTCGTGCGATCCAAAGATAACAAAAACCTCCAAAAGACACGTTCCCTGTTTGATTCCATCATCAGCAACAAGAACCGAGCCCAAATACCAGTGCAGCATGGCGATAGTCCTCTTTCTGAGATGAACACGTACAACATGATGATGGACTTTTACTTTTTACACTATCACAAATCAAAGACGTACAAGAACCAGATACCAAAGCAAGTTTTTCAACTGTTGAACGAAGCTGTAGAAATCAAGAAACTGAGGCCCACGCTGGTGACAATGAACATCATGGTGCGTGGATTGGCTGTCTTGAACAAGGATCTCGTGGCGGCTGAAAAGGTGGTCGAGTTGCTTAAAAGTAAAGGCGTAGTGATGGATGAAAAAACGGTGTGGTATCTGGCCAGATCAGCGTACCGTCAAGGACAGATATCCAAGGCACGGCAATTGATCGATGATTTTACATTGCCCATCACACAGCCTGGCTTGAAAGAACTCAAGTTGACATTGAACAAATGGGATCAACAGCCATCACCATCACCAACACCAAAGTAGTATATATAGATTTTTTGTACATTTTATAGAAATCCCCCCCTCCCCTCCCTTCTCCTCTCTTTCCTCCTTGTATTAATAAAGACATTCCATCTCCTCATACACTTTATGGAATTGGCTCTGGTGTTTATTTGCTTCTTTGAAGCCTGACAGACGTACTTCCATACTTGAACTTTTCATTCTTGGCTTTGCGTAGTTCTTCAGGCGAGAGTTCGTGGATCTTGAAGGTTTGCTTGTCGAATTTATAAGGCACGTAGCCCAATGTGCCATCAAAACGATTCTTTTTGACATCCAGGGAGCGTCTGTCCTCTCGAGACTTTTGTATAATAATGACATTGTCTGCTTCCTGTGTCACTTTGGCACTACCAAAGATGGAGTGAATGTCGAGTTCTTCATTGGCACCACTGTCTTTACGAGGATGCACCACCAATGTGATATGCACATCTTGTTGTGTAGCAAACTTGCGGATCTCTGCAATGGCATTGTCCTGAAGATCCCACTTGTCTAGACTGTTTCCTCCTTGTTGTGATAGCATGAACTGCAAGTTGTCCAATACAATGTGGCGGACGTCGTAGGCGTACACTGCATGATGGCATGCCTTAAGGACATCGCTGATGGCTGTGCTGCTAAAGAATTTCAAAAAGTACAAGGGCAACTAGTTGCCTTACTGTGTCAGAAGACATCTCATACAGCCCCCACTTGCTCATCTTTTTTTCTTTTTTTTTTTTTCTTTTTTTTTTTTTACCTGCTCAAATCTATCTGCAATTTCATCAAATTCCTTGGGATTCAGACTAATGTCCTTTTCTGCAAATTGATACAGCATCTTTTTGGCCAGTCGCTTGTTCATGATTTCAAAGGATCCCCATAAGGTAGGTACGCCTGATTTGCAGTAATCCAAGCTCAGTTGACTGATGATGGTGGTTTTGCCTGCACCCGTAGGGCCTGTCAAAATGGTCAATTCGCCTGCCCGATGGCCCTTGGTAATGTTGCTCAATGTCGGCAAGTCTTTACTCTGGACACCGCGCGTTTGTTCTGGATGCAGCACTTCATTGTACACTTCTTCACGCAGATCTCGGAAATCCACAATTTGGTCGTGCTTGATACCTCGTGCCGCAGCGACTATATGTTGCAAATCTTTGCCTGCCACCAAAGCATCATGGGCATTGACGGGGCCCTCCAACTCACCTTGTCTTGTGTTGATCAGCAGACATTTATGCTCTCCAATTTTGCGAGCAAATCGCTCTGCTGCAATCTGTCCATCCACATCATCATCCAACCACAGATAAATACGACTGAATCGATCCAGCAAGGGCAACACGGATTCTTGAAGCTGGTAGTTGGCAGAGGGAATCGAGATGGCTGGCAATCCAGTCGCTTGATGAGCGGCCATGGCGTCAAATTCTCGACGGGTGAGTATCACAGTATCGTCCTGGTACGAGGCTGTTTGATAGCCAAATAATCCTTCCGTGTTCTCTTTACCACTGGTAGGTGGATCCAATTGAACAACATGTGCGGGGTTGTCAAGATCGCACAACTTGAGCCGCACTGTATCCATTTTAAAGTCGCCCTCCACTTCCTTGTAGGTCAACGTCGTCTGTGGAAATGTCAGGCAGGGTGTTTTACCGTCATTGATCGAGGTGATGCCCACGCCAAATGCCCGTAATGTGTCCTTGTTGATATGATGTTCTGACTCTATTTTCTGCAACGTGGCTTCATCGTGGATGAGGTTCTGTGCATAACTGTCAATCTCAGCTTGTGATCTGGTAAATGTATGCTTTGCATTGTTGCTACTACTCAATATATTGCTGGTCGACAAGATGGCATAATCATTGTGTTGGGGAGATTCCATCTTTTTCAATAGTAGCTTGGAGAACTCGGGAAATCCGCCTTTGGCTCTACATGTCTTGCAGTGATAAGTCCCTTTGTGGAGGTCCAGGTACGCAGCAAAACTGTTCTTTCGTAGTTTGACACAATGAGGACAATTGGTCACAATCACATGCTTGTCTGCAGTGGGGATAGGTCTTTGCTTGTGCTGATAGAGAAACTTGATCATGCTGGAAGTGCGTTCTGTCGATTCGGTCCTGGGGATGATCTGCTGTGTTGCGTTACTACGCTGCTGAAACAGGATGGCATTGGATTGTATTGGCTTTAATGCGATACATCTGGGTCGAATGGATGCCAAAATTCCTTTGTGTGCTATTCTATACATGCCAAACTTGGAGGGCGGTGGGTTGTACTATGGTGATTATTTATTAGAGAATTTGCAATACAAGTAAAAGAAGAGAGGTATGAAAGAGACAATCAAAAGAGGAACCCAGGTGACTCGCCGTGTCAAGTTTTTTCTGTTTTCAAGCAACGCGAATGTTGTTGGAGAACTGTTAAAAGTCTCGAAGGATCATCAGCATGGCGTCCAAGCGATCTTTGGCTATTTCAATTCTTGACACAATAGCGTCCATCTTGCCGACTTCTGCTTTATCGATTTCATTCAGCAACTCCATGTTGGCAAGCACGTCAATTCGACCCAACTTTTCCAACAGTCGAGATCGTCTGACAAGCTCCTCATTTTTGCGTTGTTGCAGGTTTGTGACGGTGCGATAAATATCTGTGATCAATGCCTCAAAGCACTTGTCAATTGACACAAACCACAGATGAAATGAGCGACTGGTAGCGCGGTCAGCAGATCGAGGCACCTCTTGAATATCCACAATGCCATGTGTCAGCAGCATATCTAGCTTGAATCGGACGTCTTTGGGTGGCAGCATGGCCAACTTCTGTATTTGCGATTCTTCCAATTTTCCCTTCTCCAGCAAGATGCGAACAATGCGACACGACGCAATGCCGAAACGCTCCTTCAAGAGGCCTTCAAATAAGTGCCGCTTCATGAACTGTCGCACGCGCTGAAAGTTGACAGCGTATTGATTGGCGCCAAGTTCGTCTCGTCTCTTGAGAAACCCTGCATTGTCTGACAAAAGCAGTTGAAAGTATCCGTTCACTACTTGACTGACATCTGGCAATTCTTTCCTTTTGCCACTGCCAGGTGCTAGGTCCAGTAGCAAGTCGTCTCGTTGAAACACATCGGCATCTAGCATATTGGCAATGTGTGAAGGTGTTGCAGCAGCTGTGTATTGAGCGTTAGTGATGAGGTAAGGAACAGCTGGTTACAAGAAAACATACGTGAATAGTCGTCCTTGATGTCTTTTAGTTTCTCCTTTCCATGCCTGAAGAATGTCTTGATGACAACGCCTGCTGTGCGGTTGATTCTATCTGTAGCGAACTCTACAACCATCTAATGAAGCCAATGTTCAGTATCGACCCGCATTTTCATTCTAGCCCTGTGTCTCCTACATGGTTTCGAAAGTATATGTTGTATCGATTATAGTTCAATCCAAAGAACACATTGGGATCAATGTCAAACAGCAAAGGTTTGCTTTTCTATGTTGGACACAAGTTGAGTTAAGATTTCTTTCAAAAGAACTTGATACGTACCTTTCGTCCCTGAGATTCCAACTTCTCCTCCTCTGTTTCAAATGTGTAGTCTCCTGCTTCTTGGGCCCGACGCTAATCGTCCGTCTTGTCAGCACCTCTGCCTCTCTTCATGTGTCTGTGTGCCAAACTTACCTTGGCCTCTGATTGCAATGTATCACTTGCTCGTCGTTTCTGAATACAATGAGCCGGTAGATCAAATACGCGCTACGGCTGACTTACCATGCCGACAAACTCTTCCTGATGATATATGGCATCTGTGTTTGCCTTGGCTATTTCTTTGATATGTTTTGCGTCTCCTGACGTGATGATGGTGTACTTTTCAAGCTCTTTTTCCTCTGCTTCCATGTATCTGTCAGTGACCGATCGGCTGTGCTGAGGTAATACAGCTACAATGAATTGTTCCTGAGCCATCAATGTGAATGCCCTCAGGTATGCTGACTCTATGCCATTGTGTCAGTAAGTGCCACGCCGATCCCTTTTCGTCATATGTACCGTCTTTTTGCTTTTCGTCGTTGACCTTTGCCCACTGCAATACTTGGCTCAACCGCACTCTTCCGTATAAGAACAGCAGTTTGCATATAGCAGATCCCTAATGAATGTCTCTTGAGTATATGCTGCAATACACAAAGCCACTCAACCTACTGGCTTTCCATAATGCTCTTCAGAAATGCGCATGATACGCCCCATTCGAAGTCTCATTAATATCTTCTCTGGATCAATTTCATAATACGTAGGAGCATCTGATTTCGCTGAATCCGTTGTAGGTTCTGAGAAATACATGACGCCATGCTGTATAAGCACAACAAGGCATTCTCGCACATGCTTTGCCTTGAACCGACTGAACCTGACTAGATCTGGCAAGGTCAAACGTCCCTTCAGTAAGAGCAAATTGGCAATCAGCTAAGAGAGACTATCAGCGCGTCTTTTTCACTGTTATAAATTCAAGCAAGTGGTTACCGCAGGATAGCTGCCAAATTCTTCCTTGATAATTTCTCTACATAGACGTGCTTGGCAAGACATGTTGATGAGAGATAGAGAATAAGAAATGAAGGAGGAGAAAACAAAACGAAATAAGTGTTGCACACACACACAGACTGATAACGGAGACGCAAATTGATCAATGTATGCGGTGAGTGTAAAAACTGCATGATAGCGGTGCTCTATTGACAATAATGATGAGCCACTGAAGAAGCCTCTGTTTGAAATTGACATGGAAACTGGTGCAACAATCATGGCTTGTAAGAGGTAGATGGTTAGGCTTCTTCAAGACAGTAGCTAACAAAAATACTCGCTTACAAATTTGCCAGGCAAAGACATCATTTGGGTGTGGCGTTATATCCGATTGAACGAACGTCTTCATTTTGCTCATGATGGCTGAGAGGGCCTGGAAACAAGCAGCTCAGTTGCACCAACGGCCGCCGCAGCTATGCTCTCACCATTAAAGCGGTAATTCTGTCAGATCCCACAGTAGCTTGAATGGAGGACAGCTCATCTGATGAGACTAATACCATCTCCATCTCTGACTCTTATTTATTCACCGTTGATTGTGCCACTCTGCTTACCACAGATATAAAATGCAATCCGTTTTTTTTTTTTTTTTTTTTTTACACCATCGTCTACTTATCTTTTTATCTCTCTTATAAAATGACAATTAACATCACCATTGATCATATCCTTCAAGCAGCAGAGCGTATCAATGTACACCGTACCCCTGTGCAATCAAGCACTGCCATCAATACCTTGGCATCCGTGGAGGATCACCCAGTTGAGGTGTTCTTCAAGTGTGAATTGCTACAGAAAACTGGATGTAAGTCGGTACAGAGCTGCTAAGGGGCAGATCAAGCTGACAGGCGTATGTCTCCAGCATTCAAGTTTAGAGGCGCTAGTAACGCTGTTGCTCTTTTGACGGATCAAGAGGCTGCAAATGGAGTTGTTGCCCATTCCAGTGGTAATCATGCTCAAGCAATTGCTTTGGCTGCTAGGAGTAGAGGTATTCCTGCCTACGTTGTGATGCCAACAACCACACCAGAAATCAAAAAGATTGCAGTCCGAGGATACGGAGCTCATGTGGTGGAATGTGAGCCTTTTCAATCTGCTCGTGAAGCAGCCGTAAGTTGTGTGAATGCGCGATACTGTGATCAGCAAATAAATAATCTTTTTGTGTAGGCTGAAAAGCTTAGAGTGGAGAAAAACGCCTTTTTCATTCATCCATTCAACAATCCCAATGTCATTGCAGGTCAAGGCACCATTGCGCTTGAGCTTCTCTCCCAGGTCGAGGATTTGGATGCCATCTTGGTGCAAGTGGGCGGTGGAGGCATGTTGACTGGATGTGCTATTGCTGCAAAATCCTTGAAGCCCGATATCAAAGTATTTGCTGCAGAACCTGAATTGGTCAACGATTGTTACAGAACGTTTAAATCCAAGCAACGCTTAACCAATGCCGCTTCAGTGTCTGTAGCCGATGGATTATTAACAAATTTGGGAGATATTCCCTATTCTGAAATCTTCAAGCATGTGGATGATGTGTTTACGGCATCTGAAAAGGAAATTATCAATGCCATGGAGTTGATGTGGGGCCGTACAAAGCTTTGTGTGGAAGCAAGTGGCGCTGTAGGTGTTGCTGTCACTCTCTATAACCAGGACTTCAGACGTATGGTTAGGGAACAGGGCATTAAACGCATTGGCGTTGTTCTTTCTGGCGGAAATGTGGATTTTGTGAACGCCACAGCATTATTTGAGAAATACAGAGATTAGTGAAATATGAACATAGGCAAATATATTGCGCGAATAAAGACAAGATTAGTTTGTTACAATATATCTTTGAGTTCAGTGAGGAGCATTCAGCTCTTTAGAGGGTAAATCTTACGTAAAATCAGACTTGATAGAACAGAACTTTGGCCTGGATCCTATCAACCTATACACAATTCTCGTTTTTCGATTGTCTACCATCATCTGGAAAACTTTATAGACAACCTGCAGCTGTACATCTGCCTCTACTACGATGCTCTATGTTTGTCGCAATGGATACAACTCATATACAAACAGATAGCCTACTCACATTACCTCCAACTACTCAAACATATGCAAACCGCAGCGAAATTTGGGTGAATTTGAGCCGTGATTTCTCGTGATAGAAGCCTTTTTGAGCCGTCAGAATAACAGAATACTGTACAATTCCTCTCATCCAACAGTTACTTTCTGACACCTTTGCTCAACTTTTTTGGGATCACCAAAAATCGGCCAAAAAGCATGAGTGATACCTCATGATTTTCATCGAAAATCAAATGATTGCGTTTTTCACCTCAAAAATGAAGACTTTTGCTAAAATATATATTGAATCAAAATGAAATCTTATGGATCCAAAGTAACCGCTGAAACTTTGTTTACGAGGCCTTCATATGTAAAATCACGACATTTTCCCCAAAATCCTAAACTTAAATTTTCCAAAATTGCTCGACAAATTTATTAAAAACATCTATTATCGTTGGCACCATTAGAAGCGCCTTAAAAGAGTACTCCATAAATGCATTAGGAAGTATGGGATGATCACCACAAATTATATAGTCAATTTTGGCAAAATAGATCGAATTTTGCTCAAAACGTTTTAGAATTAACAAATCAAGTCAGAATGTCAAGCGAATTTTGAATTAATTTTGGAGGGCGGCAGCGGCTGTAGGCGATGGTTTATAAAATGTCCTTGCAGGTGGACCTAAGCATTGACATCATGCCTCAATTAATGTTGGTGTTGATATTTACAAGAACAATTACAGTATCACTAATAGCTGCCGGTATCCTGTTTTGATTTTATTGAGTAAATTGTTCAAAAGCAACGAGTTGTACAAGCAGCTCTGTTCCTGATTTACACTTTCCTATCATCAAATGTTACATCAAGCGCTTTACAGTACTTTTTGACATTAACGTTAGAACAAATTTGACCGAGTTTGAATATGGCGCTTGCGATCTATTGACAAAAGATTGAAAATGAAGAGGAATTCTATGGCAATTAACGTATTCAACAAAGGACACCTGCTGAACATCGCTGCATAACGGCTTGACCATGAAATAAAGAGTTTCGCCTTGCTGAAGATTGATCATCACATAAGTGTCTTATGACAGTGCGATTTTCTGCTGAAGCTCGTGAAAAGCACCAAGGCTGACAGTAAAGTTGAATTTCATGGTACTTTGAGAGCTTTCCTACTTTTATTGATGGCATATAAATGCTTGCTGTGCTCGTTGGATCTCTCTCGATGTAGCAATATGAAAGTGTCAATATATCAATAGCATGGAAGATATGACCCAATGTATGAAATACAGCAGGTTGAGTTACTGAATCAGCTATTTCCAATCTATTGAATCGTTTTCTTTTATACTAGCCGATCTATCTCGCTACGCTCGATGTCGGCGTCGCCCTGAGAGCTCTCACTGAAGACATTTTAAACCAGATATTCTAGCATTTTGGTATATCAATTAGATTTTATACAGCCAATTATTAGTTAGTAAAAGGAAAGGTTATATCAGAGCCAGGAGGAGGAAAGGAGGCATCTCCCTCAGCATTCTTTTGCTTACACTGATATCAAATGAAGCCTATTACTGGGACAATGTGAAAGAAAATTCAAATTTTATGCAGCATTTGTAAATCACAATCGTCATTTTCTAATGGTAGAACTGTCATATCACTCACTGCTGCTGATGCTCTTAATAAGATGGCGACACAAAGCTGGTCATAAGTAAATATAGGACTTGTGTAAGGTCTATAGCGACTTTTTTGAGATATTGTCATTGTAAAAGACACTTTTATGTGGCAAAGCTCCCCAAAAAAGGTATTCGGACTATTCAGTTGTGCTTTCCACTCCATTGTCCTCATTTAATCAGCATCGCAATCATCAATGTCATCATCAGAAAGGTATTTGGGTCAGCCAGCAGCAGCGAAGCCTGTTTGCCAAAATTAATTTAAACTCAGTTCATTTTTTTTCTGTTCAAGATTGGATAGATTTTGTCTTTTTTCGACTTCTTTAATCTATTTTATGGTATCCGACTATATAAATTGTGATGATCACCCTACGCTTCCTAATACATTCTTGAAGTACTTTTCAAGGTGCTTCCAATGATGTTAGTTGTGATATGTGTTTTGAATGAACTTATTGAGCAATTTGGTAAAATTTGAAATGAGGTTCTTAGCGAAAATAACCATAATTTACATATGAAAACCTCATAAAAGAGGTTTCCGGGGTTGCTTTGGATCGAAAGGAACATTTTGATTCAATATATACCATAGTAGAAGTCTTCATTTTCAAGGTGAAAAATGCGATCGTTTGATTTTCGATGAAAACCATGAGGTATCCCTCATGCTTTTTGGTTGATTTTTGACCATGTTTTTTAGGTCCTAATAAAGTTGAGCAAAGGTGTCAGGATGTTACTACTACTCAAGTACAATTGTTTGGCATTATTCCGGTGGCTCAGAAAGGTCTACATGCCAAGATATGAAGGCTTGAAAGCTGTCAAATTTGGTTGTGTATTGCTTTATAAAGTTTATTTATACAGCATGAACCACTTCTTCGGTAGCTGAAACCTTCTGGAAGAGTAGTTCTATAGCCTGTGTAATTTCTAATTTGAACAGAAGGCATATTGATTTTGGTAAAGCTAATTCATGGCAAATTTTGATGCGCTATGTTGTTGGTATGTTTATTAAAAATGGAAATGAAAATCCGAATTTGCTGCTTAGATACTATGATTTTGCATATTCGCTTCGCTACAATCAAGCCCTCGTATAAACCAATGCTATCAAATGCTGAATTGGATGCTTAATTGTCATAGGTTTGCACCTTTGCTTCGCTGCGATCAAGCCCTCATATAGATCAATGTTACCGAGTGTTGGATTAAACGCCTTATTACCATGGCTTTGCACCTTTGCTTCACTACGGTACCCCCCCCCCCCTATAAATCAGTGCTATCAAATGTTGAATTAGATGCGCTATGTTCTACCCCCAAACCCCCTCTCAATTGCCGGCTTTGCCGATGGTTTTATTCACCTTGTACGGTACACAATTCTTTAAGATTTTGAAAGGATATGATCGGCTTGTCTTCTTTTTTGAATGTTTTACAGTATATATATTAGATAATGGTTTAGGTGGCAAATCAATAGTAACTGAGTCAAGACCGTAGGATACACGCTTCATGTCTCTCAAGCGGTCCATCGCCTGTATGCGTTGAAAGCCGTCATTGACCCAATGGTTGAGTGTTCGCTGCAGCGACAAACGTTGGCAAAGTCCATGTATACATCTATAGTGATTTCAGCAAGCTACTCGAGAAAAATCAACATGAGAATCAAACGAATTCTTGACACTGCACTAAGCACCCAGAGCAAATTAGTAGTTTGAAAATTGACTGGCATTACTAACTAATACCAAAGTGCTAAATTACTATGCTTGATGTTGAGCAACATACATCTAACAGAAGCGAATATAATAGATCTTTTTTATATCCTCAAAATAGACCGTGTATATAATGAGCTTCTTTATTTTTAAAAGTTGAGAGTCATGGTAGGGGTATAAGGTATGATCAATCTGAGAGTGGACTAGGTGTATTATATGTGAATGCATCGAGTCTTGCAGGCAGTGATCCTCGAGCTCGCAGGGGACAGACAATTTTGTTAGCACGCATCATATTGACTTCAGCTACAATCATGCGCAAATGGGCTGAATTGGCTCGGATGCCTCTTGATTTTGGCTGTACTGCAATTGTCACCTCTGTTGTCACTTTCTCTTTGGGTAAGAATAGCTCCTCATCGACTACCTGAATCCACTCTTTGGTCTTTTGTAGGCTGTCCCATATAAACCAGCTTTCATCATCATCGTCATCGTCATCTTCATTTGGACTTGTTAAGCTATCGCTGCTATTTGAATGATGGGATGATGCCGAATTGCGACGAGATGCCTCAAACACCCTATAAGTCTCTAAAGGCACCGGTTCTTGATTCAATGGATTCGATGAATGTGTTTGTACGTAGTGGTCGCACAGTATTTCAGACAATGTTATCGAGCTAATGCTGGCCTGATGATGACGATTTACAGAATTGCTATGCATTGAACTCCAGCTGGATCCAGCCGATGAGATGGTTGATTCGCTTTTACTAAGATATGCCCAATCTTGAGGATCGTCATGTCGATCGTCTATAATGGTGATTGGAGCAGTTACAGTCTGTGGTGTAATGTAAGCATCTGTCGTTCTCGTTGGTGTGTGCGGTCGTAAACCTCCTCCACTACTGACAAACAAATTTTTATGATGATTTGGCTGTCTCATTTTTGCATGTTTGATCCCCAGATAGGAATTGAACAATGACAAAATGGATTCGGCAATGGTAGATTCTTTGGCTTGATGCTTGACTACCATGTCTTTGCTCTATAGGATTCGAAATCAAGTGGAACAAAAGAAAAAGAACAGAATTGCTGTGAGAAATTTGTTCATAATTCATGCGCACAGCAAAAAAAAAAAACTGCGAGGTCCATTTCTCCTGTACCTTTTTTCTATCTAGAATCATTCCAAAGGCGTCTTTTTTAAAGAATACAGCCATTGGTGTCTTAGTGTAAGTGAAAACAAGGAAGAGAGAAAAAAAGAAACTTGAGATTCATTATCATCCTTTGTGCTCTTAAGGAGCAAGTGCTAAATCAAGCCGAGGAGATAAGGAAACTTGACAAATTTGGATGTGGAGCGATAGAAAAATGGATGTTGATTACAAGACCCTTATGATGATATTTTTCGCTATCTGTGCTCCCCAATTACCAAGTGTATCGGCCCAATGATGATTATGATTTGATGTTTTAGAATGTTTGCTTTGACTCGACAAACAAACAATCATCTCGTAAGACAGAGGCCCAGAGACCTGTTTCTGCTTTCAATCATTATAGACTTTTGTCCTGAGCTAGTTTGGCTCATTCAAAACACATCGAGAGTCTAAAGTACAGAGATATAACGCAAAGATATCTTGCTGTGAGAACCAATGACGGTGTGGCATGGCTCGGGATTGAAACCGTTTTGATGATATAGTGTCATGTGATGGGTTATCCAGCAACTGTGTAGCCGAAGCACACTGTGTGAGATATTTATACATGTTTTTATTGTAATAAAGAGGAGGGGATGTTCTATAAGTGTGAATGGGAAATGATATTTATGCTGAATTCTTCTCTGCCTTGATAGCCGCTATACTAGAAGCCCAAGTATCCCAAGACGCTGGTGTATTCACTTGGTCTGGCGACATCTTGGACACAACCTCATTATTTAAGTTGAGTGGATTCTTACCGTTGAACAGGGCAGACAATTCGTTGATGCATTGAGAGCGTTGACGAATGGTTTGAGGATGGTTGTCTTCGAATTCAAACACATAATCAGCCTTCACCAAGATGGGACTTGAGCCAGTTTGTCCACTCACAAGCATATTGATAGCAATATCGCGACATGTTGGGTATGTATCGATGTATTGATGGATTTCCTCGGGCATGATACACGTATAACCGTACAAAAAGTCAGATTTCAAAAACATGTTGTTGCTGATCATACTGTAGCGACTGGCACTATCAACATTTTCTACAAATGTATAGCTGTTGGTAGCGGTTTGTAGGCTGTGGGCATCTGATTTGAACCCAACAATGGAATCCATATTTTTTTTCCACAAATCATAGGCAAATTCAAGATCTTCAAGTGATGTGATGATCTGTTTGATAATGTGAGACGTTGTCCATCTGTGACCAAAATGCACACTTACATTTTCATCTGCTAGATAGACGGCATCAGTGGTAATGCCTTGAATAGGGCTGAACTTCCAATTCACGGTGTTGTAGGACCCACGAGCAACGGCTTTGACAGGCTTGCGAAGCTTCAGACTACGGAGATATGCTTGATTCAAACTAAATCGTTCGCCGTGCTGATCCTTGATTGAGTTTCCATTGATAAATATTTGATGGACCTTCTTGGAGGATGCGTACATGCGCAGCATCTGCTCTAAATACTGCTTGTTGATGGAAGGCTTGTTGAGTGTGACGATAACAGTGAATTGATTCTTTCTTGGGTATCTGCGTCCATAATTGCTCTTGAGACGGCGATCACAGATGTTTGCTACACGACCCTTGTTTTCCCAGTCGTTGGTGGATGTCCATAAGCCGCCTTCTATCAATTGAGAGCGCATGTTGCGAAGAGATCGAGTCCATAAGCCAAACAGGTATCCGTCGTAATTCTCTCTCCATTCACGTTGATGCAAAAAGTAAAAATTCCAAGGCTTCGTTTCGCTGGTAAAATGTAAAACCTTGACAGTATTCTTGGTGACAAACTCAGAGGCTAGTGTTGAGAAATGCTATAATTGGGAACAAGATTAGATTGCTGGTCCGCAAAGATAATGATGAGAGCGAGCGCGCTACTTACGGTAAATTTGATCATCAAGTTGTAATTACCAGGCAATGGATTCGCTGTCTGATTAAAATAGTAATTTAAGAAACCTTGGTCTCCCTTGTTGTAACTGGGTGCATTCTCATAAGTAGCCATGATGTCCTTGTAGGTCTCGGCATTGGGTTCAGCAACAAACACACCCGTGTTCAATACACCACCGATATCAACAGCAGCCGTGAATTGAGGATAGCCAAAGAGTTCATCGATGTTCTGAGAGATTGCAAGTCAATCTCAAGGTTTGTGACAGACCCAACATTTCACTTACATTCACAACCATTGTATCTGCATCCAAAAATACCACCTAAAACCCTCCGTGCATTAGCATGATGCACTCTGTGATTGCAGCATATACAAACCTTGTCATATTGCGTCAAATTCCATAGATTTAGCTTGGAATATCGACAGGCCTTGTTGAAACCTTTTCTTCTAGCGGAACTGGAATCCCAAGGATACTTGATCTATTTATATGTCAAGTAAACGATTGATACTAGTGACAAATTTAAATTACCTGATCGACATTAATGATCTTTGCGCCAAGATATTCTAGTCTGCTTCTAACCATCTGTGTCACATCATCCAGTACCAACACAACGATATCATGTTTGGTGTTGGTCTGTTTAAGAGAGTAGACCAGCACTTCGGTTGCCTCGCCCTATTAAAACAGGTAAATAAGATTTATATTTGGAAATGTTGAGGTTCCACTGACCATCACATCATCACACAAGAATGTAACAAAGGCCTTTTCATTAGGTCGCTGTTGCTGCTGGATGATGTCAACCTGAGCGCTTCTATTGTTGCTGGTGGCATCCCAATTCGATAAATTAGTAGTCTCTGAAGATCCTTTTGTCATGAATGTGCTCTTGCTGAATGTGCCCGCTTGAAACAGATACACCAGCACTGCCATGAACAGCAGCCCAACTAAAAACCGACAGCTCTTTTTGTTGATATTGTACATTGTCATGGTCATGATGGTCTCTTTTTTTTTCTGGCCTGTTTAATATGGTTTAATGTACAACAGTAATATAGTAAGAAAATTGAAGAGAGGAAAAAAGAGTGAAGGAAAAGAAGAAGAAATAGGAACAGCGATAAATCATCTAAAAACCCCAATATAAAACTCTATACAATTGGAGATCTGCATCCGCTCGAGGCGATATGATTAAGAAACCGCCATAGCCTCTTGCAACATTTGTGGTTCATCCTTTCTTAGGCGCTTTCTGATTTGCATTATGTACCCAATAGTCGACAAGCTTACAATGATGCCAATAACCGATAATGTTGAGTTGCTCAAAACGACCACGGTGTCGATGTCAAATCGCAAAATGTAGAATAGCTTCAACCCAAACTCCAGTTCTAAAATAACGACATCTATGGCTGTCAAAAGTCTAAAATGAAATCTGCAGAATGCCGAATGATGCCAGTAGAAATCCATGCGTTTCTGTGGTGGTTTGGCTGGATCCTGAAATTGCACTGGCTTGAGTGGAATGAGATCACTCGCCAAGTAGTACAGCACTGGTTTTAAAACAAACGATTTGTAACGGATGGGTAGCAGGGTGATGGCACAGACCACACCGACGCCTGCCGTGCTGTTTGTATAAGGGAGGCTTGTCAGTGGAGTACATGTAGATCGCAAAAAACAAACACTTACACAAAGGATTCTCTCAACAGCAGCATTTTTGGATCTCCATTTAACACTGCCAAAACAACTGATAATATAAAACCTACAGTTGATGATCAGCTTACACTGTATGACCTCATGGTGCCTAATGGTGTTTACCAAATATAACTGCTACACCGATAGAGTCAATTCGCTTCATGAACATGGCCTGGACGATGACCGATATCATGGTAGGCGTGCTCGATAACACCAATGCCCACACAGCAGGCAAATGTTCTTTCAATATATAATACAGGGCAATGGGAATAGCTGCGTTCATGATGACGATATAGGCAATCCTTCTGAATACAAACCAGCGTCGCTTCTTTTTCGACATGATGGAATCGTTATCTGGATGGCTGCTGGCCTTGCTCTTTTCAATGACTTGTGTTGTATAACTAGGTGGATACGGCTTGAGTTGGATGTCATCTTCCACTGCGGTTCTTCTATCGGCTGATGAAACGAACGGTTGTGTAGAATATTCATGTTCGATTTCTGAAAATGTCCTGGTTGAGTGTTCAGTCAGCGATATTGTATGGTTTAAAGACATGTGTGAAAAGAGATGGAATCAAACAGTGAGTAAAGGAAAGAGCCAGATGCTGATGCGAATTGTATTTAACTAGTTATAAGTCTGGTTTAAAAGGAAAAGGGGAGGAATGTTACTAGCAAAGTAGTATTTATTGCCGTCACTAAAGACAATAGTGTCTACATCAATACATACATTCACATCACATCCCGTTAAATGTGCCGTCTATCTGAAATCCATATAAACAATTATAGTAGCATAATCTCGTATAAATCGGGTAAAAATAAGCTACCAAAAGAAAGAGAGAGAGAGAGAGAGAGAGAGAGAGAATAGGAGCGTCATTAAAATCGCAGTATATCAAATGTAAATCTCATCAAAATGTATAAATGTTTAGCTGAGGGGGGGGGGGGGGTATCTTTTGTAGCAGTGCAAAAGGGACGGAGACAAAAAAAAAGGAGAATTTAACTTGCACGCTGTAGCTGATCAATCATTGTAGATTTCCACTGACAAAATTCCAGAAACTTCTTGCTGGTTGTATAATCTTGCTCATTGATCATAGAGACAATGCCTGACACTGTCCTGGTCTTTTTCTTGGATACGTTGTCCACACTTGCATCCATTTCTGACTCCTTTCTCTTGGGCTTTGGCTTGCTGGCCTTGACGGTTGGAAGTTTCTGCTGGGTGCTTGCCTCTTTCTGTTGAATGCTCGGGCTTTTCTGTTGTACACTTGGAATCTTTCGTTGATCGATTGGGCTTTTCTGTTGGATGCTTGCTGCTTTCTTTTGATCGTCTACTGCTTTCCGCGAGCTTCTTGATTCTACAATAGGGCTGGGTGCCGCTTCCTGTTGATTATTTGCCTCGTTTGATGTGTGATCAATATCCATAGGTTGTGGAGTGCTCGTTTCTGCTTTCTTCTCTTTCGCCTCTTTTTTGGGCGTGCGAGTTTGTGTATTGCGTAAAGATTTGCGAGATCTAACTTTCAGTTCATTCAATTTGGTAAGGCAGGTTCTCTCGACAGTTTTGATGCACTGGCTCAATTCAGGTTTGGTGCAAAAGCAAAGTGTATGAAGCCTATCCTTGGACAAAGCGTCCTATATATATATAGTCTGTCAGCCATACAATGATACGCGCTCAGATACTGATACGCTTACTCCATGAGCCTTGGCACAGCAAAAGACAGCAGCACCTTTCCAGGCGGCCATCTCGAGGTCTTGTATCGCATTTCTCCTGTCAACGCCTGTGAATTTTTTGGGGTACTCTTGCACAAAGTTGTCCCATAGTTCCTGGACAGGAGTCAGCATCGTACTAGAGCCTAATGCTATAGTCAGTGCATCAAAAGTAACAGTTGGACGAATGTCGAGTCGTTTGCGGCATAGACTGAGCGCTTTTTCGTATGCTGGAGTGCTACAACCTGCCAATCGAGAGCCCAATCCAACGTCCCAATCCAGATTTCCAAGGCTATAGGTAATGATGGCGTTTGTTCAATTACTGTTATGCATGCTGATGTTATCCGTTCGTACCTCTCATAAGCTAATTGAATGCACACAACAATTTTGAGATTGGGGCCACTATCGAAAAACTTTGCTGGCACACTGGATAATTGACCATGAAACTCTTCTGTTCTCTGCTTTACTTTGATGTCGTCTTCTAGATTGAGTCTCGCAAGGCAATGCGAGATAGGATTTGACATGGTTATTACGGAAGGAAAAGCAAACGCGAATAAACAGGTGAAAGATTGCTGGTGGTAAAGTTGAGGAGGAAATATGGCGGTGGCTTGTTCTGTGCGTTGTCTGACTCTTCCTGTAAATAGCCTTGCTTTGTAAACACGTTCTAACCGCTTCAACAGAGGTTGTGCGTTGCTAGAAACGCTCGATTGTGTAGATAATAGAGAAAGAGCTCTGTTCATTTTCTCAATAAACTGCACATTTGGTCACAGAACAAACGGGTATAGGCGGAGGCTAAAGCAAGGCTCGAGCAGCAAATGCTGCAAAGAGCAATAAAAAACCCAGTTTAGTTGCATGTATGCAATAGCAATATATATTTTAGATCTTATTCAAAACCTAGCACGGATGACAGTTTACGCTTTTTTTTGGCAATGGATCAATGTAGCATTAGTTCCATTGCTATTAATTTCTGTTCGCCCAGATGTAAATCCCTGATTCTTCCATGAAATGTTGACTGGGTACGTCTTCACACTGAAGCTATGTGGCTACGAATGCACAAGTAGCACTACTGTGTCCCCTGTTACTGAAACCATTGGTACCTGTAATCGTATCAACAGTGAAATGGAGAAGTTGACGGTTTGATGTTTGGATAACTCTTCACAGCCAAAATTTATAGGATGTAACATTTTACCCCTGAATCTTTCTTTGCGAGCATGTCTGGATGCACTTTTCTTGAATGTTTTTTTTTCTCATTGACCCTCAGTTTTGATGTCACTTATTAGATACATATGTTCAGCATGTTACCCATGTTTTCCTACAAGTACATAGACTGTCTGCTGACAGTGGCATATTGAGAATATGTACTTTTACTTGGTGTGTCCACGACAGCCTTACATCATTCCCGATGGATAATAAATTAGAGTTTAGCTTCATAGTCTTAATATGTTTACGACGTGAAATTAAGGGAGTTGGTTGTTCAATTGAAGTAATGTCACACGCATGATATGATACGTAATCCATCAAGCAAGTGCTTAATGTGAGTATGTACCACAGCTTTAAATTGGGATGTTTTCTGTGGGCAAACGGGATGGCTGATTTTATTTGTGTATATTTTCATTCATGAGTATTGGCAAAACGTGTGTATGTATATACATAGGAGAAGCTTAGTATTGAGGGCGCTTAAGCTCTCTGCGACCTTCATAGAAAGCAGGAGTTGCATTGATCAACTATCATACTCAATCAGCACAAGGCCCATTTTCACACTCGGATATATAGTACTTACCTTGATGTTTTGGTGTTGTTGGACACTTTGCCAAGGGTATGGGTTATTCTTCTTGTCAATTTGGATTTCAGGATGAGTCTTAAGCAAGTAGACTATATAGAAGTGTACGTTAGTAACCCAAGATTCAACATCTCGTGTGCTACATCAAGTGTTTTTCTTACGTGGATATCTGTTTGAATTGAACGCACGTTAGTTAATTGAGCCCAATCAATGTAATTTTAGTACTTACGTAACAGCGGCAGCACAGCCGGCACCAGCAATGGCAAAGAGAGGAGCCAAAGCAAGATTTTGACGCATGAATTGCATAAAGACCATGATGAGAGTGTGATAGAGTGGGGTGGTATAAAGATGTATCAATAAGAAAAATAGGAATGTTTGTTGTATTTTTCACTCCTTATTTATAGTGTTGATGTTTGGTCATGCGGGTAGTTTCACGCTTCTTGCTGATGGGCTTTTCTCACACACAAACATACATACACATATTATCAAAACAAATTGATGTCCATAGTACGCTTGTGCTTCTCACGACTCCCTCCCAAGCTAATTCCAATGTTGCACTTGCTCCTTTCATTGGTTCAGAAGATATCAATCAATTGCATAATAGTGATACTTCGAAATATTAGCCCGTATTAATACGACAAGAGCTTCAAATATCTGTTTACGTGTAATTCGTCGATTTTTGCATTTGATACCATCAACTTCCCACTCAAAGTATCGTATACCATTTCGACAGTGTGACAATTTGCCATTTCGCATTAGGATTTGCTCATGAACAAACAATGTGCAATGAAGGAGTCCATCAAATATATACTTGTGTCAAGAATACAGTTGAAACTATCAAAACTTAGTCATAGTGCCTTCCAATCAGCAATCCCCTGTCCATTAGCTTCACAAAAAGCGGTTACTTTCACAAGAAATGCAGTTTGCCAGCCAAAACAAACGCATACTCCGCTATATTTCCTTTTGTCCCGATTTGTTGATTTCCCATCAATTTTCGACTTTTTTAAACTATTTTGTACGATTTGACTATGTAAATTATGCTAATTATCCCATGCACCTTTAAGCTTTCTTGAAGTACTTTGCAAGGCGCATTTAATGGCATTAATTCCAAACGGTGTTTTGACTAAGCTTATTGAGCAATGTATAAAAATATGAAATGAGGCTTTTGGCCAAAATATCTAGATTTTACATAGAAATGTCTCATAAACAAAGTTTCAGAGGTTGCGCTGGATCAAGAGGAACGTTTTAACTTGATATATGCCATAGTAGAGGTCTTCATTTTTGGTGTCAAAAATGCGATCGTTTGATTTTCGATGAAAATCATGAGGTATCACTCAAGCTTTTTGGTCGATTTTTGATGATCCCAAAAAAGCTGAGCAAACGTATCAAGAAGTAACTGCTGGATGAGAGGAATTGTATGGTGTTATTCTGACGGCTTAAAAAGGCTCCTATCATGAGAAATCATGGCTCAAATTTGCCCAAATCTTGCAGTGTTTTGCAGACTTTTGATAAGTATGAGGTAAAACGTATACACTATCTGCCCGTATGTTGGCAGCAATGATCGCTCCAGCCACGCTTGTGTAAGGAAAAGTATTATTTATAGGGTATTCTGTTGAATGAGTTGAGAGAACATTCAAATCTAATATATTGCACATCTCAATGACAAATCGTAAACCGGGAGATTTCTCATGCATCAATAGGCAAAATAAGAGCTTCAGAGACATTTTCAGGACTAGATCTTGCGAATGATGAGGTTACTGCTGGTTTACTCCTTTACCACAATGACTCCTAAATTTGTACTTTGCTTGGGGCAGTACAGCGGTACAGCCTTTTCTGCTGACTATATTCAGCTGGCATTGGCGCTTTACTGATGATTTTGCGACGGAAACTTGGGTAACTACTCTCTGTCTTGAGGTTTTGTTTTGATCCAATACAATATAGTCAACATTTGAGGGGCCAGTAATGAAGAAGAAACAAAGGGGGCCTTCTTCAACGAAAAGAATTCCCACTTTTTCGTACATGTAGCACAGTAGCTGATCTTTGGCTATTGCTGAAGCAAATGTTGTACGGATTGCATTTAAAAAGTCTTTTAAGTGGTCGTTTTTAGTTTGGATTTCAAGAGATTCTTCATTACATCTATCAGTAAATTGGCCCTTTGAGATATTGTCATATATCTCAGGTTTGGACCATGCATGGAGTTTTTTTTTTTTTTTTTTTTTTTTTTTTCTTGAAATATGACCATTGGGTAGCTGGCTTTTTTTAATAGCCGGTAGTGATTTAGAACAACTGTGCCAGCTTTTAATTCATTTTTCTCTTTTGTAATTTATCGACAATGGAAGGACACGAAGGACACATGATGCCAGGCAATCACGACATGTCAAGTATGTCAGGACACGAGGGTCACGCAATGCCAGGCCACGATATGCCAGAGGCGAGCTGCTCAATGAATGTAAGGTACCAATACTGTATCATGCTGGCTGTCGTCTAAAGCAGATGCCCATTGTAGATGCTTTTCAACTGGCAAATAAACAACGTCTGCGTTGTTTTCGAGAGCTGGCATATTCACAATGCTGTTGAGATGCTGATATCATGTATTGTTGTATTCTGTATTGCAGCAGGATACGAATATCTACGTGTCTGGACAATGACTTTACAAGATCAATGGTCTCAAGCAGACAAAAAGAAACTATCCGACCAGCAAACATTGGTGGGTGGTCATACTGAAGATGGGTATGAAAGCGCCAATGTCACTACAACCTCAGATTCAGTCTGCTTCTTGAGAAAGGATATGATTTTAGCTAGGTAAGGGCGATGTAACTGGAGGGTGGGATGAGAGACTCACTATCAGCTATAGACGTTCCAGCAAGCATCACGTTTTGAGATCTATTATCTATGCTGTGCTTGTCGCCATCAGTTTCTGGTTGATGCTTGTGTTCATGACATACAATGGGTATTTGATGATTGCAACAGTGTTAGGAGCAGGTTTTGGACATTTGATATTTGGAAATGGTAAATTAAATGCGAGTCGTGATATACAGTGCCATTGAGCTAGCAATTTTCTCCTTCTAATGTATACCCCTGATTAATCTCTCCTAATCCACACACACACACACACACACACACACACACACAACATTGATCATCCAACATACTGCATGTCTGTACACGAATAAATTCCTGTACATTTTCAGATTACAATTAAACAAGAAACTTTATTGAAACGAGATGGGTATATGTACAGTTTATCTTGAGCTATAGATTAAGGATATCTTTGCCAAGAAGAAGAGTGATTGACAACGCCAAATGAATTGCTGGCCATGGGTAAATCACTCCTATTACTAGTAGTGGTATAGTTATTATGGGGAATATTGCTGCTGTACACTGAAGAAGAACGGTTATTATATATCGCAGAGTTGGAGTTATCTACACTTTGCAATTGATGGTGGGTATCCGAGTAAGACATGGGCGTATAGAAATCGGCAGTGTAGTTGAAGAAAGAAGCGCTGTTTGGTATCATGCTTGATGAATCATTAACTCCTCCAAACGTTGCTGATTGCATCTTTGGCATGGACAGGTCGTGGTTGATCGATGATTTTTCCCCAGAATCAGACCTACTGTCGCTACTACTTTGGGGATGTTGTTCGGTTACTGGTATGGGCGCATGCCGTCCTCTGTTGGGTGAGGTATCTACTCCTTCAAACCATTTGAGCCATCTATCCAGCGCCTCACGATCGCTGACCTGAAACATAAAGGTCAAGCCAGTAGCTGTGCGAACACTAAAGGTATGATGGTTCTCGTTTTTCGTTGGTAATCTCTCCCAATCGATGTAATGATGCATTGTCGCATTCATGCCAGACTTCTGTAAGATACTTAGTAATTATTGCCAATAGCGATGTCACAAATACTTACGGTGGAGAGGATAAAGAATCGCTTCATTGGCACCAAGACAATATGCTTCAGTTCCCAAATGGAAAAGAATTCAAATCTTGCTAATTTCTTGACCGGCAGCATGCCCTCGTGTGCCTTCACGGTAAAATCAAGCATATTCTTTGCTACTAGATTCAAGTTTAGGTTCTCATCCAAGGACTCGGAATGCGATTGCTTTGTGAGTTCTGCATGGCTCTCTGTGTTCATTCGATACAGACTGAACTTTTTGTTGCTCTTGATAATGTGTCGAACGATCAGCAGAAACTTGGGCAGGAACAAGACAATCAGCGTGAATGTTGCCGCAAATAACACGCTAGAGATCTTGAGAAAAATGGATGTTACAAAGCTTTCTATAGGGATAAAGAAGCTGGGAGACGCAACACACGCAGCTAACCCAGCATTGCTATAATAGGAAAAAAATCAGTAAATGGGATCATGCGGTGGCATTCAGGCACGCAACACATACTAGCTCACATAGGCAATTTGTGTCGTTTCTGACCATTTTCTATTTACGTTTCGTGTCTTTAGAAGTTATTAGTCATATGATCTTGATTAGCATGGTATGCAACCGTACCTTGAAGGCCAGAAAAGCAGCTACAATGATTAGCAGTGCACACCAAATCAGCACAATCAACTCTGCAATATTGATATGGCCCCAATTTCCTTTCGTAACGGTAGGGTAAGTACACAGCCAGCAGTATGTTGAAGAGGAGATCATGACATCCGATACTTGCATAGGGAAAGCAGCGTACCAAACAATGAGAGGAGCAAGCCCTATGATGAGAACTAAAGCAACCAAACGACATAGATAATATGACTTTAACCGAGATGTACGAACAGTAAACACATTCTGAAAACTAGACAATATCCTTCAATAAACTATTCGTAATGTGGCAAAGATGGATCTTACATGCGATAGATTCTAATGTGCATCTATTAGTATATCAGTATTGAGATTTTTTCTAATAAAACTCACCTGTAGTTTTTGGCTATGATACTGCCAATGACAAGGGCAAACCCGATGACTAAAATGATTTGCCGAGCAATACATTTCGCAACATTTGGCTTCTCGAGATAGAGCAGCACTGAGATATAAGTCAGTGATATACCAATTAGTTGCAGATAGCAAAAGATGGGGCTGGATACCATGATAGGCTTTAGGTGGCGGAACCAAAAGATAAATACCATCATGATTTTAGAGCACAAAAGACCTAAACCGCAGATAACAACCATAACAATACCAGTAGCCTGTTGGACTGTGGGATTCAGGGCTTATTTCGTGGGTAAGCAATTAAAGTTATTCTGGAAGGTATATAAGGTTCGCAAGTCTTACCATATCTAGGTATCATATCCATCGGTTTTTGAGTTGTATGACCAAGATATATGATCTTTGTGTCTGGGATGAACTCAAATTTATTCAGTTTAACAGTGGCATATGGCACAGAGGAGCCGTTCAACATGTAGAGGATCTGAAAGTAGCTATACAACATGTTAGGTGTTTGGTATACAGCAGACATGTTATACCTACCCAGACTGAAGATCACCTATATAGAAAGTACACACATTAGAAGGTATAACATACTGAGTATAATTCATTGTTTACCAGTATCTGAAAACCCCATATAGCCTACATGAAAAGATCAGGTTAGACTTGTCATACATTATACATGATCGTCTTTGTAATTCGTACCAGCTGGTCCAGTATAATTCAAGTTGTAGAATTCAGGTGTCATCCTTGAAGAATTGAACGTTCCTTTAGATAAATCAGATAAACCTGCTGATCTACCGCCGGGATAAGTATTTAAAGCCTACTGGATATGAGTTGACTGGTCGTTTGAATGTCAGTGGAGATACCCACATGGTCAAGTCCTCTAGCAAGTAATTCTGTACATGCATACGCTTGGGGAGCATTATAACTGAGTCCTGTCTTATTCCATTCGTCTGGATGATTACTATTAATACGAGTTTGCTATCAGCATGTATTTCGTTGTCAATTTCTGTTATACAAGGGTCTTACAAATCCTTAGGAACACGTTGATTCTGCCAGATTTGGTTTAAGCTGTCATAACTGGGCTCTCCACTCACTTTGATAAAGAATCGCTGTTAACTGACTCGTAGGACAATGAGTTTGTTTTATACCTACAATCCCATAATCCACTAATAAACATGAGTCCGTCATACATGGCTAATTCTTCTCTGGAGCTGATAATCTCTTGTAGCACAGGAGAAACGTCGTTTGTCAATATCCACACCCAACCTTTTGTTAACAATCCCATCTTCCTATGGATGTAAACAATTGTTAAGATATCAAATCAAGTTAGCATGCTTTTTTTCGATAACTTACATGGCTTTATCAAGGATAGCTATCTGATCGTTTGTGTTTGAATCTGCCAAAATAACTACACGAGACCCTGAAGATTCCAACGTGGAAAGTGATTCTATAAAAATGTATACAATTCAGAATACAAGTTTTGGAGCATGTCAATGCTTGCGACATACCTTCAATCTGCTCATCAGTCAAGCTATACAGTGGAATTTGGGCCATTGCGGTAATTTTATGCTTGTCTGCTTGATTCAACATGGAATGCAAAACTTGTTGTCCCACTGCATCATTCGTGTAAATCAGAGCAAACATACTCCACCCCATACTGTCGACCCAATCCACCAATGATTCGCCATAGAGTACAACACTTCCCACTGTTCGAAAAAAGTAGGGATATACGCTCTTGTCGGTCAAACTATACGATGCTGAAGCACAAGAGCATTGTGGTATTTGCCAAATGCCAGAAATAGATGCTGATGCTTCAGTCATGGATGATATCATATCACCTATAACAGCACTAGAGTAATATGAGATACTAAATTGCAAGGGCGAGGACAAATTTTTCTGTAGTTTTGATGCTTACTCGACTCCATTCTCCACCATGTTCACTGCTGCCCAGGCTGTTTTACCAGGATTAGATTCATCAGAGTAGTAGCGAGTGAAATTAAGCTGAACATCTAGCATTTTTTTTTATGTAAATCATCGAGTGAATTGATGGAGCAATGCAACATTCCTACCGGGCAAGATGTTGCTCTTCTTTATGGCTTCGTTTGCTAGCTGGATAGCTAGCTCGCTAGTGACAATCATATCGCCCAAACTCGGGTCGTCTTTTTTAACGTCTGTTGCATTGGGAAATATAACACCAATGTTGTATACTGGTGTTTGTGATGTGGTGGTGTTTCTCAACTGCTGATTCGGAGTCGGAATGGCTGAAAATGCAACGTCTATCAGAACTGTAATGAAAAGAGCGAATATCAAATACATTTAAGGTGAAAGGTCTCCTTTTGTCAAAAGAAAGACTCAGAAAGAAGGAGAAGAAGGGAGACTAAAGAGCGAATTGTGAAAGAGAGTGTTATTTTCGATTCCTCTTTATTATTAAATGAACGACGGAGTTTTGTCTATACAGAGTAAGGTCTTGTTGCATTCTGTTGAACCTGAGTTGAGTTTTCGTCTTCCCCAGTTGAATTATTACCAAATCGATAAATAGATTTAGATTTCTGTGAATGTGCATTGAATAGTTTTATAATTAGGTGCAAGGTTTCTTGATCTACCTGGAAACTAGACGCTTAAAAAGCTTGAGTGCTGCCTGATCTGATATGGATATGCCATGTCGATCCTTCAGGGCAGCCCAGAAATCATTGAAAATTTGGATTTTTCTCGCTTGATTTGAGTCCTCTGCATCCTAAAGTATACAGAATAACAGCTATTTGGAAATTTCCACGGCTTGATCTACACTGGAACTACCACAATGGTGGTTCTCTATATTAACTCAGCTTTGTAAGGCAACAAGCTTATTAGCTATAATTTCTCAGGGGAAGAGAATAGTTTCCCACCTCGAGGTTTGTGTGAGGTGTCAATTGATGACAACCTTTGCACAACAATAAGTATGGAATTCTGGTATAAATTGCTGTTTCAGTCTTGTCTGTGTTAATTACATGCATCAGCTTATCTTTTATTGTTTCATGTAACTATGCAAAAGAAGTTTAATTTACTGGGAATGAACTGTAAAATCAAAAAAGGGACGTTGGCACTATTGTTAGTAAGAAAGATGTGAAAACTCTGATTTATTGTCCACACTAGGTATCATGTTCGCAAGTTCACTGATGCATATAACACGGCATTTTTTGATTTCTGTCAATTGATAAATCTTTGCTATTGACGCTGGCATTACCGTAACTTGGAGCTGAAGTTTTCTACAGCGCAAGGCTTATTAAATTTGGGGAAAGCATACCCATTATAATGGAAAGGACTCGCCCCTAAATTCTTCAATATATGGACGGATTAGCATACCCGTAGAAAGGTTGATTATGGGAGTGTACTATAGATTTGAAATATACTATTACTAGTTCTACTGTAAATATCATAAATATACTTGAGAGCATTCAAAAAAAAAAAAAAAAAAAAAAAAAAAAAAAAAAGACAAACAAATCATATTCTTTCAAAATTTAAAGAATTGAGTACTGTACAAGGTGAATAACCCACCGGCAAAGCCGGCATTGAGAAGGAAGTTTGGAGGAGGTGCTACGCCCATCCACCAAGAACATAACGCATCTAATTCAACATTTGGTAACATGGACTTATGAGACGGTTTTACCACCATAGCGAAGTGAAGGTGCGAAACCATAGTGTTCAAGCAGCAAATTTTGGTTTTCATTTCCATTGTTAATAAGCTTACCAACAACATAGCGCATCAAAACTTGCACGGATTAGTCTTACCAAAATCAATATGCCTCCTATTCGAATTAAAAATTGTTCAAGTTACAGCACTGCCTTTCCAGTAAATTGCAGCTACCAAAGATGTGATTTATGCCGTATAAATATACTCTATAAAGCAATACATAACCAAATTCTACAGCTTTCAAGCCTTCATATCTTGACATGTAGACCGTTCTGAGCCACCGGAATGATGCCAAACAATTGTACTTGAGTAGTAGTAACATCCTGACACCTTTGCTCAACTTTTTTAGGACCCAAAAAACATGGTTAAAAATCAACCAAAAAGCATGAGGGATACCTCATGGTTTTCATCGAAAATCAAACGATCGCATTTCTTACCTTGAAAATGGAGACTTTTACTATGGCATATATTGGATCAAAATGTTTCTGTCGATCCAAAGCAACCTCTGAAACCTCTTTTATGAGGTTTTCATATGTAAATTATGGTTATTTTCGCTAAAAACCTCATTTTAAATTTTATCAAATTGCTCAATAAGTTCATTCAAAACACATATCACAACTAACATCATTGGAAGCACCTTGAAAAGTACTTCAAGAATGTATTAGGAAGCGTAGGGTGATCATCACAATTTATATAGTCGGATACCATAAAATAGATTAAAGAAGTCGAAAAATGACAAAATCTGTCCAATCTTGAACAGAAAAAAATAAGCTGCGTTTAAACCAATTTTGGCGGCGGCTGCAGGCGACGCTGCTGCTGGCTGGTCCAAACCCCTTTCTGATGAGGACAATAATGATTGCAATACTGATTAAATGGGGATCATGGAATTGAAAGGACACTTACTTAGTCCAAATACTTTTATGGTAATTTTTGCCTCATAAAGGTGTCTATTGCAATGACAGTATCTCAAAAAAAAGCTGCTGTAGATCTGATACAATTCCTGTATTTACTTATGACCAGCTTTATGTCGCCATCTATTAAGAGCATCAGCAGCAATGAATAGTATGATTAGGAAATGGAGATTGTAGTGTACAAATGCTGCACAAAACTTCTTTCACATCGTCTTAATAATAGGCTTCGCTTAATATCGGTGCTAGCAAAAATAATGCTGAGGGAGATACCTCCTCTCCTCCTCCTGGCTCTGATCTTGCTTTTCCTTTACTAACAATTGATTGCTTAAATTCTACTTGATATACCAAAGTTTTATTACATCTGATCTAAAATGCCTTCGGCGATAGCCCGCAGAACAACGCCGGCATTGAGTGTAGCGAGATAGATTGACTGGTTACTAATATACTTGAGAACAGAGTTGACAATGTAAAATAGCTGTGATGTTTATCAAATAGTAGTGGCATGAACAGGATTCTCATTCGTTACAATTAATCCTATCAAAAATGAGAGTTGAAGAAGAAAAAAGAGCCTCCGGGCTACTTTTAAGTACTTTTCAATTCGAAATATGCTTTGTATGAGCTTCAACAGCGTCGATTACCTTCGAACAGAGTATGGCATTGACCTTGGCAGCCGCTGCTGCCGCCAACCACCTACCATCACCACCACAAAAAAACAATTATAACTCCGAAACCTCCTTTTTTTTTTGCCTGAAATAGAGACTTTCTGATTAAATTTCGACTTCTTTAAATTATTTTGTACGATTTGACTATGTAAATTATGCTAATTATCCCATGCACCTTTAAGCTTTCTTGAAGTACTTTGCAAGGCGCATTTAATGGCATTAATTCCAAACGGTGTTTTGACTAAGCTTATTGAGCAATGTATAAAAATATGAAATGAGGCTTTTGGCCAAAATATCTAGATTTTACATAGAAATGTCTCATAAACAAAGTTTCAGAGGTTGCGCTGGATCAAGAGGAACGTTTTAACTTGATATATGCCATAGTAGAGGTCTTCATTTTTGGTGTCAAAAATGCGATCGTTTGATTTTCGATGAAAATCATGAGGTATCACTCAAGCTTTTTGGTCGATTTTTGATGATCCCAAAAAAGCTGAGCAAACGTATCAAGAAGTAACTGCTGGATGAGAGGAATTGTATGGTACTATTCTAATGGCCTAAAGCGGCCTCTAACTCGAGAAATTTTAGTCAAATATACCCACAGTTTGCTGTGGTTTGCACACTTTTGAGTAGTAAAAAGCGGCACAAGTATAATGTCTGCCCACATACAGATTCTTTTCAATATCTTGAACATAGAGGATTGTAAAGGAGTCAGAGCCTTGGAGGCGGTAGGATATCCCGTTTGCCCAAGAGCCTTTAAAAGCTTGTGCATCACGATAGTGATTTTTGATTCACTAAATAAATAATTACATTTTAGACAAGATTCCCTAAATTGAAGTTACTCGCCCTAAACTCAAGTTGCTTTGCGACTTAGTAAAATGTGCCAGAACAACTACAAGCATTGATATGTATAAACGATAGTTAGTATATCAAATGTGCATTTTTGAGTAGAGCTGTTTAAATAACATTGATGCAACTGACAAAAACTATTCAGAGATTCTATTGAAACTATCGGCATTCCGACTGATGAAGAGAATGAATACTTTACATTCGATGGATTGGAGAAATTTAATCAGTTATCGAGGATTATCCTAAATTGCCATTTTGAAAATCTGCCTCATGTCGAATCGATACTTGGTAAGGCCCGCCATTTGCAAGAGATTGGAACTGGTAGCTATGATTTCGATATAATAATAAGTGGCAATAATTGGCCAATGGAAGAAACTATTGAATGGATGAAGCAAAGCGTAGAAATCAATCAAAATGCAATCGCCATCAACCTATCAAAGGACACTGATCATAATCCTTCCTTAATCGAATATCTGGTATATAAATATTCCAAAATGAAGTACTTGAAGATGGAATCAAGCTACTTCCGCGATCAAAACAAAGAAGACGAGCGTATTTCCAGAGCAATTAGCAATATATCAAGTTATAACTTGAAGGATCAAAACAACTTTCAGTATATTTTCCCATGTCTCGACATCTTGAAAGGCGATAAAAACGTGTTCCAGCTCATGTTTGTTGGAGAATCACATAAGCACCTCTATGAAGACGGTAGTATTTTAGAAAGCCGGGTAAACCAAGATCAGCAGCCCATCACTAAATCTCGAATCCACCTGTAAGCGTCTAGGCAATTTTCCAGCATGCAGCGCACATGTTCAGATTCTGAAGGAAATTGGCAGTTTTGTAACAGATCTCCAGGTAACTTCTGTACAAGCCTATGAGGATGATGATTTCGCTGATGAAGATTGGGATTATATGTGTGTTCTTGAATCAGAGATTTTTTTCATGGCATTAAATCAGGCACGTGAAGTGGATAAGATAAAATGTAGAGCACACAGTATCCGTACATTCAAGACAACAGCACCGCAACCATTTCAAAGAAGGCAATTGAGTAGATTGGAGATTGCTGGTGCCAATGTACGCCCCGAGGCAGTTCTTTTTTCTGAACAGTGCTTTTCATACAATCAATGATCTTATTTTCTCCAACTGCTATGTAGTTAAAGATGAAACGAAAACAACCAACATTTCAATGCCATCGACAAAAGTGAGAACATTGCTGAATAACACACTCAATAATGCTCATATTGGATACTCTCGTTTGATTCCTTCTTCTCTTGGAGGACAGATTAAACCAATTGATGAAATTCATGTTATGCTCAGCTTGCAAGATAACAAAACCGCCATATTCAAAATACAGCCTAATTGTCCAAATAGTCTTCCAATATCTAATGCTGAATACGCAGTTTGTCTCGACACCACCACTACTCTCCGTATATACTGCAAATCGCTTGACTGCCTTGAATTGAATGTAGATGACATGCATGCCAAGGTTGATATCACCGAGTACTTTCAGTCACTGGTGTAGAAGACATTTCACAAAAATTATGGACATTGCATGATTTCGTTTGCACAGATTGTAGCTTTTTTAATCAACAGATAAATAAAATCACCTTCCAAGATCAATTGCGGTGCCTTTATTAGTCCACTGAACTGTCTCCAGTTTGCAGATGTACTAGAGGCAGTAGTGTTCAGGTACCATTTAAAAGCTGCTGGTGATAGGCCCGGTTTCATCTTGAAGCATCAACCTGATGAATAGTATGATTAGTCTTCGATATTTAACTTACCCATCAGGTACCACGTTACATGTACATTTACCAACTTGCAGATGCGCTACGAGTGAATGGCAATCAAATTGCATTAGACTTAGGGCATGTGGTATTATGGATCACTTCCACATAGGCTTTTCTACATGTTACACGGCATCGTTTTTCTCTATTTTATTGGATGATGTTTAAATGCTATAATTTTTCACTCCTTGATTTTGAGCTATACACTTCTTTTTCTCTTTCTCTTTTGTATAAACTACACACTCAAGCATCCATTGCGCGCTTCTTTCTTCCTTTCACTTGCAACCATGACTTCAGTCATTGATTTCTGTACACCTGCTGTACCCGGCGAAGTCCACAAGTACTATGGCTATTCACACAACAAGTTCCTGAAATTGCCACACATCAATCCCGTCCACACTGTAACGAACGCACCTGCTTCAAACGCTGCATTCAAGCGCAGTCCAAGCAAATCTAAAGAGCACAAAACGCTGAGATCTGTAGCGCTCTCTGGCAACCTGGCCTTATTGAGACAGTTTCTTCAAATGGTACCTGATCAGCTCCAAGCAGTCAACGATCCTCACCCAGCAACTGGATTGACTTGTTTGCATTTCGCTGCTTCAAGGGGCCACCTGAAAATCATACAATGTCTTGTTGAAGAATACGCCGTTCGAGTAGATTCTACAGATAAAGAAGGCGAGGTAGGTTTCCAGGAGGAGCAGCGCGTCATTTATGACTTTACTGACAAGACATGGTTACAGACTGCCCTGTTAAAAGCTGCGTACAATGGCCATTATCATGTTGTAGAATATCTACTGGACAGTAATGCCAATATACATCAGAAAGACAAGGATGGCTGGACTGCATTGCACAATGCCTGTTCACGAGGTTATTTCAGAATTGTCAGATTATTAGTAGATCGAAAGGCAAAAGTGGACGTTAGAAGCAAAATGGGACACACTCCGCTGAGTAAGTTGGATATTGTACATGTGTTTGGTGCATATAAACTGATCTTTAACATGGCAGTCAATGCTGCATCCAAGGGATACATGTCCATTGTAGAATATCTGTTGGACGAAGCTCATGCAAACCCACTGATTAAGAACAATTTCGGCGAGGCTGCCTACGATGTGAGTGCAGCAGCTGGAGAATCCTACATCTGTGAGATGCTGGAAAAGGCAGGTAGAAGATGGTGGCATCTACAGCACACGGAAGGTAAGCTGCAAGCTCTCTCTCTCTCTGCGAGAAATGCCACTTAATGAAGCGTCACTGATAGGCGTATTGAACCCAAGCAATAAGCGTGCCTCCATGTTTGGTGCTACCTATGATCTACTGGAATTTCATGTCACTGTCATTGTCATTTTACATGAAAATCAGAGATCAACATCCTTACTGGGTCTCTCAAGACCCCAATTCAGTGAGACCTACTTGACAAAGGCAGATACGAGAGGGCCTTGGTCATTGCATCCCTCTGGCACACCGTCAGCCAAAGACATGGTAGCATTACCAGCAACATCGACCAACAACCATCGCATCAGTAATTTATCCAACTGGTTCTGGCTTACAGATTGGCAACTGGATTACAGCAACCCTCGCGTGGACCCGACGTCAGGATGGCAATATTCAAAATCATTCAGCGATGATGACGATGCATGGACGCCTGTAGCACCAACAAGTGGGTACAATTGGGTGAGACGCAGAAGATGGGTACGAGTTATGAAGAGAAGAATGGATTTGACCAAGGGAAGTCATCGGGGAGAAAATGTCACCTTTGCTAATGACGATGAGGAGGAGGAAGATCAAGAGATCAGCCAACAAGAGCAAGAGGATTACCTCTTGCAGGCTGAGAATATCATCCACCAGACTATCAAGTCGGGTGATGCGACCGAAGACGACGCCAATCATGGTAACACCGTTCAAACTATAAAGCATAATCTGGAAAAGTATAACCAAGCAGTCAAGCTGTTGAACATATCTATTCAGAGTAAGTACTGGCAAAAGTGTGTATGATGAGCATGCCGTCCTAACAACTGAACTCTCTAGACGATACCAATGAATTCAGAAAACTTCAAGCATCGACACTGGTCAAATCTTACCTGGTACAAATTGATAGGCTGAAGAATAAGGTTGAAGAAGAAGAAGAAGAAGAAGCAGAGGACATCGAGGTACCTTTTCCTGTGGCACAACAGCAATTACATGAGGATAATTTTAGCCATTTAAATCAACACGATGAAAACAACAACCCTTGGACCAGCAGCGGCCCTGAATACTGGCCACCACAACGAATGAACACGGTGGATCTCTTCACAGAGCCGCAGGAGGAGCATGCCTGGGAGTCTGATATGGACGCCAAATCATGCAGGGTGTGCACTCGAAAGTTTGGCCTCTTTTCAAGACGGCATCACTGCCGAAAATGTGGTCTGGTCGTGTGTGACAAATGCTCGCCTTGGAAGGTATTTTTGAATCCTTCTGATATCTTGCAGGACCCTGAAAGCACATTGGAGTCAGTGAGTGTATTAGCAGCACAGCAACAAAGAGTATGTGATAAATGCTACTACAAGCAACAGCAACCACAGCAGTAGGTGACACTGATATTATACCCTGTTCCTCTCTCTCTCTCTCTCTCTCTATTATAACTCACTAAAATATAATACCACACACTGATGACGATAATATAAAAGTATTGTGAAAACATGTCCAAATCCAGTAAAGGTTACAACATTTCCTTTTCTAATCGAAAACATCACTGCCAAAGTCTTTACAAATTTAGACATTATTTTGATGAATTCTTTATATACCGTATAAATACGAAATAAATTGGTATTATCACTTTTTCACTTAACTCCCTCATCAGGCATTCATCATGTTGCAAATTGCTTCCACTCATTCACAACAAGAAGGTATGACATGTACTGCATACACTATCAAGTTGGCACTAATCAATTCACAGATATGATGCATCAAACCACGCCAACTGAAACAGTGCAAAAGAAAAAGCCTCTGCCAAAGATTCCAAAATTAACTGTAGATCAGCAAAAGCACCGACATTCAACGCCCATTGTGCCTGGGCCATCATGGATAACAACGGCAGTGGTTGAATCTCCTCAGATGATGCATAATGACCTGCTATTGACACAGGCAGCAGCAGCACCTCAACCTTACCACCATGATTCAAATGCTTATTACTATGCACCACCACAGCAGTACTACTACAACAACTGGAATCAATGCAACAATGTGTTTGATTCGAATCAGGAATGGAAAACATCGTTTAAAAATAGCACAACCACAACGAGATCTTCCCCTACTGCCACCACATTGATCACTCGATCCGATAGCCTAAAAATAGAGTCCTCCATGAGTGTACCTGTGCCTTTTCTCAAGAATGGATTGCTACCATTAGAAACTCACTTTGAAAAACCATATGAGCCACCCAGCGAGGAGATCACTGCCTCTCAACAGATCAAAACCACTATGCTACAAAGGAAGATATCCAAAGAAGAGGTTTGCTCTGTAGAGGATCAGGAAGAAGCGCCTCATTCAAATTCCATATTGCTCCAAAAGTTGAATCAATTCTCAAATCGCACTACGCCTGTCCACGCTAGCAATGAGCAAGATAACGGTGCTGCTTGTGCTCAGATCGCTGCCACATTCTTATCCTTTAACGACAAAATAGAAAAAGACACATCTCTAAATACCACTACTACATCCAGCAGTAGCAATAGTAGTAGTAGTCTGTCTACCCCCTCCTATTCGGTCTCTTCCTTTTCCTATCATCCGGCATCTACTTCCACAACGTCCCTGAATACGTGTAACCAAAGACCGGGACCATCCACATCCACCTCCTCTTCCAATGAGCACAAGTTACAAAGACACTGCAACTCAATGCCACTGCTGACAGCCGCAAATGAGTTTGATGAGCAACAGCAACAAGAGGAAGAAGATCCTTCATATGCTTTTTCTGCTGCTGAAAAGTACTTTGATCAACCTGCAAGTGCCTCTTCTGTATCTACACCTCGAATTCCCTCGCCTTGGGATACATCCAACTCCAAGAGCTCCTTCTCTATGGCAAGCAACGGCAACAACAAGAAGATTATCAGCCGTATCTCGACAGGTTCAATTCCCAACTTGGCTATTTACACTGCTCAAGTTCCAGATGAAATCTCGTTGGAGTCTTCCATTGGTAATGAAGCTACTACTGACGCTAACGGTCGCAACATGAGCCAAGCGGAGCAGTACTTTAATGTACATGGGAACATTCAGTCTGTAGCGTCGTCTGCATCAGATGCTATAGCCATCAGCAGCACAGATTCTCATTTACAAGAAGCGCCAGGTCCAGCATCTACCAAATACTCGCTTAGTATTGCATCTTGTAGTCTAATCAACATCAGATCAAACACCAAACTCTACCGTCGTATGGCTCTCAAGACGCGCAATGACGAAACTCAACTGACATATGCTAAATATCTGCTTCAAATCTCCAAATTGTACGACAAACATAGTACAACACAACCATCTAACAAGATTGCGCCCATCTCTATGGCAAGTAGTAGTAATGCCGGTAGCACCAATCATGGCAATCATGACGCCAACTTGACAAACACAAAAAGACATTTGCAAGAAACACCTGCTCAAACAAGACATCGACTTTTATCCGAGGCTGGCTACTGGATTGAACGTCTAGCAAAGGCTGGGAAGCCCGAAGCCCTGTTCATCAAAGGTCGCTGGTATCTGCTCGGCCCACAGGCCGAAGATTGCGTTCTCAAGGGCTACGAAAAAGCGCAAGAAACCAAGGCGTTCAAGTGTTTCTTGAGAGCATCCAAAGGCGGTTGGACTGAAGCCCACTATGAGCTGGCTCATCTATGGAAAAAGCGAGGTAACTTTGCAAAGGCTATCCAATGTTATGAAAAAGGCGCAAAAGAACAGCACACACTATCTATTTATGTAAGTTTTTGCCATCCTTGGTAAACATGTAGCCAGTATATTCATCTTGCAAAATTAGAAAATGGCTAAAATCTTACTGCGTGGCCAGTTAAAGAAGAAGAAAGACCTCATTAAAGGAATGCAATATCTAAAGCAGGCAGCTGACATGAATGATTCTGCCTGTGCAGAGCCTGCTTTTGTCCTCGGCTGTATCTACGCTAATGAGTTTGATCGCATTGGAATTCAAAGGTAGAATAGGAAGCTTATACTACTAGTAACAATCCATCGTACTAAATCTCTCATCTTTCAGATATGTTGATGAAGCATCAAAGACGCCTATTCACAACACCAAGGAAAAAGTGAACTACAGTTTAGCTCTTAAATATCTCAAGAAGTCAGCTCATCACGGATACCCTGACGCCATCTATTTCATGGGACAAGTGTCTGAAACTGGCATGCTAGGACAGCTTCAAGATTCGTGGCAAGCATATCAGCATTACATGAAGGCAGCAGAAGTCAATCATGCGGGTGCTATGCTAGATCTCTCTCGTATCTATTCTCAAGGTATTTCAGGTTTACTCGCTATCCAAAAGGACACTGCTTTCAAATGGTGCAAGCGTTCAGCTGATCTCGGCTTTGACCAAGCTGAATATGTATTAGGGTAAGAGGAAACGTCTATTTTTGCTTCTGCGTATCAACTTACATCCACCAATGTAGTAAATATTACGAGGACGGTATTGGTGTTGCACCTGATTTCCCTCGCGCTTTGGAATATTTTGGTAAAGCTGCTTCCAAAGGATACCAACCTGCTGCGGAAAAGTTGAATCGCCCCATGGCAGATGGATCTCGCAGAAGACGCACCGTGAAAAAGGATGAACAAGACCATGCTGCTACTGGAAAAAAGTTCATTCCCGTTGTTGTGTCCTTACCAAAAGTAAAACAAGATGATGACGACGATCATGATACTGACCATGATGATGATACCCGCCATAAGCTCAATGCTAATAGCAATGGCAACAATATCTGCGCTATTCAATAGATTCTATTTACATGTATCTACATTGACTATCATTAAAATCCCCCATATGACGATAGATCGCAAAAATTTCACTTGATGCATGATCATCGATTGTTTGCTGATAAACGACCAAATATAAGTTGTTTGTTTGATGCTTAAAAAGCTTAAAAACACTTGGTATATGCTGATAAGCATGTTTACAAAAGTGATTGTGCTTTTAGTTTGATTTTGAATAAGGTACAAACTTATTTCTGGATCCTGCAAAAAGAAATTCAGGCACACAATCTGGGTTGAAATTTAGTTTCTGATCCACAAAACCACATGAATGAGCCAATATCAAGCAATAAAGGCTGTTATTGCAACAGATTCTTAAACAAACCAGAGCCGACTTGTAATAAATCCCTTTTTATTTTGCATAATATGGTATAACTCTTAAGAGAGCACATGTAGACTTGTGTGAAATCAGCTTGGGCTACATAAAGTTTGCGTATTTTTACGAAAAAAAAAAAAAGCAAACTGTTGTCTATACATTGATTATTTACATGCAACCAAATGTAATTTCAAGATGCTGAGGAATGTATTGTACATAACAATGATGTAAAATACTCTGCTCTACATTTAATCAGGAGAAGTTGACGAGGCACAGACTAATGTTATCTGGAGAAGACGATATTTGACTACCACAAGTGCCTCCTCTTTTCTGTAGGTTGATCGTCGATCCTATATACAAATCCATGCTTATCATGTATACGCTGTTCTAGATCATGAAGTGGTTCAAATATCAAGTTGAAATGTATTGTACAACCTGAATAGTAAACTAATTTCAATAGCCCACACTGTACTTTGAGGTGATTGCAATACTTGAAGGTCCAAATATTTTTGATGGCGATGATGCATTTTCTTTGTCTGTGCCCTTTTTGTTGTTGATAAACAATTAATTCATATAATATTTACTCGGGCGATATGTCTCATTTAGATTAGCGATGGTTCTTAATATAGCATGTTTGCTGAGGATAGTAAAATGTCAATGATGAGATATACCACAACATTGAAAGGAGATTCAAGAAGACAAGGAGAGCGAAAGAGTAGGATGATCTTAATCATTTAAAGTGATGGCATGGGCGATTTCTAGTAATTTGCCATGTGGGTTTCTGACAAAAAGAGAGATTTAGTTTATGAAATTGGAATTCATGTCATTCTGAAATATGAAGACAACAGATAAACACATGGCAATGCTTTTGTGCACCCTTAGATTGATTTGGCCTCCGTTGCTCTCTCTCTCTCTAATTTGATATTTCTTCTTTTTCCCTCTCTTTTTTTCACAGTTGTCTAACCCCCCCCCCTTTTTTTTTTTTTCTTTTTTCATAAAATTTCTCTTTTTTTGAATCCTTGATTCCCTCTTTTCTTTTCCTCTGTTTGCATAGAAGAAGAAAAAAAAAAGACTGATTTTCTCTTTCATCAGCCTCATCCAAACAAACAATTGCAACCAGCAAAATTTCTAATGATTTCTAATACAATGACTATGACCAGCACTACAAATATGAATGAACTATCAACTCCACCACCAGAAATTGACCAAGAAGCCATGAGAAAGCAGTTTGAGAACATGTCCAGCAACGAAATGTCTCGACATTTTGCAGAGAGCTACAAACAACTTTCCGAAATACTTGGCAATCGCATCAGCCTCTCCGACAACTCAAGCACTTCAACAGCTACCAATGACGCTGATTTCATGGAACAGGACCAAGCTCAAATCTCTGAACGCACTGACTTGACGTTGGAGGAGAAGAAGCACATGCTGAACAAACTGTTTCTCAAGTCAGTTTCCAGCGGAAATGTGGAGAAAGTGAATGAATTTTTGAAGAATCCATTGATCGACATTGATGGCAAAGATGAGGATAATACAACCGCTTTAATTTACGCTGCATGTTTTGGAAAATTTGAAATTGCCCAAGCTTTATTGTTGGCAGGAGCAAAACTGGATAACCAAGACTCACGTAAGTAACCGCTTTTTTTGTGCACTATTGGTTATCGAGAAAGAAGAGAGGGAATCAAGGGAGTTCAGGAGGAAAATTGAGGCGGGGGATAAGAGAGAGAGAAACACACATCAAAAGTAGACAATAGATAGATAGGCAATTAGATAAACAAACTCCTTGATTACTTGGGGCGATCGCACTCATGAAAACATTGATGCTGACTATTTTTTTTTTTTTTTCCATTGCATAGATGGTTGGACTGCATTGATGTGGGCTACTACCAACAATCATGAAAGTTTGGTTAAACTCTTGCTTGAGAACGGTGCTTCAGCTCAAACCAAGTCAGCCAAAGGAAGAACTGTCTTTGATTTCGTCAAGAATGATTCACAAAAGATTGCAGACATTCTGTACAATCCTCGCGATAGTATTTCATCTACATCCAGCATCATGGGTTACAATGCAGACAACAGAAGCTCAACTTCATCGAACGCTGGTGATTGTGATCGCTACTACCAATACTCCACTGAAGAAAACTATGAAAACTTTCTCTCTCATGATAACGAATGCAGACCCAAGCTGATCGAAGAGTTTTTGAATTATGACAAGGACAACGATGATGCTGACGAGGAGGACGGGGAGCAGCATGGTCCATACGGTGACGACGACGGCGATGATGATGAGGAGGACGAGGATGAGGAGCAAGACAAAGAAATAGAATTCAACTGGGACAGATGTATGCCTGATCAGATGTTTGTGTTCGCTGCAGATGATCTCCCTTACATTCTTGATACAGTAATCACAAAGCTTACTCTGCCTGTACGCAATGTGCAGGAAATTTTCTTACCTGCCAACGTCGTCTTTTTGAGTGCTCGATTTGCCCATTACTTTTCCAGCTCTGAATTAGCAGAGGATGTGATGGAAGGTGCTTTGCATCGAATCAGTAACAATATCAAGGTATGCTTGCATTTGCCCTATTTTCTTTTGTATACTTACAGTGCAAACATAGAACAACACACAAAATGTGCATATCTTGTCTTATTGGATGACCAACATTACTCGCCTCTTGTACTACCTCAAGAAGGACGCAGAGCTCGTTGTGGCCACAGCAGAATACCAGCTTCGATTATCTGAACTTGTGTCCGAAACCTACAACTACATGGTCAACGACATTGGCAAGCGCATTGCTCAAATCTTGGAACCAGCCATGTTGGAACATGATCCCATCTCTGGCTTCGAGGATGTCAATTTCGTAGACGACTGGCAGCGGTTTTTCAGACGCAGCACGAGCAGCAGAAAGTCAGAAGACGGCTCGCAGATGCAACGCAGTAACACCAACTCATCGACAATGACAGCAGCTACGACTGCCACGAATGAACTGCCCACCCGAGTCATCTCTCCTAAAACCATCACTCAACTATTCTCTTCGACATTTTATGTGCTCCAATCCTACGAGGTGCATTCCACCATCATCATTCAAGCACTCGCTCAGTTTTTCCACTTTTTGTCGTGCGAATTGTTCAACCACATCTTGTCCAAGAAGAAGTACCTGTGTCGCTCCAAAGCAGTGCAAGTGCGCATGAACCTGTCTGCACTTGAAGAATGGATCCGTCATAACCATTTGCCCCCCAGTTTGATCTCCTATTTGAACCCTTCTATTCAACTCGTTCAGTTACTGCAATGTGTATCCCAATTGGACACACCAGCAAGTTTCCAATCCACCGTCAAAATGTTTGACACCATCAACCCACTTCAAATCAAGCGCTGTGTCATGAACTATCGCTATGAAACGAATGAACAGCGAATCCCCGAAGAAATCGAAAAGCTGGTCAATTCAACCGTCGACGAGACCATCCGGTTGAAGCAAGCCAGACAATCAAGATCCTTTGAAAGAAGACGCAAGAGCATCCCTGTCAGTCAACAACTCAGAAGATCTCTGTCAAACTGTGGAAGTGAGATTATGGGAAGCATCTTTAACATGGTTGAAGAAAAGCCTGCTGTCAATGCCGCAGAGGAAAAGAAGCAGCAAGAGCAAGATGACAAGAAGCACAACAGCGAAGAAGAAGAAGAATACAAGGAGGAAATCAATGAAACGAAGGATTCTAGATTCATGCTGCCCTTCTTTGTTCCTACAACAGCTCAACTATCACATGCAGGTGGATGGTCTCAGAAGGAACGCATCTTGCTGGTTCCTGTCATTCCAGAAGACTGGATGGATAAATTGGACCACAGTGACAAAACCTCCTCATCCTAATTACCTCAGCCTGAAAGCGTCAAAAACCAACTACTGTACAAGAACATAATCAACAACCACCCTACAACTACAACTCCACCATATAAAGTACTACTTTCTAATACCACAGTCTAAACGATAATTTTGTATACCCAAATCACATTCATTCACTCTTATGTTAATTTACCTTTTTTCCCCTTATGTACATTTATATGCCCTCGATTCTCTCTCTCTCTCTCTCTCTTTCCACTTAAAAAAATTATGTTCTTCTATTTTTATTCTTTATTCTTACTACTATCTTTATCTGCTGATTTCTTATTTTTATTACGTTTTTGACGCTTTGCTCTTTTCTTTGCTGTGCGTTCTTCATCCTCTTCACGAAGACGTCGTAATTTCTCACTATATTCGTTATCCTCCCTTTCCTAGTAATAAAAAACTATTAATATACTGTCAAATCAATGCCTACAAGTCGTCTTACTTTTCGTTCTTGATCATCCATGTTCTTCATACGAGCGTATTCACGTCTTCTCTGGGCTCTGTATACATGGAAATCACCACTACCAGCACCAGCGCTAGAACCTATCCTCAGGCATCAATACAGGTAATGTGTATCAAGCATTTACTCTTGTTGATTACCTGACACATTGCGTACAAAGTCCTTGGGTGCTTGAAGTTCATTCTTCTCGACAGGTCTTTCAGGAATGTATACTGGTTTATCAATCTTTTGGAACAGGCGGTTTAATTTCTCCTGTTGTTCTTCTAATGGTGTGATAATATGTCTGTTCTTTTTAGGTACAACATCTTGCCCCTCTGTTATTGGCGTTGGCTTGTTTTCTGGTGCTTTTGACATTGTTCTTTACAAAAGATGAATGGATAGGAAAGGAATCGCATCAGCTTTCTACAAGAAACAGCACAAACCATAGTCACGACAGGGTAACTCTTGAATCGCTTTATGCCGTAAAAGTTGGCATTGGCAATCAATGTTTATAGCAGAGTCGGCACAGATCAATGTATTGAGTGAGCATCTATTTGGGAGTAAGTAAGTTGCATCAAGGGAAGGTATAACAACTTGTTTGGAGGGAATACGATCATGGGGAGTAGAGTACCTATATAAACATTTGCTGTACAGTTACTACAAATTGAAATCCGAACTGTTAAATGTTAGTAAATGGCTGCATGCTGATCTCAATGCTATTCACTTACAGGTAATGCTCTAAGGTCCATAAGACGCAACCGTGTTTATTACGGCAAAAAGGAGAAGAGTGACATCAATTTCTTTGAAAGCATTATTATTCAAACAAAAAGTACTTTGCTTGTGATCACAACCACGTACATTTAATAAGTAGAGCATGTGTGCATTCATTATGGCTGTTGCCTGTAAAGGATGGCTAAACCCCCAAATGAAGAAAAATCAGGCTAATAGCAAGCGTATGAGCTATGTTGGTAGCCAGGTTATCTTTATGTTTCCACTCATTACACGTTGAAAGGTGATCGAATAGTTTATTTTATAGGGCTCATCGGTAGTAATGCTCTAAATCTTTTCTCTGCCATTAAAGGGCCCAATACCAATTTTTAGTGCTGCTAATTTTTAGAGCTGTCAATTGTTCGCGTTTCAATTTTTCAATAACCGTAATGGGTATCTTCTAATCATGACGACGACGAGGTACAGTTGTGTAAACAGTTGCTACTCTTCTCTTGCTCTTAGAGCTGGCATGATCAGCAAGAGCCGAGACTTCGGAAGCTTTCATGGTGATTGTTTTGGTAATGGTCGTATTGACGGTCTTGTAAGTAGTGGTGGTCTTGGTTGATCTGTGGCGCTTGCTGTTAGTTCTTGTATGAGAGATGGTGGAAATAGATTTTGAATGCTTTTTGAAGGCACTTGAACGTATTTTGCTGGTGTATTTCTGAGTAGAGTGATGGTATGTAGTGGAAACCTTGGAAGCAGAGGCACCAGGAGTCAGGGAATGTGAAGTATGTGGAGTAGTATGATGCACTTTGACAGTAGTCGTCTTGTTGTTGCAGATACAGATACCTTCTGAGCCACATTCGCCGAGAATGTATCCAGTAGAGCCACAGTATTCTTTACAAACAGCGTTAGCATGTGCCTCCGAGAGGGCATGACATGGCTTTTGGCCAGGAGCGGCGGACACCATGGAAATCAAAGTAACAGCAGCGGCCAAAACGGAAAGGTGAAGAGTAAATTTCATTGAAATTGATAGTATTATTATTGAGAGCTGATTGAGTAATGAGGCTACTACGCTAAATGTCATGCTCTTTTATACATTTGTGAAGACCAATGATGCATTGACTGATTTGCTTCGTTATTGCTAAAACGCCGCATGAACCTCAATTAGTATAAATCATGACAACCAACAACGCTAGGTTTTTGGTAATACGACAAACCGCCTTAGTTTGTTCATTTACAAAGCTTGTGTTTTAAACAAACTGCAAATTACTGAAGTGTTGCGCGTCTATATTGGGGAGAAGGACATGGTAATGGATATGCTCTTACTAATATTCAAATATCGTTATGTTGACATGCGTGCTGCTGATTTCCATAAAAGCACTTGAGTCCTGAATCAAAATAAACATGAATTGAAACAAAATATTATTACGTGTGAGTTTATTTTGATTTATGACAATAAGGGTAGATAAAGAAGAGGGGAAAAGAGAAGAGATATAAACTGTATAATTTTGCTTAAGCAACTGTCTTTTGTGCTAATGTGATTTTATCACCAAGACTTAATGCAATGCCTTGAGTCTTTGAGCGGATACGAATATGACCAGTAATGGGTCCATCTCCGTTCTTTTCGATACTCAAATTTGCTAGTGCGTCTTCACCAAAGATACTTCTGGCATACATATTAGCAGACAAGAAGCCACAGTCTCCTTCTAATTGCTTCTTGGGTGTTAAACAGCTCATGTTGGTAGAATCCATAATATGCTGCAAGTAACCTCTCAGATCACTGAATAAAAGATATATTAAATGTCAAGGTCATTCCATATTCAAACCATCAGCACTTACCCAACATTGGTATTAACATTGACCTTGTTCTCCCATTCGAATTCAGTCCACATGGAACGGAACTGAGTCTCGTTACAGTAGGCAGGGTTGATGTAGTCCATAATGTCGATATGAATGTCATTCAAAACAACGCAGTTCTCGGTGGATCCATGTGAGTCGTAGACAATATTACCGAAAATGACGCCTGTTTCAGTGGAAGAGACCTTGATGGGTGCCTTGACTGTCAAGAAAGAGTGAGGAGCCAAGTTGTGTGTAGCAGGACGATCAACAAGCTTGAGATCACCCAGGGTGGCAAATTCGACTGTCAAATTTTGCAAGGTCTCGTTTGTTTGATTCACAATCAAAACGTCCATCAAAATGTCGTATTGATGAACATTGACGACAGCTTCGGCGTATACCTTATCAGAGAAACCGGTCAATTGCACAATACGATTCAATTTGGACATTAGATCATCCTTATCATCAAGCGATCCAGTAGCGCGAGAGAGGTCTTGGTCATACTCATCAGTAGCACCGCCAGACTTCTTGGAGAATTGACGAAAGGCAATAGCATCGTCGACTTGAACTTGAACACTGGCTTCACTTTCGGCCTTGGCATCAGCTAAACGCTTGTCCTCAGCTTGAAGTTGCTTCGCGTACACCTCGCGAGTATCTTGCAAGTAGACAGTGCTGATTTCTTCGCTTTGACCAGCAGTACCCACGATGCGCAAGTCTTGCATGATGCGATCGTATGAATCTTCATCAATTTCAAAAGCAACGAACTTGGACTGACCGATACGCAAAATACTGGTCATAATCAACATGGCCTCAGCCTTGCGAGCATTGGCGAGGGATGCGTCCGAGGCAATCTTGTTATAACGAAGCACCAACTTGGTGATAGCAGTGGATAGAACGGTACCAAGAAAGTAATCGCCAGCAAGTAAGAGAGATCGAAGTGGTGGTTTCTTGGCAGCCTTGACAGCCTCTAATCTGGATGCAGATGCAGAGGATTCAGTATAGGCACTCTCGGTAGCGTATGTACCATCAGCAAGAATGCGACGAGGAGCAGCAGCACCCGATGGAACAGCAGCCTTGTCAGTCTTTTCTTCCTCGTTATCAGCTGCCTCAGTAGCGTCCAACAGCTTTTGCTCTGATGCTAACAATGGGATCTCGCCCAAAGCATGACGAATTTGCTTCCAGGCATCGTCAATCTCCTTTATACTTTCACAGTACTCACCAATGATCCAAAGTGCACCACGGAACACCTTTCCTGACTTCATATCAGCAAATGTATCCAGCAACTTTTCCAAAATAGATTCTCTCAACCCAGGGAACTTTTCAACGACCTCACGTACAAAGGCAACTACATCGACAGCTGCTGGGTTGTTGGAATCGCCCAAGAACTCCATAAGCACATGAACAACATTGGCGGCGACTTCTGAGAATTTGATAGCACACGTGTGAATGGATTGAATCAGCAGCTGGCGATATTCGGTGTTCTACATAGATGTGATCAATATGTGCTTTTCATCATCGAGGATTCATGCAACTGTACCTTTTCATAAGCATCATCTTGTGTCTTGGATAACTCCTTCTTGAGGAAGAGCACAACTTCTTGGACGTTTCTGGAAGAAACCATCTCCAAGGCAATACGAATAGCCTTGCGACGCACTTCAATATCAGGACTGATGATATAAAACGCATTAATTTCCATGCCTGATGCAGCATATAATAAGTTACCTGGACAAAACTTGAAGAATATCCATGACCAAATCATCCAACACACGATCATGCTTGTTTCTGATTTCTTCGAGTCTGTCGAGTACAATCAACTTGACATTGTTGTCTGATTCCTTGACGATAAGTTCGATATAACATGAAGCAGCGGCTGGATTAAACAGTTAGTGTCTATTGTCATTCATGGTTTCGCTGGATGGTTACCTTTGACAGCGGCAGGACTAGTGGTCAAGTACAAGAGCACAGCAGCAGCTTCGTATTTCACAGAGTGAGAAGCGGCTGCCAAGAGCTCAGATAAACAGCGGATGTAAGCAGCCTGTAAGATGCCTTGTGTTATTATCATGTAGCAATACACTCCAAAATCGCTTACCTTGTTTGCAGAGCTGACCTTGGAGTCTTTACGAATCAACTCGATAACAGCTAACTGTAATAATTCGTCGAATGTAGGGATAGAATCAATCACTTGCAAGAGATATTGAACAGCGAGAGGTTGATCGACATTGCACAATACAACAAAAGCATTGCGTCTACAGGTCATGTCTGCCTCCTAATGTTGCGTGTCAGTAAACGATGGTACGGTTAGACTCGCTGCGACTTACTGAGAGCAAAAATGATTGAACTACTTCAGGTGCATCAGGAAAGAGGTGATCAAAGGCCTTGAAGATGGCGCCAATAGCAAAAACGGCATTCTTTCTGACATAAGAATGGCGATGTTCCTGTGGTTGATGTCAGTTAGTGGTTGCGTTGCTGCACTGACTCTGCGTTTATCTATTACCAAACAAGCTCTGACAGAAGGCACAAGTGGTTCGAGCACTTCAGCTTCCTTGATTTTGCACAAGAAACGAAGGGTCGAGCCTCGAATGTATTCGTTGGGATGCTGAAGATCGTTCATAAGCGCATTACTACAGCGATAAGGCATGTTAGATTCGCCGTGCTATAGATGCACACATAGAGACACTTACCAGACTAGAATAAACTCATCTTTGAGCTTGCCATCTGGCTTTGTCTTGGGACAGATTTCCCAATAAAACTGCAACAGCTTCTTCAGCTGCTTGTTTCTAGAGGGCAGCACAAAACGGATGACATGCAACAAGAGCTTCTCCATAGGGTCGCCGTTCAACATGATGACAAGCAGCTTCTTCATTGTTTCAATACGAGTGTCATCAGAGCCCTTTTCAAAGGCTCTTTGAAAGTCTTGAAGTGAGGGTGTTTCTGTCGCGTCGTCTTGATAAACGAGCGTGTAGCAAAGGTCGGTTGCCATCGTGTGATTTCTTGATAGTATCTCGAGTAAAGAAAGGATTCAAATAGTGGTGAAAAGGTAGCTAAACTTTTCTGTTTTTTGTTTCCTTTACAAGAGATGAACAAAGAGTAAAATAAGTATGAATGTGTGTTGGCAATCCTCTCTACTGATATAACTTCGACGACACATGTATTTGGCTACCCGAAGTTTTGTGTTGAATGTGCATACATTTGATTGGTCATATTCAGACATCTCTTGTATGTGTGTGGTGCTTAAATGGAGCATAACCCTCCCACCCCCCCCCCCTCCCTTGCGGCTGTTCCTGTCTATTTCTTTCATACAGGTTGATCCAAGATGACAGCAGACGAGAAAAAGCCTTTCATCTTCATGGCTGCTGCTCTGGCAGAAAATGGAGGCATCGGCTATGACAATGGTTTGCCATGGAGCATCCCTGGTGATTGGAAATTCTTCGAAGAGACAACATCAAAAGCGTACAATGGTCAGTTTGGAGAGCCTCAGATCTCAGACGACACTACTGTCTGGAGCAACGTGATGGTGATGGGCAGAAATTCGTATGAATCAAGGCCCATGTTGCGTGTACCTTTGTTTCATAGATACAATGTGATTGTCTCGAGGGACAAGGATTATGAGATGTAGGTGGCATGGAGGGTCGAATCATGTGCACAAACACTAATCTTGACTCGGTATTCAAGTGAGCCTTCTCCTATAGCTGAATTAGTACCAAGCTTGGACCATGCATTTGAATTGGCTAGTAGAATAGTAAAAGAAGATGGCCGGATTTTTGTGCTCGGAGGCGAACAGATCTACCGTCAGAGCATCCTACGCCCTGAATGCACACATGTGCTTTTGACGAATGTTTACAGCTCGAAGCCTATTCCATGCGACACGTTTATACCCAAAATTGATCCAGAGATATTTAGACAAGCAACGCATGAGGAATTGGAAGAGTTTTTACAAGCTAGTGTGCCTAGAGGAAAGCAAACGCATCAACACTTCCAGTATGAGTTTGTTCTTCATATCAGGAAAGAGTAGCTTTAACATTTGGAGGTAATAAATTAGACTGTACATTTAAGAGTTATCGAGCCACTACAACAGCAATTTAGAAAGCTGAGAACAATGAAACAATGTGCCTAGTGACATGGATGTATAATAGTATTGGCTATTAGTTTATTAGTAGAAATTAGTGTTATATCAAGTATGTCTGTAGAAATTCGAATGCTCTGTCGATATCTTCTTCAGTGGTTACGAGAGTCGAGTGGGCAACATACAGATCAGGACGAACGATCACAAGAGCAGATGGTGGGTATTCTGTGTCTGTTGAGCATTTATCCAAATGTGCCTGAAGCCCAACCATTTTTGTGATGGAGTCGTATGTGCTTGAAGGCTGATATTCAACCCAGAAGTTTTCTGATTCTAGCTTCTCAGCGATAACTATTCTCTGTTCATCATTCTCACACAACTCTGAAATCTTGACTTCAATATCGTTGGCCAAGCTGTATTCAGGCACATGCCACATGGATTCTACAATGACAGGTCTGATGGAATTTCCAAAGCTGGTCTGAAGCTTACCCCAGAATAAAGACGTCAATGAAGAGGAAGTGTATGAAGCAGAATGTGTGCTGATCCAAAGAGCAGTGTGTTTGCCTGTGTTACTGACGATTTGGTGGAGTGTCTTGCGTTCGAGTAAATGCTCAGGGCCATCATTAGCTATTGACCTCTTTAAAAGTAAAGCTGTTTCTGGTAGGAATTTGCCTGCCTCTAGCAGAGGAGGCTCAGGTACCTTGTTGACTAGTGGGGAGGAGGCTTCAAGAGCTAAATGTAACTACAAGTCAAGTCAGCAGCGTATTCTTGTCTATCTGTAGCCTACGTTTACCTGAAGCAATGTAGACATGCCGTATTCCTTCAATTTTGACATGCTGAATGTGGAGGACGATACAAAGTACCTAAAGATAGCTACATGGTCATATCCTGTCAATAAGTTGGCATAATCGCCATCACAATAAGTATTACCCATAACAAAACTGACACTCATTGCAAGCTCTGTGGCGTTGCCAGTCTGGCTAATTACATTTTCAGCAACCGGCTCCCGCTATATCATGCAACGTTAGTTGGCAAAAAATATCTCACCAAATTTCAAAATCTAATTTACCTCAATTGAGTACGAGCTCAGAAGTAATTCAGCGTTCGATGTTGAGCCTTTCAAAACAAGAGACATTTTCCAGGCAAGATTGTCAGCTAAGTATACAATGACAGCAAATTAGAGTCTGGCTCATGCAAATATAGGTCGATACTTACCGTCTTGTAAACCTAAATTCATGCCTTGACCTCCAACAGGTGAATGACAGTGAGCGGCATCTAAAGAAGCCGATTCAGTAAAGGAGCGCTTTTGGAACGATCTCTGTACCTACCTCCGATTAGGAAAGCTTTCCTGCGACGAAAACCATTAGCCTTTCTTTCATTGATGTAGAAATGTGTCAGCCAAGCGGGATCACTGGCAGTTAAATCCAGTGAATCAGCTCTGGTTTTCAAGATTTCATTCACTTCCTCTATTGATAGGTGCTCAGCATCGTCCTCACAAATGCCATGAGTAATAGTGTCGTCTTCTTTGGATGTGGCTCGCTTCTCATAGGGCCCCTTGTTTGCAATAATTCGAAACAGATTGCTTTTGCGGTTGCTATGATCATAATTGATAGGTATTAAGAGCACCATGCCTTCAGAATGGTAAAATATGTTGAACTTGTCCTTTACAGCGCTCAAACTAGGGCCGGAGAGCATTACATCAGCCAGTGCAAATTGTGTATTCGCAGAATAACCCTCGTATGTCCATGTTGAATCCAGCTGTCGCACAGTAGAGTGTGTACCATCAGCGCCGATAATGTATTTGCCTTGGATTGTCTCTTTTGTTTTGCCATCTCCATGTACAATGAAGGCAGTAACAAGTTCGCTGTCATCGCCTGTTGTGTATGATTCCAGCTTGGTATTCCAATGGATATTAGCTTGCTCCTCAATCAGTGAGGCAAGGACACTCTCGGTTCTGGACTGAGGAATGCTTGTCAATTGAGGGAATATGGTTTCGCCAACATCGTCCGCTTCAATGGAAGTGGTCTATTTGAGAGAGAAGTTTAGTGATATGAAATGTCAGATATAAATTGAATGAATTACCTCACAACCTTCAATGAACAATTGAGCACCACGTAACACATATGCCTCCTGCAAAAGACGATGAGCAATGCCCTTGTTTTCAAAGATCTCCAATGAGCGAGCAGTGACAAAGAATGCTCTGCTTTGAGATGTAGGTCTTTTCTTTTGATCGCAGATGTAGACTGAATGGCCTTGCATAATCATTTGATAGGCAAAGAATAAGCCTACAGGACCAGCACCACAGACAATGACATCGTAGACTGTGTGTTGAGGGGCCATCTTCTGGTAAGGTAGTTAAGAGTTATTTGTGTGAAGAAAATTGGAAAGAAACACAGCATGCTTGTTTGATTCAGCTTGATTTATTTAACACAATAGAATGGCGGTGATTTCAATGCTTAGATGCCATTCATTTCTCGGTCTTCAGTTCCTTTGTGAGAACTCTAATTTTCGTTGAAAATTTAGTAACCGAATGATCAAACTATTTATTTACATTTGATTTAAGGTCTGCGCATCGTGTTTAAGAGATTTGCTGCTCCTTTTGTTACAAAGTATTTCAGAAAGTGCATCTCTTGGAGAAGACATACAAAGACCATTGTTCTGTCAATATGCGCGGCTATTCAAATGAATCGGCCATGGCCTCCTTAGAATTTGAATTGCTATACTTGAGTATGGTACGAGGTTTCTGACTGAGCCAGTTATGGTGTATTGTTTTCTATTTAGATATTGCAAGAAGCACGAGCTGTTAAATTGTTTCATCTTTCAGCATCAGTTTGATTTAAGACAGACGATCAGTATTCGATAATACGCAAAGCATTTGTATATTGTCTGTGGAATTGTTATATTGAAAGATTGCCCTTCATAGCCGATCGTGTATTGTAGGAATCATGAAATAGCTAATCTCTGGTATCTGGGCATTCAAGGCCCTAATAAGCAAATTGAGCTTGCAGATGTTCTGTGGTAAGCCTGAGTAAATGGTGCTAATAGATATAAAACTGCACAAACAAACCAAAAGAATATATTTAGGCTAGACGAATGTACATCTCGATTCGCAATCTACTTTGTATTAGCTTTGAAGACATTCATTGCTTCTATCAGAAGCATTTTACTGGCCAAAATTGGTTGATTCTCCGACGTTACTTTTTGTCTGCATATGGAGTTTTATTCAAATTTCGACTTCTTCGACTTATTTCGCCAGATTTGACTATACAAACTGTGATGATCATCCTATACTTTCTAAAGCACTCTTGGAGTACTTTTCAAGGCGCACTCAATGGTACCAAGTATAATATGTGTTTTGAATGAGCTTATTGAGCAATGCTAGAAAATATGAAATTGGATTTTTGGCCAAAATGTAGAGATTTTACTTATCAAAATCTCGCAAACAAAGTTTCAGAGGTTGCGTTGGATCAAGAGGAACATTTTAACTTGATATATGCCATAGTAGAGGTCTTCATTTTTGGTGCCAAAAATGCGATCGTTTCATTTTCAATGAAAATCATGAGGGATACCTCAAGCTTTTTGGTCGATTTTTGATGATCCCAAAAAAGTTGAGCAAAGGTGTCAGGAAGTAACTACTGGATGAGAGGAATTGTATGATGCTATTCTGGCAGTCTAAAACGGCTTTTAACGCGAGAAAACACGGTTCAAATACGTCCGATTTTTGCTGTGTTTTACATACTTTTGAATAGTAAGAGAAAATACAAGTATGCTATTTGCTTGCAGGGCAGTAAAATGTATTCTGCTACAGGATAGGAATACGGACGATTTGACAGTACCAACTTCCCAGCTATTTCGCATAAGTGGAAATGAAACTTGCTAACATTTTTAATCAAGAATTTATTCATAACAACTATACTTGATAATGGCGTCTCTTCTTGACACTACCTATTGCATTGTGCATCAGGAAACGATTGCGATTGATAAGTTTTGGACACTGTCAAAGATGTAGAATGTTATCGACGTCTCAACCACATGCTTTGCCTTCCACTCACTGAACATTCTATGAAGGTTTTATTTATCAGATATCCTCCACCTTGATAGATTAGATTGGTTACTTGGATCATATAAAGAGTACGAGATCAAATCACGATGCTATTCAAATCAACTATCTGCTATCACTACCATGCACATACATACATATCTGGACGCCGAAATGTAATGTGCCCAAACTGTACCTCGGTAATCCATACAAAGTAATGATGGTAAGGCACAATGTTACCTAGATGCAGTGTTGTGCACTCAAGTTTTATGCATGGCTTTGTGCTCTTTATTGATTATCGTCAGTAAATCCGGTCGGCATCCTTCAATAACAAGTGGACTAGTGAAGAGTATAGTTTTTTTATTGTAAATGAGAGATATCAACTTCGCTTTAATTCTGCTTTCTAGACAAAGATACATGACAGACGACACACATTCTTTACATATCTTTTTAATTGTATTTTAATAATAGATTTTGATCCTAAAGGGAAGTTTGTTTGATTTGGTTTGTATTATACAATTTACTTGGACAAAGCGCTTTGGAGAGCTTCATAGACCTCGACCTCGATCTTGGCAGCAGCCTTCTCCTTATCAGAGGCAGCGGCACCAGCTTGACGTTGAGCTTCAGCGAGACCAGCTTGAACACGCTACATACAGAAAGAATTGCGAGTTAATACTCTTGATATTCCTCCTTCACTACCCCACATCAAAATCCAAATTCAATCCAAACTATAATTTACCTCGAGAGAAAGTTCTTCAAGAGGGAAAGCCTCAACAGCGTTGATGTTGAGAGAGTTATCAGGGTTGATAGTGGCAAAACCACCAGAAACTGTTGAAAAATGAAAAATATACAGGGGTAAGTTTAACAGCTCAAAACGGTGTCCAATGTCAACATTTCTAGATCTTTACCAAAGAATTTCTTGGTGAGTTCAGCGGTCTCAACAACTTCAACGACACCAGGGTTCAATTGTTCAATGGTAGGAACGTGATTAGCGAGAATACCCATATCACCAGAGGTGGCAGCCAAGTTAACTTGTTGAACGTCAGTGGCCTTGTAGATAGCCTATGTAGATAATTTTTGTGTATATTAGATAAGTTTGCTGATATGCTGAATGATTGAGTTGTTGAAGTCTGCTATGATTTACCTTGTGAGGGACAACGAAGGTCAAACGAAGAGCTTCGGAAGCAGCAGGAGCTTCAGTAGCGTAGAAACGAGCTAGATTGATGATATGAGCTCTGTGAATATTTACATGTCTAGCCAAATTGATATTTACCCATGGCGAGAGGCTTGATGGCAGCACGAGCAGACTTGGCGAGAACGTTCATTTTACAATAAAAAGATATTTTCGGTGAAGAGAAAAAGTTGAAGGTATTCCTTTTTGTTATTTTGCTTATTTGGTTTACAAAAAATTTGGGTGGTGGTCATTTTGATCAAGTTGGACTTTCAAAATACAAGTGATTAGGGGGCGAGAGAAGGACACTAGGTGACGTCAGAAAACCCTGTCAATGCTACATCTTGTTGAAGAAAGGTCATGAATTCATGATATATTGCTAGTAAATGCAGATTGACTTGCTAACAGATCAAATCTCATATGTATACAGTCTTTATTCTGTTGCCATGGCAACGAATTGATTTTGTGATCTGACAGAAATGACACTCAAACTCAAGGACATTAGATTGAAATTTCATACAAAAGCCTAAAACAGAAACCATCTGCCTTCTCCACAACCATGTCAAATTTAACACTCAGTGAAGAACAACCACCCCCCTCAACACCCCTTGTGGTTTGCTACTTGGTTAGTGATGTTATTGGCACTCAGTCCTCCCCCGCTTGGGTATTCACGTAATAGAATTTTGAAATCAAGGCCCAAAAGCGTCTAAAAAACGGGGAGGGGTGTAAAAAAGTGAACAAGATGGGGGGGATGAACAAGAGAAAAAAAAAGGAATTAAGCCTTTTACCGTTCCAAAAATCCTTTTTTCACCCCTTTCCCTCGGTATTTAAGCTATGTTTATTTCTCGTGCTCTCGGTCGTGTTGCTTCAAGCACCTTCCGTCTTCAAGCCAACCCCTTGGCTGCCCAAGCTGCTCGTTCAGGTATTGTTTAGTTTTTGATTTTTGATTTTTCAACCCTGGTTATTTTGATTTCTAACAAACAACAACAACATCAACAATCATAACAGCTCGTACTTATGCTACCGCTGCTAGTGCTGGTCAAATTCGGTAAGAAATCAATACATACACGCAAACTGCATATATGGAGAAATGTCGATTGAAACGTCAAATGCTAATGTATTCATATAGTTCCGTTATTGGTGCTGTCGTTGATGTCCAATTCGAACAAGACAACTTGCCTGCTATTTTGAACGCTCTCGAAGTCAAGGACCACTCCGGTGGACGTCTTGTTCTTGAAGTTTCTCAACATTTGGGTGAGAACACCGTCCGTACTATTGCTATGGATGGTACCGAAGGTAAACAACTGTAAATCTGATTAGATGTTATAGATACGATTGGCTAATGCAATGATAACTAGGTCTCGTCCGTGGTCAAAAGGTTGTTGATACTGGCGCTCCTATTACCATTCCCGTTGGTAAGGAGGTCCTTGGTCGTATCATCAACGTTATCGGTGAACCCATTGATGAACGTGGTCCCATTGACGCTAAGACTCACCGTCCTATCCACGCTGAAGCTCCTGAATTCGTCGACCAATCCCCCACTCCCGAAATTCTCGAGACTGGTATCAAGGTTGTCGATTTGCTCGCTCCTTATGCTCGTGGTGGTAAGATTGGTCTTTTCGGTGGTGCTGGTGTCGGTAAGACTGTCTTGATTCAAGAATTGATCAACAACATTGCCAAGGCTCACGGTGGTTACTCCATCTTCTGTGGTGTCGGTGAACGTACTCGTGAGGGTAACGATTTGTACCATGAAATGATTGAAACTGGTGTCATTCAATTGGAAGGCGAGTCCAAGTGTGCTCTTGTCTTTGGTCAAATGAACGAACCCCCAGGAGCTCGTGCCCGTGTTGCTTTGACCGGTTTGACTATTGCTGAATACTTCCGTGACGATGAGGGTCAAGATGTCTTGCTTTTCATTGATAACATTTTCAGATTCACCCAAGCTGGTTCTGAGGTATCTGCCCTTTTGGGTCGTATTCCTTCCGCTGTCGGTTACCAACCCACCCTTTCCACTGATATGGGTGGTATGCAAGAGCGTATTACTACTACCAAGAACGGTTCCATTACCTCCGTCCAAGCTGTCTACGTCCCTGCTGATGATTTGACCGATCCTGCTCCCGCCACCACTTTTGCTCACTTGGATGCCACCACTGTCTTGTCTCGTTCCATCGCTGAATTGGGTATCTACCCCGCTGTCGATCCTCTTGATTCCAAGTCTCGTATCCTCGATCCCCGTATTGTCGGTGATGAGCACTACAAGGTTGCCACTGAAGTTCAACAAATCCTCCAAAACTACAAGTCTCTCCAAGATATCATTGCTATTTTGGGTATGGATGAACTTTCCGAAGAAGATAAGCTCGTTGTCGAACGTGCTCGTAAGATTCAACGTTTCTTGTCTCAACCCTTCGCTGTCGCTCAAGTCTTCACTGGTTACGAAGGTCGTCTCGTCAAGCTCGCTGATACCATCCGTTCTTTCCAAGAAATCTTGGGTGGTAAGCACGATAACTTGCCCGAATCTGCTTTCTACATGCAAGGTGATATCAACGATGTTCAAAAGCGTGCTGAAGAGCTCGCTAAGGAAATGGGTTCCCAATAAATGCAATAGCAACAACACCAACTAAAATATAAAAATTAAAAAGATTGCTGAAATAGCCTTTTTTTATATTTATTTACTCTATAACTGATTTACAATAAAATTAAAAACTATCAAAAAGGAATTGATATATCTTTTAATGATATCTGAACGAAGTTTATGGGTTTTGCATGTGTGAACCAGCTTTGAACTCGTTATTAATAAGATCTTGTAGCTGCATCAGGCACGGAATGTCCATCAGACGGCTCGGGTGGTACTTCAAGGTAGCTCTTGCGGAGACTAGTGTATGTGTACTATGACATTGGACTTTGAGAACCGTTTAAGATTTAAACATACTATGCATAAGATACAAGAAAAAGTAAATACTCAAAATATAGTGATTCCAATGCATAATTATCTTATTATCAGCTTCAGAAACATTGATTGCGTTGAGAGAAATGCATATATTATCGCCAGCCACCACCAAAGCTGATTGAATCTCCGACTAATCAAAAAATAGATCTTTCTGATTGAATTTCGACTTCTTTGATCTATTTTGCCATATTTGACTATACAAACTATGATGATCATCCTATACTTTCTAAAGCAATCTAGAAGTACTTTTCAAGGCGCACCCAATGGTACCAAGTATAATATATGCTTTGAGTGAACTTATTGAGCAATGCTAGAAAATATGAAATTGGATTTTTGGCCAAAATGTAGAGATTTTACTTATCAAAATCTCGCAAACAAAGTTTCAGAGGTTGCGTTGGATCAAGAGGAACATTTTAACTTGATATATGCCATAGTAGAGGTCTTCATTTTTGGTGCCAAAAATGCGATCGTTTGATTTTCAATGAAAATCATGAGGGATACCTCAAGCTTTTTGGTCGATTTTTGATGATCCCAAAAAAGTTGAGCAAAGGTGTCAGGAAGTAACTGCTGGATGAGAGGAATTGTATGATGCTATTCTGGCAGTCTAAAACGGCTTTCAACGCGAGAAAACACGGTTCAAATACGTCCGATTTTTGCTGTGTTTTACATACTTTTGAATAGTATGAGTTAATACGCATATGATGTCTGGCTGTTTGCAAACTGATAGATTTGGAGCATCGTATTCCAAGAGTTAGATCTACAATTATAGGTGGTTTATGAATAGCTTTCACGCGTAATGATGAGTTATAAAAAAACAATACAGTACCATATATTAGCAGGAGACATAAATTTCTACGCAACTCCGTGATGAATGTAGTCATTGGGTCCGTCTTGAAATGCCAGGCTCTGTTGATTACACTTAATATAGTCGTATTTGAGAAGCATATATAAGATAGACTATGAACTTTTTACCATAATCTAATAAAACGCTTCGAACAGAGGTAACATTATGTAGTATACGACACAAACAATGCATAACCCTCTAGATTGAATCTCTGTTTGTTGGTGATCCTCAACTACACCCACTCATATATTTTGTTTATATTTCAAAGTGTAACAATGTGATCAATTTATTTCATTGCACATTGATTGTGCATATGAAGTAACCTATTACTAGCGATTGAATTAATTGGTATAAACATTTCATTATGGTAGAGCTATTTACGAGAAAAAGACACATACTGTCTTTATAGAATATTCGTTCAACTAAAAGTTTAGAATGAGATTGATTGCATTTTCATTATCAGGATCAGCTTCCGTTTCGAGCAATATATCTTGCTGTTCGGACATGTCTTGTATAACATCATCTTCTACCTTGACGAGCATTGACTTATTGTTTTTTCCCGTGGTCTTGCGAAGAACATTTGATACAGACATGCTGATATTCATGCGTTGGATAATCTTTTCAATGAGCTCTTTGACTGTCAGATGTTCCAGATAGATTGCTCTATAAACCTCACAAGAATGGAATTTGACCAACACACTGAGTTCTTTTAAAGAGATAAACCATTAGCATTTGGAAATGTATAAAAGCTGATACAAACTTACTGGCTACACGGCGTCTTCGTTGCGGTATGTATGTGGGATCAAGTCCAATAGGCGGTCCGCCTGGAAGATTAGCAGCAAATGTGTTCATGTCGCTTGAACTACTACTTAAATTACTGAAGCTGCGCTTTGTAGGAACAGGAGGTGGCAAATGGATATTGTTACTAGCACTGCTATTGCCAGGTGCATGATGGGGAAGATGACCACCGACCGGTGAAGCAGATGGGAGCGTGTTTCGTTCGTCAAACAATGATTGCAGTTGTTGGTGATGAGTTTCATCGTCTTCAGGTGGGACAAGTTCGCCGAAAAGAGTGATAGGAGATGTTGGAGAGAAAGCTAGCCATAGAGGATGTGGCTCACCACTTTTGCCCCGTAGTTTTTCCAGTTGACGCTCAATGTGCTTTGCATCGTCCTTGTTTTTTCTTTCAGCACCCTAGAAAAAAAAATGGATGAGTCTAATGTATACCAGGTAACAGCTTTGATGTATACCTTATCACGGAACAGCTTGATACGGCAATATGTCTTTTCGATGTAAGGATGTTGATGGAGATGTTGACGTAGATGATGCGAAGTAGTAGCAGTTGCTGTGACGAATGGATGTGCCTGTTCACTTTCTATTTGTAGACGCAAAGGAATGCCCTTGACACCTTTGATTCTTGAGAAATCTGTAGACAAGCAATTGAAGCGAATATGCACGGAAGCACCTAATTTGCCATTCCATCGAAATGAAACACGGTCGAAATGTCTGCCCTCTATGGCTTGTGCTCCACTCGATCTTGACAAATCTATAGATACTTGTTAGTGTTTGTACGAGGTTAAGTGCTTTTCAAGTACCTAATTCAACTGCTCTTGCATCCTCTCCGTCTTTCTGCTGAGTCAACCAGAATTTCCAGTAATCTGTTGCACTTACTCGATGGCTCTCATCATGAAATGTGATGACTACTGTGCTGATGATATCACCGTCATAACGGTCCTTGTCTTTAAGGGTGATGTTGTAGTATTGGCCTGTTCAAAATGAAGTTATGTAATGCTTGTGTCTTTACAGTTGCTGGAGTCATACCTTTATTGAGGTAAGTTAGAGGTGGCTCTTCTAATTTCTGAGATGCTGCCGTTGGAGCTATTGGATTTGAATTAGCCTGTTTGACTCAAATGAAGCTTGTCTATATACCTTCTAAGGCTACATCATAACGAATTACACTAAACACGATAATAGAATGTGGTCAGTGGTACAGGTCAAAGTAATGTTTATATAACAGCTTTTTTTTCCTCTCCCCAATGCAAGTTCTGCGTGGGTTACACGATTCATGTTTCGTGCACTTTTTGATCGGATTACTTTCCGGATTACACAACATACCTAGCATTATTATGATTGCTCTGATTGAAGCTATTCGCAGGCAAGGAATTTGAAGGTGGCGAAGGTGACGATAATGAAAGCATGGATGAGATGGATTGATTTGTTGGATAGAGCTCTGTTAAAGAGCAGTAAGGAGATGATGTGGTGGAGTAGTGATTCAGGATCTGAGGACTTGAAAGTGGACTATTGATCGTTGTTGTTGTTGAAGACGGTGAGTGGTAATAGCTCTGGCGGTGATAGCGTTGATGGTGATGATGATGATACAATTGATGAGGGTTTTCTTGGATAGAATAAGACGAACTACAAAGAATATGAGAAGAATGAAAGAAAAACGAGCATAATAAGTCCAGGAAATGTATTTATATACCTATCAGGAAACAAAGGAGCTGCCGTAGACTCTTGAAAAGTTGATTGATTGCTGCTTATCATTGTCTAGAGGGAAATTAAATTGAAGCAGGCCTAAAGCTTGTTTCTAATGTATGTAATCAGAGAGGAAGAAAGGAAAACAAGAGAAAGTAGTTGATGGTTTTTATGTATCAAAACGATTAAACTTTAAAACGAGCAAAGGCAGATGCTCCTTAATCATACAAACTGTAGAGTACATACTATATTTATTATTATTTATTTTGTCAACTGTGTTAATTTAGGAATACAAAGGGGTTCCCATATATTTTCAACCATGAACTCTTTTCCAAGACGCTCAGCCACCTTTTCTCTTTCTATGCTGGAAATCTTTTGTTTGTTTGTTTCAATGCAAAAACTAAATGTCCCATGTAGTCATGTATGTGTCTGCATACAGCAGTCGGTGCTTGCAGTTCCATGTGTCTTTTAATACACATCAATCAGTATAGCATTGCCGTGAAAAGCGCAATTGATGTGATCACATTTAAGGAGAAGTGCGCACCGCAGATTAACTTCTTTCCTTTGTCAACTGAAAATCTTTTTTTTTAAAAAAAAAAAAAAAAAAAAAAAAAAAAAAAAAAAGAAGCTAGTACCACGTAGACAACATCGTCGGTATACCTAATAAGTTGTTTTAAATGAATACCATGGCCCCATTCTGTCAAATGAATCGCATGATTTCTCAATCATGTTTTGGCAATACAAAAAGGAAGCACAGACGCTCAGTCATTTACCTTAAGTTGATGTTTTTGTGTCGATAACATTATTAATGAATTGATTAGACTTTAGAAGCACATGGTCGATCCCAGAAAGTTTTTGTTCATGACTGTTAGAGGCCTCTGCTTTGTCGTATCACCCTACTTGTTAGCTTAAAACATGACTCTATATATAACCACTCTAGCAGTTTGCTTCTCTCCTTCTTTCGATACGAATTTCCTGAACACAAAAAGCATTGAAATTGAATCTAACCTGAAAAGCTTATTTTTTTTGAAGGTATACGGATTGGCAATGTCTGTCTTGTGAGAGGTTGCAATTCCTCATTATATTATCAGAAATGCAAATGATGATATCATTTTTCATAAACTTTAATTGATTGCCTTGAACTGATTTCAATTTCTGTCTTCAGAAGGGACCTGTATCACAGAATTAAAAGCGAGAATCACATCTCCTGTGATATATAAATCAATTGGTTTTAGATGACACTGTGAAATAATAATTGCTTTTATTCAAACGACGTATCTGTACTCCTGATCACTCTCGGTGTTGATTACACATCTAATGAACTAGGTAATATATGTCTCTTGGTTAGCTAAAATTGATATTAACAGTGAATCATATTATTGAATACGAGCCTTTCGACACTTCGGGTGGAAACCAACCTACACAGCGGCAGTTCGCGCTACCGATTGCCCTTGCTCATCTTAACAAAATACTGCTACTTTCATTTTGTCCCTCTACTTACATATAAAAATCCTTTATATTATCTATGAATCTGATTCTTATGTGATGCTCTACATCCATATACGCGTAACTACTTCATATACGGGCAAGCAGTATACCGGTATTTCCCCTTTTTATTCCTTAGTGCCCCTGATACAGCAAAATCTGAGTGCATTTGAACTGAGTTTTCTTCCGTTCAAGGCCGTTTTAGATGGTCAGAATAGCACCAAACAATTGCTCTCATCTAACAGTTACTTTCTGACACCTTTGCTCAACTTTTTGGGGACCAAAAAAACATGGCCAAGAATCGACCAAAAAGCATGAGGTACCCCTCATGGTTTTCATCGAAAATCAAACGATCGCACTTTTCACCTTGATAACGAAGACTTTTACTATGATATATCTTAATTCAAAATGTTTCTATCGATTCAACGTAACGCCTGGAATCATCTTTGTGGGACTTTGACATTTAAAGTTTCGACTTTTTGGCCAGAAACCTATTTTCATATTTTCGTAAATTATTCAGTAAGTTTATTCAAAACAACTATCTTATTTGGTATCATTGAATGCGCCTTGAAAAGCACTCCAAGAAAGCTTAAAGGTGCATAGAATGATCAGTATACCTTACTTAGTCGAATCTGCTAAAATAGTTCAATCGAGTTCAAAACTATTGAAATTTGGCCAATCTGGAACAGAATATTAATCTGGGCTTGAATTAATTTTGGCTGGTGGAGCTGACTGGCAAACTCAATGTCCTTGAAGCGTATGGACAATAGGTGGCAAGCCATAGCACTATCGTTAATCATGCTATTTTTTTGCGTTCTATATTTAATAACGTATATAGACACTGACAATTCATGGGCTGCATAACATGTCTGCAGTAAGTAGGGAAATCTCTGAGGCTTTAGATTGTCGTTCAAAGAAAACGTTGACAGCATTGAGCAGAGGATAGAAATAAAGTGGTTTTTGTTGATTGGTTGTAAAATCGTTAATCACATGTGAGCCAGGCCTGACAGATGCCTGGAAACTCTCCATATGAGGGTTGTAAAAGTGCCTAGGGACTGAACATTTATTATAATATGATTGTCAATGTGTAGCATAGTGATATTCAGAAAGAAGTACGATTCTTGGTAAGAAAGCACTCAATTTGAATGTCTACTTTTTTTATATTAGCCAAATTCTCCTATTGTGTTTGATGGTTTGCGGATCTATCGGGGATTTGACACTCTCAGACCCACTGTCAACAGAGAATGGTTTGCATACAATGCTCAGGGCAGCCTACTTATCCTTGATATAGTTCTGATCTATTGTGCTCATATTAATTACAGGATGCCAAAGAATATATAAATCGAAAACGCGCCATATCAGTCCTAGAAAAATTGGAAAAGTTCCATAAAACTTGCTTGTTTCAAATATATGGATAATATTGTTCAGGGGAACAAAAATCTCAGAAAATAAGAGGGTGGCAATAAATAGCTGAATTTATCATATAATATTTTAAGCTATTATTAACTTTACATGTGTCAAGTATCTCTGAGTGTCTCTTGACAGATCCAACCACAAAAATCGACATTTTGGATATCGAGATGCCCGATTTCATCAAAAGCCGAAAGATCTATAATCCAAGTGACCTCCAAATTCTTGCTGAGGGAACCTGCATCAGTGAATTAATATCCCACAAGACTGCAGAGGGGCTTTATGCTTGAGATGAATCAGCAGTGCGTTCTAGATTTCATGTTACATGTGATGTGTACTGTTTTGGGAGATGGTGATTCTAAGACTAGAGTAACCATTTACAGTAAAGTATCTTACTTAAGGTTAAGTGCAACATGCAAACCTTACTTGTTTGTACTAGACTGCTTGATTTTCCGTAGAGTTGTACAGAGTCAAATCTTCTTCCACCCAACAACATGAAAAATTCTCTCAGGAACTGACTCATTTCATGATGTAGATGTCCGATGTTTGAAAAGTATGATTGTGCTTCCGAGGGTGTCTCGTATAAATGACTGAACATCTGCGTAGCAAAGTATCACAAAATAGATCAGGACATTGGCCAATGCCATCTTTCCAGGTACCCATCAATAATCTGGCTTGATCATTTATCCGATTTATATATAAAAACTATACACTGAGCCGATCAACACTGGAACATTCCCTCTTCAATGCGTCCTTGCAAATGCTCAAATGTAGGCATCAACACATGCAATTTAGGGTTGGCTTTTCAAACTCAAATACGTACTAATGCATGTAAAAACTGTTTTCATTAGGAAACTGTATAAAAGAGGTACATTAACAAATGTGATTGATAAAAGCTGCATCCAGCATTTGACTCTGATTGATACTCCAGAATCTTACAGTCTTTTCTCTTTGCTAGTCTTCCATTGAGCTAAAGAAAGAGAGATTTACGTTGTACAAGACTGTTCAGAGGTTTTCCAAGCAAGAGAAACCCACATTACATGTCTATATTTACCTTGTAAAATCGGACAAATGCCGTTGTACAACAACAATACGGTTTTGCTATACATTTAAACATCAGCAAATCAATAATTGATAGTATATCAACAGCTTGAAGCAGCATTTACTCATGCTTCATGCTTCTAATCACGATGAGCCACAGATCAGTCATGACTCTAATGGACTGAGAGCTAAAACCTAATTCAATCATTACAAGTTTCACGGTAAATGAATTTCAAGACAACAGCAAATGTATTAAAAAAGAAAATAAGGGTCAATGATCGCAACTGGACATTGGGGGGGGGGAGTGAGAAATATGTATCATATCAAGCTCACATGAGGCTTCTATGGGGGGGGAGAGGTGAGATGGAAGAGGACCTTTTATGTGTGATGTGGTGAAAAGAAGGTTGTGCGCCTTAAAAAAAGATTTGCACACCCCCTCGTAGTTTTCTTGTATTCTAAAATTTTCTCTTTTTGTTGTTTTCCTTTCCCTCTCTTTTCCTTCTTTCTCTCTCTTTTCCTCTTCTGTTTCCTGTTTTCCCTTTTATTGATACTACACTGGATTAATTTGCACAAATTTCTCTCGTCCAAATTCTTCAATTTCATTCGTATAGTGAAAGAAAGAAACAACACTAGGAATTGATATTAATCATATTATTTCTGTAATTCTATCAACTTCAAGACCTCTTTACAAAGTAAAAACCACACATCCTGCCTCTTCCAAGTGACAAGAAACAGTAGCAAAAGGTTCGACTCTGTTACCACCACACGAAAGCGTCCATAACTAAAAGGACGCGCTTTCATGTTGATGTTCTAACTGGAATCATTGTTGTGTAGTTCTTCTTTGTGTATCTCCTTTCAAGAAAAATGTCAGTCTATAACCATCGTCCCATGGTACCTGCGCCACAAAGCCGTGTCGTTGAAATGTTGGACTCGATACGAGGTGAATTTGACCAATTGGCTCAGGAATTGTATGTCTGTAAATCGCAGAGAGACGATTTCGAACACAAGAGTAAAGTAATGATATATCAAGTGCTTGATGTCGTACACTAAATGTCTATACAGTGAATCAACAAATCTCTGAAATGAACAGTTTTCAACAAAGTTTATTAGAGCTTGAGCGCACTCAACAGAGCCAAAAGAAGCAGTAAGTACTGATAGAGCCATCATGACAACACGATGCTGAGTTTTCGCGTTTCTGCAGTTACGAGGATGAAATTGCAAGGCTTCGTCAGCAAATTGAAAGTCGTGGTGGACATCCTGGCATGCCTTTGTCTGGTCATCCTCAGCAACCACCTCACCCTCAGCAGCAGCAGCAACAACAGCAGCAGCAGCAACCACCCCATCCTCAGCAACAACAACAATCACATCAACCACCACCTCCCAACATTGGGCCTGGCTCCAATTACTTTGGTGGCATCATGAACGCCCATGGCAATCAAGGGCCTCCAGGCCTTGTTGCTCCACCTCAGATGGCCGAGCAATCGCCCAATGGACCTCAACAAGTGCCTCCACCTCAACATGGCTATAATCCATCATCTCAACCTCCTCCTCCCTCTGCAGTTGCCAATTCCTCAGCAGGCGCTTACATGAACGGTGGCTCCAATGCTCCTCCACCTCCATTACAACAGCAACCACCTAATGCTGGCTATGGTCAATCACCTAATCGAGGTATACCGACACCACCTGCGTCTGCTCATCCTCAGCAGCAGCAGAGACAGCAACAGCAACAAGAGTGGGGTAACGGATATGGCGGCAACTATCCCAACCGTCCCGGTTCATCAGCGGGCCCTCCACCTCCTCAACAGCAACCTTCTCAAGACTCACCCAACATGAAACGTAAATCTACTTCATCTGTACCTACTCCACCCCAAACTGTAAATACTGCCATGGTGCCTCGCGGTGCCGGTGCTCCACCTAACAACAAGATTGCCAGTCCTTCTACAACAAACGCACAACAACAGGGAGGTTTAGCTGATGTTGATCCCGAAAGCGTACCAGCCAACATGAAAGTGGAAGGTCAAGATTGGTTTGCACTATTCAACCCCAAGACATCTCGCCAATTGAAGGTGGATTTAGTTCATACATTGGATCATCCCAGCGTCGTTTGTTGTGTTAAATTTAGTGCAGATGGCCGCTATCTTGCCGCTGGTTGTAACCGTGCTACATTTATCTATGATGTTGCCACATCACAAAGAGTTGCGTAAGTCTCCTTTTTTAAAGCGTTGATTAGAGCTGCTTTTTTGCTGACTTTTTACCTGAATAGTGTCTTGCAAGACGACAATATCAAGATTGAAGGAGATTTGTACATTCGCTCCGTTTGCTTCAGTCCTGATGGCAATTACCTTGCCACAGGAGCAGAGGACATGCAAATTAGAATCTGGGACATTCAAAAGAAACGCATTAGAAACATTCTTGTAGGCCATCAACAAGACATCTACTCTCTAGACTTTAGTCGTGATGGGCGTATGATTGCATCTGGTTCTGGTGATTGCACAGCACGAATTTGGAGTATGGCAGACGGCAAATGTCTTCATGTGCTTCGCATTACAGATCATGATCAAAAGGATCCTGGAGTGACGAGTGTCGCTTTCTCGCCCGATGGTCGTGTCATTGCTGCTGCTAGTTTGGATAAAATGGTCAGAATCTGGGATACACAGTCTGGTGTGCTTTTTGAAAGATTGGAAGGCCATAAGGATAGCGTTTACTCTGTTGCTTTTATGCCAGACGGTAAAATGCTTGTGAGTGGTAGTTTAGATAAGACACTCAAATTATGGCAGTTGGGCACCAACGAAGGTCGTGGTATGGGTATGGATAGAGACAGAAGCAAAGGTCCTTGTAAAATGACCTTTAGTGGCCATAAAGACTTTGTTCTCTCTGTCGGTTGTACTCCAGATGGTCGTTGGGTGGTTTCCGGCTCCAAGGATCGTGGCGTGCAATTCTGGGACCCTCGTACCGGTCAAACACAATTCATGTTGCAAGGACACAAAAACTCTGGTAAGTTTCAATCGTATTGTCTGTAATTGCATTGTATTGACACTATCTTTTGCAGTCATTTCTGTTGCCATTAGCCCATCGGGAAGACCTCTCTTTGCTACAGGTTCTGGTGATAATCGCGCCAGAATTTGGAGCTATGATCCTATCAATGCTTAAAAAATGTTTATTCTCTTTTTCCTTTCCTTTTCTTTGTTTAACTCATTGAATACATATCCTCTCTTTCTTTTTATATATTTTCACTTCAAGTAAACTGATTTGCTCACTCGCTCGCACACCTGCCCATGCTCACATTTTAATTTTCATATACAGTATATTTCCTCTTTCTTGACGCAAACAATAGTATATTTTTATATATTTAAGTCTTGTCTTTATGTAAAAAGAAATGCTACATGTAATCATGATTGCTTGTTTATTAATTACTGGTATCAAAAGGGGTATTCGCCATGATTTTGTACAGGCTGCTTTTCATTGACATGTGTGAATGGTAACACCACAATGGTAGCTGCATCATCGTCATCGTCATCATCACTGTCAGTGTACTCTTCAATGTCGGAATTATGCTCTGGTAGCTGAATAGCACCTCGCTCTTCATCGTTTTGTTTAAATTCGTGATGAGCGTGGATATAAAGGGCATAGCATGCCATTAAACCAATAATCTATCAGATTTCCCACTGTTACCAAATGCTGTATCACTCAACTCAAGAAACTTACCTGAATCACTTTGACAGCCCATAGTCCAATGCCCCAAATGTAGATAGTGGACCCAAATGTCTCTGATAATATAGGGTAGCAAGCAGTATCCACATTTTCAGTCGAGGTGAAAGCAGGCTCATCAAAAGTGGTACTAAAACCTTGGCAATTCCATTGATTTTGAATGTTTTCCAATATAAGCACATTGTCCTTGTAAGCTGCTTGCCATGATAATTGCAGCTGATCCTTGATATAATTATCTCGATCCAATAGTGTAAAGGTAGAATATATCCATTGGATGCCGATGAATACGGCTAGAGGAACGAAATACTGCAAACCGTTAGTACAGTGATTAGAAATGGTATCATCAAATCAAGTTGATCTAATACCCAATGAATATATGCTGTACTTGTAATGACAAGACCAGTAGTGTACAAGATGACTACAGACAGGTGGAGCCATTCTGTTTGGATGTGAAAAGACTGCATAATTTCAATGCTTTGTGTGTTATGAAATTGTTGGTCATAAACAGAGGTACTGATGTTGCTGCTACTGCAGATCACTTGCAAAATCAACAGGGCAGCGATGCACTTGCGGATCTATTAGACATTGTCCTATATACACTGTCTAAAGATACTTACTGTAATGGAGATTAGTGCAATAATGAACATCCATTTTCGGAGGGTGTATGAAATCATTTTGCAGATGTGTTGTAAAAGAGAAGTAAAGACGACATTTGACAACGATGATGAAAATCTCCTTTTTTAAATGAATGGCTTGGTCTTCATTCTTTAGATATGTAATGTGAGCATTTCTTGTTGTATTTGCACATTTTGAGCACACATGGTATGTTGATGAAACCCTGATTTGAGTAGGTTTTTTGTTTGTCTATTACATCACTGGTATCGAGTTATGCTGCTGTGTCAAGACGACCCATTGTTTCATTCAAAGATAAGTCAAGTGGTCTTTGGTTGAAGCGTTTCTGTAAAATTTATTAATATGAAACCAATCTTGATTCTTCCAAAATAATAGATTTATTATTTTCTAATCCTGTTGTGTCCATTTATTTTATGTCTGAGCGAGATGTAGATAATTATTTAAGAGTGTCGAGTAGCTTATTCCTCTTGAGCAGAGAGATTGACATCAGGGTTGAAGAAGAGAGACTCCTTACCCCAGAAGTAATCACGAGCACGGAAGTTGATATAAGGGTACTTGACCCACTCCTTGGGGTGGTGCTTTTGATGTTCGTGGTGAGCTTCGTAAAGGTTGTAGGCGTTGAAACTAGCAGCGGCAAGACTAACAAGGTGTCTATATTTAGTTGGCCAGTCGAAATATCTGTACATTTGATGATCTTACCAAGGAATAGTGACAAAGATGGAGATCTTCTTCCAGGTACCAGCAGCATCTAGCATTCATGTTGGTCAATACATATTCAAATTAGACATTAGAGATTATTTACCAGCAGCATGGTGCTTGATGGCATCACGCTCGGCGGTGAAGCCACCATCAACAGCGGTGGATTGGAAACGAACACCAGCGCGCTTGATGGAAGCAGCGACTTGAGAGTTGAGAATACGAGAAGCCATTTTTATTTATATAAAGAGAGGGGAGAGAGATGGATGTTGGCACAAAGAGAAGGGGTAAAGGTGGGTCGAAATTATTGTTTTTTTCAGATTCGTCTCCCCGATCCAATTTGTTACTGATGTTGCAAGCATGGGATATTTTCAACTTGAAGACGTCACCTTTAGTAGGACAACTGTCAGTTGCCATTGTCAGATCAGGCCATTTTAATTTCAAATCCATGGACGATGACACAGATGGATCATCAAGTAATGCAATTGCCTGATGACAAGTTGAACATTACGTTAGTAAATCATCTGTTTAGATAACACTGAGATTATGAATTTTTATTGTAATTGTTGGTAAGCAGTGGGGTCACATTTTCTTGCATTTGAGTTTTCAATGCAATGTTTCTTTTTTTTTAGCTCTTTGGTCATCTTCTCTGACATGTAGTAGGAGAGGCATAAAAGATAACTCTTTGAGCTTTCTCCTTGATGGTTAATACTGTACTATGGCCTTCATTTTGTTTTTGGGATTTCGTTGAATCAGGTACATCCATGATCTACCCCTTCTCGTCTGTTATTGTGTTTGGGATGTCGGATTTGAAGGCTGTTTCTCATCATAATTGTACAACGAGCGACACTCTTGGCATGTACAGACTCTATTGAAGACATTTATGCCATTACGAGATGATTTTGTAGTGGAACTTTAGCTTTCTTTTGTATAATCCTAAGATATTGAGCCAAATGTATGTTGCTCTTTAATGTGAGATATCAACAGCTGCCTTACATGTCTATCTTGAGGTTCGATTAGCGCTCATCACAGCATATGACGGTAAAGCATTATTATTGATTAGAATGTACTCATTTCAATGAGTACTCAAGTTGAAGATTCCACCCTTTGGTTCACATCTATTTTATACTGCATAGGTTCACATCAGCAAAAGATTATAAGGCCGTATATTAACAACCTTTCGTTTGACGCCTTATTACAGTGGATATACACTCTTTTTTTATGATGTATGATTAAAGAGATGGGCACTGCTTTTATCTCTGATGAGCGGTACTTATCAGATCTCACTGCTTGAGTAGGTTATCCGGAAAGGTTTTTCACTTTTAGGAGACACTACAGTATAAGATAAAGATACATATATCCTTTATCATTATGCTATGATACATATTAATGCATACGATGTCTTTACGCTTTTGTGTCATAACAAAAACACGCCTATTGGCAAGCAAATATATGAAATACAGCAACTTTTAAGCATTCATGAGTTGACATGTAGACCTTTCTGAGCCACCGAAATGTCGCCAAATAATTGTACTCGAGTAGCAGTAGCTTTCTGATACCTTTGCTCAACTTTTTGGGAACCCAAAAAAAACATGGCCAAAAAAGCATGAGGTATCCCTCATGGTTTTCATCGAAAATTAAACGATCGCATTTTTGACCTTGATAATGAAGACTTTTACTATAGTATATCTTGAATCAAAATGTTTCTCTCGATCCAAAGCAACCTCTGAAACCACGTTTGAGGGATCCCCATATGTAAAATCTCGATATTTTCGTCAAAAACCTCATTTTATATTTTCATAAACTGCTCAATAAGCTAGTTCAAAACATCTATTTTAATTTGCACCTTTAGATGCGACTTGAAAAGTACTCCAGGAAAGCTTAAGGAAGTCTCGAAGAATCATCACATTTCACATAGTCGAATCTTGCAAAATAGATTGATCAAGTCGAAAAAAGGCACAATCTGACCAATCTTGAGCAGGAAAGATGTTCTGTGTTTAAATATACTTTGGCGCTGCTGGCTAACTAAAATGCTTTTTTACTGTAATGAAATAGCCACCCAAACGCAACTTGATTGAAAACCGAAATTCACCAAATAGCACTCATTCAAATTCATGCTATTTGGATCTATTAATAAAAGCGCTCAAATGTATATCAACAACCATTTAAACATACCAAAATAAAGATACATGCTTATATCGCACATCGTGTGAATAAGTCACTCCTGATCACAGTGTATTCAATCACACCCATGATGGTCGTAATAAGTGATGGTATCTTTATCCAAATAAAATCAAATCAATAACAAGCATATTCAAATATGACAACTATGCCCTGCTTCCATAGTTGCACAATATCCCAGATAAAGGGTTCCATACTTCAATAACAAACATCACACTTTAAACCATCAAGGTTATTCAAATCGACCCTTATGGCCAGTGCTCTTGCATTGATTACCACTTTAAATCTAACATCAACAACATTTCCCAGATATCGCAATAGCAGCACCTATTGCTCTCTAACATCACTAATCCTACAAGCTAGTTGCAAATGTATCAATACTCTTCTTTTTTTACTCAATTCCAGGATCTTCAGTTCATTTTATACACAAATAAAATACAGTTGATTTCTATTGTATTTTACTATTTTTTTTTTTTGTGAAATCTATTCAAACCTGATTTCACTGCATTTACTACTCACATTACTGCCATTTTAATTTTTATAAGCAAATCGATCAGTAAAGCAACTATGCTTGTATAATCTAGATCTGATAAACTTGTTGTTGCAAATAGATAGTGACAAATGCTTCCGATGCTTCCACCAATGCACAAGAGGGTTGCTGACGCTGCTGTTAGAAAAAAGTGATTTGTAGTAACTAGAACCGTTTAATGAAGTAATCCAAAAGGTACAAATAAATGAGCCAATACAGATCTGTCTATAGAATGAGCACTAGGTTTATAGCTGTCCAACTATACAAGAGAGCAAATATACGAAAGTAGAACAAAGTAGAGGCTGTATAAAAAGTACAACGAATCAATATTAATAAAAGTAAATGACAGATTTGAGGGATCTTACAAAGATATAAGTTTAATCGAAGAATACAAAGAGCAAACAAGCCTAAGCTTTTATAGTAGAGTAAGATGAAGCTTTTATTTTGTCTATTGGATTGAATGTACTTATACCAATTGATGTTTAAATATTTTCCACTTAAAGGATGTATGTTTTGTTAAGATCTCTAACGTAAATAGTTTTCTCTGTGGTTTGGGCCCACGTTCTAATTTTAACAAATAAGTAGAGAATAATTGATGGCAGATTAGTAATGTAAATGATAATAATGGAAATAAACAGATAGACGTGGATGAGTATAGATCAAAATGTATAGGATCTCACATTATTTTGTTGTTTAAACAAAACATTCCATCTAATTTTGCAGTTGAGATTGTTGAAAATAACTTGATAAACTATTCAGAAGCAATTTGTATATCGAAAGTTGTTGAATTGAGATGACCTTTTAGTTAAAAGAACGATATAGAAAGAAATAACTGTTTGACCTATTTGACATCTGTTAAAAGTGTAACATTGTTGTGGATAATAGTTACTGCCGAAGACTGAAAGTGCAATTGGGTTAAATTAAGTTCTATTTTGATATGTAGTTGCACAGGTGTGCTTTACTTTTGATTGATTCTATACGTTCCAAGTTGATTGTTGAGGATTCTAAAGTAAAATGGACAAATGATAACACTTTGAGAAAGATAGAGTTTCAGATAATGTAGGCAACAATTTATTGAAAATGATCTAGGGGCAAAAATTAAAAATTGAATTAAGATCTAGTTACAAAGGGAAGGCTCACTTGTAACATCACAATCAAATCAAAACCAAATATCAAATATAATAAAATCGCTTAATAACGTCCCACAGATTAAAAAAATAAAAAAAAAATTACTTTTTCAAAAACAAAAGCTTTATACGGGGCTCGAACCCGTGACATTCAGATTAAAAGTCTGACGCTCTACCAACTGAGCTAATAAAGCATGGATGCTTGAATGGCTCACTTGGTTAGAGCTTCATGCGGAAGCAGTCAGTATGCCGAGAGGTCGTGGGTTCGATTCCCACCTTCGCATCCATATTTTCCGCCTTTCTAACCTGGCATGTTACTCGGTATTTGTGTTTGCACGTTTAGGTGTGCTGCGGTGCGTCTGGCCGGTTTCTACCTTGAGTCCGGTTTGTCTCCCCCGTCTTGCGGCGCGGCCATTGCTATTCCTCCCTCTGTTTCTCCTCCTCTCTGGTGGGTTTTGATGCCGTTTACTTTATTGGTCGTCCCCTCCCTTTTAGCAGCTCCCCTAACCTTTAATTTAAAAACATGCTTTTTCCCGCCGAATCACTGTTAGTCTTGCAATATATGATCATACCGATTCCGCAGTTGATTACATTTGTAGATAAATAAAAAAAACAATACTAAACTGAGCTAATAAAGCAATTCCTGTAAATGTCATTGATATATTTGATCGGCTGGTACCTAAAGCCATATTGCGGCACAATGCCAATAAGAGGCGAGTGTTTAAGCCAACCATTCCGGTCCGCAGACAATTTAGAAAGAAGCAGAAGCTAACGGTAGTAACTGACGTCAGCCGTAATCTATAGCTAGGATATAAACAGTGTTTTGATTGAATTGAATAAAGAATATCTTTATCATCTCATCTAATATTGTATACATATATACCATCCATATATATTGTAAACGACATAAATGTCAGACGCTTATATATACAGATAGTATATGCAATCTGAGATCTGATCGAGATGTATAAGGAAGTAGATATGAAGAGTGTGCAGGAAGATGTTATAGCCTTTTAGTTGAATGGATAAAATGTTGTCTTTATTACTATTAGATTTGGATATCGGTTTTATCCAATGTAGCTTGTGTAATATTGTGTGCTATCCAAGTTAATCGCTGTTTGATGTTCCTGGTAGCTGGCGCTCTAGGTTTTAAACCTGCGCTTCTTATTCTTGTTTGTATTTAGCCTGTCAATAATATCCTGCAGATCTAAATCACTATCAGAATACCCTTTAACCCTGACATAAATGTCGTGCCTAAATTTAGGTTTAAGCCAGATTTGAAGAAAGCGATTAAAAGGCGCCAGCGTATACTCGAAGGTTCTGGAAACTGATAGCAGGCATTGATTTGATTATCAGTTGCTACATCAAGTATTATATCTACTCGAAAGTTACATTGATTAAGTAATTATTGATCGTAGAAATAGTATAAATATAAGTTGTAAATGCATTCAATAAACAGCATCTTTCAACATAATCACTAAGTATTAGTTACACTCTATTTCTTTGTTAACTCTACCTATTGGATTCATCTCACAAGACGATATAAAAATTGAATATTTTTATTTGAATATTCCGCTTGCCTATATATATATATATATATATATATTACGACAACTTCTGGCTTTATTGCCATATATCGCCCTGGAGGTGGCAAAGTATTTATGCACTTTTTGCAGGTATATGCTACGTTCTTCAAAAGCTCTCTAGGTTAATAAATTGATGCATTCGAGAATTTAACGTTCAACCATATTTTAAATGATATAAATACATTTAAATATATTCTCAACCAAACTGAAGCAGCGAATAGCCAAATAACTTCTTCATATATACCGTATATAGTAATTTAAAAAGTTTTACTAGCAGCATCTATTTAAAATTAACTATTTTCTAAAATCTCCATTTTCTCAACAACCATGCTACCTACGCAAATTTCGTTTGCACAATCGTCATCTTGGCAAAAAACTGATATAAGAACATGCTACTTTCAAAGCTCTAGCATCACTTTTTCGAAAATTGACGTTTGATCGTCCAAAAGTTGAAAACCTCAAAATCAAAAAACATTTTGTACATCTAGGTCTTCATAGGTGAAAAAATTAGAATCTCATCAAACTTAAATATGTTGTAGAATAATAATATTGGAGCAACTTCTTAGTGGAAACATTATACTGGAAATGCATACTTCATGAGATAATTAACATTGGAGATGCTATTTTTAAGCGGGGGAATATGCATGCTTTAAATTGCAAATCTTATTATTATCGAAAAAAGCAAGCTACAACTATCTAACCTTAAAAGCAAAATTCTCCATCATGTCAAGTATCTATTGATAACTTGAAACTAGCAAGTTAATATGGCCCTTTTTGTACGCTCCAATTTTTAAAATGCTCAGTCAAATGCATACATGTGTTGTGTACACATGCCAAGGCTAAACGGAGATTCAATTTCTATTATTCTGAATGATGATCCATAGGATTCCGAAATCTATCGACCTTAAAATTACGCGTTTCTTGATAGTAAACACCCCTTCAAACTTATATGAAACTTGTAGAGAATTCAAAGGAGAATACAATGATATTTGTTTCAAGTCTCTGGTGTACATTGTTCACCTGATATTTGATGCGATTGTTTTTGCAGTTTTTTGACCGTTTTCAAAAGATTAATCAGTATCTGTTATCAAAACATTTTGTTAAGCATTACTACACATTGTAAATCAAAAAATTTCCTATCGAATGAGCTATTGCTTGAAGCTCTGGCATGACTCTATCATGAAATATTGACAATCTTGTCCTGACCAAAAAATCGTCAACAGATTTTTTGCTTGCTATCACACGTAGATTTTGAAGAAAAATCCATGATTTTGCATGATACCCTTTTTTGACCATATCTCGACAAATATTCACTGGATTCGCACAAAACAAAGGCCATTCGATAGCTCTACGTTATATCCATTATAATATGAGGGTTTTAAGTACCAAATGTACGTTCCCTTCATAAATTTGCTGAAATTATATATTTTATGAGCTACAAGCAGGGGGTATTCTTTTTTTTTTATCTATAATAACCATACCATCGTATAGATAATTGAAAAAGAAACAGAAGCTATTAAGTTTGAAGCTCTCATTTACTTTGTAAAATACAGAGGTATGGCCCTTTGAAAATCGGTCATCTGGAACATTTTCCGTTATTACTCATCGACATCCCCTTCAATAAACCCACATCAAACATGCCCTACTCAACCAAAGTACCCTCTACAACTTTCACTGCACATATATCCCACATTCATATAGTAATTTAAAAAGTTTTACTAGCAGCATCTATTAAAATTAACTATTTTCTAAAATCTCCATTTTCTCAACAACCATGCTACCTACGCAAATTTCGTTTGCACCATCGTCATCTTGGCAATAGCGGGGTTTGAAACCAAAACCCCCGCTATCGAAGTTGGAAATTACGGTTGCCTTCTATTTGCATACAATGTTCGAATGAGGCAGTAGTTGCTTTTGAACTGCTATCGTTTGCTAGTTTAAAGATCTGGTATACTGACGCTGCTTGACAATATAGCTTGAAGAGTTCCCAGTGGTAACTGCAATTATAATCTCATGGTGTCAATTGGGTAATAATATGACATGAAGTGGAATAAGTTCTATCTGACGAACGCTGCAATACTACGTTCTTTATTAAAAGTTTTCCAACAAATATTTTGCCATTGGGAAACTAGCAATATTACCATTTCCACATGTCGAACCACTGCAATGCTTTGCTGAGAAGCTGTCAATTCACTTTCGTCTAAGCACCGATCCATTAAATTTTCGACCATTTTTTGCAATCTACAGCTTCCATGCAAGGCGGCTTTCTAACGTAAGGTACCAGCTCGACATGCATATGTCTCAGTAATATGTTCCTGGTTAACTTGCACTAAATATTTTTTGGAGAGTCATCTTGAGCAAACAAGATAATTCTGTGTTTATATCATGTTACTGCTCTAGGGCTTACCATAAATTTTGCCCTTTAGAAGACAATAATCCTTCTTCTTTTTAGGTTGGTGCATGAGAAAGGCGTTACTTTTAGTCAGCGAAACAGTTGATTTCATTCCATGTAGAAAAGCTTGATAGGGATTTTGAACAGGTGCATGTGCAGTTCTACGCATTGCCAAAGAAATTTCCTATGCAATTACCTTATAAAGCATGTATATGTAGTTTTTTGAACCTAATTTAATAAGAAACTTTCTTCTTGAGTATGTATCGTTAGCATAAAACTGACATCAAAATCAAGAGTATGATAATACTTCTTCATATCCAATACAAAGGTTCTGGAATTTCGTTTGATTGAGCTCCAAGCATCTTACTCTATGCTGTATAAATATTTCTAACTTTTTGACATTATGCTATTGGGTAGGTATCATAAACACTAAGCTAAATGCCTTGATCCCATTGATGCTAAGATCAATCAATGGATGAACTAAAAACAAATGGCATGTTGTTAATGTTGAACATTACTAAAATGGTTCGTTGTGCTCAGACTGCATTTCTCTAATGCATCTTAAATGCATTCAGTCAAAAAGCACCTACGCGAAGCAAGCAGCTGACTAAAATCCTTAGACCATATAACCTTTATTAGCATGACTTTATATTCAATCAAAAGTTAACAAAATCACATCAACGGCGAAATGAGAAGCAGCTGTATTATAGTATACGCAGCAATCAGGGTCGATTAACTTCTATTATCGACGTATCTCGGTGCTCTTTATATCTTCACACATTAAGTAGATGAATGCCTTCACATCTTGTACAGTATAGGATACACATTTAAGGTGCGTGTTTCACCATATCAATTCTCTAGATGACGTACATGGAAATTGTTTACGATGTGGTGTCCTACATAAAGAAAAAAAAAATTGCCAGTAAATCACAACCGCGCGTAAAAAAAAACTAATTTAGTAGTTCTTTTTCTTCTCTACATATTACAGAAATACAAAGGAGAAAGCCATCTATCATTGACGACGACAATAAAACCATCAACAACAACCGTATCATTTAGACAACAACAACATTTGAGCACAAACGAAAATGACGACGAAATCCACCTCACAAGAAACCCTTTCACTGGGAAAAAAGCTATTCGATGAAGGCTATGGCAGTTTATCTACCTTAAATAACGCCATGCAGGTCATGGAAAACGTCCAAGTATCAGAGGAATCAATCTCAAGAGCTTTAGCCATGCTTATTAGATCGCATGCTAAACTTCAAGGAAGCGCAGAAGGACACACTTGGAACATTGAAAACTTTGTAAAAGCAGCTTTAAACAAGGTGGGCCCCACGTCTTTTTCGTAGCCATCCGAGTAAACAATACCCTAACATGATCTTGATTTAGAATCCTAATTTAAATTGGGTAGCTGTATTGGCAAAACTAGATCAAGTGGAATTTATGCTGTATGATCCCATGGGGTTGAAAATACTTGTTTTATCTTGGAAATATGCACACAAGGTACTTTCAGTAGAGTGTGTTTGAAACGAAACAGAGGTTAATCATGGGATCTCAACATAGGACGAGCCCTTTCCTGTTGGCATTTTTCTTCAACCATGGATGCATGTTCGAGGTCAACTCAGCGTTTTATATCATATGGTCTACGCTTCACCCGAGTTATTGGATATGAATCAAACGCCCACCAAAAAAGTGATTCCAAAAGAGTTAATTCCTATTCTACCTATCAGTATGCGTCAGGCAGCCACGCAACTGGCTTCACAACAGCTGAACTGTTTGGGGCTATTAGAGGCCATCATGGATTTAGCTGGAACCGTGGCCTCAGAGGATGTCAAAGTGCTAATGGATAGATTAGCTATTCAAGCGCCCGAGTTACTGATGATTGGCTTGGCACAGATACAGGTAAATTGAGTAGAGATAGCATTGCTAAACAGCGAGACTCACTGTGAAAATGGAGCAGCCCATTAAGAATGAATTACATCGCACACTTTTACCCAAACTTCTCAACATCTTTCTCATCGGCCATGTCAACTCACCACTTGTGATTCGATTACTCTGGCATGTTCAACCCAATCTATTGCTGGAAGGTTTCTTTGAGATGTACAAAAAGGATCCAACATCTGTTTCTCGTATTTTAGACATTGCACAAGAAGCAAAGGTAAGCGTCAAATGCTATTTGAAAGAATTGCTCTGACTTGCGCTTAAAATAGATTGTAGTTCATATCTTAAAGACGGATGTTCCCTTTTTTACACTGGATTTGGCCTCACTGGCTGCTCGCCGACAAAATTTGAATTTGGAAAAATGGTTAATGGAGAGATTGGCAAAGGATGGTTTCGCCTTTTTCGGCGAATGTGTGAATTTCTTGGAAAAGAAGTGTGCTATAGAGATGGCTCGACAATCAGGCGCTAATGTGATTCCAACCCTGCAGCTATCCATGGAAGTGATTCGCATCTTCTTTCGCATCCTGTCTGAGAGACCTTTACCTCCTGCCGAGACAGCCAAACTCACGAAATTGAGTCAATTGTACACTCAACTTTACCCTCAATTGAACGACAATCGAGGCCAAATGGAAAAGAAGCCGGCTGGTTTGAGTGTAGGAGAGCCTGCAGAAAACGAGCGAAATTACTCAGACGAAGTGGAGGAGATGGTGCGCTTGTATTTCGAGAGACTGTACACCAAAGATATCAGTGCTAGTCGATTTGCCTCGGTGTTGAACGCATGCCGTTCCTCAAAAGATCAAAGGCAGGCCAACTTCTTTTCTTGTACTACTCACACTTTGGTAAGCCGTATGGAGCAGTTGACGTGTAAGCAGTGATTAACCTATTGTGGATATAGCTTGATGAGGCTCGCTTCTTTAGTCAATATCCCGAGAATGAATTGATGGCAACTGGTGAATTGCTGGGTCTTTTGATCAATCAACGTCTCATCATGTACGCTCAGCTACGCATGACACTCAAGCTCATCCTGGATGCTCTCAAGTACCCTGTTGGATCCAAAATGTTCAATTTTGGTATCCAAGCGTTGGCTCAATTCCGTGGTCGATTGCATGAATGGCCTCAGTACACTCTTTTGCTGTCTAAAATTGAGGGTTTGCGTGGATTCCCTACCATTGTGGAAAGTATTGCAATGACATTGAAACAATTGGCACAAAAAGACCCTGAAGGAAAGATGATGGGACTCGACACATCGCCTTCTTCATCGTCCTCGCCTAAAATGTCAACTCCCACCATGTCCAATGCCAATGCTCCTGCTTCAGCTACTGGAACCGGAGGAGGAGGAGGAGATACGACAGCTGAACGATCTGCCGATGCTGCGCTCAATGTCGCCATCTTGTTGCAGAGCACCTCCAAGCAATCGTACCAAGATCCGCCTGATAAGGTTCAGGAACGAGTGTCTTTTCTGATTAACAACTTGTCTGCTACCAATATGCGAAGCAAGACTGTGGAACTGAAGCAGCTGCTACATAAATCAACGTGGGGATGGTTCAGCCATTACTTGGTGGTGCGTCGTGTCAGTATCGAGCCCAATAACCACGAACTGTACGCTGCTCTTTTGGACGAACTCGAAATGCAGCATCTAACAGACACCGTCATTGAAGAGACCTACCTCAACATTCACCTACTGTTGCGATCGGACAACATTGTCAAGTCTTCTTCTGACAGAAACTTACTCAAGAATCTGGGCACTTGGTTGGGTCGATTGACCATTGCAAAGAACAAGCCTATTCGTCATAAAGATCTCTCATTCAAGGATCTGCTCGTGAGCGCCTACGAAAAGAACCAGCTTGTAGTTGCTATTCCATTGACATGCAAGGTGTTGCAACACGCAGTCCATAGCAAAATTTTCAAGCCTCCAAACCCTTGGTTGATGGGCAGTTTAAAGGTGCTTGCTGAACTGTACTGGACGGAAGGCCTCAAATTGAACCTCAAGTTTGAAATTGAAATCTTGTACAAGACATTGAACCTGGACTTGAATGAGATTGAGCCTACTTCTTTGATGGGCAAGAACGGACCTCCCGGCATCTCTGTTGCTGCTGCTGACAAGGCTGCCAGTGTCGCCAATTCCCCTGCTACGTCTCAAAAATCGATCCATGATACTTCCAACAAGACGGCTGTGGAAGAAGCGCCTTTGCAACCACCACCTATGGGCATGCCCAGCTCACTGACCAGTCCTGCTATTGCTGCTCAAGAGGTGCGTCAAGATATCGATATCACGCCTGTGTTGGCCAAGCTTCAAATCAACCCTGCCATCGGTCAACTAATGAACCAACATCCTGTCATTAAAGCGACCATCTTTGCTGGTGTTTCTGAAGCTTTCTCTGAAGTAGTGCCCCCCATCATTACCACCTCTGCCAACATTGCTGCCATGTCTACCAAGGAGCTCATCTTGAAGGACTTTGCTACTGAGCCAGATGAAAGCCGCTTGCAGCGTGCTGCTCATGCCATGGCGCAACCTTTGGCTTGTAGCCTATCTGTTGTCACTTGCAAGGAACCTCTATGTACTGGTATCATTACTGTTATTTGTGCCAATTTGGCTCAGAATGGACTTCCCGAGCAACTCGCTGAAGAGATTGCTTCTACTATTGCCAATGAAAACATAGAAGTGCTCTGTATGTATATTGATCAATTGACCAAGATCAAGGCGTTGGAGGACGTGGACCGCGCTTTAGCACCTGCTTATGCCAGTCGTTTAGCGTATCGCAAGCAGCAACAACAACAGCAAGGCAACGGTGAACAATTTTTTGATGTCTTGAGTTTGAAGGGTGCTCCTCACTCTGTTCAATTGCCTGAGCCTTTGCGTCCTAGTAATGGTATTAGCCCTGAGCAATTCCGATTGTATGAGAGCTTTGATCAACGCTCCTTCCTCGCTGTTCAGCAACAACAACACCATCAACAGCAACTCCAACAGCAATTGTCGCCTGCTCATTTCCACCCTGAAGCAATCAATCATCATTTGCCTCCTCATCAGCTACCTCCTCAGCAAGCCTTCATGGGCAGCGAATCACCTAGCCCTGCTCTTGCTAGCAACTCGAATCTCTTGAACGCTAAATTAGAGCAAATGCTGCTGGAATTGGACCGTTTGATTCGTCAATCAGGCATCCATGCGATTTCTCAACTACCACCCAATCACGACATTTGTCTATTGATCCGTCAAATACCTTTGCTCGTTTCTCAAAGCCCCTCTCCTTTGCAGACCATGATTACCTTTGTGGAAAAGGTGGTGCTCATGCTGTATCAAAGCACAACTGCATTTGCATTGGAGGTGTACACCATGTTCTTGCAGTCTTTGTTTGAGATCTCTGGTGAAGTGACCAAGGAGACGCTGTCGTGGTTGATCTACGCCGATGATGAGCGCAAGTACAATGCACCTGCTGTGTCCATGCTGATTCGTTATGAGCTCTTGCCCTTGGAGGAATACGACGTACAGCTCGCTAAACTGATCAACATCAAGGCGGACAGCGTGATTGAGTTTGCTGCCAACTTGATGCGCATCTGTCTGCTGTCTCAAAGCCCCATTACCTTCCTGGAGGACCACATCCTGACCGTGTCCTCTCTGTACAAGCTGGTTCAAAACGACGAGGCTCCTGCTGCCGTTGTCTCTCTGATCAATGATCTCAAGAAGCTGATTGAAGAGCCCTATAAGGAGATCAAGCAAGACATGGATTGTCTTGAATTGCGCATGCTCTTGGCTGAATGGATCCGTTTATGTCAGCACCCCATGGCGACAGACGACATCTTCCGTTCTTTGGCTCAGCGTGTGATGGATATCACCAAGGATGAAGACTGCCGTTGTTTCTTCTTTAGACTCTGCACCGAAACCTGTGTCAACCATTATCTAGCCTTCCGCTCTGTCAGTTCGCTGCATCATCGTCGCATGGTGCATCTGATTGACTCCTTTACCAAGCTGGTCTCTACCATGGTGATTGAAGAAAAGACGTCTGACAAGGCCAAGGTCAAGCTGTTGAACGACGCTCTGTCTGTCATGATTCTCGTATTATCGCATCACCATCAAAACAGAGGCGTCGAGTTCAATCAAAAGCCCTTCTTGAGACTGTTTGCCTCTCTCTTTAATGAAATCAGCAAGATCCGTACCAAATCCATCGACGCCAGCGCTCTCATCACGTTCAGTGATGCCTTGTACACGCTGCAACCCAGCAATTTCCCTGGGTTTGCCTTCTCATGGCTTCAGTTGATCTCTTGTCGCTCCTTCCTGCCTCAATTGTTGGTGGCCAATGACAGCAATGGTGCTATGCTGTGCCAAAAACTCATCACTGCCTTGCTCAAGTTCTTAGGCCCTCTCTTGAAGCTGCAAGAGCTTCCTCATGCGACTAAAATGTTCTACCGTGGTACTTTGCGTGTCCTAGTTGTCTTGCTGCACGATTTCCCCGAGTTCCTGTGTAGCAATTACATTATCTTTGCTCAGGCCATTCCTCATTCATGCGTGCAACTTCGCAACTTGATTCTCAGTGCGTTCCCTCGTGTCATGCATTTGCCTGATCCCTTCACGCCTGATCTCAAGCTGGAATTGATTCCTGAATCAGCAGAGGATCCTGTGTTTGATCAAAGCTATGCTGACATTCTAAATGAGAACGGGTTCAAGGCTAAGATTGATGCATTTGTTGAAAACAAGGACGCTGCTTTCTTCCAGGTCTTGGATAGTCAAATCAACGCTGCAGCCGCTACCGAGCATGAGGTCGACAGCCACAATGCAGATATGCTCTGTGCTTTCGTCTTGTATATTGGAACCAAATGTGCCCCATGGAAGGATGTCGCTATTGCAGAAGCGCCTGCCGTCATAGCCTACGATCATTTGCTCTCCACTTTGGAATCAGAAGGTAAAAGTAAAAGCATGTGACCAGTAGATTGTTCATGTACTTATACATTGTTATAGGTCGCTACACTTTGTTGAGTGCCATTGCAGATCACTTGCGTTATCCCAACAGCCATACTTGCTTCTTTAGTGCTGCATTCCTTCATCTGTTCTCCCGTCAATCTGAGGCTGTCAAAGAGCAAGTAACTAGAGTGCTCTTGGAGCGTTTAATTGTGAACAGACCTCATCCTTGGGGATTGCTGGCCTCGTTCATTGAACTTATCAAGGATCCCAAATTTTGGGATCATGAGTTTATTCGTTGTTCTCCCGATATTGAAAGATTGTTTGATAATGTATCCAGATCCATCAAGCATACAGCTGTAGTCAATGCTTAGTTGTTTAATAAATAGCCTCTTTTTATTATTGTTCTATAGTTCTTCATGGTCATGCTTGTTTGCTTTTGCTGATTCCGATGGCGCTCTACCCGCGTACGGAGGAGGAGACTCCAACTTCACCCGTTTGTCTGCGTACAGGGCATTGACCTCATTTCCACGGATTTCCAATGCCCCTTTGCCGCTGTTGTATGCTCTTGAGATGCCAATGTCAATCAAAATGACCTTGCCGTTACAACGCGTGCGAATAGCTCCATCATGCTGCACAGTATGCCCAACCACCATGCGATTGGCTTCCAAGAGCTCTAATGCTTCATCCAACACACTGCAAATTTCCTCCTCCTCCTCTAGTGCATATCCTCTGTACCAAGTAGGCCCCACACCACCAAAAATACCATGCGATTTACCACGACGACCCTGGGATTCCATGTAGGTCACTATGGTTTCGTGTGTCTTGTCGTTGATCCAGTTGATGCCCAATCGACTAAAGTGTGGTGTAATGCCGCCGTGACAAAATACAGTGCTGCCTACTTTGGTGGTGATGTTGAGCAATTTGAGGTATTCTCCAATAAACCCATCCTTTTCAAAGGCCTTTTTGCGAGCTTCCAATCCACCAAATGTCTCTGGTTCTCCTGGATACACGTATCGCCAATCGCCCACCAAGTTCATTAGCTCGTGGTTGCCCAAGAGAGGAATGACAAGTCCACCTTGCAATGGTGCTTCATCACGCAAATTCTGCAAAAGATCATACAGCTTGATGGTGTCTAATCCTCTATCCAGAACATCGCCCTACAAGCCTCCAGATGAGTAAATGGTACATATGTTTACTGCTGGAGAGCACATACGGTTTGAACAAAGATGGTATCACCACCAATCCAGTGGTTGTCTTGATCAATGATGTTTGAAAACTTGAGGATTTCCAGTGTATTTGCTAGATCACCGTGTAAATCACCCAATGCCACAATGCGACGATCTTGATCTACTGATAGTGCAGCAGAGACAAGGCCACTGAAAAGTAGGCAGCCTGCTGAAATGAAAGAGACGAGTTTAACCATCATTGTGGTGGTAGTGGAGGTAGTAAAGAAAGAGGAAGGCTCAAATTGCCTTATATTTTTTTAGGGCTTTATATATTTATCTGTTGTGTGTCACTCTGGGGGTTGGATTGAAATGCCACCATCAATAACAAGATAAAGCAGTTACACCAAGAGAACCAGCACATACAGAAAAGAACATGATTTATTAATTGCTAGTGTTGGGAGAAGCTGATCTGGAGCGATCTTTTGATCTCTTCCAACCGCTAGATAACGAGAGTTTATTAAGCTTTTTCTCTGTGCGTTCATCTTCGGCTGTGTTGTTGTCCTCTTCGCTTGTGTTACCAGTAGCGCTTCCTGCACTACTGATACGCATTAATCCACCCAATTTCTTTGCTTTATTGATTTTATCTTCTGGTCTGACCACAGCCACTGGTACTGGTGAATGCTGGAGACAGTATTTAGACACGCTGTTGAGGAGCATGCCCTTGAACTCAGAGAGACCTCTTGTGCCCACAATCAAGAGCGATGGTTGATACATGGTAATCATGTGTTGGATCGTTTCTTGCACCTTGCCAATGACGAATTCAATGACTACGCTTATCTGTGCATGCCTCTTGTAAATATACACTCTCCATCCGTCGTGTTCATCCACCACTTACTGCCTTTTCCTCGCCACTGTTTTTCAGGATCCTCTTCATGACCTGATTTGCTTTGTCTCTGGATTGCTTGGCTTCGTGTTCCAATAGACTTGCGAGATTTGCCTTTTTATCTATTCAATAGTTTGACATTCATGGCACATGTAGCAGAGATAAGAGAGCGCTTACCATTCATATCAACAGTAACCACCCGCAATACGATCAATTCATCACCATCATCCATGATTTCCTAGTTGAAATCAGTCAATTCTCGAGCAAATTGTCATTGCAGCCACTGCTTACATCTGTAGCCCATGTGAGCGCATATTCACTGTAATTTGCTAAATCAGTAGCCACCATGAATGTTCTCGAGCGTCTGGTACGCTTGTATGTCTGTGATCTTGCTCTCAATGTGAATGAATAGTTGGGGAGATCCTTATCTGTCATTGTATCAAACGATACAACGCGAACAAAATTGTCTTTGGCTGCTGCAGTCGTCATAATGTGTGCGTGTCTATGGAGAGCGAGAGTTCTAAAGAAAAGAGGTTGAAATATATATTTTCCACCCGGGGGTTTATATAGAACATGATGTCTCTCTGTATAATGCGATGAAACACCGCGAGACATTGAACATCATGTAAGGATGGGAGCCTGGCCTGGCAGTAATAGAGATAAGCAGTACACGGATGCTGCTCTATCCCACCTCCTTTTTTTTTTTTTTTTTTTTTACCAATTTGAACTAGATCATGTGTGGCTCCAAATAGCATGATTCATGCAATTTGCTGGTTAGCAGCTCCCTAGTTTCCAATCACTTTCTGATTTGCGGAACTGGGTCAAGAGATGCGTACAGTTCATCATTGGCCAAGTGGTAATTGAAACACGTCATAGTGCAATTTATATCCTTTCCATCTGTAGGTTCATTTCTCTTCTTTTTCTCTCTCTCACACATCTTTCAATCATTAAAGACATCTGATATAAAATGGTAAGCTAGTGGAACTAGAAAAGGGGCTCAGTGCTGACAGGTTTGGCACATCTGTAGGATACAGATTACGACGTTATTGTTTTAGGCACAGGTTTGACTGAATGTATCTTATCTGGTCTTCTCTCCGTGGATGGCAAGAAGGTGCTCCACATGGATCGTAACGATTATTACGGTGCTGAATCTGCCTCTTTAAACTTGACTCAAGTAGGTATCCATTATCCTTGAACGAGACCCCAAAGGACTCAACATGTAAGCGTATATAGTTTTACAGCAAGTTTAGACCTGGCCAAAAGGCTCCTGAGAGCTTGGGCCGTGATCGCGAATGGAACATTGATTTGATCCCTAAATTCATGATGGCTAACGGCGAAATTGTGCGCTTCTTGACCCACACTGACGTTACTCGTTATCTTGAATTCAAGCAAATTGCTGGTTCCTATGTCTACAGTGGCGGCCGTGTGAGCAAAGTGCCTGCTAATGCCGCCGAGGCTCTTTCATCTCCTTTGATGGGCATTTTCGAGAAGCGTCGTATGAAAAACTTTTTGGTTTGGGCCGAAGCTTACAAGGACAACGAACCTGCCACGCATCAAGGTCTTGATATTGATCGTAACACAGTAACCGAAGTCTACAAAAAGTTCGGTTTGAGCACTGGCACCCAAGAGTTCATTGGTCATGCCATGGCTCTTCATTTGGATGATAGCTATCTCAATCAAACTGCTCGTGACACCATTGAAAAGGTCAGATTGTACGCTGCTTCTGTGCTTCGCTATGGTAAATCCCCTTACATTTATCCCTTGTACGGTCTTGGTGATTTGCCTCAAGCTTTTGCCAGGTAAGTGTTGTTGATAGAGTGTTCTCGATAGTGGCTAACAGTGAGATAGACTTTCCGCTGTTTACGGTGGTACCTACATGTTAAACACAGATGCCAAGGAGCTGGTTTATAACGATCAAGGCAAGGTAACTGGTGTCAAGGCTAATGGTGAGACCGTCAATGCCAAGATGGTTATCTGTGATCCTTCTTATGCACCTCTCAATGTCAAGAAGGTTGGTTCTGTTGTTCGTGCCATCTGTCTTTTGACACATCCTATTCCCAGCACAAATGACAGTGATTCTTGTCAAATTGTTATTCCCCAAAGTCAAGTGGGTCGCAAGCACGATATTTACATTGCCTGTGTCAGTGATGCTCATATGGTCTGTGCCAAGGGTTACTATTTGGCTATTGTGTCTACCATTGTTGAAACCTCTAACCCTCAAGAAGAAATCAAGGAAGGTTTGAAGCTTTTAGGCCCCATTCAAGATGTGTAAGTAGAGGGAAATCTGGGTATATGCAGGATAGTGATTGATGGTTTGATTACATCCTATAGATTCGTCCATGAATCTCCTTTAGAGGTCCCTATTGAAGATGGCAAGCAGGATAATGTCTACATTTCTCGCTCTTATGATGCTACTTCTCACTTTGAGACAGTCTGTGATGATGTTCATGACATGTGGCGCCGTATCACTGGTGAGCCTTTGGTTCTCAAGAAGAGAGAGAACGAGGAAGATGTCAATGCCACCGCCTAAGTTTTTTTTTTTTTTTTTTTCTTTTTGTATCTCTTGAATCTGTTTAATTAAATAAAATGTACGCATGAAATCTGGAAGGGGAAATTAGGTGACAATTAGAATGTAAGGTACATTGGATGTGAAATGTTCAAATCAAAAAAGTGCATGTGTTTTCATGCCATGTTGAATCGTATTCTCTCTTACGCGTTGGTGGTAGCTTGCTAGCATTTGTTCATAGGCTGTTTGATTGGCTGATAGACACTGCTTTTGACTGCCTGCGACATTGTGTGTTGAAGGGCACTAAAGAGGAAGACCCACATTGTTTTACCTGTAACTTTTTATTTTTCTATTCATCATTCAGATACATCATGTCTCACGACCACCACGACCATTCCAACTGTAATCACGACCACGGCTCGCATTCTCATTCCCATGGCGACGCTAAAAAAGTAAACGCTGTCAATGATGAACTTTCTCTTCGCCAACAAGCTGCCGATAAACTCGCCAAGGTACATTTTCATTTTTATATCAGACTGAACCCAATGGATTGACTCCTTTTAGTTCCTGGTAGAATTGCAAGAGCTAGCTAACCAACACAGAAAGGCCACTCAGTAAGCTGCACCATTCGGTCATGTCCAAAACACGCTACTGACATTTGTATAGAGTCAAGACATCTGCGGCACCTGTCAATAAAGCCGATGTTGATCTTTTGGTAAATAGTTAGAATAACCAAGACAGACTCGAGACACCTTGTTGACACTGTTTCTCTTGTAGATGAAAGAAATGCAAATCACCAAAGCAGAGGCAGAGTCGACTTTGAGAAGCAACAAGAACGATGTGGTTGCTGCTCTCACCTACTTGACCAGCCATTGATTGAATGGCATAGATTACCAATATTAGCACTTTTAATAAACATGCCAGCAAACAAAAGTATATCTATGATGGGATCCATGTGGAGTACAGCCATTATGCTTTGTTTATACGTATTAAATCTTTGGAAATCATCGAGAATCATGTAAATGAATAAAAGTCAAAATGCAAAAGGGCATTTCGTAATTGCTATTGCCTTGGTTTCCAGTTTTTTCATCTTTGGTTTCGATCAATGGAATGAATGTTTATTCATTACCTAGTTATTTGAATAAACCACATGCTCCATGTTGCGACATTTACCCAAGCGTTTGACATTGCTTTTCAACGTGGCAAAACGATATTTAATTTTCTCAAACCGACAAAATCAACCGGTCGCGCACTGTTCTAGTCCTTTTTCTCTTCTTCCAATACATATAAATCAACAAAAGATGGTCAAAACTACTATTATTGCACGAATCTCGGATGGACTTCCCTTGGCTGCTAGCATGGATGATGAGCAGGTAGTGTCGCGCCTTCTAAAAAAGATGCAAGAAATACCAACATATTGTAGGTTGAAACAGAGTTGGCCGAATACAAAGGTCAAGCCAAGACCATCTTTAAACGTTTAAACATCAACTCTGAGCCTCGTTGTTCTATTGAATCTGGAAAATATGTCTTTCAGTAAGTAAATGGAGAGCACGGACCTATGGAGGGTGTCTTATGTTGCATGCCATAGTTACATCATCGAAGGCAGCGTTTGTTACCTTTGCATCTGTGAGCAATCCTATCCTCGCAAGCTTGCTTTCAGCTATTTGGAAGAATTAGCCAAGGAATTCAACATGAGTTACGGTAATGAAGTCGATAAGCCTGGATTGAGACCGTATGCATTTGTCAAATTTGGTAAGAACACATTTATACATATCATGGAGAATCACTATTAAATCATGATGATGCTATCAGATACTTTTATGCAAAAGACAAAGAGAATTTATCAAGATACCCGAACTCAAAGCAATTTGACAAAGCTAAACGAAGATTTGCAAGATGTTACTCGTATCATGACCAAGAACATGGAGGATTTATTATGGCGTGGTGATAGTTTGGATCGCATGAGCACCATTTCTGGCGAGTTAAAGGATAGTGCAAAGATGTTTAAAGATAAAGCTCGTCATTTGAACTTGCAAGCACTGTATCGTAAATACGGTCCTCCTGTTGCTATTGCTCTTGTTATCCTCACTGTGCTTCTTATTCGCTACTATTGGTTTTAAGACGCTTGATAGTATACCACAATTATTTACTACATATCAATAAAGCATAGTTTTTTTATTTTTTTATTTTTTTTATTTTTATTTATTGATGCTTTCGGGCAATCCATTGAGATAGCCAACTCTCTTCGCCCGCTGATACTGAACTTGGCTCACTTATAGAAATAGTACCGTTCTTTTGATACAAGCGATGATTGCTCTCTAGTCTGTCAGTAATGTAATTGTAGTTGATCATGATGCCAAATGAATCTCGAATGCCCTTCTCGGATGTATCGGCCAGCCAATGGATTTGGTGCGCACAAGCACCGTTTCTCAAATGGAAGTTGGCTACTGGATCTAGGGCATTGTTGCCTACACGCTTCTCCGATAATATGTATCTCGAGCATAAGCGCATCAAGGGATCTTTCAGTTCTTCTTGGTCTTTACTGTTGAATCTACTCAGTTTCTGAGGCCCAAAATGAGTGTCATCTTTGTACAATCTTTCGTTTGTAAACACCTACTTTCTTCCAGTCTAATATATGCTCCAACTCTGCTTGAATGGTAGGATCATTGTCTACATGACTCGTCAGCCATTGTCTATATCCTGGCATTGGGCTTAATGTAGCAAACACTTTGAGCATTGGAAAGTGCCTTTGCAAATCATCCACTGCTTGCTTGATCAGGTAATTGCCTAAATTGATGCCACCTAATCCTTGCTGTGTTGTGATTGAGTAGCATATAGCATACTCAAAGTTGTTAGGATGCAAATCTTGCCTTGTTGGACTCGGTGCTTCCAGGATGGCTTGGACAGAGTTCGCCAGTGATGGCAAAAGAGCAACATGTACGAATACAAGCGGTTCGTTGGGTATATTATTCTCGAAAAACGCATACACTCGACGATCCGGCTCTAAGCGTCTCTTGATATCCTTCCAATCCTTGACTTGATGCACTGCTTCATATGAGCAAATCTAATCATATCATTCAACGACGATGTTCTCTTTCTCTCCTCTTCCTTGTCTGTCATTTCTTATTTACCTTTTCAAGCAATGCAGCTGAGCTATTTTCCCATGTAATCCTTTCCAACTTGAGAAATCCAATGACATATTTCTTAAGCTTAAGCCGAATATCTTGTTCTAGACTGATGTATTCGTTGTATGTGGCGCTCCCTCTTGGTCCCATCAAATCCTGCAACTTAAAGTCTCAATGAAACGATGTCATCTCGCCGCCATTCAGTGATTACTCACGAGTAAATCGGCTCTCATATCTGCCAGAAACTTGAGCCCGTTAGGTAATTGATGAATTCTGTCTAGGAATATGTTGTATTTGGGCTCTAAAAAGTATTGCAAATTCTTTTCTATCTAGTCTCTAATGTATGAGTGATCGCAGCCTTCATGCCAATTTGAAGTGTGCGGTAATTACCTGAGTAGCATCGCTCTTGCTTTTTGCATTAATGTATTCTCTTGCTTGCTTTAATGAATTCTCTCGATCAACGTCTAATTTGAACGAAAGGTTATTGATTGCCTCTAGCTGTGTCAACATCGCCTTTGCATACCAAATTCCTTGGAAAGCACATCAAAAAACTCCAATTTGCCATTCTATACGTATATCATCTTAGTATACGTATTATCACCATACACTCCTACGGCGTACCTTATCTAATTGCTTGTAAAACTCGCAACATTTCTCAGTAAATATAGGTGGTGGCAGGTTGTTGGTCTTTTCAGTAATCTTCTCTAATAATTCTTGTATATGCAGTCGATTGGAGAGCATGTCAGAATTTCTATGTTTGCCAGTATTAAAAACTGTGTAATTGTTAGTATGAGACAAGGTAAAGCTGTAAGTTAATCTGGTACCCACTTTCGAAAGGTGTCGATCTAGAGGGTGTCGCTGTTGCTGTTGCTGCTGTTGCTTGTACTTTGGAATGCTGTCTACGAATGATCTGATTTTCCTGAACAATAGAAAAATGGTGTCTTTGAAGAGCAAGACCTCTTCTTAAAGCTCTTTGCATTGTCTCTCTTTTGTTTTACAAAGAAAGAAGTGGCCGAAACAACGGAAAAAAGATTTATAGGCCCTTTTGTTGCCTTTCCACCGTGGGATGTAATTATAAACTCTAGATTTCACGTGCCAAAGGTCGTTACACATCATCAAGAATAAGAAAGGCCATTGCTTAGCATAAATGCAACTTGATGATGCGAACAATTCATTTTACTGTACTGCCAGCCATTTGCCTTGATCCTTTGGACATAAAAAATGAAAATTTCAGTTGAAGTCATGTATCTCGCTTAATTCATGATCCTAAACGAGATTGCGCTTCGTCAAGCAGGAGAGAGAGATACAGTAACGTTCCAAGTGTGTAGAATGCAGAAAAGAAACAAGAGACTCTGAAGTCTAACAGCCAGCATCGGTTCAAAGCTTGGATGCATATACATTTGGTTTTACTGTAATTTCCACATGGCCACAATTTCAATTCAATAGTTCTTTTCGGACCCATGTGCTCATCTTGCGAAAAAGCAAACTTGTATAGAAAAGCTTCAAAAAATGCTTGGTGCAATATATCTATTGATACTAATTGAACTGATCTACTACTATACACTAAACGTTTGATTTTTTTTTACCCCTTTGGTTTCTCTATAGACGACGTGTAAATGTGAATTTGACTCTTCAACAATGTTCCACGTCTGTGTCTATGGAAACAATTCATATACGGGCAGATAGCCTATTCGTATTGTCTCCAACTCTTCAAAAAATGCATACCACAGCGAAATTTGGAAGTATTTGGGCCGTGATTTCTCGCGTCAGGAGCCGTTTTAGACCTTCTAAGTAGCACCAAACGATCACTTTCGACTGGCTGGTGCTTGCCGGTACCTTTGCTCAACTGTTTTGAGATCGTCGAAAATCGACCAAAAATCGACCAAAAACCGCGAGGGATACCTCATGATTTTCATTGAAAATCAAACAATCGCATTTTTCACTATGAAAATGAAGAGTTTTACTATAGCATATATTGAATCAAAATGTTCCTCTAGATCCAAGGCAGCCCCTGAAACCTTATTTGTAAGGCCTTAGTATGTAAAATCTCGACATTTTGGCCAAAAACCTTGTTTCCTATTTTCAAACATTGCTCAATAAGTTTGTTCAAGACACCTATTATAAACAGTGCCATTAGAAGCGCCTTGAAAAGTACTCCTAGATTGCTTTAGAAAGTATGGGCTGATTATCACAGTTTCTATAGTCGAATCTAGCAAAATAGATCAAAAAAGTCGAAATGTGAACAAAAATCACCAAATTCAGACAAAAATATTGCGTCGGAGATTTAGCCACTTTTGGCTGGCAAAATCAATGCCATACCCATCCTGAAGGTAATTGACGCTGTTAAAAGCTGGTAAGAGGGGCATTATGAGTCGAGAAGTACTATAGCATAGACTCAATACAACATTTTGCTGTTGTTTTGCACTTTTGTGTTTTCGAATGTTGTAAAATGCTCTTGCAAAAGCGACACCTAATATGAAATGCAGGCTGTCACCCTATTTCAGATTGTACATGATGCCTCGAATGTTGACTCTAGTGTATCCAAAGTCCATACTATAAACTTCTATTGGAATTCTGTTTTACAAATAGATGTATTCTGCGTCAAATCAGATCACTGGATAAACGATTGGAATGCAGATCAGAACGAACGTATTGCTCTCAGTGGTGTTGAAATAGGTCCTTTGAGGACACTTCCTTTTGTCTATAGACCGCCTCATTTCAAGAATTCTTGGTGAGACACACGCTGATCATAAATTCAAGGAGCCAAAACTTATATTCTAAAAGGCGTTACATTGATAATGAGTTCAAGAACGAGCAAATTGGTGCAAAGAACCATACTCTTTTCTTTATTTGTCTATATAATGCAAGCGGCCCGACCCAAATTCCAGGTGGTAGACTGTCTATTATACAGCGTACGACATGAAAAGGGAAATGGAACATGTACATGACCCGTTGGAAGGTTCCTTGATTTGTCAAGTATGATCTTTACACAGATACTTCTAGCCCCAAAATTAATTTAGATAATTAAATGCATAATGTAAACAAATGGCAAATGACTAAAGCTACATGCTAATCATATCAACGCGCAGAGAGAAGCATCTCCTGGCCATTTATTGGTACAGAGATCTATTCATCTGCATCTTTATCTACAGGATCGTATCCATTGTAATGACAAAAATGACATTTGATCTAGTCAACTAGGGCATTAAAAAACGGACGGGCAAACAAGAATGATTTGTACTACTTGGAAGCAGCTTTCATTTACTTGATTTGTACATTTGCCATGCAGACGAATAAAATCATATCATGTACAACCATGACTCCGAGTGCTTAATGTGCTGTGTTGTGTTGAATGGAGCTTGTTGTAGACAGTAAACTTGCACTAACAAACCGTCACTGAGTGGTTCTTTCTCGTCTTCTGTTGCCAATCTCCCTAATATTAACCTAAATTGTCAGAAGCCCTTCTCCCTTTTTTTTTTCTTCTCTTTTCTCTCTCTCTCTCTCTCTCTGTTTCTTGTGCTGGTGTTTGCTTAGACCTGTTCCCTGTTCCCTGATACATATACACACACTTACTGGTTATAAATGTCTTTTCCATCTCGGTCAGAAGCAACCGTGGACGAGCAGCAATATCTCAAGAAGTACAATGGTCGTGCCCGCTCCTCATCATTCAATCATCCAGCTGTCCGCAGACAACAATCTGATTCCTTGTTCAATACTACACCATCACCCAATGCCAGTAGAAGAAGACCAAGCTTTGACTCCCATCAGAACAGACATCGCCAACAACAACAACGCATCAAAGCAAAAGCTTCTCATAGCAACTTTTTACAAGTCAGTTCACACCATCATGTAGGCGGTGCTTCTTCCATCGATGAATCAGGCTCAGAAGAAAACGACGATGACACTGACTCTCTATACCATGGAAATCCGCAAATACCAGTAGCTGCTATTTCCACACATCAATTAGACGCCAATACTACTTTAGTTGGTAAGTCGGTCAGGTAGTTGGTGGGCACACACAGGTTTACTCATACCAAACATCCATTAGACTCACCGACTCCATTATCTGCTGAAGAACACAACAGATCCCTTGCAAATTCATTCAAAGAAAAGCTTGTTATTTCACGTAAAAACACAAGGAAGGGGGCACATGGTAGCTCTTTGGATAAAGGAGGATCCCAAGGAGGTGGTGGAGGGGTATTCGGTACAATCCTTGGTAGTAGAAGTAGCAGCACAACGACTACACATAGCAATCAGCAATTGTATGACGATGGCTCAAATGCAATTTACCCTCCTCCTCAAAAACAGACAGGACAGAGGTATGTCATCCATTAGCAATCATGCGGATTCAAATCTTATATCGCACACATGTCACATAGAGATCAATACGGTTTTCTCAAGAGCTCTCAATGGATTTCTGAAGATGCTTTTAATGGGTTTGAGAACTATTATGCGCCAATTATGAAGCGAAGATCATTGAAATGGCGACAACTACTAGCAGAGAATGATGATCAATGGCCAGCAAGAAGCAGTAAAAGTAAATGTTCATGTCGTTTGCAAATCAACAGCGCACTCATATTCATACAGTCAAACGCTATATCCGAAAGGGCATTCCACCCGAATTGAGAGGACAGGTCGGTCAATGGCATCCGTTTCGCATGAATACATGTACTCAATCTCGCTCTTGCTAGGCTTGGCTGCATTATAGTGGAGCCAAGGCGAAAATGGACGCAAACAAGGGCGTGTATTATGATATAGTGCAACAAGCAGAAGCGATAGGAAGCCAAAACGAGAATCTTGATATCATTGAGAGAGGTATAGTGTGGACAGATGCACTGGATCAAACAGGCACACGCAGCTGACAGACAGTATTAGATTTACATCGTACCTTTCCCGAAAACAACAGATTTCGCCCTGAATCACACTGTCAAAACAACAACAGCACACCAGAGGAGAAAATGAATATACCAATCATCAAATCGCTACGACGAGTTTTACTTGCCTTCTCCATCTACACACCCTCCATTGGCTACTGTCAATCACTGAATTACATTGCTGGCATGCTGCTGCTATTCATGGACGAAGAAGAAGCGTTCTGGACATTCGTTACGTTGATCAACGATATACTGTCACCCAATACCTACGATGTCACCATGGAAGGCGCAAACGTGGATCAGAATGTACTCATGATTCTGATCTCTGAGAGATTTCCTCATTTGTGGAATAGAATGTCTGAAGGAAAGTCGTTTTGGGAGTGTGAGGAACAGGAAGGAACCGGCATGCCCACTTGTTCTTTGGTGACAAGCCATTGGTTTCTGACACTGTTCATCAACATTCTGCCAATTGAGGTAACTAGTGATTGGAAGCCATGTTTCCATGCCATTTTTTTTTTGCTTATTCATCCAACTGTATGTAGAGTGTGCTGCGTGTGTGGGATTGCTTGTTCTAGTAAGTGGATGCTGCGGCGGATAGCGTGCTGATCAGAGTCTTAATCAACATCTCGTTTTGCAGTGATGGACAAAAGGTGCTGTTTCGAGTTGCACTGGGCATATTCAAACTGAATGAAAACGAAATCATGGCTGTACATGATCCATTAGAGGTCTTTCAAGTGATTCAAAATATGCCAAAACGCATGGTGGATTGTCACAAGCTGATTGACGGCACATATCTACAATACGCATCAGCAACAAGAGTGAGTGACGAGGAGATTCGCGATAGAAGAGAGCTGTTCAAAAAAAGAAGAGATGAAAGACGTAGAAACATCCCCGTTCAAAAAGGCGGCAAGTTACTTAAAAGAGGCACGATGCGTGGAGCCATTATCCATCGAGCCAAAGAAGCTCGTTATTTTGTTGAGAGAGCTAAAACTGTCAGAAAATAAACAATGTGTGCCCTGAATTATAAAGCGCAAAGAGGCGTAGTAGCAATATAGTATATTAAATTGCAGCGAGATCTTTCCATGGCTTTCCAAGACCAACAGCTGTTGACTCGATTTCATTGGTACTCTAGTGTCAGTAGATTTTGATATTTAATTGAGCGTAAAACTGCGGCCAGAAATTTTTTCTTCTTCTTCAAATATAACTCACTTTTTTATAAATCTCTAAATATGTCTGGTAAGTTTGGTTTGTGAGCATGGCAATGGAATGGGAGCATTAATAGAGGGTGCTTTGGATGGATGTAGATTGGGATAAAACTACTATTCTCCGTAAGCGTGATCCTGCAAAGGCCAAGGTCACTCGCTCTGATACCGAAATCAATGCTGCCAGAAGAGTAAGTAATAGAAGTGATTTTTACGTGTTGAGATGAGGAAACCAACAGCCATGACTTACTAGGCTGGCGCTTCCATTATCACTGACAAAAAGTCTACTTTGACCAACTCGAGTCATGCTGATACCGATCATCGTCGTATTGCAAAGATTGATCGTGAAAACGATGTTGCTCCTCCTCCTCGTGTCGATGTCTCCGTTGGTAAGGCCATTCAAAAGGGCCGTCAAGAAAAGAACATTACTCAAAAGGATTTGGCCCAACTCATCAACGAGAAGCCTCAAGTTGTCAACGAATATGAGTCTGGTAAGGCTATCCCCAACCAAAATGTCCTCGGTAAGATGGAGCGTGCTCTTGGTATCAAGTTGAGAGGAAAGAACATTGGCGACCCTTTGACTTTTGGCAAGAAGAAGTAAAAACACTTGCAAATTATATACATATCTCTCTCTCTCTTATATACATAAAATCACCCATAATGTACACACATACATCCTTTTTTGGATTTTTTTTTGAATAAATTTTCGCGCCAAGATGCCGTTGGATGGCTGTAGATGATGATATCGCGTATTTTGACAATGCAAATCGTGTGTGCTTGCAATGGTTGGATAGAGAGGTGTCTACAACTGATCAAGCAATGCAATGCTGATGATTGATGCGCTAGCATTTAGCTTCGTTCATTCTGACATATGAAGAGCCTAAATTTCAAACTGAATATGAACAAGGTAGACTACAACATTGACAGCAACATCTCTCGATACTACTTGGCGACTAGTACGAACAATCTTCTCGCAGATGGACTTGTTGTGCTGTTCACCGTGCTCTCTCTCAAAATTTACCGCAGGACCAAAGCGATGAATGCCAGCCACCAGATGTGCGAGGAAATATGTCTTGGGAGCAATGGAAACAAACGCAGGATCGGCTTTGTTTTGGATGCAGTAGTTGTACAAGACCCTGCAGGCAGCGTGGCGATCAGCGATGATTTGGTCAATCGTAGACAGGTAACCTTCAACACCCTAGTTGATATTTCTTATATAGAGGAGAGGGAACCAACGAGATCGAAGCATCTAATGGTCAAAGCAAGAAGGTCATTGCCACCAAACGAGAGTATGCTTTGCAGTTGCCATAGATAGCCAAGACATCCTGCAGCTTGGTCTTGTCAGCCCTTTTAGTGAGAGCTTGCTTCCATTGAAAGGCCAACAGAAACTTGACAATACCCAAGGACCAAAGGGTGGAGGGTCTTAGCAAGAGTGTCCAGAGTTGGATCAAAGGACCACAAACGCAAGAATTCTTGACTTCCATTTTCACTATATACAAGAACATAATAATGCATCTAATTCAATAAGTGGTAACATTGATCTATATGAGGGTTGGATCGCAACAATGCAAAGGTGCAAACCTATGACAACTAAGCATCAAATTCAGCATTTGATAGCATTAATATATACGAGGGCTTGATTGTAACGAAGCGAATATGCACAACCATAGTATTCAAGCAGCATATTCGGTTTTTCATTTCCTTTATTGTCAAGCTTACCAGCAACAAAGCGCATCAAAATTTGCATGAATAAGCTCTACCAAAATCAATATGCCTCCTACTAGCATTAGAAGCTGCACAGGCTGTAGAACTGCCCTTCCAGTAAACTGCAGCTACCAAAGATGTAATTCATGCTGTGTAAATAAAAGCTATACAACAAAACATAACCACATTTGACAGTTTTCAAGCCTTCATATCTTGACATGTAGACCTTTATGAGCCACCGGAATGACGCCAAACAATTGTACTTGAGTAGTAGTAACTTCCTGACATCTTTGCTCAACTTTTTCGGCCAAAAAAAAACATGGCCAAAAATCGACCAAAAACCATGAGGTACCCCTCATGGTTTTTGACGAAAATCAAACGATCGCATTGTTCACCTTGAAAACAAAGACTTTTACTACGGTATATATCAAATCAAAATGTTTCTCTCGATCCAAAGCAACCTCTAAAACCGCTTTTTTGGGGTCTTCATATGCAAAATATGGCTATTTTCGCTAAAAGCCTCATTTCAAATTTTATTGAATTGCTCAATAAGTTCAGTCAAAATATCTATTTTACTTGGCACTATTGGAAGCGCCTTGAAAAGTACTTCAAGAATGTACTAGGAAGCGTAGGGTGATCATTACAGTTTATGTAGTCGAATACCATAGAATAGATTAAAGAAGTCGGCAAAAGACAAAATCTGTCCAATCTTGAACAGAAAAAAAAAAGGATCTGAGCGTGAATCAATTTTAGCGGCGGCGCTGCTGCTGGCTGACCTAAATGCTTTTCTGATGATGACAATGATGATTGCGATGCTGATTAAATGGAGATCATGGAATTGAAAGGACAGTTGCTTAGCGCAAAGACTTTTTTTGTGGAGCTTTGCCTCATGAAGCTGCCTTTTGCAATGACAGTACCTCTAAAAAGTCGCTGTAGATTTTACACAAGACCTGTATTTACTTATGACCCGCGTTATGTCGCCATCTTATTAAGAGCAGCAGCAACAGCAGCGAATGGTACAACAACTCTACTATCAGAAAATGACGATTGTAATGTACAAATACTGCATAAAACCTGAATTTTCTTTCATATTGTCTCATTAATAATAGGCTTCGTTTGATATCAGTGTATAAACAAAAAGGGTGCTGAGAGAGATATCTCCTCTTCTCCACTTTCTAGTTCTGATATAACCTAATGATTGATTGTTTAAAATCTACTTGGTATACTAAAATTTTATTATAACTAATTTAAAATGTCTTTGTCGAGAGCCCACAGGGCGACGCCAACATCGAGCAGAGCGAGATAGATCGTATGATGTACTCTCTGATTGCTTGATTTGTGTGTAGATTCATTTGTCATTTTGAAAATCACAAAATAGCCATCTGCTGGTGATTTGCCCCAAACATGTAATCAGTCTGTTGCTACAAAAACTGCGGAAAAAAGATCTAGACGTCTTGTTTTCATATGAAAAAACTGAACCATTGGATCCATGTTACAATTTGTGTAGCAAAATGACATAAATGCCAGGCGTCCATGTCGTCATGCTGGCACGTTCAAGCGGCATCAGAACGTTCCTGACGCTGCCGCTTTTGTGTGGTGGTTTCAGATGCATAAGAACAAGATCGCCATTCTTTTTCTCCTACTTGATCAGCTTTCTTTTTCCATCAACCCCTGTCTATCTCCAGTTTTTAAGAAAAAAGCTTAATTCTATCGACATGAGCAAAAACGTTACATCCAGCATCTCTACTCGATCCAAGGTAGCTCTTGTCACTCTTATCAGTGTGTCTGTGCTCGGCAGTGTTTACTACAGCAGATACAAGAGCAGCAAGAGTAACACGAAGAAATCCATCCAACTTGCTGATAAAAAGCTCGCAGCCACCATTGACGACAACTCGCTCTACAACGATTTCGTCGCCTCCTTGCCAAGCTCCCTCAACCTGATTGATGACAGTGCCGACAACTTTTTAAGCAGCCTTTTCAACTCGAGCTATTCTCCATCTGACTACATACCCGGATTCATCCCCACATCCATAGAAGAACTCAAAGAGCAGATGGCATCATTGTATCCCAACTTTCAGAGCCAGTTTGAAACCATTCGAGAAATGTACAATTCGTTTTGGGAGTTTTTGTCCTTGGAAGAGTTTAGAAATATTGTACGAGAGTCGATACAAGAAGATGACAACCCTGAAATGCACCCAGAAATCGAGCAGGATGCCTATGTGAGAACAGGCCAAGCATTGTCCGAAGAAGAAATCCAGTTTACAGAGGCAAGAAAGCAAAAGATGAGAGCAGCTTTTGCATTCTTCATTGGCGTGGATGAACATGAAGTCGAGATTGAAGATATTCCCAACATTGGCATTGCATCAAGGTGAGCTGCTTAAGCAGTGATTTAGGTTGACCATGTACTCATTTATGTATACAGTGGTGGTGGATATCGAGCCATGGTGGCTTGCTCCGGCTATTTGCATGCACTCAACGAAACAGGCATTCTCGACTGTGTCTTGTACATGGCAGGCGTCTCTGGATCCACATGGGCCATGTCCCAATTCTACAGTCCTCTGACCAATGCATCTGTGGATACCCTCAAAGACCATCTCACCAGTCGCATCCATACACACATTGCCAACCTATCCAACTTTTTAACGGTGCTCAATGCATCTCGCCACAATGCCAAAATCCTGTTGCACGGTGTTGTTCAGCGTTATTACCAGCAAAATGGAAGCATCAGCTTAGTGGACATCTTTGGCATGCTACTAGGTGGCACGCTGCTCGCAAAGAAGGTCACCGTTGCACCTCCCGACAAGGAGAAGAGTGAAAGAATGATGGAAAATGATGCTCATTCTTACACTGAAAGCATTGAGGATCCATCTGAATTGGGTCTAAAGAACAAGGACGACCATACGCAATCAGGCACGGTACACGAAGATGATGGCGCTGAAGTGAAGCCTCGTTTACTCAAGAAGAACGAGATCAAACTTTCCATGCAAAAGGATTATTTCCAAGATGGATCATTGCCCATGCCAATCTATTGTGCTGTCAGACATGAAGTGGAGTTAGCCAGCATCACCAAAGCTGCAACTGTGTCTTCCAAGCAGGGTCTGGAGCCATGTCAAAAGGTGGATGATGGTGAAGAAGAAGACGAGCCCTTTGAACATGTGGAAGCTGACGATACCAAGAGCGACGACGCCCAAGCAGAGACACAGGATGGCAACGAGGACAAGGCTGAAGAAAGAAAGGAAGTAGAAGATGACGAAAATGAAGAGCAGCAAAAACAAGAAGCCGCCCAAGAGACGAATGATTTGTATCAGTGGTTTGAGTTTACACCCTATGATATGGGCAGCGAAGAGATCAATGGTAAGCCGATGCATTTCTTGTCTAACGCATCATCTGATCCAACATATTCCATCTGTAGCCTGGATTCCTATCTGGGCATTTGGAAGAAAATTCGAGAATGGCAAAAACACAGAAAGACTTCCTGAGCAGAGTCTCGGTATACTGATGGGCATGTTTGGCTCCGCATTTGTGGCTAGTCTGGCACACTTCTACCAAGAAATCCGATTACTGCTACCCGCATCCGCCATTGAAAAAGCAGACGAGATGATAAACAGCTACCAGGCATCTGTCTCTACCATTCACCCCATCTCGCCTGCATCCTTCCCTAATCCATTCTACAAAATGTCGACCACTGTGCAAAGCAAGGACGCGTCTCAAGATAAAGAGGAAGTGCTACGATCTGAAAGTCTAGTGGAATCTGAATTGATCGGCTTGATGGACGCGGGCATGGACAACAACTTGCCCTTCTATCCTCTATTGAGACAAGGTCGGGATGTGGACATTATCCTTGCTATTGATTTAAGTGCAGATATCCAAGAAGCTCCTTACTTTGACCGTGCAGAAGGCTATGTCAAACGTCGCGGTATCAAAGGGTGGCCCGTGGGTGCTGGTTGGCCTCAAAAGGAAGAGGAACCGCATGAATCGGAAAAGTCAGATGCGGACCCTGTCAAAGTCGAGCACCAAAAGAAGCCATCAACTACGGAGGACAGCAAGCAAGAGCCAAAAAAGCCTAAATACGCTCTCGACACATGCACCGTGTTCGCATCAAGCTCTTCAGAAACCATCCCATCCAGCAGAGACGATGATACATCCGCCACCACCACAAGCTATCCCGAGAATACAAACCCCATCACCCTTGTCTATTTCCCTCTCATCGTCAATGAAAACTACGATCCCGAGTTTGATCCTCAAACAGCAGAGTTCTGCTCCACATGGAACTTTGTTTACAGCAGTGAGCAAGTTAATAAATTGCACGGATTAGCAGAGGCCAATGTCAAGGATAACTTGGAGAAAGTGCGCAAGGTCATCAAAGAAACATGGAAGCGAAAGCGAGACGAACGGTTAAAGAGAGAGAGGATTTAACTGGCATGTAAGCACGCGCTGTATTTATTAGCATCATTATGTACAGAAAAATAAAAAGAAATGTTTACAAGCTACACTTATTTACTAATTGTGTGCTCCAAGTCATGGAGATGTTGCACATCCTTGGCAGTGCCTTCGTTTTCGACCTTGCGAATCATTTGAGGATACAAATCCCAGTCCTCAGTGTCTTGCTTGGTCTTGTCAGTGTTGGAGCATTTGAATCCATTATCAATCTTTTCGCACTTTTTGCCGTTCACGGTGTCTCTGTAGACGGAAGGATGTGTCATGGCATCGATATCTTGTGCTTGTTGGTTCTTGGTAGTATCAGACATTTTTGTATATTTGTGTGGTTGGGTTTTCAGAAAGAAAAGGGCGATTTACTGGATTTGTGTTGGCTGTTACCTCCTATTTATATGCAAAATTTGTTTTTTACGATCATCCAAATGTTTCTGCTGGGAACTGATCGGATCTTAACATTGTGCTGTGTGTGTGTGTGTGTGTGTGTGTGTGTGTGTGTGTGTGTGTGTGGAGAAATATGACATAATGCACATTGAGAAATGACATATTGAAATAGTTACCATTCTCAACTGACGTAAATAACGCGCATTCATAAAATCTACTGCACGTTCTCGCTCAGCATGGACCGTGCCGTGTAGCATCTGTGCTCCTTTATGACATGATGTCAAGCCAGATACATGTCGGAAATGTATCATGTGTGTCTACAGTCAACTCGACATGAACTGATCCAAAGTGTGAACATGGCATGATTTGAACCTGGTTTTCCATGTCGCAATCGTGGGCTGAGATCAATCAAAATGAACGCTAATGATGCACTGCTATGATGTCTGCGCCATCAAAATAAGCTCTTCATACATAGAATGCATCCTACTTTTGCTGATATAATTAACCCTCAAAGTGCGATTTAGCCTCAATAATCCATGACAGCTAAATATAAGGGCATCATGTTGTATATATTCCACAGATTTGATGGTACTATGATGTGGTAAGGGCTGCCAAATAAATGGAAGCTTTCTCGAATCGAAATCTCGTGGTAGAGTTAACTTACATGAGAGGATAGAACACATGTTGAATGTAAGTTCATAGACGAGATGGCAAAAAGTGCCCTGAGCACTATTCCAAATGTTCATACATACATAAACGAATGGAAGGCAAAAGGATACACTCTAATCGGTTACAACACGACCCCAACACACAAGAGCTTCAAGCATTTAAGCAATCTTGGACCTGAATGAATCAGGAACCTCTCAGTCATTTTATACCTGTTTAGCCATCAAGTGAATAACGCAAAGCGTATACACATTGACTTGAAGAGCTTTCTTCATTGCGGTTTGGGTTGCTCAAGTGTATGCTTGCCCTCATTAGACTAGTCATTTCAAGCTAAATCAAAACATCTTGGAACCCAATGACATGTTTTATAGCTGGGCATTGTCAAAATCTAGACATGCTAGGCTAATTGACGTAAAAAAAACCCCCCGTCATTTGTAGCCAAAAACCAACGATGTCAGACACACTCTGCCAAAGCAATGATACCCACTTGGTGTTGGTATGTCAAAAGCCATCAGGAGGGCTTCTATAAGCTCTCCAATGTTGCTGGTACACCACACTGGGGTCCAAATGTGACCATGAATCCCAGTCAAATGTCGTGCCATTCCAAATGTTGGAAGCTTCATGGGTAGCAACACATTTTAAACCACTCCACCTTTTCATAACATGTCATTCTTATCATCTCGACTAGCATCTGCTCGTCCTTTAGCACGCACACTCTTGAGTTCAACAAGCCGTCGTCAATTCGCATCCAAAACTGTCGTCGTTGAGCGTGAGTTACCCAAGCCCCCACCACCTTCCAAAAGACGTTGGTTATGGACAGGTGTTGGTGTAGGTGCTGTTGTTTGGGCCGTTGGCCTTGGAGCTGCTTTAAATCATCAGCGACTATCAAGCAGTGTAGTTCATGGCACTCTCTTTATGGTGCGTTATGATCCTCGTGTCATTGCGCTTGTAGGTGATCATGTTGATTATGCAGATTCATGGCCTTGGATTAGTGGTACTGTCAACCACTTGAAAGGCAAAATCGACATTGGATTTGATGTCAAGGGATCCACTGGTAAGTCTTTTTTTTTTTTTTTTTTTTTTTTTTTTTTTTTTGAGAATTGGGCATTGTAGAGCGTCACTGACGAAAGAGTAAATACAGGCGAGGTGGCTCGAGTTCATTTCATTTCAAAACGTGGAGGTCAGAAATGGACTACGGTTGAATTCACAGTGGTTCGCAAATCTGACAACAAATTGATTGATATTGGCCATCATGCCTTGACAGAGAATGGAGAGCCTGTTGTACATGGTCAATAAAACCAGGAGGAACATGTTGTGTATCATATATAGTGTAATTTTATTAATACAGAAATCTAAAGATTGCAAAGACCATTCATTAAAATTTGATTTTCAATGTCTACTTGATCAGCTGGCACATGGTTGGAGGGACAGGTAATACCAATGATCTTTTCATCCCATGTTCTGCTCTCTCCCAGTGTATACGTGTCCCAGATGTCAGCCTTCAATTCGTTCTTGAAGCGAGTTTGCACCTCCTGTTCAAATGACTCCATTCTGGGACCACTCACTTGGCGAGTGCGTTCAGAGACATCAATTCTACAACAGTAATACTGCGCTGTGCGGTAGATCACCTTGGTTTTGGTGAGGTCATAAAACTCCTTGATTTGGCGGATCAGACGATCGACATCCTTTAAAAAGGGCTCCAGCTCGGCAAAGGCAGCGTCCCAGTTACCCAGAGAGAAGATGGCCACATCCACATCGCGAGGACTGGTGGGCACAGCTTCATCCCAGCTGGGAATATTGAGGTAGGTGAGGCCATCCCACTTGTAGGAGCTCACACGGAAACTATCCTTGTGAGCCTGTACAGTGGATCCATTGGCAGGCTTGTCGTCCCATTCCGTGATGCCCAATGCCTTTGACTCTGTTTCATTGTTGCTGTAGACGAGATCAAACCGTCTAGCCATGGGATCAAACCATTCTCTGTTCCAATGATTCTCACTGAAATCCTCACAATAGCAACTGCGTGTCTGTGACTCTTCGGTGTATCTGTAGTCCTTGGGCGATGCGTAGCTTCCATCGTCGAATATGGTTGCTGGCTCATCACGACGTGCCATGTAAGACGAGTTGATGATGGGCTTTTCATTGTCAGGCAAGAGGGGTGATGTGATGTGCTGCTCCCAATTCTTGCACCATTGGCCATGGCTCAAGAACTTTTTGATGGATCTGCGGATGTTGGAGTCACCATAGAGATTGATACCTCGAGCATACTTCTTGGAGGCACAACGGTTAAATTGCTCGTACGAGAGGTGGCGCAAACGACATGAATACGGAGCCCAGTATTTACCATCTCGAGTTAGACCTGCCACTTGCGCTAATGCAGCCTCGCCTGAATAAGAGCTATTTTTAGGGAACGGCAGCCATCGTCCAGGGTTATTGAAGCCTTTACAGAGAGGCAGTGCTAGGTGTTGCTCCAGAATGTCCTGATTACCCTTGGGTTGCTTCTGCTTTGGTGCCGCATTAGAGGTGATATTTATATATTCAAGACCAGTGGGGAACACAGGTATCTGGATTGGTGAGTAGGGTGAGACAGGCCCATATTCGAAATTGTAACGTGCTTCGACAAACTCCAATATACTGGACAATTCCCAAGATCCTTGGTGAGGCAGGTTGATCTGCGCCTCGTAAATGTGCATACGCTCTCTCTCATACAGCTCATCCTCTCTCAGTCGTGCCCACTCTGGGATCTGGTTGTTGACCTGTTTGAGATCTCGAGCTCGTTGGCGCAAAATGCGATGTTCACGCCAGGGCTGCATATGAATAGGTATACTAGCATTGGTGGCCTTGTCGGTCAGCGTGGTCATCATGGTGTCCCACCATGGGCTGGAAAGCTGAGCATTGTTTTGGGGGTAGGGTCGGTACAGCAGGCGGTGGATATCGTCCTTGCCGACGTTCCTATATGGCACCATGATGCGGATGCATAGCTCCTGACCCTGAACCAATTTGGGTTGCTTTGCGTATGGCAGGATCAGCGTGGGCCGAGCGTAATTAAATCCTGTATCATCGCCGTCGTCGTAAAAGCTGTCTGCATTCTGGATGGGAAAGTACTCTTTTGCCAGATGGCGAAGAATGGGGTATGGTAATGGCTGGTTGTCGCAAGAAAAGGCTGTCTTGTCTGCAGTGGTGGTTTGGCTGAGCCAGCGATCCTTCCAGGCTACAGCTGTTTGGTTCTTGTAGTGCAATTGCAGCAGCTTCTCAATGGTGATCTGCTTGATATGATCGGCAATGTTCTTTTGGAACGCCTGGATGAGGTTGTCTTCAATGGTGTATTTGTCCAGGTCCACAAAGTAGAGCTGTTTTTGTGTGGGCACAGTAAAGTTGATGGATCTGGCTGGAATGGGGGTATTCACCTCTGGCACAGCATCGTGGTCACTTTCAATGGATGGGTATGTGAATACAAAGTAACCAGCTACTGCCACAGCGGTTAAGCTGATGCCAATGATGCACCATTTTTTGTAGGAGGGTTTCTGTCGAGCGGCCTGTTCTTCTAAAAGTGTATAAACGGTCATTGTGCAGAGTAAACGGGAGAAAAGAGAATGCCTTTAATATACAAGAGCAAGCCTTTTATAGGTGGGCTAAACGGCCGGTTGTATCAACAGATGCAACATTAACCAATTAAGATAGATACCAAAAGAAAGACTTAAAAGTAGCCAGATGCGAAAACTTATAGATTTATTAATTGATTCAAGCACATCTTATTTATACTAAATTATCATCGCTAAATCAGCAATCCATCTTATTGTTAAATGAGTCAATACATCGAGTTCTGTATATTCAATACCGATCATTATGAAGGATCTGATCGGCAGTTCAGCTACGATGATACGACCCACAATCCATCATCGTCATGCACAAGCACGGACTTTCATAATCACTATAACGATGTTAATTTATGAAGAGGGAAAGGAGGGAAAATGTGTGATAGCTAAGTCTTTATAAATGATGAGGTTTGATTCGGCTGTACTAAATATATTACAGATTGCTGCTCCTCCAAATCACTATATATAACTCATTTCTTATTGAACCTTGCGTCCCAACATAGACAATGAGTAACAATGTAAATCATGATCCGACTACGGCTGAGTTACTGAGCTTGCGTAGCTCATCAGACTCAACACGGCCCAAGAACAGAAGGAACAGAAAAACTCTAAATCTAGAACAAGAATGCTATCAGTGTCGACAACAACGCATTGTCCAAGCAATAAACAAGGCACATCTTTGGGATGGAATTTGAGGAGAATCTCTCACCTATTTTGTTGTAGTCTTGACCAGAGATACACCCTTTATTCATTGACAACAAAAACACCCCCCACTTTTTACGCAAATCATTTAAACAGCAAATAGTTTAATTGTATAATGGTGTTGTAGGTAACGTTACACAGGTCGTATTAGAGTTTACTAATCACAGGCAAACATTTCGCAATAAACTCACTAATATCAGCGATTTCTTTAGGGTCAGCAGCATGCGCAAGGTCTGGATAGCCGTTGAATTGGATCGAGTACCCTTTTTTAGTCAAGTATTTAGCAGTGGCTCTGCCAAATCGAAATGCAACAACTGCATCTTCCTCTCCATGGCACATCAGAATAGGGATTTGCTTGTTCATGTCAGAGCCAAACTAGGGGTTTGGTGTGAATCAAACTGCCGATCCAATCCCCATCATCCACGCAACTTACACTGTCCAATTTTTCGCCCAGGGCAAGCCATCCACTGCATGCCACCACGCCAGCCAACTGATGAGGTGTAGACACTGCGGTCAACAGGGAAATGACACATCCTATACGTGTTTCAGTCAGATTTCTATATTTAAACCATCTATCCCAGAGTTTACCTTGACTGAAACCGCCCAGCAAGATGCGCTGACTTGGCACACCCTGATTTCGTTCATTTTGAATCAATTGATCCACTGTATTGATGCTATATGAGTAGGGTTTCAAGCAAATACGTACTTGCTTCACGTACCTAGTCCCACAGACTCAAGCATGCCCTCCTCATCAATCTTTTCTAGATGCGCCTTCTTTTCAAAACTATTGATATTGAACCATGCATTCACCAAGGCACCTTCTCCAAAGGATGTAATTGACTTTAGTGGCCTGTTTCATAAGTGTGTGCATCAGTAACAGCAGCTCTTTTCCTTGCGATGAAACAGGGACGGAAACTCACGCATTTGGTAATATCCATTTAATGTAAGGAAATCTGGAGCCCAATTCCTCTGTTAAGAATAGCCATCCTACACCTGAATCTCCTAATCCATGCAACCATATCACAGTGGCTGTATGGGTTGCGGTAGGTTCAATCACTACGGTGGATAACTGCTCTGGCATTTTCTCGTCTGTAAATGTGTGTGTGTGTGTGAGAAGAGTTGAAAACCGATGAAAGAGAAATGACTGGAAATAGACCCGTTTTTGGGGGTGATGCTAAATTGGGTGCGAATACAGGTAGTAATAGACTATGACTGAAATTTGGTAGCTCATATGATGGTGGGTAGGATGTTTGGATTTGCGTAAAGTCCACATTGAAATGGCTGTTGATAGTATTACCAATGCACCTTTGCTACTACCAACGCCTTTTCTAGTGATCAATATCGCTGACGCGCACAATCTGTTTGAATGACAAATACAGTTGAGCCATTTCTTGATGCAATTTCATTTTTTTGACACAAAAGCCAGACATTTACTCTATTTCAAAGGATTCGAAAGGATGTCGAAGGCCTATAGAGGGATTCGTAGAAAAGGGGTGATTGTTCAAATGTAGAAATGTTGAATTTCAAGTTACCCCTGAAAGCCGCTTCAGAGTCAGGAACGGATAAATAAATGCGAAATGCCACTCTCAAGCCAATGTTGCATCGCGTTCTGCTTTTGTTTGCAAATGCCTGTACTCAAGGGCTCCTCTCCCGTGAAACCATGACTATCCCTTCGTGAATATGAGGTTTTATTCAGTTAGATGTTAGATCTTTACAAAAGGATGCTTGTTAATCTTAAACTTCAAAAAGATCAAGAGGATTGCACCAACCAACCAAGCAACACCAGCAAACATTTTGTAGGAAAAGAAGGGAGCAGAGCTGACGCCAGTCTCAATGGCACTAGCAATGTTGGATCCAAAAACTGGGATCATGTTCAAAAAGAGCAACAAGGATAGACCAGAAGGGAATCTCTCCATGCCAAGCAGACTTGCAGCAATAGGAGACATCAAAGCAAAGTATGAGCCACAACCAAAACCAAACACGGCAGCAAAACCCATCAAAGATCCATAATCAAATGCAAATGTCCAAATAAGCAAGCAACTGATGGCTGTAAGCAAGGTGAAGGTGATGTTGGAATTAAGTCGTCCAGCTCGATCTGCAAAAGCACTGCATCATCGTTTGGATTAGACGGGGCAACTATCATTAGATCAAGATGTACTACATTACCCTGCAGCTAAACGGCCAAGGAAATTCATAGCTGAACAGACAGCGATAAGTGAAGATCCTTGCGAGTCAGACAAGCCAAGATAGGTAGCATCAGCTATATCAATCAACAAAAACAATCAGTATCAAACACATACACACACAAAAGTCTGGATGCCACAAACCTGGTAAAAAGAAGAATGGCACAAAATAGCCAAACAAACCAATGTCAGATGCAACACTAAAGATGAGAAAGTTGACGTTTTTAAGCACGCTGAAATCAATGATTTGCGAGAAGCTCTTCTTTTCCTTCTTGCGGACAATTCTCTCCTTGACAAAGATACAGGCAATGATATCACAGAACAGGCAAATGAAGCCCAAAATGCGGTAAGTCCATCCTGGACCCAAGTTTCTATTGAGTGGTGTCACAATAAAAGGCACCACAAGACCGCCAATACCAGAACCACCTGCTACAATACCCAATGCAACGCCTCTGTTCTTTGTAAACCATTGAGGAGTAACTGCCATCACTGTACCGTACATACACGATGCGCCCATTCCAAACAAGATGCCCTGAGTTAAATACAAGTGCCAGATCTATAGGAACGGTTGTTAGCCTTGACGAGTTCTGCAGCTCTTGTCCATCCAAGCGCTGCGGCATTTGTCTGGGGGGGGGGGGGTTGGGTTGGGAGAAATCTTACCTGACTAGCAAATCCAGCCATTTCCAAGGCAAGCGTAATGAACAGCGTGCCCACAATCATCACAGGACGAAGGCCAAATCGAGCAACAAAGTATTGCACAATAGGACTGGAGCCGTTGATAAAGACCAAGGCCAAGGTGCCTACAAAACTGAGGTCCACTAAAGCCTTGGGGTTATCAGCAAACAAGTGTTGGTGAAAATAGTCTTGCATGACACCTGTTACAAAGCAATACATTAGTTATACACATCTCCAAGCATATGCAATACATGCGTTCTCGCTTTTGATTTACCCCTGATAATGTTCAATGTGCAATGAGTAAACATATATTTGAAAGAATCTGCCTGTATTTACCAACTAGAAACAACACCAAAACTGGTAATCTGAACAGCAAACGCTCCCAAAACGACGAGCCATCCATAGCCACCATCAGGGCCTTCGTCGTCTACAACAGGAGGCAATTGAGCAGAACCTTTCTCTACATCTTTTTCAGTCAAGGTGTCTAAAAGAAATTGGTCAACCTTGCCCACAAACAAAAATGAGCAATGTGATTTACCTGTTCTAGCTGTCAGATCAGAGCTAGCAGAGCTTCCTGCTTCTTGAACATCATTGATACCCTCAGCTTCAATGACATTGGATTCCAATTTCTTATCAGATGAAAGACCTTCTTTATCATTGAAAGAAGTTGATTGATTCTGGATTAAGTTTTCTTCAACATATGCCATGTCTTTTTTGATTTGATTTGGCTTGGAAGAGTGATTTGAGTTAAACTTTGACAATGCGAAATAAAGAAAAGATTGGTGTTTCTTTTCTTTTTTTTTCGATGGTTTTTATATGAAAGAGAAGAGAAAAAAAGAGAGGAAAAAAGGCTCTCTTGTCTATATTAATAATCGTCAAGAACAAGGAATTCTGAATTTATGTAGTATATGTGATACAGAAGTTTAGATATACACATTTGATACATTGCCTTGATTCGTTAGATTCGTGGAAAAATACTCCATCGTCGCGCAATCTGAAAACTTTTAGCGTCGTATGAGTGGTTGTCAGTCATGACAGAAGTATAGATCATCTTGTTTACGTCTGTAGGCTGCTAAATTCCGAATCAACAGATTGTCATTAAACAAAAAGCAAGCGGCTATTTGGATGGCAAATCCAATGCATGAAGAAAGAATCTCATATCTCAATTTGATTTGTGGTTGTGCAGGTTGCAAGGGAGAGACAGAGAGAAAGATAAAGCAAAGAAGGGTAACAGTACAAGGCAAATATACCAAATCACAAAATGTTTATCCCCGAACCCAAGGAGATACAAACGTAGTACAGACCAGATACGATTCAATTGTGAAATTGATTACCCGTTTTCAGTAACTCATGACAATGGGAACACACAAAGCAAGTTAGAGATCTGATCCGGGCCGCCTTACCCGCCTTTAGCTGGCCTCAACGAGCAAATGATGTGCAAAAATCTTGTTAAATGCTGAGTCATCATTGCTGATTCAAGGCATTGCCCTTCTTCTTCATAGCTTGATATTGGCAAGTGAAAAAGATTATTGCTTGTCCATCTTGCAATTTGATTTGTAGTACCATTGTTTGTTGTGAAATACAGAAAATATCTGCTATATTCCTGGCATTTTTGTTCGAGGAGACGACGGTAAATGAGAATGATAGACGCAGTGAACATATTCGCATTGTTTCGCCGGTTTGAATGTACGGCATCATTGTCAAAAGAATTGGCCCTTAGTTTCGGGCGAGTCTCCCTTTAAGAATCAGATGTGCAATTTGAAAAGGGTGCCCATGTACATTTAGCATTAGGACTCGCCTTGAAGTGAGCAGCTGAAAGCAATTGTATCTATCAGCTATGAAAAATACTCAGCAGGAGTAATAAAGAATATTCTGGCTGAATTTCAGTATCTTTTTTTTTAACTCGCAATGCACTTCATAAGCTTTCAACGGCATCAATTGCCCTCCAGAGGAGCATAGCATTAACTTTCTCCAGCCAAAATCAATTCAATCTCCATTCACTATTTCTCGCGCTCAAAATGAAAGTTTTTGGCTATTTTCGACTTGGTCGACCTATTTTGCATTTCTGTGGCCTACCACCTCGATTCTAGATATTAAAGAGGCTCTTCTGCAACTTGATTTCTCCAATGTTTGGTATTGCCAAATTGCTGGAATCAAGCCTTTCCGAATCCTCATCATCACCCTTGGTCAACTGTGGCTTGCCCACATGAGGTTCATCTATGACAATGTTCCTATGGACCATACAGCGATATTGGCCAGTATTCGAACCAGTGTTCGTCAGACCATTGCGGAAGATCAGTGCCATTCCCTCCTGTAATCCAAAGCCAATTATTAGATAGTTTTTTTTTATATAGTTTAGTTTAGTATATTATTCTTCATATTTTAGCTTATAGTTATCCAATTCTTTATCTAAATTGCACTCGCCTCTTCACTCTGACCTATTACTCACAGTGTACGCGAATCAATCAATAAACAAAATTTAAAAAAAAAGACCTATTTTGCAAGAGTCGACTATACAAATCGTGCTAATTTTCTTATACATCCTTAAGCTTTCTTGGAGTACTTTTCAAGGCGCATCCAATGGTAATAAATAAAAGAGCTGCTTTGAACAAACTTACTGAGCAATTATTGAAGATATAAAATGAGGTTTTCGGCGAAAATGTTGAGATTTTACATGTGGAGGTCCCACCAAAGTGGTTTCAGGGGTTGCTTTGGATCGAGAGAAACATTTCAACTTAATATATGTTATAGTAGAAGTCGTTGTTTTGGTGGCCAAAAACGCGATCGTTTGATTTTCAACGAAATCCATGTGGTATCTCATGCTTTTTTGACGATCCCAAAAAAGTTGAGCAAAGGCATCAGGAAGCAAGTGCTAGTTGAGAGCAATGGTTTGGCGCTATTCTGGCAGTCTAAAACGACTTCCACCACGAGAAATCACGGTTCAAATACACCCCATTTACGTTGTGTTTTACGTTTTTGAATAATAGGACGTAATTGTAAAGAGGTTGTGTGCCTGTAGATATATTGCCTTCATTAACACAGACGTGAAGCGTCTTAAAAGAGTCAGATCCATAGCTATAGGTTATTAATGCAATATTTTAAGTGAACTATGCACGTTAAACTTAAGATTTCAGTATATATTGGTAGAAAGGATATATGAGGGAGCCTTCTAAGCTGCTAAACCTTTGCAAAAGGATTTTTGTTAATTCTAACTTTCAAAAAAACTAGTAGCAGAGTTCCCAATAGCCAAGCAACACCAGAGAACAGTTTGTAAGAGAGAAAAGGCTGAGAACTGACGCCGGCTTCAATCGCACTGGAGATGTTGGTTCCAAATACAGGGAACATGTTCAAAAACATCAGCAGGGACAAACCAGAAGCCAGCTTTTCCATGCCCAACAAGCTTGCAGAAATAGGTGACATCAAAGTAACATACGAACCACATCCAAATCCAAACACAACAGCGAAACCCATCAACGAACCATAGTCAAATGCAAATGTCCAAATAAAGAAGCAACTGATAGTTGTTAATAGAGTAAATGTGATGTTGGAGTTGATGCGTCCAGCGCGATCAGCTAAAACACTGTATCCATTGACATTAAAGGCCAGTTTTCAATTACATTAGTTTGAGATCGTACCCTGAAGCCAAACGACCCACAAAATTCATAGCAGAACAAACAGCAATTAGCGACGATCCCTGAGAATCAGACAATCCCAAGTAAGTGGCATACGCTGCAGCAGCCAATAAGATTGATAAGTATGTGCCTGCAAGAGATTAGATTCCACTTACCAGGCAAGAAAAAAAATGGCACAAAATATCCCAGCAATGAAATATCTGATGCAATGATGAACAGGAGGAAATTGACATTGTTGAGCACACTAACATCAATGATTTTAAAAAAGCTTTTCTTTTCCTTTTTGCGAACAATTCTTTCCTTGACGCAAATACAAGCAATAACATCGCAAAACAAACAGATGAAGCCCAAGATGCGATACGTCCATCCAGGCCTCAAATTGCTATTCAATGGTGTTACGATGAAAGGAACCAGGAGACCACCAATGCCAGAGCCGCTTGCAACAATGCCTAATGCAACACCTCTGTTCTTTGTAAACCACTGCGGTGTCACTGACATTACCGTCCCGTACATGCAAGAAGCACCAACGCCAAACAGTATACCTTGCGTTAAATACAAGTGCCAAATCTACACATGCAAGTCATACACAATTAGATTACATAGTTCAATATGGTAGGTACGAATGCTTACTTGACTAGCAAATCCAGCCATTTCCAAGGCAAGCGTAATGAACAGCGTGCCCACAATCATCACAGGACGAAGGCCAAATCGAGCAACAAAGTATTGCACAATAGGACTGGAGCCGTTGATAAAGACCAAGGCCAAGGTGCCTACAAAACTGAGGTCCACTAAAGCCTTGGGGTTATCCGCAAATAGATTTTGATGGTAATAGTCTTGCATAACACCTGTTTGAATCAAGGCTCAATTATTTCTGCAAAATATACTGCGGTTTGTGGGAAACTTACCCCTGAATACAGAAAATGAGGCGAGAATAGACAAAATTTCCGATTAGTAGGCATGTATTGATGAGATTCTGTTTACATTTACCAGCTGGAAACTACACCAAAGCTTGTGATCTGTACTGCAAATGCTCCGAGGACGACAAACCATCCATAGCCACCATCGGGTCCTTCTTCTTCTTCCGTAGCTGAAGGCAACTGAACCGAGGCTTTCTCTGCATCTTTTTCAAATGGAGCCAAGGCGTCTATGATGATTTGTTGCTAATCAATTCAAAATGATCGGCATGGGATCGACGGTGGAGTTTACCTATCTTTGCTGTCAGTTCAGAGCTGTCAACACTGTTCGTTGCTACTCGAATATCCTCAACGTCTTCCGTTTCTACAACGTGAGATTCTAACTTTTCTGGATTTGACAGGTGTCCAGCAGTATCATTTGATACTATTGTTTGATCCGTGCCTGGATTTTCTTGAGCAAATTGCATATTTCTATTAATTTTTCTGATCTCTAGTATGAATCTGTTAAACTATCGAAAAGAAAAAGATGAATTCATATATGAAAAATGAAAATGGGTGAGAAATGATTTTGGCTATTTGTAGTAGACAGCGTGATACAGAAATCTGATTTACTGCTTTGATTCGTCGCATTGGTGGTAAAAAATCCCCATCATCTCCTTGTGAGTGGTTGTCAGTCATAAAATCATAGATCATCTTGCTTAAAAGTTATTTTTTTATACTTTCGAGCCACTGTGGGCCATTAGAAGAGAGTGATTCTATATGTTTGTTGATACGATACATAAGCCATCTTGATCTGGCATTGTGCGACAGCCAAGAAATAGTGAGCCAAGAAGCATGCCAACAGACCGAATTGCGGAGGGCTAGTAGACCGATACTGTACCACATTCCCTGTAGAATTGTTTATCCATTTCCGTCAATGCCAATGTAAACACAAGCATTGAGATACCCAAGCTATTCCCAGGTTGTCTACTCAGCTCGATTTGCGACAGACAAGATGCCATCAGCTTCAAGCAATTGCTAGATTGCCAGAGCTTGACTTGGTCCCCATACATGTTGCTAGCGCTAACCCTTTGTCGCCCTTCTTGATGTTAAGAGCCGTCCAAGAGAGATGAACCCTCTCATGTATAGGCTTCCGATTGACCTTGATGTATATAGATGACCAAAGTAATAGCTTCTCATTCTCTTGAGGCAGATTAATTTTTTTTTTGCTTTGCTTTGCTACCTCAACTGTTTATTGTTACTGTAAATACAGAAGCTTATATTATTTAAATGTCTAAATCATCATCAGGATCCTCATCATCAAAATCGTCTGCTGCATCAGGGTCATAGTAGATCAGACCACTGTTCTTCTTTTCCTCCTCCACGGACACTTCCAACTGCTGTGCCTTCATGAATGGTAGCACTAGGTTCTCCTTGGTCTTACGTTGCTCGTCAGTCAGAGACAGATTAAACGACAGGTTGGCTGTAGGATCTGATTTCTTGTCAACTTCCATGGCCTCTGGCTCTGGCTCCTCCTCCTTCTCCAATGTCAGTTGATTAGCAGCGACAACTTGCAGTAATCCAGTGTCTGGTTGCATGATGAACCCATTGGATTCATACTGCACTTTCCCGCTCTTCTTTCTCCATTCGATATGTGCGATACCTCCCTTCGTCAAGCAATTGGATGTGATGGTCAAATAAGAAAATGTGTCTTGAGGCACAAATCCAGTCAATGCAGCTTGTGTCTCGAATGCTGTACGCTCCTTCAATGCCTCTAATTTAATGATGACTGATGCAAGTCTATTGAGTGAATCCTGTAAAGCTAATCCAGTCTTGGACACTAGCTTGACATCAGAATGATAGCCAACAGCTAAACGAATGGCATCTGTGGATGTGCATTAATAACACACACTGGCAATAAGTACCATGTACTCACCAGTCGTCAATGATTCCAATGCCTTGACAAGTTGGTAGGCTCTATGCTGAGAGATCATTGCCAATGGAGTGATTGAGTCAACGAGGATTGTGCAGTTGGGTGATTCCAGCACTTTCTTCATTATAGGTGACAAAATACGCTTTTCCATGTCCTTGATGTTCTTTACTTGAATGGTATTATTATCAGCGTGCTTCTCTACATCGTCATCCCAACCATGGGGATCGGAATAGCAATCAATGATGCATATGTTGTTTCGTTTATCCACGGGAAAGCGTTCACGCCATGCTCTGGGTGATGTTTCTGTCAAAAGAACTACTAGCGATTTGTCATCGGTGAGTGCGCGTTTACCAATGTCTGCTAAAATGGGTAGAGCAGACAAGCGAATTGTGTCATTGATAAAGATGAATGAAGAAGACTTCTTGTTGTTCAATAACTGATCCAATGCTAATGTAGACATGTTGAATATTGAAGAAACACAACATTTCATGGCTGGAGTACGATTTTTTTTCATTTCAATTGCACTGGGCACGGTCACAGAGCATTTGAGCTATTCAAACGAACTCAATGAACAGGAAAGATACATTCCATCCATGTGAAATATCTATTAATGCTGCTTGTAAAGACAGCTTGCACATATGCAAACATATGCAAACATATCGGTATACTGCTCCAACAACGCTACAGCAGAGCTTTCTCTTTTATTAAATTCTATCCAAAGACTAGAAATACTCAGTCAGTGTTATTTTGACCATCTTCATGGACCAACGAATCTTGGCCAATGTTGGTAAGTCACCAGTAAACTTGTTATCACGCAACAGCTTCTCAATGGTATTCTCCCAGTCCACCATCACCTCGTCTTTTTCACCAATGAGCAACTCTAATTGATCGCTAGGAAATGCAGTGTTGGTCTCTGTATTGTCTCTCTTGTGGCTGACAGTTGCTGTTGACAAGACACACATACAGTATTTAGACACCACGGCAATATGACGGTAAATGCTTTCCAGGTTGTCTGGCTGCAGGGGCAGTGTTTTGAATGCGTAAAGGAACAGCTTTTGTAATGTGAGAGGTCTGTGCTTTTGTTTACGATAGTGCCTGTGTTCCTCAGGCACCATTGAGACGTCTGCATCTGCAAGTGCTAAATCGCAAAGAGCTAAGATAAAGGATGGGTATTTGATGATTTGCATAAATTGCTGGGAGGCGTCCGTTGTCATCTCTTGAAAGTGGATGTATGTCTGAGAGACCAGATCCTCCACGCTGGATACCTTGTCAAAGCTGGATACGGTGATGATCTAAGATTCATGTCAGCCATGCTTGTTTGCCTGTCAAACGATGTTTCCCTTGCCATGTTTAAAATGTCGCCTGTCAAATGAAACAGATCTTCGTTTTGGTTTGGAAAATCACGTAATAACAGCTTGAGGTAGTGGTCAAATTTACTAAGCTTGTTGAGGGCATCTCGCTTTAAAGTGCGCATGAAAATGGACTTCATGACCTCGGATTCACAATGCACTCTTGACTTGAGATCGATTTGCAGCACATTGACAAAGAAATCCAAGACCAAACCACTGCATCTCGTCTCTAGATCTGTGGTAGTGGCTGATAGCACTCTGTCTGTGAAATTCCAGAAATCTCTGTATTCGCTTAGTCGCTTGGTATTCAATAGCTCGTAAATATCATCGTGCAGGCTGTTTTTGTCTTTGCTGGATATGAGTTCGAATGATCTGAATTCGTTAAACACTGGCAAGTAGATGTCGGGTCCATACAGGCTCAGTATATCCAAGAGAAGCGCATGTGCTCGCTTGCATTCCAACCAATGCTTGACCAATTTGTCTTTGTTTCGTAGCTCGTTCTTGGGCTGCAAGATGAAGTTGATCAATGTAATCAAGATGTTGCTGCAAAAGACGAGGAGTGAGTATATACATTGTCAAGGTGTTCTAGTTTGGCTTACAACGGTGGTTTCTTGTGCGATGCGACTTGGTTCTCTATCAGCTGCATGCCCTCCTTATCTAGTACAAGATGTCAATACCTCTGTTTTATAGTTTGGTGGGCATCAGAGCACGTACAATGACCCACTTCAAAGTAATCAATGATCATGTGCTGTGATTTTCTAGAGAGTTGGTCATACTTTTGAATTCTGTTGTCTAGACGTGTCTCGATTGTAACGTCGTTCTTGTATTGATAGATTTCCACGAGTAAAGGCTGCGAAGCTAAAATCTGCTTTGCTGGAATCTCTTCCTTTTCAATGGGGCTATTGGGATCCTCAATTGTGTATAACACTTCGCTCAACTATAGGAAAACGAATCAGAGAGGTCAATCAAGTCGAAAGTGTATATGTCTATTACAGTTTCGCGGTAACTGACGATGGCCATCTTTCTGATGAAAGGTAAAAAGAAAAGTTTTTAAAAATACATTTTGTGTCACGCTTTTTATTCTAATTGCTGCTTTTTGGAAGCAAATTAGCAACTTCATCTGCATCAAAGTCTAATCGCAAAGCTAGAATTTTCTTGACTTCTGTCACTGTAAGTCTCCAGCTGACAGGACCAGCCTTTTGTCCCCAGAAATCATAGATCTCAGAAGGCTAGAATGGATCAAGAATGAGTACGCATGTCCTGATTTCTGATCCGCAAAAACTCACCTCTTCAAAATTCAGTAAAATGGACATTTGATTCAATCTTGTAAACCTGTCTCGCGATAGCCATTCAGTAAGCGTAGACAGGTAGTGGATAACTGAACGCAAGTCCTTGTCAAATCTCAGTGCGCCATACTGATTGAATCTGGTTTGGAACACAATTCTCTCCCATTGTGCCGTCAATGCTTCCAGTAATAGTCCCATCAAGGCACTAAAGTTGCTGTCTGTCAATGTGCGTCTGTAAATGCTGATCAGGCTCTCAAAGCCTCGCCTGAATCGCTTGACAAATCGCTCCTCTATGTCTGCCTCGTTGTATTCTTCTTCCTCGAGTACATATTTCACCTCTTTGTAGGCTTCTTGAAACAAAGGTCTGATTCTAGGCTTTAATATTTGATTCATGAGTTGCTCAATACCATTCTATATACACGTTAGCAACAAGCCAATGGGGGCATTCACCAAGAATCTGCCATTCTTACTTGAAGTAACTGCTTGAATTTATCTGCGAATTCCTCGAAATTCTGAATGTACCCCAATGTTCTCTTGACATCGTTCTCTTCATCCAACCAAATGCCACTGGCGATGTTTGGCTCCACCTCTTTTGCTAACCGATGGGTATAATCAGCACTGACATCCAGATTGTTCAAAATCACCATGTAGCTGATTTTGGCCATTTCGATTGCTCTTTCTGCATTGCGTCCTGTTGTATCGTAAGTTGTGAACACAGTCGACATCTTTTGCTGGAACAAGTTCAAGTATCCAATCTCCAAAATCTTGGTTGTGGTTCGCACAGTGGATGACACAACTTCAGGCTCATATGTGGATATACAACGCTTCATCACTGTCTTGAGAATAAAGAACACGTCGTCCACACTAGTGGATGTCTGCGAAGTCGCGGGATCATAGTCATCTAGTTTCATGGCCTTGTCGATGCTCTTCTTCAGCAGGTACTCGTCAATCACCAGGTACGAACTCATCAACTCTCTTACTCGTTTGGTCAATCCAGAAGAGAGCAGCAGACCGTTGGCACCATAGAACTTGCTGTCTTTGCCCTTCATGACCAGTTCCTTTTCATTGTCATCCGACTCCAGGACATCCATTTCATCGCTAGCTCTTTCGTTCATGAAACTGTTGAATAGTACACTTCGTTGACTGATCAATGACAGTTCATACAGATTGGCATCCAATTGGCGAGGCTCAACCAGTGGATTGGTGGATTCTGTCTCTGCTTGTGGTGATTGAGGAGAAGGTGCCCCTGGTCGGCTCACTGGGTAGGTGGCACTGTTGCGCATCATGGCAATGAGCAAAACTTGAATCTCGACCAACTATTCATCATGTGAGCCGCGTCTCCCTTGTCTGTGGCCATGCCAACTTACTTTTGACTCTAGTTTGCGAGCCTTCAGAAACCTATCCAGGATAATGACACTTTGCACATCGCTCTCCTCCTGTAATCGCTGTATCACTCGCAGCATCTTGCCCTTTCCATAGTGCTGCTCGACCAGAGGTTGGTGCTGGTCAATGATCACAGCGATATTCTCGAATAATCGCGTCAATGCATCAGCAAAGTAGGTGGGTGCCGCAACTAGTAATCAAGCAAAAAATCAGCTTAGTCCATCCAAGCGCACGCATGCTCGTATCCTTACTGAGTCCTGTCTTGAGTTCCTCTGCACATCTTGCTTTGATGATATTACATACAAATCTCGAATATTTGTCCAATCCCTCCGTTTGGCAGTTGATGAGAGGAAACAGCTTGAAATACCGAGTGATATCAGCTTGATTTCTCTGTGCCACTGCATCGTCAAATTTGTTGGAAAAGATGGCAAATAGATTTGTCTTTGCGTCTGCCAATGTCTTTGCTGGGTGATCTGGATTCTCGGATGTCGACTGCCTTGACATTTAGCCTTGATTCAATACAAGCAGTGACATATCTTACCACTGTGAACTCTGCTAGTGACCCATTCAAGATGGCTGGATCAATTTTGGATGCTCTTTGTAACAGCACTGCAGCTTCGTCGTATTCCTTTTGTTGAATTGCTTCTTGTAAACTCGCTACACAAAACTTCAATTCTTGCACGTCTTCCACATATTGAATGGCTTGTCTAGCTTTCGATTGTTCCTGATCTAGTTGTCTAACTTTGTCGCTGATAACTTCTGCAAGTCTGGATGTCTTGTCTACAGTGCCAATCACTCGCGCTGATTTGGCCTTGAGCGTTCCTAACTGTGGCCTGTGTTGTATTGGCAAGTATTAGTTGGAGCGCTGTTCGCATGCAAGATTCGCCATAACAAACCTCAGTGCATTAAGCGCATCCAGTGATTGTTCTAGCGATGTTTCTTTTGCAAGCATATCGTCGAGCGAAACGTCGATACGTGTTTCCTCCTCGTCTAGTAGTCGAAGGCATTCCCTTATATCATCAATGTTGGTCAAGCTCTCAAAATCTCTCGATAGTAGAGGAATGTGCTTTGTGTCTTTATCAGTCGCATTAGTTCTGTGGTTGATGGTAGTGGCATCAGCAGGTGTCGCTACTGCAGTGGAAGGCATATGTAGTGTGCTTTTATTTAGTAACGAAAAAGAGAAGAGTAACTTTGAATGAAACTTGGAAATATGGGCAACTATTTTACAGACGGCGCATGAAACAAGAGAATGAAATGTCTATTTGGTTTCTTCCTCTTCATCATCTTCTTGGAACACTGGATCAGGTTGGGTCTTTTTATACACTAAAAATAGTCGTTGGTATATGTTGCGACCATTGCATCGCTGATTTCCACTTACCATTGGATACCCAAAGTGGATCGTTCTCGGCCAAATCAGCGTATTTAAGAAGGGCTTCTCTGGGATCTTCATCTCTGGTTGTGTCTTTGGCAAATGTCTTGATAACAGCTTGTTGTTGATTCATGTTGACTCTTCCGCCCTTACCATGGCCGCTGACAGGCAGGTCTGTTTCGCATGATTAGTAAACGCTTAAGAAAAGATGGCCTTTTCCACCACTTACCTGGACGGTGAGATGCAACAGGATCTTTACGCAATTTGTCTCTTCTTCTCTTGGATGTTCTCTCTTCATCCTTGAACATTGGCAGTGCATGAGGAGTCAAAATAGGTCTATCAATTTCATAATCATCCACTGCTCTCTTCTTGGCAGCTTTGACGATGGGTAATTTGGCACCGCGAGATGAATGAGTGGGGCTGTAAAATACAGTGACAATGCCATCTGCGCTGCCTGTCATAATCTGATTGATACGGGGATGCCATAAGACCTTGACAACGCTGGATTGCGTGACATCTGCAAGAGCAAATCAGTACACGGCTTTGCATAGATCCATGAATACACTTACTTGTGGATTGCTCAACTTCAAGCGTTTCTCTGTTCAAGAATACCAATTGACCGTGGCCCTTACCCTTCGGACAAGCAGTGCCTGTTAGGATTAGCTTTTCATCAGGACTGAATATGACATTGGCTTCTGGATTGACAATATCCAAATTATATGCAGCTTTCACGGGTTTTTTGGCATTGCGAAGATCCCATACTATAGACATATTAGCCATTAAATATACTCGTTATCCACTTGAAGACTTACACTTGACAGAGTCGTCACCGCCTCTTGTCACCATGGTTCTGTTATCTCTTGAGAATAATATACAAGACGTCTCTGACCCCTTTTGATGTGCATCTGCAATAGCAATTGCAGGACGAATATGATTACCCTTTGTATCCCAAATTTGCACGGTACCGTCTTGATAAGCACCGGCTAGATACTTTGCATCACCTGTATAAGCAAGTGCTGTGCAAGGAGACCGACCACCTCTTTCACGAGACTTGTATACAACGGTGGTCTTTTGTTTTCTTGTGCGTTCTACATCCCATTCTCGAATCGTGCCATCTTGTGATGATGTGGCAAACGTTTGTTTGTCGCTAGGATGCCAGAATCCACTTGTCAAAGCACCTACATGGCCGTCTGTATGTCGCAAATCACGAATGTAGGGATCTCCCTTGGCGAATTCTGCTTTTTCGATACCATCTCGATCAAAAATCTTTGCACGAGCACTTCCAGAGATCACCAGGATGGTATCCCCGGATAAAGAATACTGCAAGTTGTGAATTTGATGCTCTCCACAAGGCTGGACCGTACGGAATGGCTTGAATGATCGATCCATGCCTGCAAAATCCCAAAATTTCATGTCGTAATCGTAGCTGCCAGATACAAGTCGAGTGCCAGATGGATCCAAGGTCAATGCGGATACAGTGCGATGATGGTCACTGAGCTTAATTTCGTGTGATGTGGGCAATACGTCTGATGAAGTATACTCTGGATCATTGTCTGAATCATCGTCTGAATCGTTGTCAGAATCGTCAGATTTATTTTTTGCATTGTTGGTGGTATCTTTTTCCTTCTTCCTGGCTTGCTTCGAAGCAGCAGCAACAGCATCTTCACGTTTGGTCTTTTCATATTCGAAAGAGACGTCCTTCTTTTGCTCTTGTTTTCCAAACGAACTTGGCATAAATGCACGTAAGGCATCCCAGTCTGCGTCTGCGGCGGCTGTACTGTTGCTGTTGCTATTTTTGCTCTTTTGACCAAGGGATTTTGGCAGCATTTTAGATAGATCGTCGTCCTGTTTATATGGATGTCAGTGAATGCTTCTCAAATGATCATTTTACCATCAACTTACGAAACCAGACATGTTGAATTGTGTACAATCTACTTGAAAAACGACATTGCAAAGCGAGCTAAAATCAATTGAAAAGTCTAGCTAATGTGACTCTTGGAAAGGCAAGGCATGAAAATAATTACACTCCACTCGAGCATCTACTGATCACACTCGACAAATGGGAAGGCACATCAATATGAATTAGTCATTTGGTTGCAAGATGGTTAGGTATTTTTATTACTAGACCCAGTAGTATTTTTTAATTGTTAGTGAATATGGTGGTGATCTAAGATTCTGATCATCTTTGCTTGATTAACAATGCATAATCTCCTTCATAATGACAACCAACAAAAAGGCTTGCGTCTTCGTTGGATGATGTACTCTAAGGACACTAGCAGTTATAAAAAAAACAAGCCAACTTCTTTTTAGTACACATCTGATGGTATTGAGCGATCGAAGAATGGATCAAGGTTTTTGCTGGATAATTCAGAAGGTCAGAATGGGCTCGCTCCTCAAGAAACCCTAGAGCTACAAACCTTCGAAGACTAACTATTTTTACTGTTTTACACTGTAACTCGTCAACATCGTTCTCAACAAGCCCACATCAAGTACACCGCAGTCAAACAAAGTACCCTCGGCAACTTTCACCAGACATACATTCAACATTTATAGAGTAATCCATTGACTTTTACTAGTAGTAGCATTTACTCGAAATTTGCAGAATTCAAAATTAGCAAATTCCTCAACGACAGCTTCTTTTATCTGAAGTCCAATCGCACCACCGTTCTTTAAAAAAAGTAAATAGCATAGGAACATGTTACTTTCAATGCTCTGGCATCGATATTTCACTACTCGATTTAGGACGATCCAAAAGTTAGAATCCAGAATTGGTTTATATATCCAAGACCTGATGTATGGTTAAGAGTGGCACCCCACAAAAATGAAATATATGGTAGATGCATGTTAAAGCATCCTTGGCCAGGCACTTGATACTGAAAATGTTCAGCTCCCAAGGTAATGGACGACGGGTATTTTTAAGCAATGAGAGTATATATATACCCTAAAGCGAAACGCTTACTAGTTAAATGGTAATGGCGCTTTACCAACTGAACCAGTGAAGCAATTTTTGTCAAATTTGACATTCAAAATAGTCTTATTTTCATTGTTGCAAAACATATTGTTCTCGATTTCTAATCAACATTAATAATGTAAGATTAGATCACGTATCTACAGATTGCTATTATGTACACTACCAGATCTACCAGATCTAGTAGCAATTGTAATTTAACTCGCAGATCATGTGCAGTAATGATCACAAAGAAGCAGCCTTGATATAGACACCATCTAGAATACAGATTCTCATCTAATTTACTCAGACGCAATTGTTCAAGCGCAGATCAAACATGGCTGGAACCATCTGCTAGCTTAACCGTATTAAGGCTCACCGACATATTTAGTATCTATCAATAACTCGAAAGTAACAACTTATCAAGGTGATTGAACAAAAAGCATCACTGTCCTAGCAACAATAACGTGAAAAAGTTCTGTGCTTAAGTGCTTATATAATTTAAAAGACATTCCTGGCATCAAACGGTATAACGAATGCCAGATTGAACAACTGCACTTTAACTTACTATGGAATAAAACAAGATTTTAATCTTTTTGGACACCATTTTATTACAAACATATAATTATGGTAAATGACAGATCAGTAAAAAATCAACTACTTGTACCCCTTCGCTGCTTCGACCTCCGAGCCAATCAGATTGCTTGAAAACTCCGCTGACCTGAAAAAAATTTTGCGAGGGTTTCCCCCTGTTATGATGTGAGGCAAAATTTTAAGCGCCGCTATAATAGCAATACAGCCGCTGCTATCATCAAACTTCCCCCAGGTGCTAGAGCATGCCTTACTTACACCACCTAGCTTTTAGATTCTGACGTTGAGACCCTCAATCATCACTAAAGTAAGTAGCGATAACCAAGTGGAGACAGCCTATCTACCTCCTAGTCTCGGATAGAGTCTTGTTGAGCTTCAGGGATAGGCACATCCACACAACGTAAAAAAAAGGCATGCTTCAAAGAAACATAACAAAAATAAAATAATGAAGAAAAGAACATACTACTGTAAGGGTATAGTAGTATGTAGGCAAAAAAGAGACACTCACACAAAGCGAGTAAAAGAAAAGCATATCAAATACAACATCAAAGATGCTCAAAAAAGCTCGTTGTTCTTGCAATAAAAATGCATACATGAGCAACGCGCATGGTAGTAATAGTCGGATGTAAAGCAACATGGCACAAATACGCACAACTGCAAAAGCAACAGTGGTATTATCAGTATGCAATACAACATAAAGACTAGTGTTGTTTCATGTAAAGCTACAACAGAGGAAATACTACCAACAAAAGAAAAAAAAGAAAAAAGCGCAACAAGGCAAACATCATGAATGCATTATCACGAGAAAGGAAGCAATAATATAAACGTTCAAAGAAGTCTTTTATCATTGCTACCAGAAGAAAAAAAGATACTTACCACTTACTACATCCACAGATAGACCTAGGGTTCGAAACCATCGGATATAAACCAAAGAGCATGCACCAAAGACAGTAGACCAGGAAAGACCATATTAGCAGCAATAGCAGCAACACCAGCACCATAGACAAACCGAGGAACGAACAATGCCACCAGCAGAGACCAGACAAAGGCCAAAGAAGCAATCACCAGACATGATAAACCAAAGAAGCAAACAGCAGAGGTAGCAGAGAAGTAATGGCAGCAGCACCTATGTCAATCAGGCAAAGCAATTATCGAAACCTAATAATAAACAAATTCGATTAATGCTTGTTCTACATCTTTCTCTGCTCGTTATCGAATGGTACCTATATATTCCACTTTGAAGAAGCAACATCAAGTCTTTTTAACAGTACAAGGCAGTGTTATCAGAAGCTAGAGTGTTATTCTCAATCAAACAGTTTCCAAAACAGCCATGGTTTCAGCTAAACGCGCTTTGCAAAAAAAGGTAAAAAAGGTAAAAAAAAAACGATGATATAGAAGAATGAGAGGACGCACTATCCGACGTCACGGCCAGTAGATTTAGTCTCATTCCTGTACCGTAGCAGCCGTAATTGCGGCGATTTAATTTGAATTTGTGCAGTGGGTGTTTTCTTGTTCAAACTTGACTTGATTTGACATCCTTTGAACGTTTTTGTCAAACTTGACTATGAAAACTCTCGTTATCATACCCAACTTCCTAATATACCTTTAAAGGACTAAAAAGGCCGCATCGAATGGTGTTAATTACATTCAGTTTTCAGACCGAAAGTAATGAGCAATTTGCAAAAATATGAGAATATGTTTTCCGTGGATATGTCAAAATTTAGCATATCAAACCTCATAGAAAGTTTTTCCAGTGTTGTGTTCCATCTTTACAATCAATCTGATCTAATATGTATTATAGGAAAAGTCTTCATTTTTGGGGTAAAAAACACGATCGTTTGATTTTTAAGATTTTTCCTTTACCAATACACATGAAAAAATGAGGATTTTCATCGATTTGCAATGACCTAAAAATTTTTGAAATAAAGCATCAGTAAGTAAAGCGTGGCCAAGGGAAATCGTTTGGTGCTAAACTAAGCGCTTAAAACGCATTGTGGCATAAGTTATTCCAGCTTGAAAATAGCTAAATTTGGACAGAATTTGACTTGAAAATAAGGCGTATGTGGTTCTGTTACCGAAATAGCAAAGAAACTAAAGCATGGTTTGATGTCTCTAATGTTCTGCACTGTACAAAACTCAACGTCTACGCAATTGACGCTTTTATTCTAATTCTAAGGCTCAGGAGGTATCTCTTTTTGAAATGCGCGAGTACAGTGATTTTATAGCTTGATCGTCGATGGTATTATTATGTAAACCTGAATCCAACAAATTGCTCGAGTTGAAAGAGATGCACATCAAGTCAGCAGGACACTTTTGATGGTGGTCTACAATAAGTATATTATGCTTAGCCGTACAACTAAACTTAAAGTCTATTCTTCTCAATAACGTTGAACCATTATAATTAAAGAAAAATGACTACTACTACGAGACAGGTTGAATCGTTGTCAGAACGATTGGGGAATCAGACAATGAAATCTTGTATCAAAATCGAGCGAACAGAGATTCATAATACCTGCATATTTCGCGATACAAAAATCGACAAAAACAAACCTGTTAAGCACAAGGAATAAAAAGATTATTATTATTTGTAGCTTATAAAAAATGTTCAATATTGTTGTGCCAGAAGGGCTACAACTGTCTATAAGGATTAAGGCGTGGAATACAGCCACTATGATCTGCATTCCGACAGTTCATCCAGTTACCAGATTTAGATATAAACTGTATGTACGCTGGATTAGATGTACGATATTGATTTATACTGTAAGAAGATATGGACTTCAGATACGCTAGTACTATAAGATTCATACTATATAAGATATAGGCTATAGATGGCACCACGGACATGGATGGCGCTATAGACTTATACTTGTATTCCGACATTATTGACTACGGATGTTTACCATATCTGGATAAGCACCAAGATTAATGCAATATGAGCTTGTTGCTTCAGATGTGCACTTTATGATCCACGCTATAAGACACATGCTTATATCCGTGATACTAGCTACAGATACTTTATGTACTACAGACTTGTACTATATATGAGACATGCTATAGACATGCATACGATATGCTATAGACATGTCATATATCCAGATACATGCTAAAGATGTATGCTCAGCGATATGCACTCAGATATGTACTATTAATATAGACTAAGAAGACTGTACCTATCGGATACATGCTACTAGATCGATATTAATTATCCTTATAGAAAGGATAGATCAGGGTACTTCGGATGAGAGTCTAGTTATTCATCCAGGCAAAAGCTAAATCATGATTAGCTTGCTGGAGTTGTCTTTTAGCATAATTCGACATTAGTTGATCTGAGTTGACTTATTTGTCAATCTAATTAATCGAACTTTTATCCATTGTTATAGTATATAAGAAGGATCATCTATCTGGCCAGTAGAGAGACTTCAGTTTTACTTTACACCTGTCAGTTTGGTAATAAAATATACCTTTATCAAGTTGACATTACTGTTTTTTTATTCTTTTTTTTCCGTGAATTTTAGCCTATCAAGCCTCAAATTCCACAAGGTAGATATGTCTGTGTTGTGCAACCAAATGGACAAGCTATGATAATTGAAGTGCATCTCAGCTATCTAAATGCTGAGGTTCACCAGATGTGATAAGCGCTGTACAAGATAAATTGCTACTTTGGCATTCAGAACTTAGTATAAATAGAATAACGCTTGTCTTCATCAATAAATCTTTAGTTTTTTGTGTCTGATCTTATTCAAATAAGTCTTTTCTTGTTTTTATAATATTTGTTAAACACAAAGAATAAAAGGATTATTGATGAAGACAAGAGTAATTCTATTTATAATAAGTTCTGAATGCCAAAGTAGCAATTTATCTTGTACAGCGCTTATCACATCTGGTGAGCCTCAGTATTTAGATAGCTGAGATGCACTTCAATTATCATAGCTTGTCCATGTTGTTGCACAACACAGACATATCTACCCATCAAGAATACCTTAATCTTTATAGACAGTTGTAGCCCTTCTGGCACAACAGATGAAATGCAACATTGGAAGCTTTTTCTATGAGACTTGTATATGCTAAATATTGACATATTCGCAGAAAACCTGTTTTCATATTTTCACAAATTGCTCATTATCTTCAGTCTAAAAACTGAATGTAATTAGCACCATTCGATGCAGCTTTTTTAGTTCTTTAGAGATGTATTAGAGAGTTTAGTGTGACAACGACAGTTTTCATAGTCAAATGCAGCAAAAACGTTGGAAGGATGTGAGAAGATCAAGACCAGGTTGAACACGAAGATACCACTGCACAATTTCAAATTAAATTGCCGCATTTACGGCTGCTACGATACAAGACTGAGACTAAATCTACTGGACGTGACGTCGGATAAGATGCCCTCTCATTTTTCCATGCCCTCGTTTTTTTTCCCTTTGCAAAACGCATGTAGTATCAAACCATATTGGTTTTGGAATCCTTTTGAATGAGAATAACACTCTAGCTTCCGATAACATGGTCTTGCACTGTTATACTTGATATTGCTTCTTTAAAATGGAATATAGTAGGTACCATTCGATAGCGAGCACTGGAAGGCATAGAATTAACACTAATTGTATTTGTTTATTAGATTTTGGTTATTCTTCTTCCTGTTAGACGTGGGTGTTGCTGCCATTACTTCTCTGCTATTTGCTTCTTTGGTTTATTATGTTTGTTAGCTGATTTTTTGGTCTCTATCTCTGGCGGTTGCTTCGTTAATCTTTGCCTGGTCTCCGGTGTCACGCGTTCTTCGGTATTTCTACGCTGCTGTTGTTGCTGCTGCTGATGTTCTTGCTGGTCTTGCTGCTGCTGGTATTTCTGATGGTCTTGCTGCTGGTCTTGCTGGGGTTGCTGCTGATGGGGTTGCTGCCGCTAATCTGGTCTCCTTTGGTCTACTATCTGTGGTGTATGCTCGTTCTCTGGTGTATCTCCGGTGGCTCTGTATTCTCAAGTCTATTTGTGGCTGTGGTAAATCGTAAGTATCTTTTTTCTTTTGGTCGCAATGACATAAAGCTTCTATGGACGTTTTTGTTATTGCTTCCTTTCTCATGATAATGCATTCATGATGTTTTCTTTGTTGCGCTTTCTTTTTCTTTCGTTGGCTGTGATATGATCATCAGCTCAATGGATGTTTGCAATGTTGTTGCTTCCTATGTACGAACAACAGGCATGATGCACTGCTATATATCTGTATTGCCGCTGTAATACTACTTTGTTATATGGCCGTGGATTGTTGTTTGTGTTGCCTCTGTGGCTTCACATGAAACAACATTAGTCATTATGTTGCATTACATACTTATACTATCGTTGCTCATACAACTATGTGTGTTTGTGTTCCTTTGCATCAGACTATTATCATGCACCTTGCTCATGTATGCATTTTTGTTGCAACAACAGAAAGCTCTTTTTAAACATCTTTGATGTTTTGTTTGTTATGCTTTTTCTTTGACTCGCTTTCATGTGAGTGCCTCTTTTTTGCCTACATACTACTATACTCTTATAGTAGTATGTTCTTTTCTTCATTATTTTATTTTTGTTATGTTTCTTTGAAGCATGCCTTTTTTTTACGTTGTGTGGATGTGCCTATCCCTGAAGCTCAACAAGACTTTATCCGAGGCTAGGAGGTAGATAGGCCGCCTCCACTTGGTTATCGCTACTTACTTTAGTGATGATTGAGGGTCTCAACGTCAGAATCTAAAAGCTAGGTGGTGTAAGTAAGGCATGCTCTAGCACCTGGGGGAAGTTTGATGATAGCAGCGGCTATATTGCTATTATAGCGGCGCTTAAAATTTTGCCTCACATCATAACAGGGGGAAACCCTCGCAAAATTTTTTTCAGGTCAGCGGAGTTTTCAAGCAATCTGATTGGCTCGGAGGTCGAAGCAGCGAAGGGGTACAAGTAGTTGATTTTTTACTGATCTGTCATTTATCATAATTGTATGTTTGTAATAAAAGGGTATCCAAACTGTTACAATATAAGTTCTTCTCTATTCGAAATAAGAGAAGATGCAATTATTTGATCTGGTATCGATTACAGAGATTTATATGAGGGATGTTTATTGAGTTCATTATGCCAAGAGATTTATGTAATGTGGAGTACAATGACCTTGTAGTGTGGAAGACAGATATACTATTAATGGGCAGGTTGGTGTTACTATTTGTAGATCCTTAACCTTGAGCAACACTTACTTTATAAAATATATGTAGATATTATTGGACAAGTAGAATTAAGATTAAGTGTGGATTTATTGTAATAAAAGTATAATAGTAAGAAGTAATGACATATATTTTCATTAATGTTCAATACCTGTCAAAAAAAAGGCTATTTATATACTATGTTAATGTTTCAATCTGCATGATTGAAACATATGTAATGTGGATCATTACAATTTATTATATAGATACGATAGTACACTCGGTATTAGCTCCTCCCAGTGCTAAACGCTTCGTCAAGCATGTGTCTTTTATCGTTGATTTCCAGCATGTTGTGTCAATTTCAAGGTTTGTCAACCTCTACCTCATATCAAAGATTCGGGATGTACGAAAGTATTTCCGGTTTTGAGACTTGGGCCATTCAAAATGGAGTTTTGAAGTATTAACACCGTCTTAATGCTAGATTCAGCCAGTGCAACATACCATTTAATAACTCACAAAAGGATTGTGCAATCTTAAAGAAGGCCTTGGGCAGGAGTTCTAAAGTATTCCTCATAATTTGATTTATATCGCTTTTAAATAAGCCATGCCTTTTGAGTTTTAGTAAACCCGAGAGCTTGATTTCAACCGACTAAATACATTATAATCACCATGCCATGCTCAAAATTTAGCAAGTTATATGTCTGCAAGTTCAATTCTGGTAGGGTCTGACATTTCATTTTATGTTATATACCATACACCTGCCCTGAGCACACAGTGAACGCAAGTGGCAATTCGAGCCATGCTGATATGTCTGATATTTATGATAGGGAAACATCTACCTCTCTAGGCGTCAGTACTAAAATACTCTGAGCCTCCTTATAGCAGAGAAGATAATTTTGCCAAGGAAGCTCGCTTTCGTCTCTATGCTCGCTAAATGCAAGTAATCCTTCGGCATCCAGTGATAGTCAAATGGCAGTCGACGTATAATTCAACCTATTGTTGTATCTATTCCCATATCAATAATCTTTTCATTTCGATAAATCTTGTAGAATGACTGCAATACAAGCAACTCATCTACTCGATTATTGCCTGTTTTACAAGTAAATCCAAGTCTTTAACCTTAACGACGATAGAGTACTGCTTCTTGTTGTCAATCGCGATGTTTAGTAACACACTGTTACACCATTCTCTTCGGACTAACCGACGTTGCTGGTTGATTTGAAGAGAAAATTTTTTCATCCTAAGCTGGGAAGGAGGGGGGCTAGTATAAAATCAAACATAAAACTTCGCCCTCTTTTTCTCTTTTCTTCTACAAGAAATCCTATAAAACTTATTAAAAATGGAGCGTACTTATATCATGGTTAAGCCCGATGGCGTTGAGCGCGGTATCGTTGGTGAAATTATCAAGCGTTTCGAACAACGTGGTTTCCAACTCACTGCTCTTGAGTTGATCCACCCTACCAAGGAACTCCTCGAGGAACACGTAAGTTGACATGGCAGCAAGCAAGGAATATGAGACTAAATGATTGGCATTTCTTTAGTACTGTGACCTCAAGGGTAAGGGTTTCTTCCCTTCTTTGATTGAATACATGTCCTCCGGCCCCGTTGTTGGTATGGTTTGGACTGGTAAGGATGCCGTCAAGACTGGTAGAAAGATGTAAGTTGAAGTTTACCCCCTTTTTGAGGTGAGTTGTCATACTGATGCGTCCATGTAGGCTCGGTGAGACCAACCCTTTGGCCTCTGCCCCTGGTACCATCCGTGGCGATTTCTGTATTGAAGTTGGACGTAACATCTGTCACGGTTCTGACTCTGTTGAGAACGCCGAGAAGGAAATCGCTTTGTGGTTCCCCCGTGGTGTCAAGACTGTTGCTCGTAGCCACTCCATCCACTCTTTGTTCTACGAAAACTAAGTTTATTTAAGTTTTATACATTTCAAATCATGCCTGCTACATTAGGTTGATTATATCAATAAATTACTTTAACACACACCTACACGACAGAGGGGTTCAATGTCTGGAGTATGTCTCACATGTGGAGTAAATCAAGGGGAAAGGTTTTGGATGCACTGGGATTCAGCCCTCGAGTGAATTGAATACTTGGTTTTGTACGAGTCAAGTTTATTTCTTTTTCTCTTCTAAAGTGGTGAATTGTAGTATATATATGTAAAAATGAGTGCAAATGAGGGAAATCATAACAGTAAAATGCAAAATTGTTTGTTCAAGATTTAAATTGTGATAGTAATTTAGCTGCCTTCAACATGCTCTGCAGTTTATCTCAACATTTTGCTATCAACACCTTCTTTCACAATGGGTAAATCGGTAACCTTTTTCGAGTTGGCCTTTTCTTGCATACTCACGTTTCTAATGTATGTCCAGCGTTAGTTTCCCAAATTCGTATCTTATATATACAACAGCCAAACTTACGTATACCATGCGCCACCAGCCAATGTCAACATGATTCCAATCAAGTTGGTAAATGTAATATTCAAATTAAAGATGATCACAGCCAAAATAATGGAAAGAACCTGCTTTACATTTCCAGCTACTGTCATGGTCAAAGCACTGGTCTTTTTGTTGGCGGTAAAACTGACTACGTTCAAAAAGAAGGCCATGACACCATTGATCAACAATGCAAAGCAGAGAGACATGGTCAATCGAGTGCGACAAAATTCAGTAACCTCGGCCATTTCACCAGTAACGTAAGAATAAACCATGGTTTGAACAAACGCCAATGGAGACATGCGCAACAAGAGATCCAAAGGATGCAACTTGAGACGGCCCACTTGGACTCTGTTGGTCACCACTGTCTTGATGGCTGCCAGTACTGTACCTAATACAGTCAACACAAAGCCTAATCGAGTGTAGTTGTATTCACCAAATGTAGCAAATGCAACACCGAGAACAACCTACAGATCAATTTTCAGCATTTCACTCTTTCTCTCTCTTCTGCGTTGATGCACAGATCGATCCACTCTCCCAGACAGCATACTTACAGGCAACAAGGAAATGTAGGTCATGGTGGAATACGACTTTTTCAGAAACAAGATGGACAACATTACTGTGAAAACAGGGGTCATTGCACGAACAACTTGATGAAACTGCAATGATTATCGTATGAGCATGAGGCCTCTTCAATACGGATGAAATGTACTTACGGGAACGGTGACGAGATTGCTATTCAAAGTGAACAGTCAGTATCTCATATACACATGGGATCAAATCAAGTAAATAAACTTACAGAGATACATTACTGATGGCAATATTAATTGTGTACAAGACCGAAAAGGCAAGCATAACCATGTTTTCTTGATCTCCCAACTTTGCGGGTTGAAACAAATCACCCTTCCAGAAAATATAAGATCCAACAGCACCACAGAACGTATGGATTGCTGTTAATGTCCAAGGAAATGGGAAATCGTACAGTGCCAAGATGATCTTGTTGTACAGTGTCAGGGACAGGTTGAAGAAAAAGTACATACCCAGCCAGATCATGGGCGTATCCAGGCTCTTTAGTTTGCTTGAATGCGTTGATAGAAATGAATCAATAGCCATGTTGAACGGGTCTGATATGGAGAGGGAGGAAAAAAGAGGGAAAAACAGAAGAAAAAGGCAAATTAAACTAAAAACGATGTGGACCCAAATTTATATATAAGGAGGCAGCTATCATTTACCTATTCCAGACATTCAAGTTACACCATCTCTTTGTCTTTAATGTCATATTCGTTCTGGAAAATCCCCTGTGAGCTGGGATTTATAAAGAGGTTAAAACCTTGTGGCTTGATTTGAAGTGAATTCAATCGTCAAGTACAACTGTAGATGTGATTTTTTTTTATTGCTGGTTTAAATACATGTTGGCAAACAGATGTTTTATATAGAAAAAAGAAAATAAAACTTGGCTCTAGCATTACACAGAATATAAAAGGTGAATAGATGTAACCACAACATTATTTTTTGGTTTTTAATTTCTTGCTTGTTCCACGACCACTTCCTGAGGCAGCAGCAGCCTTCTTCTTCTTGGGTACTTCCTTCAAGTACTTTTTGATTTCTTGCAAGTCTTGTTCGCTTGTAGTTTCCTCTTCGTCCTCTGATAAATCATCACCAATAGGCTCGTCATCCTCGACAATAGTGCCTACTGCATCTTCTCTAGGTCCAGAAACAGAGCGTTTGATTGGGGCCCCGCCAATTTGGAACAAGATGGGATGCGATTGAGCATTGTAGCTATGACCAAACTGTGAGTCTTTCATCTTATAAGAACAGTGTCAAACTTACGCTCTTGTAAATGCAGTTTTGGTTTTGCTGGGAACCTGTTGCATGGGGTGCTTTCCTGCAGGGGCAAATGTCAAGTCGCTAAGAGCATCGACATTTTCTCTGTCTAGATGATAAGCATCCATCACTTCTATCGCGCCTTCAAAGTTGTCCTAAAATAATATAATCTCAAAAATTAGTTCTTGTTACACCACCACCATCTACGAACAAACCTCATTCAACTGTCCAAATATACGATCATTCAGTGTAGGGATATAATTCTGTCTAATTTCAAACTTGTCTCCGGATGCCTTCAATCGCATGCGAGTTTGTACATCGCTCAATGATCGACCAAACTTTTGTGCCTTTGAGTTTTGACCAAGCCATCTATAGCATACAATGTAAGTGTTGATAAGGAGGTGCTGTATATGCTCTCTTACCCAGGAAAACCGTATCTGGTTCTGACTTGTCCTCTGATGTAACTTGCTGGTCGAACACATGAAAAGATGGAATGAACTGGCATGAGAGACCAATGTTGAACAGTGCTGCAAAATACATATGGATGAGTGCCATTTCAATAAAGTGGAAAGATTTGCATACTCACCCGTGAATCATGGTATCGACGAGATCGCCATCGGCAATAGCGTCAGCTGCCTTTGCAATTAAATCCATCTCATTGCAATCTCTTTCTTTTGGATTGCCTGTCTGTGAGGTGGCCAATTCAGGTGTGCTTTTCAAGTAATTTTCCTAGGTTCAACCTCTGTCAGTTTGAAACACGATGTGATATCCACATAGAACCCACCTGAATCATCAGAGACGAGAGAGCATAATCGTGGAAATAGATCTCGTACTTTTCAGTCAAAGTCTTTGATCTCCAACCTCCAGATGTGATGAGCTCGCCGGGAATATCAAACAAGCCAAGGATGGAATGCTTTTGATTCGCTTTGCCACTGCAAGTGATACACATGTCAACAACGACCCTGCCTGATCAAACCCAAGAGCAACTTACACTTTTTTGGCTTGGTCGTAGTCCATACCAGCTTCTTTTAGGCGATAAGTAGACAAAATGTTAATGACTTGTCTGATATCATTTTGAGTCGAATCGACCAATTCGTCCACTGCATTAGGCTGAAGTTGAAGACCCTCCCTATCAATTTGATGTAGAAATGAGTATATATTGCAATATAGAAACGCGATAGATTTTGTCCTACTTGTATGCAATGGTCAGGATTCTAGAACGAATTTGGGCAGCAGGTGTTCTACAAGGATGGCATTAACTTTTTTGTTTGACACCACGTTTTTTAATAGCTTGTACCTTCTGAATTTGGCTTCAAAGCATACTCTCAATAAGGGAGCGACCTTTTGTGATCTCGAATCGTTACATATACAAATGACTGGAATCTTGCTTTTTCTGATAAGCTGAGCCAACTCTGCTGCTCCACCACGATCACCAGCAGACATGCCATCAACTTCATCCATGATCAACACGACCTTTTTACCCTTGAGCAATCTAGGCTCAGCAGCCTTCTGATGTTTGGTGTCTTGATTAGACACAGTGCCACTCTCATGTCCTCTCCACAGAGACACCTACCTTCTTTCCTGCTGCTCCATCCTTGCCATTGGGCTGGAAAAATTCAGTCATGGTATGGTTATCCATCATTTCAGTAATGCTTTCTTCCAAAACCTTCTTGCTGCGAACATCACTTGCATTGAACTCGAGAGGCTCATAACCGTTGGTATTGGCAACGACCGTAGCTGTTGTGGTTTTACCGATACCAGGAGGACCACTAAGCAAAATAGCGCTATAGTCGCTTATGTTATCACCAGAATTCTCAAATCCTCGAGAGTAGTTTTGTTGCCAGTGTTCAAGCCATTCGTTGATACGACGCACCATCTCCTTATTACCAACAATGTCTTTGATTTCAGTTGGCTTGTACTTTTCAGTCCATAATTGTGTTTGGTTTGCCTCTTTAGTTGGACTATGCATCGCAGTTAGTATTTTGTGTGAGCCATCATTCAAGAAGACTTACGTTGGAACAGTGGCTATTTTAGCTTTGGCAGCAACGGATGTAGCTTTAGCAGGCATGGGTGAGACAATGGGAACAGCCTTCTTTTCGCTGGATGACTCAACAAGATGATAAAAGGCATCTTCATCAAGCAACTTGGTGTTTAAGGTCTTGGCTTTGGCTAATTTTGTCTCACCGGCATCTCTTCCGTAACAGAGATAGGTCGTTTTACCACTGACAGCTGAAGTAACTCGTCTATTACAAGTATCAGCACAAGACTCTATTGCTTGTTCAATGCTGCATTACCCGCCATATCTCATTATGATATCCTTGGTTTGTTCTTTTGTCAATGTTTCATACTGGCCAGAGATAACAAATGTCATTCCTGCAAAACAGTTGGGAGCACCGACTGGTTCAGGACGAGTGCCTAAAGCTTTAGGAGGCTCTTGACTCTTCAACATGGCAAAGTAATTCTTCTTTTTGGGCTTCTCTTCAACTTCTGTAGCATCCACATCCACCTCTTTTTGGATCTTGGAAGGTGCTGCCTTCTTGGCTGCGGGTTTTTTGGTGGGTACGGGTGAACTAGATTTCTTGGATTTCTTTTGAGGGCGAGTCTCTTCTTCAGGCTCGTCTTCGAAATCATCTTCATCATGGCTAGCATCATGATCATCCTCAAAATCATCGTCGTCGCTATTAGTACCATCATCTTTGAAATCATCTTCACTGTCATCATTGGAACGCTTCTTTTTAGTACTGGACGCTACAGGTGCTTTGCGTTTGGTTGCTGATTTAAGTTTGATAACAGGGTTCAATTTAGATGTTGATGCCTTGGTTGCTGGCTTGGTGGTTTTAATAGCAGATTCTTTGGGCTTTGATTCAGTTGCTTTGGTTACAGTTGATGTGGTTGCTGTGGGCTTTTTGGATGTCACCTTGGATCCGCCAAAGAATGCCTTTGGATCAACAGCACTACATGAGGATGTCAATCCACTGTTATATTCTGTGGAAATAGTATCTATTTCTTACTTTTTATCACTACTCCCTTTGGAAACAGGCTTTGAAACTAAGGAAGGTTGGCTAGATAAATGAAATATGTATCAGTGATCTACGCATAAAAGACGGCATCTGCGTTGTTTAAGATAACCAATGCCTTACAAATCATCATCCTGATCTTGGTCGAATTCTTCTACAGGGGAGAAAGATGCCTGAGTATGATGTATTGTTGATTGAAATGCCATGTTTAAAAGGCTTTACCAGTAGCTTTCCTCTTGCGAGCAGGAGCAGATGTGGTTGCTGGTTTCTTTTCAGTGGCCTAACACAAGCGATTGTAAGGCTGAATGCTTCTCCAAACAAATTGTATATGTACATACTGGCTTCTTTGAAAAGTATTTCTCGATTCCCATGATCTTGACAACTACAGAGCGTGTGCTGCTTTTGATATGCGAGATGAAAGAAAGAAAGAGAGAGAGAGAGAGAGAGAGAAAAAAACTGTCTAAATCGCAAAACGCGACATTTTAAAACATCATCCACATTTATCATCGCGACACTTTTGCCTTGACAGTGACCATTTCATTTTCCAATGGCTGATCATAAGATACTTGAGTCAAATGCTTCTACAGGAACCATGTTCACATCTAACGCGTACTGGTGATGTATGGATATTTGAAAAAAAAAGACACAAATCAATCAACATTGTATCTATTCTTTATTTAATGAGCATTCAATGATTGCTGGCGCACCAAATCAAAGTAAACGCCCTTCAGGTCTAACAGCTCCCAATGTGTACCTTGTTCAATGACACGACCGCCCTTGACGACACAAATGAGATCAGCATTTTGAATTGTGGAGAGGCGGTGAGCAATAGTAATAGTTGTGCGGCCTCCTTCTTCCAGGATGCTATCAATGGCTTGCTGTACGAGTTTCTCACTTTCACTGTCTAATGCCGACGTAGCTTCGTCTAACAAAAGCACCTTGGGCTTGCGAATCAATGCTCGGGCAATAGCAACTCTTTGCTTTTGGCCTCCTGAAAGCTGGCTCGCTTTGTCTCCTACTCTAGTCGCATATTTATCAGGCAGGGAAACGATAAAGTTGTGGATATTGGCTGCTTTACACGCGCTTTCCACTTGTTGTTGCGAGACTTCAATGCCATCATCGACGCCAAACTTGATGTTATCCAAAATACTCATGTCAAAAAGGACAGGCTCCTGTTGAACTAGGGCCATATGGCTACGGAGATTACCAAGGGAATAGCTCTTGACGTTAGTGTCATCCAAGCGCACCGAACCAGCAACAGGATCATACCATCGCTGAAGCATGCCGATAGTGGTTGACTTACCACAACCACTTGGACCAACGAGGGCTATGGTTTGGCCAGCTTTACTATAAAAATTGAATTCGCCATCAAAGATGGAGATATCAGGACGAGAAGGATAACGGAAAGTGATGTCTTCCAGATCAACGTGGCCCGTGATTAGAGAACGAGATGGTTCAATGCCTTCAAACTCAGGATCAATGAGAGGCTGACGCTCAAGGATATTGAAGGCAGCGATAGACGAGTACTTGGCTTTAGCGTAGGTGGTCATGAACATGAAAGCACGACCCACACCTTGAGCCGTAATCATGATAGCCATCATACAAGTAAACATTTTATCATACGCAAGGCCATGGCGTAACATGAGTTGAACACCGGCATAAAAGGCGATAGCATAGGCATAGAGGGTAACTGCCTGTTGCAGAGCGTAACCTACAGACGATTTGAAGGCCTTTCGCTGAGCCAGCTTGTGTGGATATGCGGTAGCTTGGTAGTACTTGCTTTCAAAGTGAGATTGCTTGTTGAGACCAGCTACTATGCGGATTTCCTTGATGGCTTCGCCGGCCACTTCACCGCTCTGCTCATTAGCTGAACGGGTTGCGTCTTCAAACCCGACTTCCACTTGGGCTTCAAAAAAGGCACCGAAAGCAATAAAGGGAGAGATACACAAGACAATCAGGGTCAACATCCAGCTCTGAGAAAACGCAATTGCCAAACCAGTGATGGCAGTGACAATCATCTGAGTGACATCGCCCATGGTCTTGGTTACCAGGTCATTGACATTCTTGGAGTCTATAGCAAGCTTGGAGGTCAGAGCGCCCAGTGAATTATCGGGATGATCATGGAAAGCGACTTCCATCTTGATGAGAGCACGAAAGATGTTGGCGCGAAGACGTTTTGTGTATCGCTCACCAGCCATTTCAAAGGCGGCATACTGTAGTGTAAAACCAATGAAAGCTACAATAGCAATGACAAGAAATAGGAAGGAGTACAGATTGGTGCCTTGCATGGGTCCAGGCGAGCCGAGATTAGGATTAATGAGATCAGAGACCACGCGAGCAAAAACTAGAGAGAAGCAAGGAAAGATAGCACCAGCAATAATAGCACCCAATATACCCAGAGCTAACATAGGCCATTCAGGATACATTTGCTTCAGAACCTTGCCCAGAGGCGCCTTTTCTTTCTTTGTATCTTTACGCTCCTGTCTTTCTTTTCGAAGCTTGAGTTCATAGACATCCACAGAAGCACGACTGGTGATCTTGAACAGGTTGACATTGGTTTCCTTTTCGTTGACCAAGGCATCATCGGCGCGTTGCTTCTCAACAGCAAGTGCCAGTTGTTCACGTTGCAGTAGTTCGTCAGCATCAGGTTCATGGACAGCCTCTCCCACTTTGCTAGTGGCAATCTCTTGCTTTCGAACCAAATCAGCATACACACCATTCAATTTCAAGAGGTCGTTGTGGTTGCCTTGCTCAATCAAATCACCTGCTTGCATGACGACAATAAGATCAGCATTTCTAATGGTAGACAGACGATGGGCAATTACGATAGTAGTGCGATCGGCAGCAGCAGCGTCTAGTGCAGATTGCACCAAGCGCTCTGATTGAGTATCTAGAGCAGACGTAGCCTATGGGACACATGGTGTTAGTTACTGTACATTTGGAGAGTATTGCAATGTCTACTTTACCTCGTCCAACAAAAGAATCGAAGGATTCTTGAGAATAGCTCGAGCAATGGCAATTCGTTGCTTCTGGCCACCAGACAGCATACCACCAAATTGGCCAACGATTGTTTCATAGCCATCGGGAAGCTCAGAGATGAAGGCATGGCAGTTAGATTTCTTGCATGCAGCAACAATTTCATCGTTTGTCACTTCTTCAGTGACACCCATCAGTAAATTTTGCTTGATTGTTGAATTGAATAAAACAGGCTCTTGACTACAATTTATGTCAAGACACGAGCAAGTCTAAGCTGCTAATGATTCATAACTTACCTCACAACACCAATCTGACTACGAAGCCATGCCACGTTGTATTCCTTGAGATCTTTGCCGTCAATAAGCACAGCACCTTCCAACGGGTCATAAAAACGTTGCAAGAGCTGAACACTCGTAGATTTACCAGAGCCCGAAGGTCCACAAAAGGCTACAGTCATACCAGGCTTGATCTTGAGATTAAGCTGCTTCAAGATGGTGATATCAGGACGCGTAGGGTAACTAAACTTGACATCTTTGAATTCAATCTCGCCTTTGAGCTTGTCAAGTACGACACCATTAGGAGCATCTACATCAATGGCAGGTACACGATCAATAGTGCTAAAGATTCGGTAAGCTGCACCGCAAGCACTGCTCACTGCCACCAAATTTTGAGGAACCATCAAAAGTGCCATGGCGCCCATAATCATTGCAAATTGGACGATGAGCACGTCTTCGCCAGTCATCACACCGTCTCGTGTCAACTTGGAGCCATACCAAAAGGAAAGACCGTAGGTGCCAAACAAGATGAGCCTTTGTAATTTAGTAGCGTTAATGTATGAATGAATCGGATATACAATGGTCTTACATAAACACGCCAAATCCAATACCCAGGGCTAAACCACGTTTGATGCCGTCCTTCATAGCCTTCTCCAGCCTGATCTCATATAGATCAGCAAATCTCTTTTGTAGTGAGAACGAATACACGGTGCGAATACCAGCAAACACTTGTTCTGCGACACTGCCTGCATGCGCATAGGAATCTTGGGCCCTGAGTGTATACTTTGTAATCAAGTAATCAATAGCACCGCCAACAAGCGCCATCAAAGGAACAGTAGCAAGCATTACAACTAGGTTCATTTGTTAATACCAAAAGTCTACAGTACTATGATATGGGCTTACCAGCTAATCTCCAGCCCTTGACAAAACTGATGATGAAACCTGCAATGAATTGCCCTATTATATAGAAGAATCAGCAATCAAGCTTAAATGAATGCTACCTCTTAGATATACCTATGCACATGACCAAATAGCCAAATTTTTCGCTGATACCATCTTGAATCAATTGCGTACCAGCTGCTAATCGGGTAGTAAGGGAGCCGTCCTCTGCTTTATCAAACCAACCCATGTCTTGACGGAGAACAGCATGTACATACAGACAACGAATACGACGCACTTGGTTCTTACCAGTGAGCACCCACAGACAGTTTGTAATGTAAGCTCCAAACAGGTTACCCGTAGCCATGTATACAAATGTCAGGATTAGAGGCTGTGCTTCGCGTGCTAACGTTGCCCAGTCTTGAGAAGCAATTGAAGCACTCAGCGTGCCCATGAATTTGCCAAATACAATGATAGAGATGGGCTGCACAGCACCAACGCCGGCAGAGAGGATACAGGCACAAAAAATCATAAGCGCTTCAAGGGGAGTAGCAAATCGAAATAATCTGTAAATAGGGACAGCAGACTCTTTCTCTTTCTTTGGCTTCTTGCTCTTGCCATTGTCTTGTGATTCGAGGTTGTCAGCAAATTTCAGTGTTTTCATTGCTATCGCTTCGATCTCCTGCGTCTGCAATTTCTCATCATTGTTATTTCGGTGCAAAGGGTCTGGGTGTGTGGAATGACTCCGATGTTCCTTTTCTGTATCGATAGTTTGACTAGTAAAAGATGATCGGGAGGATAGGCTTTGATCTGCCATATTTACAAGTAAAAGGTAAAAAGTGAGGATTCTTGATTTGCATTGATGAGCGTCGCTGTATTTATATCAAAGCAGGATTGTAGCACAGCACGTTCAAAACGGATTCTATGGAAAATACGTCAGTGCCAATCTCAGCAACTTCGGCTCAAATCTCCTCACTGAGAATAACTTCGGCGCAACTCTCCAGACCCTGATTCCGCAGATTTCAAAAAAAATTAAGCTTAACAGATCGCGTTCAATGGATAACTCTTACTGCGAAAACATTATGTGTCATTCTCAATAAAATCCATCGACTTTAGCAGGACAAGCTCCTGTATGTTCCGAACAATCGCAATCTCTCTTTCCTGTTTAGCCATCATGTGCACTGATGAATCAAGCGTCGTATTTTATTCTGCAGTAATGTAACGACTGGCATCATACATCATCTCAAGCCAAGGATGAGGGAATTGATCATAATAATCAACATCGAATTTACCACCATTCAAGAGCTCGGACAGGTTAAAGGTAGTGGGGCCCTTTGAGTAGTTTGATTGCACACGGAATCGGATCGAGAGGAGGTTGGTATCTAATTCGTTCAAGCAGGACCTCATTATTGGACGAGCTTCTTTAGCAATGTGCATATTGGGTGACAGCGCCAGCAATGCTAACACATCCAGTGCACTGAACAGAAACTCACTGGCACACAATTTGTAGCTGCCTATACGGAGAAATCCTTTTTAGTATATGAGTAGATGTAGTCTATAGATATACTCACAAGAATTCGTCTCGGCCATGGTCAAACGGTGGATGGCATACAATGCCAACTGACAGCTTCTCAGTGCTTTTTTTAGCGAGTGTTCTTGCACCCAAGACAGAAGCGGCTGTTGACTCTCGCCATGCAGTGATTTTGGCTGTAGCAGACAAGAATAGATGCTGACATGAAATATATGAAAATGTATAAATGTGATCAATACTACAGAGTCGGTTGTTTGGTCGATTGCTTCATAACATGCTTCCTTATCATAGAGATTATTGCAAAGACGGAATTCTGCTGGCAATGCCATGGCCCATTCTCGCAACACGGTTTCCAGCTTGACGATTGATTCCAAACTAAGAGTGCACGTTCTTCCCATAAGCACACGAAGGGTTTGTTTCTGCATAAGCATTGTCAGCATCAAATGCATCGATGTGGCCCATTGACACTCACCGAGAAATTCATCACAAATGGATGGTTATACAGGTTGATGGCCCAGTTCTGGGCTTGCACAGATCGCTTGGTCTCCTCTGGTTCATCAGCCATGTACTTCCAGATAGGGAAATGCAGACACTCACTGTCGGCAATGTCATCAGCCATATAATCCATCAAAAGGTTGAACCAGAGTGAAATGGTGACATGCCGTGTAAACAGCATCTTATTCACATCGGTGATAGGGCCCTCACATTTCGTAAATGTGTAATATCCAGAGTGTGGCCCTCCCTCAAAGCAGGCATTGACACCAATGGTTCTAAATTCGGGATAGTCGTTCCGTAAGTCGAGTAAAATCTGAAAGGCCATCGCCAGCAATTGACGGCACTCGTCAAACTTGAATGTCATATGCATGTATTCAATGAGCAAATTGATGCCCATGACGTTTTCTAGCCTCTTTTCGGGTTGATCGAACTGGTCCATAATGATGCTTCGTGCCTTTGCATGGAAGTAGTCGCCCATCGTGCGTCTTTCTTTTAAAGGAAGTTGTAGGTGTTTGCAGGCAGCTGAGCAGACGTAGGAACAGATACCCAGGGTAACAAGATCCGTCAGGGGGTCCTCTATCGTGGCTAGTTTAGCTCGATGCGTTGGCTCGTGCACCAGTGGATTGTATTTATTGTGGCATTCAAAATATATATCTAAAAGTTGATTAACCAATGCTTTTGGATCCAGTAACAAGGCATTTGGCAGTGTGATTGTGTTTGTGGCGGGTGAATTGACAAGCCTTGTTTTCATGCACCGTGTCAGGATCTTGATGGTGCTTGGGATTAGACTGGCTATACCCTCTCTTCCAAACCGCATGACGATACCAGCATTGCATCCCCTATAGAAATCACTCGAGTTATCATCGCTGTAGCTGCTACCATTGGAACTCCATGGTGCTGTGGTGGATGATTCACTGGTGTAATACTGGCTTAAGGGCGATAGATAGGTTATGGATGGGTGAAACTGTAGCAGCTCGCTTATATTTTGAATGCCTGTTTCTATCTGAAATGTGCCATTCTGGATCTTGACTTTCCAGGTGTGGAATAAACTTTGGATCATTCTGTTTGACACCTCAGGTAATGGTTGTTTCTCACTACGAACAAGTGTACCGTCATAATTGCTATAACTGCTGCTGTCATAGTTGTGATGTATCTGCAACTGTTCTTCCATAAATGCAACGGCTTTCTCAAGTTGGTTTACCTGATTCTTCAATGCATCAAAATCCTTGTGCTCTTCTCCGGATTGTGTTGGTTGTTGACATGCTTCGCCAAGCTTTTCACATCTGAGGCAATCAGCATCTAAACTGGAACGAATACATTTGCGACGTTGGTTTCTACATTCTACATCAGTACTTTTAGTGACACTCTCGACAGTATAAACTACGAGTATTACCAATACAAGGTGTACTTCTCTCCTTCTTTATGTACATGATTTTATTTGACTTAAAGATTTGAAGCCAAACAGGAAAAAAAAAAGAGAAAAGTACAAGCTGCGAAAGTACAAGTTTATTGTAGCACATGTATGATTGGACATGTCACACCCAAACGACATTCACGATTTGATCTGATTCATTTACTAATGTTGTCCGTGTCCTTTGCTTCTCTAATCTTATTCATCTATACGGTGTGTGAGTTACACAACAGATGGACATTAAGCATGAGTATAGCCTTGAGTCTCCTCAGCCATCATCTGCTTCTAATGTTGCAGCCGAATAAGAGACTCAAAATTGAATTGATGAGTGTTTACTGATCCGATCAAGGTGATTCAACTAATACTCACATCAGTCAAAAGGATTGAAAGCCTCTTCTTATAAAAAATTTGCAGCAGATTCAAGCATACTAAAAATGAAGAAATTCGTTTGTTTTACATTCAAAAGAGAAGATAGAGCAATTCGTATATCGTACATCCTGTTTTCCTTACTATTACAACGACAACGTGATCTTTTTATTTCACGTATATTCTTGAAGCCTATTAATTGCCTGTTTCTTGCCTCTGTGCTCTTGCCTGTTCTACGGCAATATCGCTAATATAATAGTAAGCTCCCTAGAATTTCATTTGACAATACATGCTTGGTAATTACTTGAAAGGCACAGAGTATTCTCTGCGTTCATTTTTGTCAAGACCAGAAACCCCAAGAGATCTGCGTGTTTGAAAACAAAAAACAGCAACGGTAACAGAGAGTCGCACGGAACCTCTGTAATCAGGAATTCTACTTGTACTTTTGCATTCAAGATCATCTAACATCTGGTCAATCAAATATTGAAAATACAAATATGTATTGTAGCTAGAACCTTTGCGATTAGCATGCCGTTGCAGTAAGTCTTCATCAAGAGATCGATGATTCATTCAAATTTAGATGGGAAAGTTTTGTTTTCTTGTTTTCACACAATGAACAGTACTATAGGTGAAGTGGCTCGAATTCAGTACGTATCCCTTTGAAGAACCTCCAAACTATATAAAAGCCAAGCATAGTTGTGTACAAGCTATAGCATCACTTGAATGTGTGGCTTCATTCTTTGCGCATTTCGACCCTTTATCAAGTTACGCGACTTATATAACTCTATTCGGAATTGTATGTCAAGTTTTCTCACTCACGGTTGTGAATTTGAGTGAAATTGTAAAGGGAGGGCACATTTCGAACTTACAATTCTCATATCATGACAGATCCATAATATAGCTATTGGATAATACTTATTTTATCTGAATATAATGCGTCTTTCTTGAGATATGACCAGAATTGTTGTCCTGCAAAATCATCGATTTTTAGCCAAAATTTGCCTGTAGTAGCTGTTTACGATATAGATTATATCTGAGAGGCGAATGTATTATGCGTTGTATAATATATAAGAAGATTTGAGCAGGAGCAGAGATGCGTGGTATATTGAGATCTCTTTATTCAGACAGTGCAAAGGAATAAGAGTGGTGCCATCGAATGACTAATCAATATCCTGGTTCCTGAAGTGTGGTACTCTATGGCCTATCGTCCCTGAAAGCGGGTTTCAATTCTGACAAATGTTCTTCTTCCGTCAAATTTGCTATGAAGAACATTCTATTCTGGATCCTCATTGTTGCTCGTTCCTGACTGATGGTACATAAGCTTTCACACAGCACATCTTCGTTAACTAGTTCAAGACACATACATCCCGGATATAAGATCAAGGTCCTACTGCTGCTGTACTTTCAAATAACTATAAATACCCTCGAAAGTTACACGAGTTTAATCCTCATTCAATCCTGGAATAACTTAATAAATATATTCGGTTCTACTTGTATTTCCACTGTGTAATTCTAAATATCGTAGTGGCTGGATGACCAGAATATAATACTACTGTGGAACAACATCATCATTAACAACACCATGCTAAAATATACATATACTGTATTAGTTTTGTCCACATGGTAAATATGAAAGATGCTCCTGACATCAAACGGTATAATAAACGCCAGATTGAGCAACTGCACTTTAACTTACTATGGAATAAAACAAGATTTTAATCTTTTTGGACACCATTTTATTACAAACATATAATTATGGTAAATGACAGATCAGTAAAAAATCAACTACTTGTACCCCTTCGCTGCTTCGACCTCCGAGCCAATCAGATTGCTTGAAAACTCCGCTGACCTGAAAAAAATTTTGCGAGGGTTTCCCCCTGTTATGATGTGAGGCAAAATTTTAAGCGCCGCTATAATAGCAATATAGCCGCTGCTATCATCAAATTTCCCTCAGGTGCTAGAGCATGTCTTACTTACACCACCTAGCTCTAAATTCTGGCATTGAGACCCTCAATCATCACTAAAGTAAGTAGTGATAACCAAGTGAAGGCAGCCTATCTACCTCCTAGCCTCGGATAAAGTCTTGTTGAGCTTCAGGGATAGGCACATCCACACAACGTAAAAAAAAAGGCATGCTTCAAAGAAACATAATAAAAATAAAATAATGAAGAAAAGAACATACTACTGTAAGGGTATAGTAGTATGTAGGCAAAAAAGAGACACTCACGCAAAGCGAGTAAAAGAAAAGCATATCAAATACAACATCAAAGATGCTCAAAAAAGCTCGTTGTTCTTGCAATAAAAATGCATACATGAGCAACGCGCATGGTAGTAATAGTCGGATGTAAAGCAACATGGCACAAATACGCACAACTGCAAAAGCAACAGTGGTATTATCAGTATGCAATACAACATAAAGACTAGTGTTGTTTCATGTAAAGCTACAACAGAGGAAATACTACCAACAAAAGAAAAAAAAAGAAAAAAGCGCAACAAGGCAAACATCATGAATGCATTATCACGAGAAAGGAAGCAATAATATAAACGTTCAAAGAAGTCTTTTATCATTGCTACCAGAAGAAAAAAAGATACTTACCACTTACTACATCCACAGATAGACCTAGGGTTCGAAACCATCGGATATAAACCAAAGAGCATGCACCAAAGACAGTAGACCAGGAAAGACCATATTAGCAGCAGTAGCAGCAACACCAGCATCATAGACAAACCGAGGAACGAACAATGCCACCAGCAGAGACCAGACAAAGGCCAAAGAAGCAATCACCAGACATGATAAACCAAAGAAGCAAACAGCAGAGGTAGCAGAGAAGTAATGGCAGCAGCACCTATGTCAATCAGGCAAAGCAATTATCGAAACCTAATAATAAACAAATTCGATTAATGCTTGTTCTACATCTTTCTCTGCTCGTTATCGAATGGTACCTATATATTCCACTTTGAAGAAGCAACATCAAGTCTTTTTAACAGTACAAGGCAGTGTTATCAGAAGCTAGAGTGTTATCCTCAATCAAACAGTTTCCAAAACAGCCATGGTTTCATGCTAAACGCGCTTTGCAAAAAAAAGGCAAAAAAAAACGATGATATAGAAGAATGAGAGGACGCACTATCCGACGTCACGCCCAGTAGATTTAGTCTCAATCTTGTACCGTAGCAGCCGTAATTGCGGCGATTTAATTTGAATTTGTGCAGTGGGTGTTTTCTTGTTCAAACTTGACTTGATTTGACATCCTTTGAACGTTTTTGTCAAACTTGACTATGAAAACTCTCGTTATCATACCCAACTTCCTAATATACCTTTAAAGGACTAAAAAGGCCGCATCGAATGGTGTTAATTACATTCAGTTTTCAGACCGAAAGTAATGAGCAATTTGCAAAAATAAGAGAATAGGTTTTTCGTGGATATGTCAAAATTTAGCATATCAAACCTCATAGAAAGTATTTCCAGTGTTGCGTTCCATCTTTACAATCAATCTGATCTAATATGTATTATAGAAAAAGTCTTCATTTTTGGGGTAAAAAACACGATCGTTTGATTTTTAAGATTTTTCCCTTACCAGTGCACATGAAAAAATGAGGATTTTCATGGGTTTGCAATGACCCAAAAAAAAATGAGATAAAGCTTTAGGAAGTAATCCGCAACCAAGGGGAGCTGTTTGGTGCTACTCCAAGCGTCCAAAATGGTTTGTAGCATGAGCTATCTATGTTTGAGAATAGTTAGATTTGGACAGAATTTGACGTAAACGTAAGGCGTAGTAGGCTGTGTCGCCGAAAAAGTAAATAAATTAAAGCACTGTATGATGTCTCCGATGCTCTGCATTGTACGGAACTCAACGCTTAAGCGATCGACGCTTTTATTCTAATTCTGAGGCTCAGGAGGTCTCTCTTTTTGAAATACACGAATACGGTAATTTCATAACTTGAGGACCAATGATATTATGCAAATCTGAATCTAACAACCTGCTCAGATTGGACGAGATGCTTATTAGGTTAGCAGGACACTTTTGATGGTTGTCCACGATAGAGAGGCCATATCTAGCCGTGAAACTGGACTTAAAGCCTATCCACAATGTTAAAAACTCATGTTTAAAGAGAAATGGCTTAAACATTACAGTTTGAGTTGGTGTCAGCACAACGGGGGAAGCAAACAACGATATTTTGTATCAGAGTCGAGCGAATAGAGGTTTATGATACCTACAAACTCTGTAATACCATATTCAACAGCAAGAAATTGTAGTGAAGTCGACTCTAAATGGTTTCACGGACCTACACTGCCGAAAAGGTCAGCCCCAGCCAGATTGTCCAAAGTCAATCGCTCAAACCTAACCAGTTTTGCTGCAATGGTGCATATAAGTTCTTCTTTGTGCGCCTTCATTAGTCAACGCACGCCCTGGATTCACTTTACAACCTTGAGCAACTTTTGGACGTTTCTCTACTGTAGTAAACTCCAAGTTGGGGGTTGAAAACCCAACTTTTGACAGGAAGTATCGTAATAGTAGGTGGCCCAATCGAGGTCTCATTTTATAAAGCAGACAAAGGGAAGCAAAATTTAGTCAATAGAGAAAAAGCCTGGTTGAATTGGCAGTTGTACCAATAATATTGTCGACACATACTGTGTGTTTTTTATATATATTGGCTACTTCGTTCATATATTTGACAACATCTCAGGGTGGGCATATAACTGCTCTGATATCAAGTCTCTAGCATCAACATGGGGCGTGAAAAATCAATCTCCCATCCCCATCCCCCTTTTGCTGAAATACGCAACACAGCTTCAAATCTTTGCCAAATCACATTGAAGCAAGATATCGCCAAGCGATTTTCAATATACAACGTTTTCCAACACTTAGTCCATCCATCCATGGCTCGCCATCACTTGGCATTAACAGGTTCTTATATGAAGCTCACCACTACTCAACGTTGGCTTATTTCGAAAATCATTTATTTTTCTGCAACAAAAAAACCTATCCGATCTAAAGTCTAACCACACCATCGCCTTTTTCGCTACAGATTGCTATAGGAACATACTACTTTCAATGCTCTAGAATCAAGTCTTGAACCACAAAAACCACCAAAAGCCAATATTTTTATGATTTGTATGTCAAATTCTCGTAGGTAAAAGCCATTTTCAAAGCTGAAGATGGTACCAAACGAGTGGTACAGGGTAGTAGATTTGATCTGCAACCAATGTGCAACATTTTGGGAACTTTTTTTCTACCTCAAAATCTGACGATTTTGGCCTGGTAGTTGCCAGGAAAAAATCGCAAATTAGACAAGTGCGGTTTTTTTTTCGGTCGAAAACGAGACTTTTACCAAGACATGTATTAGATGAAATTGTATCTAAACGTCGTCTTTATCATATGAAAACGTTTGTTTGGAGCATGAGAGCCAGATTTTTGGACTTTCCTCAATAAACTGGAAGAGCGGTTTTTTGACATTATCTATGTAATCTCCAACGGTATTAAAAAAAACAAAAAATACCATAACGTAGAGCACACTCGAATGTATATATTTTGTAATAACACCTGTTGAGGTTTATTAGTATTTTCATTGGGACGCAAAAATTCTTAAAAGATTGTTAAATTCCAAAAATGTCGATTTGGAATAAAATCGATCCAAATAAGAATATACAATTCAAGCTTAGGAATCGCTCAAAAGTTGCTCTTTTTTGGAGTATGCTTTTGGTTTTCTTTTAATTTATCAGCATGAAAGGAACCAACGGTATTTGGCCGCATTTATCAAGTTTCCTGATGCAAAAACAATGATGTACAATACATTTATTTCTTCTCTTTTGTCTCTGAAAATCGACTATAGCAGAAACTGACATAACAGAGATATCTATTGCGGTTTATTTCATATACTTATAGCTCATAAAATTGACAGACAATGATTTATATAAGGTGGGCATGTTGCAAGAAGGATCGTTGTCAACTGTGAGCATTATGGCCTCTCCTAATGACTATTTGTTCGTTATATACAGAGTTTGTCATTTTCAACTGCCAAACAATCTTCACGAAATGCAATGATGCTCTGCTCCCATTGGAGTTATGTCATGAATTGGTCACTAATACAGCGTCTTTGTTACGCTCCCCTGTCGCCTATAGCACTTCGTACCAGCCAAGGTTGACCTCTGCCATTCCTACGCATCATAGTGAATACTATAAATAGTTTCTATTTCGTTGTCCTTGTTTCCTATGCAGATAATGTTATATGTACTCTTACAGTACTTTGTATATATATATATTTCTTCATGGCAAACAGTTTATTTTAGGTGATTTGGAAGTTGCTGCTAGTGAAATGCATTCGCAGCTTATCTTAATTGTATAGTGCTTAATCATCGAGCAGACTGCTGTCGCCAGTAAATGCTAGCATTGACCATGATAGATGTCGAGAGCAAACGTGTGACAAATGCCTTATATTTTGACAGAACTGTGATGAAGAAGAAAACGTGATTTGGTATAATTCTAGATACCATTTATACCTTCAAGACTGAGTTGCAAAGATCGACATCAAAGAAAAAAATGTTGATACATATTCGACTTTTGCCTATCATCTCTCTCTTTTCTTTCTTCTTTCCTTCTTCGAACTTTACTTTATTTTCGTCTTCCACTAGTAGAATACTATCTGATATGGCTTCATTAACCGCAGAAAAGATTGAGATCAATGACATCCAGCCAGGGTGAGTAGTAGAATAGCAACAGCTCACTGGCAATGATCTCTGATTTGAAACTCATATTCGTCATTTCCTGATCAGAATGTCGCAAGCCGTAAAGGATTGTATCAGTGGAACTGTAGGCGGTATCGCTCAAGTTCTTTTCGGTCAGGTATTTATACAGTGGTGCTTTTGGTGTCAATTGAGAGAAATGACTAACAAGAACCAACATCTAATTTTTTTTTAGCCTTTTGACACGGTGAAAGTCGTGAGTAAAAACATGAGATTTTGGCTTTCAGATTGTAAGCCAGGATATGTACAGATCACTAACCAAAACATGTAGCGTCTCCAAACACAATCAACCACGAATCCAGTCTACTCTGGTATGATGGACTGTGTCAAGAAGACTCGTGCACAGGAAGGACTTGCCGGATTTTACAAGGTAATGTGGGGGGGGGGAAAGGGGTTAAATGTTACTATAATGGGCAACATTTAACAATTTTAATGGTTTCAGGGTACTATGACGCCTTTAGTGGGTATCGGTGCTTGTGTATCTATTCAATTTGTCGTACTTGAGGCCATGAAGCGTCATTTTGCTAGTGTCAACAAGAAGGGAGAGTTCCTCAGCAACAGCCAACTCTACTTGGCTGGTGCTGCTAGTGGTCTCGCCAACTCATTTGTATCAGGCCCTGTGGAACACATCCGTACAAGACTTCAAGTTCAGACAGGAACTGGATTCAGTGGTCCTATTGATTGCATTCGTCAAATCTACAATGCTCATGGTATCAGAGGTATCTATAAGGGCCAAGCCATTACCATGGCTCGTGAGTTCCAAGGTTATGGTGCCTACTTCTTGGCTTATGAATTCCTCGTTCAAGAGGCTATGAAGAAGAACAACTTAGAGAAGCGCTCCGAATTACCTACCTGGAAGGTCTGTGCTTTCGGTGCTGCTGCTGGTTATGCCATGTGGTTCACTATTTATCCTATGGATGCCATCAAGTCCAAGTTGCAAACAGATGGCTTCACTCCTCAAACCAAGAAATACTCTTCTGCCTTAGACTGTGCTCGCAAGACATTTGCCAAGGAAGGTGCTGCTGGTTTCTTTAGAGGTATTGGTCCCTGTTTGCTTCGTGCTGCTCCTGTCAATGCAGTTACTTTTATGGGGTAAGTTGATTGGGTTGAACTGGGCGTTACTTGAGTATACTCATCTTGCTTATGTAGTTTCGAAATGGCCATGCGTGTATTATCTTAGATGTTATACATTTGAAGCAATCTGCATTTTTGTACTATACTATCATATTTATTCTGTCTGTGTTGCTGATGATAGAAACAGCAACGGTACCTATTATGAAAATAAACATATTCAGTCTTTCACATTTTGAATGGAAGCACGTTGGAGTTTTCATCCTTCATATATGATTATACGCAGAAGGTTGCTACAGGATCTATCTTGAGAAGCACGAAAAATCCGCTTATACACCACGATTAAAAGTCTGCAAGAAATCGCTCATATGTCAAGTACATAAACATCTCCCCTACAGCATTTGGTCTTCCAAACATCGTGCTAACACTATCTGCAGCTCATGATCGCAGTTGTATTGAGCGCCACTGAGTAGTCGTAACTCATGCAAGCCCTACAGACTCAACAACCTATGTTGGAAAAGTTGGAACGACCATCATCAAATCTAGTGATTATACGTTGCTGCAAAACTGCGTTCATGTGGAGCAAATAATATGTACATGTGTGCAAGCATGAATTGAATTGTCCAGGTTTCAAGCTTGTTTGCATTCAGGCTGGAATATTTGCAGCCCCATTTCATAAAGAAGAGGCCAGATGTAATATGTCTGTTGCGATGTCTATCAATAGTATGTAACATGAACGCCTTTTGTTTAATGTATGATGTATATAAGAGGTGGGTGGGTTGTGTTGTAGGTTAGATTTTGATAAATATTAAGATGATAATAGCTGCGTCTTTGGGTTATATGTAAAAGGTAGACTCCCTGTCTCTCTTATTTGTGCGAGTTCAAATGTCCACATTTCTTGCAAGTTCTCAATGCCTCGCTCTCTGCAAATCTTTCAATCACTGGTTTTAATTGTGTACCAAGATCCACACAGTGAAACGACTCCTGATATACAATTTCTCTGCAATTCTCTTTTTCACAATACCATCTCAAAGAATCTATGAAAATTAGATTAGTCATTGATATCTTCTCCCCCTCCCCTTTTTTTTTTTTTTTTTTTTTTTTTTTTGTTGTTCCTCTCTCTCTCTCTCATCCATGTTACACTGAACATAAATATTTGTATCAAGATGAAAATCCCAACAGACAGCTTACCAATATGATGGGATAACCGGACCCTTTCGACAACAATGCCAATGGTATCTTGATAGCGAACTGGATTATGAGGTGTGTTGGCTGTTGATATCACATGGAGGAGGGAGGAGAATTAGTGGATGTACAAGTGCCACAGATGTCAAGTTTCATTAAACTTACGAGGCAGAAGGAACATGTCACCCTCTTCCACTTCAATGTCCCTAAACACACCATCGTCCACCACCTTGATTGTCAAATTACCTTTGACTTGGTAAAACCATTCCTTTTTGTCGTATGAAAATCTCAGACATGAGTCATTCCGTTGTATTCAGCGTGTGGGAGGGGGGGGGGATATAGCCTACTTTACCTCTGTTTCATTGATGTGATAATCTGTGCGCTTGTTGGGTCCGCCTACAACCATGATAATGGTGTCCTGTCCTTTGAAGAGCAGGAAATTGTTCACTGGTGGTTGCAGTTTATTCGAGTTTTCCTTGACCCATTTTGGAAAATTAATTGGTGGAGGAAGCATCTCGGTTATATTTCCCTCGAGAAATTAAAAATAGAAAAGAAAAAGAAGTACAAAATGGGAAATGAAAAAAAGATGGATGGCTTTATATGAATGATTGATGCCAATCATATAATCTGTGACTCGTCAGCATGGCAAGCTTGATCTGATAATGTCCATGAAAGATGAATTTCGTGAATAATTGGCCACAGCGATTTAGGCGTGCCATTGGTTTGTCCCATTACTGCGAGGCAGAGAAGGGAATAAGCAGGACTAACTCTCCGAGCAAACAGATGATGGAGTCATTCATGGTTTCAGCGATAGTGCATAAGCACCCTAAGCATCTCATTGTATTGATCAAACATGATGACTTTTTGCAATGCTGATGCAATGCTGAAAGAATGAGATTCTCCAGTTAAGAATGCATCTGCACACCAGCAATCCAAATGCATGATTTGGGATTAATGCATGCTACACGGCTAGTTTACAAAACAATGTGAATCAGCAAAACATGCAGGCTGATGTAGCATCAAGTCATGTACACAATGCAAATGCATTTGCTGATTACAAACTGTAAACATAAACTATATAGCCGCAACATGAATCAAACACTATATGCATGTACCGAACACAGGACATCAATAGGACCCAACGCTTGCATTCAAAGAGTCTCCATAACGCACAACAGAGTCAGCATGATTAAAACGCCTTTGTATACTACATGTACTAATCGTACTTCAATCGCACGGATAAATTGATTGCCTGAATAGATACCACTTGAAGGAAACTTTTACCCATCCTATCTTTATTCGTAGCAGCAATTTTCAATTTATCAATAAAATGGTGCCCAGCCTTCATACGCTATACCTAAAATTCTGGGGTCCGTTGCTTGATTGATCAAGCAGCGTACTTGCTCATTTGTGTCTTTGCATATATCAGCAGCATCAGCTCTGATATCTATATTTGACACACCTTTAGCAATGGCAATCAAGTCCCTGCAATAGCCTTTGTTGCGATGCCCATTTGTCAATTCAGTGATGGCAATGCCTGATTCGTTTTAGTTTGTTTAGTGCTCTCTTTTTTCCAATGACAGAGCAACTTACTAGCAGGGTTCCCTTTGTTCAGCTTGCTTTTGACAATGTTGATCTTGCTTTGCGGGTACCAAGCAATATCTTGATCCAGAGAACTTGACTTATCTGTAGAAGATGCGGTGCTACTGCCTTTTCCTTCATCTTGTTCTATATACAATGTAATGCCATCAGTCGTCTCATCATCCAAATGCTACTACAGTAACGTACTTTGTAATTTGCTCTGTCTCTTGGCTACTTGTTTCCATTCCAAATGAGGCTCCTTGACGAATACAGTCATGATGTTCAATAGCAACTCCTTTTCGGCTTGGACAGCTAAGGAGAGATTGCCATGTTAGTCATCATACCATGCTCAAATGGTATTATCAAATACTTACCACTGAGGATCTGTGTCATTGCATTTTCCAAGATGCCAGATATACCAAGTGGCTCCAAGACAGCGACCAATTGGCGCGTCAATCTAAACGGAACAATTTCCGGGATCGGCAACAATTCCGAAGCTACACCAAAAGCATATCCAAAATCAATTGGTATCAAACGACCACTATAAACACCATGTGAGCACTTTTGATGCACCAATCTAACATTAGTTACCTCTTTAAGTCTACCAAGAAATTGTCCATGTGTCGGTCACCAATACCCATAATGTAACCAAAGATAGAGATACACGCCAAACTGTATGCAAACTCCTTTCGGGAGAACAGGAAGGCTTCAGGAGAAGATGCTAGTTTAAACAGGTAATCTCTGACCAAATTAGCAGGCACAGATGCTTCAGCCTCCTTGAAATTGTTCACGATAGTATCTCTGGGCTGAGCAAATGCCGCATGGTATCTTTCGGCAAGGTTTTTGGAGTTTCTCTTGTTGGATGTGATCCATCGACTGTACTTTCGTTTGGCACTGATCAGCAGTTCCCGAGAACCTTGTTCTTCCATGCACGCCTTCAGGGGCTTGGTGTTCTCTACCCATTCGATGATACCCAAGCTGGATGCCATGGGGATGACCTTGTAAGTAGCAATCTGGATATTTTGACTGGAGCAAAACTTGTTCTTCTTGACTGCATCATTCATCACACTGAATGCTTGTTCAATGCGTTCATCCAATCTTAAATCTTCACCGCCTTTGACCAGGAACAAGTATTCCTTTTCATCTGTGCCGTAGATCTTGATACGCTTGGGTCTACGCATGGATTGCATGACCAGCAGTGTAGGGTCGACAGAAGCGACTTTGGCATGTAACTCGGGATACGGCTTGGATAATCCATCGTACTGACCTGGAATCTCAAGTTCTTGATCGTGTTCAATGCTTTTGAAGGCATTGAGCCATGGTGAATAAGACTTTAGGTTCCTTTCTTCGCTAGGGTCGTAGCTTGTGTTGATCTTCTCTCGACAGAATCTCTCCAGCTCAGCTATGTCTTTTTCTGTGAGCATGCTAATCCTGCTACCATTTTCACCAAAGCTTCTGATGAAGTAGTTTGCAAATTTGGCGGCCTGTTTCTTTGGAATTGTACCCAGTCGCTCACTATAGTTGTTTAATATGAGTTGATAGAATCCATTGTACTTGGACGTGATGAATGATTGAGGCACATTCTTGTTGGCCAAATCACTCTGCAGTGTGTTTGTTAGTGCAGTGTGTCATTGCTTGATTATATGTAGTAACTCACCTTGATGTACGCAAGGAAATCTTTGATAATGTGGTAGGGATCAGTCAAACGCCTCAGCTCGTTTGAGAATTCCTCCAAAATGGGCGATTTGATTATATGCATAATTCTTTCAATAGCATCGCAAATGTCCTTCGGCAATGCGCTCTTTCTCAATTCATAAATCTCGCAGGAGACTTGTATAGGATAGTACAAGGCATTGGGATAGGTCTCTGCTAATCTTTGAATGGCAGGTAAGATGTAGGGAGCAATAGGGCCGTTCATGGAAGACACCAGCTGTGGGATCCATCTAATGTACTTCCAGGTAGCACTAAATTGCAGCGACTATGCCCATCAAACAGTTAGTATCGTACAGTGTACATAGCAGCGCCTACTTACACATGCTTTGAAGGTCTCTCCAGTCTCGGGATACAATTCGATCAACTCTAGCAAACGAGGAAAGTAATTGGACGCTTCTAGATGGCCCAAATCCATGGCTTCAAAGTAATGTCTAATCACAATGTCAGTGTATTTCACAGGATCAATACTGGGCTTGATTGTATCCGTATCCTCTTGTAACATGTGCAAAGATTCGTCACAATATCTTCCCAATTTCCACAAATAGTCAGCTCTCTGTGCAGTTTGGCTACTCACAAGTTGCTTTGCTTCTATCAGTGTGTTGAATCCAAGCACTTCCAGATGATTGACCAGCGTCTTGGGGTTTTGAATGATGGCACTCAGGTTGTTTTTGGCAACAAATTTAGGTAAGCCGCTATTTCGACTCTCCAGTGCCTTTTGCAACAGTCGAGGCTCAGCAATCAATTCTTGTTTCAAGATATCAAACGATGCTGCAAGTATCAACTTTTGCTCACATTGTTGCTGGTTGCTGGCATGTGGTGCTGCTTTGCTGTCGAATGATTTCATCAGCAGCTTCTCAAATGGAAGTGCCTTGCCGCTCAGACTCTTCCCAGCAAAGTTGATCTGCAAGTAGCGGATGCTGTTGATGTCTTTCATATATCTGGCTGAATCATCATAGTACTTTCGGATGGTGGGCAGAATACTTATATTGTGCTGTCTGATGGCTGTGTCCTCAGTGATATTGACAAACTGATTTTGGGCTGCGCTGAGCTCATTGGATACTATAACCACTGTATCAGTCAGTTGGAAGACATCTTTTGATATTGTAACTTACACGACTCGTCCTTGGGTTGACTGAGATCTTTGAGATACTCAAGTCGAGACCACAAAATCTCATGCCAGACATCCATGCGATCATTTTGGCTGTCAGGATGTCTCAATGAAAGCGCCTTGAGGAAGGTGCGAATGTCTTGACGCACAGCTGTCTTTTCTTCGATCTTTTTGTGCAGTTCAAGATAATCCTCCGTTTCGACCGTCTATTGAGAAGCACATGTGAGTAGCTGGTCAGTTATTGTATTTGCGTACTTACTCTTTGTAATTGCGAAAGTCTGGCTAAACGACTCGTATGTGCTAAAGGGTGCAATGTTGTCCAAGCCGAGAGCAGTGCATCATACGATCTTCCAATGAACAATCTGCCCATATTGTATTCCTTGCGAAGTATCTTTACCATGGACCAATCTAACAAATACAGCGTCAGAAACAGATCTAAACGCCATCACCCTAGCCGACTTACCACATGCAAATCTGTTCAACAGCTTCTCCTTATGAGCAGGGTTCTTGTACGCATCGTCTAAAAATTGGAATATGGGGTTGACTTCGTTTGGCAGCCATGCCCTCTTTTCGACCACCCACTCTTTAAGTTTCTTCTCCACATCCTTTCTCGACTCGCCTGCGTTCTGAAGTTCCATCTTCTTGTCTCTCTCTGCCTGACGGAACACTTTCCATTCCTCTCCTGTCATGATGCGCTCATCGCCCGCCTTGGAGTAACTTCGAATAAAGTACTCGAGATAGGGGTCTTCTTTCTCGCTCCACAGTAAATCCCACTTGTCGCCCAACGCATCTCTGGTGTCAGAACCAATACGATCCCACTGGCCTAATTGTGTTCTGCAAAACAGCATTTGCTCTTGCCAAAGGTTGTATTCCGTATCATCTACTGCTGAGCCTACTTGCTGCAACGCTTCATCAAAGCTGTTAAATGCCACTGCAAAGTTGCCCTCGATCTGATAGCGCAGTGCCTGTCTGACCTTGTCATTGTCAGCGACGTTGGTCAGATACACATTTTCAAAGATCTCCAATTCATCAATGTGCTCATACAACAGTGACAGATGGATCCATTTCTCCAATGATGGTGTCAGCTTACTGCTTCGCTTGGCAGGTCGCTCATCGCGGTCTCCATACATGAGTTGATTTTCGAGGATAGCGATACCAATGTGATGGTTGTCACTCTTGCTGCTGGCTACCTTGATAAGCAGAGCAGGTACACAGGCGCCGAGCTCAAAGATGATGCGCAAAAAGGAGCCAATCGTAGGCGTAAAATACAGTTCACTCGTGGCCAAATTCTTGATGATCATCTCAATAAATTCGTCCTGATAAGCATAGTACTCTTGATCTGACGAGACGTCCTTCATTTCATTCAAAATACTGACAGCAAGACTACTGTACAGCAAGCGAGAGATATTGTAATCGGCAGTAGCAAGCACCTCCAATGGCAGCAGCAGATCCTTGTGCGCAATCTTGACATCTGGAATCTCGCCTTCTCTGTAGGAACGTATCATGACAACCTGCTTCTCGTTGGCTTCCACCTTCTGGTTGCTCAACGTTTCTTTTCTCTTTCGCAATCTCTCGTATCTATCCGCATACATACGATTGAGGGCAGCTACAGATCCACCATTATGGCGACGAAACTTGTATTTGTCTTTCTTGGTCTTGTTCTTCTTTTCCAAGAGTTGGCTTGAGATTGGGCGTTGAGTGCTTTTTGCTTTCCAATATCAGTCTGCTTTGTCACTTACCTGTCCGTCTTGGTGGCATCGTCATCGTCGTAAATCATAAACGCACCGTCATCTTGACTAGCAGGATTGAACGTCTTTGTCAACGACTCATGGCTGCCCGCTGTTTGTGTGAAATCCATTTGCGATTGCGTTTTTTTCAGGTTGGCTTCGATATCGTCCAAATTCAGTTTTTTCTGGGGGGGAAGGGATTCCAGTGAGTACGTTGCACACCATAAGGTCCAACTAGACTGTACTTACGGCCTTTGTTTGAGATTCAACAAACAGTGGCTGCATAGACGAAGATGTATGCCAAGTGGTATCAAACTTGCGGTAAACATCGTCAGTGTTGCTGCCTGTCAATGAGTTCTGAAAGATGGGCTCATTGAAATCAAAAGTCTTTTTGGTGTTTTCCAGGATCATACGAGTGGCGTACAGCAAGTAGATGTCTTCTGTGTCACTGATGTACATGTCGCCTGTGATCGTCTTGAGGGTTTCTCGAATGTTGTCACCAATGCCAAAGTCTCGTGTCACAAAGTGAAAGATGTCAAGCGCAATCTCTGTCTTTTTGTCAATGAGACCTCTAAACAGTTGAGCCTTGGCTTTTGACTTGACCCTGTCTCTTGAACTTGCTTTTGCATACGTTTTTCTGACAAAACTGTAGTAGGTGGCCTGTGTAGGGAGTGAGTCAGTTACAAGGTAGACAAAGGAGGCCTTGCGCTTACTCTGCAGTCATCATTCTGGTGCTCAGGAAATACTGTTCCAGTCATTCGAAAGATAGAATCGACTTCATCCATTTTAAAATGATCAAAATACGTGTCTACCACCTTGAGTGCGGCCAACTGAAGATTCTCGTCGTTACTGGTAAACATGCGGTTGAGTCCAGCTTGCTTGAGTGTGTTGTACAGGCAGCTATTGAACTCTTCATCTGTATGGTAACACTTTTCAATGAACTTTAATCCCTCTACTTTTTCATCCTGGGTTGCATTGTAGAGCATGAGAGAGACATTGTGCAGTATGGAGTAAGGAATATCTTTGTTATGGATAATCAATCGATTGATACAGCGAAAGTATTGTGTCAAGTTGAAGCTTTTGCTGTTGGCAAACTCAACAAACTATGGGAGAAACTGTGGATGAGCATTCCAGTGAATACCATGCTATGCAAGTTACCTTTTGTCTGTATATATCACGCAGTGTCTCGTACAAGCGAGTGTTGCCATTATTTGCAATGAATTCTAAGGACCACCCCATCAACTATAACAAACGCTGTTGAGCATATACTGCTACCCATTCACACATACAGCACATTACCTCGGCTGTATAGGATCGCAGAACAGAGGTACTGGTACCTCGCATTATCAGATTATCCGCCAGATCCACGAAAAACTTTTCCTCTGGTAAGTCATAGAGGTCTTGAGGACGTTTGCTATTGTACACATGGCAATTGTTACTATAGCACAAAGCAGCCAGCTCAAGGCCAATGATGTTTTTGCGGTAATCGCTCTGAGGATGAGTGAATTGCTGGTAGATTGTTTTCTATATACAAGGGTCAGATTACAGCCTCTTCAAATGATTTAACAAGTACTTACTGTTGGCACAACTTCTTTTGTTCCCCAATTCTCAAACAATGTCTTAATTACATCGATATTATCTGCCTGTACATTATGATTGGGATGATAGGCGTGTTGCATCAAGTAATCTAAACAGCTGTATAATGCTTTTGGGAAATCCTCAGGCACCGTGTGTCTGTAAAGATGCTGCAAATGTGGTGGAGCCGTTTTCTTTGCCTCAGTGTTGAACGTGTATACACCCCACGCACCGAGGATGACACATATATCATGCACAAGATAGTTGATGGGCTCACCAAACAAATAGCCTTTAACCACAAATCTCAGCAAGGGCAAAATCCATTCATGTGCGTATTTTTCAAAGGCGTCGGGATAGTTGGTGATGAGCTTTGCAATGTATACTTGTCTAGTGTATTTGGTCTTGTCGTGAAGTGGTAACTGATAGTGATCAAAGGCAAAGTGCAAGCCAAGCATCCAAGAGGGCATGTTTTCCTCATCAGCTTCCGTGATGTTCTGTTCATCTTTGGATTCGCTCAGTGTTTTGATCATTTCTGTCAGCACAGGCATGAATGTATTGCGATTCAGTTGGTCAAGATCAACCATCCTATCTTCAGTGTCCTTTTTGCTTGCCTCCTTTGTTGGTTCACTTGATTGAGTAACTTCAACCGTTGCGCCGCCCTCCATGTCCGCATCTTGGTCATTGGGTTGTTGATTTTCTTCCAACACAACTTGAGAAAAGCTTTGCTGAGACAAACTAGATGGCAAGCAATGAGTGCTTTTTGTATATACACCCTGCAAATCTCCTTACCTGCTTCCCGTGATATCCATTGACTCCATATAATAGATATTGGGGCTCTCCTTGCTCTTTTCTTTGCGATTGACAAACGCGTCCAACTTTGTCCTGAGTACTGGCTGTGAAAACTGCGAGTCGAGATGAATGAGCACCTCAGGATCCACCAACACATCCCAAATGTACTCGCTGGTTCCTATGCGAAACACAGCATCATAGGTTTTCTCTCTTTTTTCCACACGCATCACCCAAGTACCGAAAGCGCTGACCGCTTCTCGATGAAATGTGAATATAGCCTCGCGTCTCTGGGGAACCAATCTTGTCACATCTTGCTTCAGCCCTTCATACAAGACCTTGAGTAAGGCTTTCATTTCCTTTCTGACTGTTTTAAAGCTTCGGATTTCTTTGTAATTGTCTGATACATTGTCCAACTCCTTGCGGCGATCAACTACCGTTTCTGGAATGAGATTGAAGTAAGCTTGCATAAAACAGAGACAGTTGGCCTTCATGTACAGATCGTCAAGCGAAGCTGTGTACACATCAACAGGCTGGCTGACTACGCCAAAAATGTAGCTCACATGTTCCTTGAAAAAGGCAATGACATGGCCATTATTTGCGCCTTTAATGAGGACAAGCAGCACCTCGGTAATGTTCTGTTTGTGGGCGATGCTGTATTGTGGGTCCTTGAAAAAGCTATATAAATAGTAGATGAGTGCATGGACAGAACATCGTTAAAACCAAACTTACTCCATGAGAGCCCCCGTAATGTCCAAAAAGCTCTTGAGACCCAAGCCATTGGAGAAACTCTTGATGCTCGACTCCATGACATCCTTGTGGACGTGATCAGCTTCCTTGACAAATGTCACCATAAGAAGGTTGAACAACGCCACTGATTTGAATGTGACCATAGGAACCAGTAGTTTGTCCAAGGTACTGGTGATCATGTTGTATCTATTTGCAAACAAGTGAGTATGCGCATTTATTTCGGAATGGTAATGCTGCTTTACTCTGAAGTGCCTTGTCGAATGTGCTGTTTGCCTTGAACTCGAGGGAGTTGGTCAATGTAATTCACTGCCACTTCGTGCATGATCTGAAGTAAGAGGTAAAAGGATTAGATACTGACAAACTTGCATTTTCCTATTTTATGCATACAATTTTGACATCATCCTCATTCAGGCAGACAAAGACTGGAAGTAGATCAAGCGCAGCCAGACGAACACTAAAGCTTTTGTATCTCAAGAAGCTGATGAACACGTCCCATATGAGACTAAAAACAGGCTTTCCTCTGGATCTTGACATGAAAGCAGGATCAGCGCCAAATAGTCTTTTGAATAAAGAGATGACATCCAGGGCTTGTTGATCTTCGTTGCTCCATTGAGTGACACTGTTATCAAGATGTTAGTTTGCGTCTAATAGTGTTTACTATACAACTTACATTGTCCGCAACAAACTTTCGTCTTTTATCAGCTACATATAATTATGTTTAGTCTCCTCACCCAGCACTTCCCTCACAACGGACACTTACATAATCTGTCAAACTCCATACCAGCTTTCTGTCAGGGAATCTGTTGGCTTCAAGATATTCAAACAAGGCCATGATATAACCATGTATCGTCTTGTAAGTATCCTCTTCTGGGTCCGTGGCCAAATTCAGATACTTTTTAAACAAGGCTGAAAAAACGTCTAGATGAGTTGTGATGGATTCAGCGACATGCTTGTCAAACTTTTGAAAGATCTCAATCTTCTCCTTGTGGGCAGTCCGTTTGGTAGGGATTGAAAATGTCAGAAATACCTCACAGTGTGTCTCTGCAAATCCAGGCTGAGCAAAGCAGATGGTGGCCATGTTGCCCAGAAGCTTGATGAGTAGGGGTTCCTGAGCAGATTTACAGCCGGCTAAAAAGTTCCTGAGGAGCGTCTCACAATAGGCGAGTGCACTGTTTGGATACTGTGTGTCTAATGCTGCTGCCTGTTGACAGACCTTGTCCAGCGCTTGAATAGACTGTAGATACTTGATGGCATCGACTGTTTGACTCATTTCTATCAGAGCGGACCGTTCCATAGGTCTTGCTGTATCCATAGCCAAGTCCACCTTGTTGGTGATCAATGTAGAACTGATGGATGGCGTCAGTTGGTCAATGAAGCTGGTGGGTCTCTTGGCTATCATGGTGGAGATGTAGCGCTGTGAAATCTCAAACATACGCTTTGTACCTGACTGAGTGATGACATTGTCTTGATGAGACTGGATAGTTTCTGACGTGTCTTTAGGCAATAACAGGGCCTTAGCAACCATGTCCATAAAGTGCTTGTGGTACAGCGTGTCTGACAAAACGCGTTCCACATATCTAAAGCAATCGTCACTGCCCTTGGGTCCAAACACAAGGTCGAAAAAGTATATCAAACGCACTGAAATGTAGGTGTAGATGGACTTGATCTTGCTTTTTTCTGCCAGGTGGACTTTCAGCGTGTCTTCCAAGTAGTCTTCAGGCTTGTTTTCGATAAAGAAAGCAATCGCCAGCATGAGATGAGAGGAGTGCGTCTCCAAAATATCACGAGAGTGAACAACATCGCGCTCAATGAGCCAGACATACGCATCCAGTGTACTGTTCAATCGCTTGATCCAGTTGAGATAGATACTGACAATATGGACCTCTTCTTCTTCCGAAATCATGGAAGGGGGCTTCAAGTGATCTGTCTCAAAGATATCCACCAAAAAGTCAGCATTACCATGCAGCTCTTGTGAGACCCATTGCTTGCTCGTCTTGATGCCAGGCAACAGTACAACAAATTCTGAAAAGAAGCTGATACAAAACTTGACATAGTTGCGCTGCAAAGAGCCCCCTTCAGTAAACGTCCAGCGCACCAGCTGTGGTAAAGCGGCCACCTCACTGGCGCCAATAAAGGGTCTACGTGATGCGTGATTCCCTCTTAAAAAGACATCAGCCTTTTTCTTGATGATTCTCGTAATATGAGTAATGGCCTCTGTAATTTGATTGCGTGTACCAATGGAAGGGTGATCTGCCTCTGCCATCTTTAGACTCAAGAAGAGCTGGCCCAAGATTTCAATCGTGTATTCATCCACCAACGCACGTTCTTCTCTGAACTGACGGTAAATACGGTTGAACACCAAGGAAGCGCCATAGCGTTTCGCAGCACTGGGGCTGGCCATCAAGTTGTACAGTCGTTTGAGCAAAGACTTGATGTTTTGAGCGCCGTCTGTGGATCTGGATGTCTGCTTGATAGACCATGTAACAAACTCACGAATGCAATCAGCACCGTACTCGCGAAGACCAGCATCTGTATCGCAGGAAGCATCCAACAAGGATTGTAAAAGAGTGAGTGTCTCTGGGTTATCCGCATGCGCATTGTTGGTGAGCCAATGAATGATTTGGTTGTAAAAGAGCCGGTACATGTCTCTTGTAATAGGGTCTGCATCATTAGCCAGCTTGAGCATGACTGGAAACACGCGTTCATAGTATCTGTGGTACAGCGATTCCGCTGAGGCTTTGGTGGTCTTTGCAGCAAATGCACTGTTGCCAATCATGTAGGTGACGAGGCCATGCAACAACTCACACGCGGCAATCTTTACTTGTCTGTCAGGCGAGGATTCAGCCAGCTCACAGATACGCGGCAAAAATTCGTCTAGGTAAATATCCACTTTGACGGTCAAGAATGGCACTCGCAACTTGAGCTTCTTGACTGGATCCCAAGCAAGCATACCATTGTCCTCTATAGCGTCTTTGCCTTGTGCCAACAACTGCTTGTTCTTACCACCCAGTCTACCCAAAAACTGCAACATGCGACGTTGGAGTTCAGGCAAATTGGCATACTCTTGCTTCTCGACACCAATTTCATCCGACGTGGCTCTTGTGTGCACCATTCTGTACCTTCTCTCAGCGGCTGTAAGTACCTTGAAGGTCTTTTTGGTCTCTGCTTCCTGCTCTGTGAAATTGACTACGCCAATCAAGAGGTACTCATTGATACAGGGCAAGATGCGTGACAAAAAGTGTTTGTTAATGTCATAATTGAGGTTAGGATCTAGCATTTTATCCAAGCTGTCCATGGCTACTGTGGCTAAAGGATGGTATGTGATGCCGATCCGAAGCGCCTTTTCAAGGGGTGTGATCAACTCATTGACATCAAAGAATTCAGTAGGGTAGGCAAGGATTAAGCGCAGACTAGATGCCAATAACTCGTCTGTAAATTGTTGCAGTCGATGCCACACTTCCTTCAGGTACTCTCTGTAGACAAGGTAGGTCACATATTCAGAGGGCTTGTTGGCATGGCTTTGTGCTGCTGTAACCGCATTGGCACGGGTAAAGTAAACTTCGCATCCAGCAAACTGTTGCTTCTGTTCACAAATCACTAAAATCTCGGACAGCATGCGGTAAAAACCACTGACCATGGGATGCAGTTCGCTCAATTCAATCAAGGCAGCACCAAAGATATATACCCAGTGCATCAGTCGTTTGTTGTCAATGTCCTTGACAATGGTAGTCCAGAAATCCACTAGATTCTGAAACAAGATAAAATCCTTATGATTGACTGGACGCAAATTAGAAACGATGTTGACTTGATCCTCTGTGCCGCCGTCCTCGTCTTCCGTCGTTGTCGTTGTCGTTGTCTTTTTCTTGCTGACGGCTACATTCAAGTTGAGCTGCTGAATGAGCTTCATCATGTTGGAGATAAAGATATCGTAGAGCATGTTTTGTAACTCTTTCTTCATGTGAGCTGTGGGCTTATCTTCCTTGTCTGGATACAGATTATCGTCATCGCCGTCGAAATTCTCTGTCTTTACGCCCCAGGTAGTGTATTGCGTCTTGTCCAAGATGACTTTCCAGAAATACAACAACTTCTTGTACACCGGGCCAGGATCTTCGTTAGGCATGGTAATGTTGGTTGCTGTATATGTCAATGCTTTTTCAACTAGAGGGAATGTCAGTAACCCAATACCTCCACCAATGCCAACACGTACATAATGAATTGGTAAAGCTTCGACCCAGGCCCTCGCCCTTCTTGTACAACATGAGCAGCAACTGATAGATATTGGAGCAGCCACTTCGTCTCAAATAACCTGTGGCATAAGGAATTTGCTCGATGAATATTTTGCACATGTGGCCAAGTGTGTTGAGGAGGTTTCCAGGAATGGCATTCATAGTTTGTGCAAAGGAAGTATAAGCCTTGATGAAAGCTGGCAAATGACGAATGTATTCGGTTTGTTTGCTGTTGGTATCGGAATACAGCCATTCGCTGATCTTGACAAGGCTCTTTCTCAAAGCTTCCACATCTGCATTCTTCACTTTGGTCAAGATTTTGGCGAAATAGCCAACACTGCGGATTGCAATGGATACTTTGTACATGTCGTCTACACTGTCTGCTTGTTTGAGAATGTCGTTGAATCGTCCCATGAATGTCTACGATAGTATGAATATGATGGTGTCTATTAGGCATGCTTCTGGATACTCACAAAAAACGTCTGCAACTCCCGTTCTCCTTGGATATTGTGATACAGCACAGTGGATAACTAGTATTCGCAGTTAATATCCACTCCAACACCACAATCTCCATATACACTACCTCTTTGATGAACTCTTCAAATGCCAGTAATCCGTTCTTGCTCGCTTCATTATTGTGATGTCCCGCCCAAGTGTATAAGCAAATATACAACTTCTCAGAATTTGGAAGCAACAAGTTGGAAAACAGCCTTGCATGTCGAGTAAACAAGCCCATCGCAGCAATAGGTGCTCCATATCGGTTCGTATCTTGCATGTTCTGCAAAATTCTGAGCATAATGTGGAACAATTTTTCGCTTTCATTCGAGTTTTTGGGTACGAGTTCGACATCTCTTCGACAGATCAAGGAATTGAGACAGTTGAGACAGCCTTGAGACGTCTGGTGCTCAAATTTCTGTGTGTTGCTGGCTTGCAGCAATAAACTTTCAAAGCACCATCGCTTCAATTGTTCAAGCTGCTGCTTTTCTACAACCTTTGGATGATATCGCGCAATGGAGCCCAACAATTCAATAATCTTGGCTTTGACAGTAGCTGTTTTTCCTGATGTACAGTAGTCATTGCTAAAACTATTGTATGGAAATCATCAGTATCTATCCTCTAATAAGGTGCCTGGATCGTACTCTTTGTATATGTTTACAATGTCAAAACCACTGGTATCGTACTTGTTCGAATCTTTGATGAGCACCATTATGACCTCGAATGCTGCTACCTTTGCGTTTGAATTGCCACCTGTCATAGCAATATTCTTTGCAATTTTCTATATAACTTGTATTAGCACCCATATTCGCACCTCTGATAATCCCCAAATTACCATTAATTTGTTGGCGTATTTCTGAAATTGCTTTTGACGTTCTTCAGTAAAGACGCTCAATATCCCGAGCGCTTTGGTTACAGCAGATGCCAAATCTCCAGTCTTTGCATTTTTGCATTTGATGAGGAAACTATACATGGGTCCATCGCCTTTAAACAAGATGGAGCACACGATATCTAAATGGGGGTGGGGGAATGTTTAAAAGAAAATTATGCAACATGCAAAACCACTGGCGATATTTACCAACGTTCTTTTCTGCTAAATTTGACATGAGTTCTGTTCCCAAATCCTTGATGATTTGTAGTATGGTTTGTTCATTTAGAAGAGGGTTTTCGTTGGCTACAACAAGTCGCTGTGCAAGATGCTCAATCGTAGCCAGTTGTTTCGACATTGCTGATGGTTTTTAAAGAAAGAACGAAACAAAGAAATAATATCTAGTAACTTGACAAAGCTCTTTGATCATTGATGGTCAGTCACGGTAGAACAAACGCCTTGTTAAAATCAGTTTATGCATACATCAGTACCATAGTGTAAGGTTCGAGGAGCATTTGTTGATTGCTTCATTCAGCAAACTCAATCATCAAAGGCATTATTAATATACTAATGACTAGCCCATCTATCTCGCTACGCTCGATGTCAGCGTCGCGCTGTGGGCTCTCGCCAAAGACATTTTAAATCAGATATTATAACATTTTGGTATATTAAGTTGATTTTAAACAATCCATTATTAGAAAGAAAGGTTATGTCAGAGCCAGGAGGAGGAGAGGAGGTATCTCTCCTAGCATCCTTTTTGCTTACACTGATATCAAACAAAGCTTATTATTGGGACAATGTGAAAGAAAATTCAAGTTTCATGTAGCATTTGTACATCACAATCGCCATTTTCTGATAATAAAATTGTCATATCATTCACTCCTGCTGATGCTCTTAATAAGATGGCGACATAAAGCTGGTCGTAAGTAAATGCAGGACTTGTGTAAGATCTACAGCGACTTTTTTGAGATATTGTCATTGCAAAAAACACTTTCATGAGGCAAAGTTTCCAAAAAAAAAAAAAAGTATTTGCGATAAGCAATTGTCCCTTCAATTCAATAATCCTTATTTAATCAGAATTGCAATCATCATTATCATCAACAGAAATGCATTTAGGTCAGCCAGCAGCAAGCCGCCGCCAAAATCGATTCAAATTCAGTCTGTTTTTTATTTTTAAGATTGGACAGATTTCGTATTTTTTCGACTTCTTTAATTTATTTTGTGAGATTCGACTATATAAGCTGTAATGATCACCCTACGCTTCCTAATACATTCTTGAAGTACTTTTCAAGGCGTTTCCAATGGTGCCAAATAAAATAAATATTTTGATTGAACTTATTGAGCAATTTTAGAAAATATGAAATAACGTTTTTGGCCAAAACGTTGAAATTTGCATATGAAGACCCCAAAAAAGCGGTTTCAGAGGTTGCTTTGGGTCGAGAGAAACATTTTGATTTGATATCATAACATAATAAATGTTCAGTACTTTTGCACTTTACAATCCTAATATGGAACCTGAGTTTCAAGGCATCTATCTGTCCTGGCTCATATCATAACATAATAAATGTTCAGTACTTTTGCACTTTACAATCCTAATATGGAACCTGAGTTTCAAGGCATCTATCTGTCCTGGCTCATATCATAACATAATAAATGTTCAGTACTTTTGCACTTTACAATCCTAATATGGAACCTGAGTTTCAAGGCATCTATCTGTCCTGGCTCATATCATAACATAATAAATGTTCAGTACTTTTGCACTTTACAATCCTAATATGGAACCTGAGTTTCAAGGCATCTATCTGTCCTGGCTCATATCATAACATAATAAATGTTCAGTACTTTTGCACTTTACAATCCTAATATGGAACCTGAGTTTCAAGGCATCTATCTGTCCTGGCTCATATCATAACATAATAAATGTTCAGTACTTTTGCACTTTACAATCCTAATATGGAACCTGAGTTTCAAGGCATCTATCTGTCCTGGCTCATATCATAACATAATAAATGTTCAGTACTTTTGCACTTTACAATCCTAATATGGAACCTGAGTTTCAAGGCATCTATCTGTCCTGGCTCATATCATAACATAATAAATGTTCAGTACTTTTGCACTTTACAATCCTAATATGGAACCTGAGTTTCAAGGCATCTATCTGTCCTGGCTCATATCATAACATAATAAATGTTCAGTACTTTTGCACTTTACAATCCTAATATGGAACCTGAGTTTCAAGGCATCTATCTGTCCTGGCTCATATGAGAATAATGATTTTACAATCAATCAACAAAAACCACTGTTATTTCTACCCTCTTTCCTCTGCTCAATGCTGTCAATGTTTTATTTGAGCGACGTCTCAGAGCCTCAGAGATTTCATTACTTACTGCAGACATTTTATGCAACCCATGCATTGTCAATGTCCAGACTAACGTTATTAAATATAGAATGCAATAAAATATCATTATGAACGATATAGAAGGCAATAAAATATCATTATAAACGATAGTGCTATGACCTTCCACCTACTTTCTATACGCTTCGAGGGCATTTACTACTGTATTGCCTTATGAAAAGGGCATGAGTTTTCCAGCTGGCCCTACCAGCCAAAATTAATTCAAACCCAGAATCATAGTCTGTTCCAGATTGGACAAATTTTGATGATCCTGGACTCGATCGAGCTATTTTTGCAGATTCGACTAAGTGAAGTATGATAATCACCCCATGCTTCCTTAAGCTTTCCTGGAGTACTTTTCAAGGCGCTTCCAATGGTACTAAGTAAAATAGATGTTTTGAAATCACTTATTGAATGATTTGTAAAAATATGAAAAGAGATTTATGGCCAAAATGTCGAAATTTTACATATCAAAGTCCCACAAAGATAATTTCAGAGGTTGCTTTGGATTGATAGAAACATTTTGATTCAAGATATACTATAGTAAAAGTCTTCATTTTCAAGATGAAAAATGCGATCGTTTGATTTTCGATGAAAACCATGAGGGATACCTCATGCTTTTTGGTCGATTTTTGACCATGTTTTTTTGGTCCCCAAAAAGTCGAGCAAAAGTGTCAGAAAGGAACTGCCAGATGAAAGCAACCATTTGGGGCTATTCTGACGATCTAAAACGGCCTTGAACGCAAGAAAATTCAGCTCAAATGCACTCATACTTTGCTGTATTAGGGACACTAAGGACTAAAAAGTGGGAATACCAGTATGCTGCTTGCCCGTATATGAAGTAGCTACGTGTATATGGATGTAGAACATCACATAAGAATCAGATCCACAGATAATATGAAGGGTTACTATGTGTAAGTGGAGGGTCAAAATGAAAGTAGCAGTATTTTGATAAAATACGCAAGAGCAATCAGTAGCACGAGCTGCCGCTGCGCAGGTTGGTTCTCTACCTTCGCTACGCTTCGGTGAGAACCATCCGAAGCATAAACACTCATATGATTAGTGATTATATATCAATCAACAATCAGGGTTCCTCTTCTAACATTTTAGCTATATTAATTTTGGGATATTAGCCAAAGGCCCGCGGCAGCGCGAGCCGTTTGAACGTAGGTTGGTTTCCACCGAAGCGAAGCGTAGGTCAGGAAACCACCCGAAGTGCTGAAAGGCTCGTATACCATAGTAAAAGTCTTTGTTTTCAAGGTGAAAAACGCGAACGTTTGATTTTCGTAAAAAACCATGAGGTACCCCTCATGCTTTTTAATCGATTTTTGGCCATGTTTTTTTTCGGCCCAAAAAGTTGAGCAAAGGTGTCAGGAAGTTACTACTACTCAGGTACAATTGTTTGGTGTCACTCCAGTGGTTCATAAAGATCTACATGTCAATATATGAAGGCTTGAAAGTTGTCAAACTTGGTTATGTATTGCTTTATAGCTTTTATTTACACGGCATGAATCCTATCTTTGGTAGCTGAAGTCTTCTGGAAGGGCAGTTCTATAGCCTGTGCAACTCCTAATTCGAATAGGAGGCATATTGATTTCGGTAAAACTGATTCATGCAAATTTTGATGCGACATGTTGCTGGTAAGCTTATTAACAATGGAAATAAAAACTCGAATTTGCTGGTGAATACTATGGTTTTGAACCTTCACTTCGCTGAGATCAAGCCTTCATATAGATCAATACTACCAAGTATTGATTTAAACGCCAGAATACCATGACTTTGCACTTTTGCTTCGCTACGGTAAAGCCCCCCTATAGATCAATGCTACCCAATGTTGGATTAGATGCATTTTTACTTTCTTGTATAAATAATGATATATAGGCTCAAAGCAGATACACTTATGTAAAGCTTTATTATCTAGCATAATGAAATACCTTGTAAATGAGCAATCTACATTAAAGAAAGTTACAATGTAAATCCCAAACAAGCATTTCCTAGCACTTTATAGCCAGTTTTAAAGAGACCAAATTATATTGTCCTCTTTTTTTCCAGAGATAGCAGTACTATCCATATCGTTTTCTTTGACTTTTCAATCATGAATTACTCTCAGACTTGATGCACAAAGACAGGGACACATCGCTCAAAACCACTGCTGTATGATTAACCATCAGAGTTGGGATTTCATTGTTTAACCAACCATTCTTACTTCTATAAACGATATCTGACTGTGAATCCGATTATTTTACGATGCACTACCTCTGTTGCAATGGGAAGAATACATATACAAGTAAGCTGGGTATTAACAATGCCTCTTACTACTCACAGATATGCAAACCACAGCAAAATTTGTGCGCATTTGAGTAGTGATTTCTCGAGTTAGAAGCCGTTTTAGACTGTCAGAATAGTACCAAACAGTTGCTCTAATATGGCACTAACTGTCTGACACCTTTGCTCAACTTTTTTTTAGGATCGTTGAAAATCGACCAAAAACCATGAGTGATACCCCATGGTTTTTGTCGAAAATCAAACGATCGCGTTTTTGACCTCCAAAATGAAGACTTTTACTACGGCATATGTCAAACCAAAATGTTTGTCTCGATCCAAAGCAAAGCCTGAAACCACGTTTGTGGGACCTTCATATGTAAAATCTCTACATTTTCATCAAAAACCTCATTTTATATTTTCATAAATTGCTCAATAAACTAGTTCAAACCACTTACTTTAATCGGCACCATTAGATGCGCCTTGAAAAGTACTCCAAGAAAGCTTAAGCAAGTCTCGAAGAATCATCACATTTCACATAATCGAATCTTGCAAAATAGATCAAAGAAGTCGAAACTTGATCAAAAACTTCCATTTCAAGAGAGAAAAATAAGACCGGAGATTAAATCAGTTTTGGCTGGCAAAATGCATTTTTTTTCAATGCAACCAACGTTTTTGAATCTAATATGAAGGGTGCTGCGAATTGAAACGTGGTATAGCTTAAATAAACTGCTATATTTTGCTTTTACTGTTTATACTCTCATAATCGAAGCTATAGTCATCTCAAGCTGCTCATTTAGATGCGAATTTTGTGGGATATGAAATTATAAGCTTTTACAACTCGAGTATGAGCCCTTATTTGTGCTTGAAGACTGATCTCGATGATCTTTAAAGCACTGGCCATATATTCGACGTTTCTTCAGATCTTCAATCTCAAAATTTAAAAAAAAAATTAGGTTCAAATAAGGTATGAAAAGGAACAGATATTAGTTTGTTTATTAAATTTGTTGTAATCTATGAGAATCTATTATCATTGTACGTGCTATGTGAACAGCTAAAAAATGAGCCGCATAATGTATGAAAAGGTGTATATAAGAAGAGTGAAAAAAAAAAGTGTGCATCATAGGTAATATGAGTATATAAATGTAAAAGTGGTATATAGAGAGGAATAAGATAACGGCCGTTAGGGTCATATGTAGAGAGAAAATATTGTTGTTGTTTGTAAACTATTAATTAGCTGTCAGTGCTATTTTTTTTTTCATTGTGGTTGTTGATGTAGCTTTTTCTCCTTGATTAAATTAATTGCAAAAGAGCAGGGTTGATATATTCGACTGGAGGATCATATACTTGCTGCGTCATATTACACAATGGGTATTGCTCTGTAGTAGTAAGAGCTTCACAAGATTCGGTCCAGCTGAATTCTTGAGTGGTGGCAGGTTTAAAGACATTGTTGATGTTGCCCATGTTGGAATGACCAAAGTGAAAGTAATCAATCATTCCCATATCGTAGTTCATATCGGTGGCATAAGCGTTTGAGTCGCTGATAAAAGGCGAATCAAGTATACTAAAGGGCGTGTTGTCGCAGTTGAGATTATCACAAGAGAAAGGTGTCGTTGCTGTTGTTGTTGAAGATGGAGAGTAATAACCAGCAGTTTCACAAGAAGATACTGGGCTAGAAATGTCAAACTCACTGTAATCCGAGTAAGGACTCACATGAGGAGAATCAAATGGAGTAGTAACAGAGGAGTGGTAGGACGCAAAAGACATTGGAGGAGTGGCAGACCAGGAAGAGCTGTAGCAGACATCTTCGCCTTCAACGTTGACTTGAGTTGCGGAATAGTCAGATACAGGGCACAGAGGCTCATAAGCTCTCGATGGTGTAGGAGCACTGGTAGTCTTCTTGCTCTTGATGTCGGATGGCGAGAGATGCTTCAAAGCAGTAGGATCTTCATAAATGATTTCCATGAGTACATTATTTTCCTTTGCACGGGAGGTGAATTGCTGCTTCTTGTTTCTGCGAATGTAAACCCGCTTTGGAGTCATCTTCTTCTTTGGGGCATATTTATAATCTGGATACCTAAATGTACGGCATGAATAATGATGTCAAATTAGGAGAGAGAGAAAGATGTGCTACTTACAATGCGTTATGCTCTTGCTTTGCAATTCTAGCTCTCTCACGGAAAGGTTCCTTCTCCTCATCACTTGCTTCCTGCCACCATTTAGCGATGATTTTGGAGATATCACGATGATTTGCGGTTGGACATTTGGCAACGATCTCCTTTTGTTTCTCAAGACGGTACATCAAGAAGCAGTTTAAGGGTCTTGGAATTTGGGGCTGTGGTCGTTGTTGTTGCTGTTGATACTTGAAGCTATCATTGATTTTGGTCATTTTTTTTTTCAGTGTTATCAAAGGTTGTTATACACAAGAAATTGAACGAGGGTCAAGATCTGGCTCTATTTATTCTATTTTTGCAGAGGGAATTTGTTTGAAGTACAAAGTGATCATCCGTCCAATCGAAATGCTTCCACTAGTTGTAAAATTGAAAGCTTAATATTATTTTAGGTGGTTAGTAGCTGTAGCGTCCTCCCCTCCCCCTTTTTTTCAACCCGTTCCCCAGCTTCTCATCTCTCCTAAGATACATAAAATGCTTTTGTTGTTTATTACGCTTTGAGCAACTCCTTAAGATCTGACTATATATGGTCAAAGACCGCTTTCAAGATATTGACTATTTGCTATGCTCCTCTTTTCACAGTCTATATTCTTTACAAAGATGTTAATTAAATCAAGAATTCATTGTATAGCTCTTCCCGAGATTTCGATATCTCTGTGCTTTTTTCTGTATTCCCCCTCTCTCTATATCTCCTTCTACTTGATAAGCATGGTATATTCTTTTCATTATTCATTTCTACAGAGCATCTGCAGCAAATATTATTTTTTATTGCAGATTTGGATACTTGACAGCACACTTTGTAAATACTGTGCAACATTTTCTGGTTTTTTGTTTGTTTACAGTTCCTTGAAACAAGAATGAAACAGACTTAGCGTTCAAGGTGCTAAGGAAGATTTTTCACAGATTGATTTTTTGTCAACAAGAATGTCAGTTTTTAGTGGTAAGATCTCATCTAATTTAGATTATAAAGGAGTATGCACTTAAAACCTACGTTTTTCTTCTGATTCATTACCACATATCGTAAATAATGCTTTGATAATGAATATAGATGCATGAAGAGAATAAAGTAAATGGATTTGCATTAGACTACAGCTCATGTCTGTTGCTCAACTAAAGAGATCAAGTCCTATGTGATTCAATTTGGATCATGAATTGAGTCCCTTTGTTTTAATCAAATATGTTTGGCTGTTTGTTGCATGTCTTCACTATTCATACGGATTTAGGCAAGGGTGTTGCTACACATATCCATTTGATAGCTAAACAAACTACACAAAATCGCACTTCTACTTCTATAGTCCTATAGGTGCGTTTTGCACGGATTTGAGAAAATAAACAGGACCCCTATACCGTCTATTGACGATACCAAAAAAGTACATCTCCTCTCGATTGTTCAGGCTAGTAATGTAACTCTATATTTTATAGTCGTAGCTCAGTTAATGGTACTCTTAGATCGGATACCTCTCAATAATATGGCGTATAGAAGACAAATACATGCATTATCACAGCCAAAATGTACAAATCAGGCATCCCATACATGTGCTTTACAAATCATGTCTCTCTCCCTCCATCTCATTCGATTTTGATTGTACTGAGCAAAAGAAGTGATAGCCCATCGATAGGCTTTGCCGCAGGAAGAGGTCAAGGCTCATTTTGATGACAAAGCGATACACATTTGAAAAGCCAGGAAAAATCTCAGAATATGACACATTAGAGCTTTTTGTCATACACACATGTCGAATGTACATTTACTTTGTAACAGTATACACAAGTCAACATGTATACATTACGACATTGAATTTGTCCAACATAACCTGTGGTCATTTGCTTTTCGAGTATGTATTCATAGCAAAATTATCTACATTTACGCCACTACATTACTCTGACATGGATTTCAACGGGCAAAATAAAGTACCAAGAAACAGCACCAACACGATAAGCTTGTGTAAAGTAATGTTTTTCTATATTTCACTGTGTTACAGCAACCCTTCCAAAATACCCGTTTTTGGCAGTTGATTAGACTAGAAACGTCCATAAGTCTTCCTGTTGTAATCAAGCAGCTTTCTAGTAATTGACATCAAAGTCTAGAATTCGTACCTTGCAGGATTTGCAGTTACGGTATATGCGTATGCAGGTACAGCCCAGCAAAAAGGTTCTTCAGCGCCGGATGTGTATCTCATCATAAATTGCCTTTGAATGCAATTAGGATGATAAACGAATGATCAGCAAAATCAGCTATAAATACACAAGGAAGGTACACTGATAAACGCCGTTACGTATTTCAAACGCCATCTTGATTTGTTTACACAGAGTGAGCAATGTAGAGTGCCCTTTACCAAATATATATATATATGATGTGTAATGGTGGCATGTGGAAAATAAGCCCCATCTTCAAATTAAAATCTCAGGAGTAACGCAAGGCAGTGCAGTGTAGTGCTTCTCTTTTAGTAATTTATTCTTCTTACCAAAGGTTGTATAACAAGACTATACAACTATCCACAAGAACATGAACGTGCTCAACAAATCATTGCGACAAAAGGCAATCATTTGTGTGCGAATAAACACTTATTAGCGTGCATGAATTAACCTAAACTAAAGATGTCAAGTGCGTGCACGCTCTATTGACACTTTCAATAATGAGAATATTTATATCATGTATTGTAAAACTTGACTAAAATACTCACCCATTAATTTATAAACAAAGGCTATAGAAAAAAAAACTTGTTAGTTATGCAGGAGCCAATATCCTGTTCGATTATAAGTCCCTGAATACCCAATGTCTCATTATGGTCAAAGACCGTAACTTGAAGATGGCTCAATTTGTGTGAGAATTTGCTAAAGAATAGTTGCGAAAATTAAGCGAATTTACAAGCATGTAGATTAAAGAACATGTGTCATTTGATACAATATTATTTCCTGTTTCTCATCCTTGCCTTGTTTGTGCAAAAGAGTGCATTTCCTTGGATATAGTTGAAAATTTCGATACACAAGTCTGTGTTGAAGATATCGCAAATTATAAGAATATACACCAAAAGTTTAAATTATATTAAGAAACAAAATACGCCAGAGATGGTCCGTCTCAAAGATTATCAGCTTAGATCTGCATATTTTTACCATTTTCGAAGTTTTGGCTGAACCTTACAAGACTAGATTTTAAACTTGATTTGGCAAGTAGGACGCTTTCCCGCATCCCTGTAATGCTTGACATTTGGTTAGGCAACTTATTTATTTGTTGTTTGTCTGATACATTGTCGATTGTTGCATACAATCAAAAGAAAAAGAGTGGCATCATAGAACATCAACGATCAAATCCTTTTTCAGATTGATTATTAGCATTTAGAACGAGCCGCACTGCACTATACAATTCACGGCCTCATTTAATGTGCTCAAACTACACAACCAGACCTCCTCAGATCAACATAATCGACTGGGTTAATCCCAAAGGAATAGGTCGTTGGCTTTACTTGAAGTCATCGTGTATGTCACTTTCAACATGAGATGTCAATTATTGCCGCTGTAATCCTTGGCTGATAAAACTGTTAGTTGCATTATACTCTGAGACAGATTAACCTCCATCTATTGTGATCTACTCTGAACGTAGTAATTATAGATCCACTTTTAACTGTTTAGCAATGATTTATATCTAGAATAGATGCACGGCAATATAGAATGTCTGTTTACAGTACACATTGGCTATTTTTTTTTTATGTTTGCAACGTTAAATCTCACAAGCATTGCACTAGGCACCAATTTGATTTTATAAGGGCATTTCAAACTTTGACAGTATATGCTGAATGTTTTCAGAAAACCAACTACAATTAACAATCTCTTCCAATGATATCTGCTACCAGTCTATTGCCACAAAACTTCAAGATTGTGGGGATTCCACATCTCCTCAAATCGTGAGCGCATGATTTACATTTCAACAAAATGGTAAAATGACCTTCATGCCATCAAAACGACTCTAAATTAAGTAGTTTTTTTTTTAAAATCAAAGCACCACAATTTGGTTCAGTGCGCCGTGATTCCACAGGTAGAGAACAAGACAGATCAGTGGACATTCTCTACAAGAACAAGCCAGTATGATCCATGATGGCTCACCTAATGGACATGTATTCGAGCGAGTCACTTTTTTTTCTCTCTTCCAATGTACAAAAAAATTTCTTTGACATGGGAAGGCTCTCTCCACATTCAAGTCCTTTCTCTTTACTACACACAGCAACAACAAAACCATCAAAATGCCTATGGACTCCTCTCAGTGGATCGATGTTACAACCGAGAAAAACCACTATTCTCTCGACCATTTCGTGATTCCTACTCACTACGAACAAGATGTTTCCTCCATCTTGATCCCTCATGGTGTCATTATGGACAGAGTCAACAAGTTGGCCCGTCTGATTGTTGAAGAAGCTACTGGACCTTTAGTTGTCTGCTGTATCTTGAAGGGTGGTCATCAATACTTTGCTGATCTCGTCAATGCTGTAAAGAAGTTGACTAACAAGGATGGTAAGACAATTCCTTTGAGTTTGGAATTCATTCGCGTAAAGTCATACAAGAACGATAAATCAGAGGGTGTTACCATGTCTATCACTGATGAGGAGTGCAATGAATTCAAAGGAAAGGTAAATAGTGTGGTTTCATGGGTTGTAAGGTGGCTAAATATATACTGATGTGCCATGTATGCTCTATAGAACCTTTTGATTGTCGAAGATATCATTGATACGGGTGCCACCATGGTCCAATTGTTGAAGAAATTAAAAACCTTCTCTCCCAAATCTGTCAAGGTGACCAGTTTGTTGGTCAAGAAGACACCTAAAAGCAACGGCTATATTCCTGATTACGTCGGTTTCTCCATCCCTGATGAATTTGTCGTAGGTTATGCTTTGGATTACAACGAATACTTCCGTGATTTGGATCATATTTGTGTCATTAGTGTAAGTGAATGAGGAACACATAAACAGGAAGCCGTATATTGATATTTTGCACAGGAACATGGCAAGAAGGCATATGCTGTTTAAACACCCTATTTAGATTACTGCACACTTCAAGGACAAAGTAAATTATTGTGTGGAAACATAGAGAAACTCATTATCAAACGAATAAAGAAACATCATGCATGGCATGCCATTTTGGAGACTGATTGCATCTCGATTGTTCCTGAAAATTGGATCAGTCTGGCCAAAAATCCTGGATACATTGCAAATTGGACGAGATTCTTTGAAAGTAACCAACAATACTTTATTAGTATGAGTGTATGTGGAAATCTGCTGCAATGAAGGAGCGGCAGGTACACTGCTGCCTGATTGGCCTGCATCACTCTCTGGAAGAATCTTGCTGAAAGTGTAGACAAAGTTAGTGGGTTGTACATCTGATACCAAAGTGGTGGAGGGCGCAGGGTTCAAACTTTCAATACTTCCACTGTTGCTAAGCACCGTTTGTATGGTATAGACAAAAGGCTCCCCTGATACCACAGTAGTGGCATTTTCAGTTTCCATCTCTGAGGCAGATCCATAGTATGTAACATCCGCATTATTGCTAGCAGGGATCGTATAGCGTATATTATAGATGCCACTAAATTGTGGCACTAATGTCTGGGTCACTGTAACTGTTTGGGTTGCATTGCAGGCACCATAATTGCGGACACGGCCGATGTTTGTGTGTCTTCTGCCAGGTTCCATACACAATGCATAACGAGTATCACCGCACTCCAGATCAATGCCACCACCAGGGCCAGAGAATCACACATATATAGCCAAGCAGCCGCGCACTTGAGGATTGGCTGGATTATAATCCAAAGAGCTGGACAAGATATTAAGAATGGGCCCATTTCATTTATCAAGGTGTATACTCACCCAATCCAGGCATTTTCATTTTCTCCTACACAACTCAATATCATATCTGTAGCAAACAAGAAGTTTTGATTGGTGATATCGGCCACTATACCGCCAGAGCTTGCACAAGCAGCAGCAGCTTGGTCGAATGATACCTCATCTTCCGAGATGAAATAACCTTCTGTACCTGGGGCATCACATTCCCAAACTTCAGGTGATCCTAATATTTGCCCGGCAGCCAATACGGAGGAGATCAAGGACAAGATTGTAGCAGTGGTAGCAATCGATTTAATCTTGGAAACTTAGAAATGAAGAGAGAAGAGAGTTGTAAACTTAATCGTAATTGACACGTTTATTCTTTCAACATTCCATTCCTTCAGCTTCGAATAAGATTATATGTATATAAACAAACACAACAATAAGCGAGCATGCAAGGTTTGATATGCTTTTTTGATCAGCAAATAGTGCCTATGATGAAAGCCACTATGCCTGTTTTATTACTGCAGCAATATGCTACAGACAAATCCTGTTTCTCTTGCGAGTTTATAACTTTAATTGCTTAATCTCCTCAATGCCTATATCCCTAGGATTTAAGGATGGTATGAAGTACAAGGGAAGTTTATTTCAATTTTTGCTGAATCAAACAACCCGATGAGTATGCAGTAAGTGAATATTGCAATGCTGTCAGCTCATCGTGCGCGTTCGATCAGGAACGGGAGTTTCGATCCCCCTTTCATAATCTTTTATCACAGATGTCGTGCTATAAGCATACAAATAGCTTGTTACTCTGTTCCTGAAAAAACCCTATCGTATAGTAGAAAGCTCGTGTTTGCTTTGTCAAATGCGAACACATGTAGAGCAGAAGAACAGCTTTCATCGCAAGATTTGCTGGTTGATACTGCAAATACAGCGCTTCTACAAGTTCATTTCACGAGCACTCGATAGAGCTAATAGCATAAGTAGTATATCACTGTGTGTAAGTTGAGGCTGGTTGTGGTACCTCTTGCTGTACCTTTGCAATGTTTAAAGTTTTGAGTGTGATGTGGGTGGCATTTAAACATACGATTTTTATACACATCATCCTTGCAAAAACGCATCGTAAATACAATTCCATGCTTGCTTTTCAATGAAGTGAATTATGATCGAATACCCGTCTAGTATATCCTTGTTATGTCATTACCCAATGCAAACCAGAATGATGATGGTGCTCACCTGTATTACAAAATCCGAATACATACCACTTACTGTGCAACAACGTGGCTAATTGTCTACATTTACTATCATCTCACCATCATCGTCATCTACTGCTATATGTATTGTGGCACAAAACAGTATATTCTCAAAATGCGCATCAATTCCTACTGCTTGCGATTTACATTTTGTATAAAAAATTATCCTAATTTCCAGCACATTACTTAATACACGTATGAAAAGCAGTTCCAGAGTGTATGCTTGACAGCAAGATGTTCCCGAATCAACCGAATCCGTTACATCGGCTCGGTCATTGATATTAAAAAGGCTGAGAGCCAATCCACGCAGTTTAGATTCGGTAAAAGGCAGAATTCAGTTGAATCTTGCTAATGACAAAATGCCATTTCGTTAATCGTTTACCCTCTGATATGTATTAACCCAGAATTTCAGCTAAAAAAGTGACACAAGGAATCCAATGTATAAATAGCTTTTCATTGAATGTTGCTTAGCCATAATTTAGTACGTATACAAAAAGCAAATCTGAATGCCATTTGCCCCAACTCATTCAAGTAGGGACATCTAAATTTTTTGGCATCTAAGCATCTGCCCTGAAATACACTACAACAGCGCTCCGATCAATTTTCAGACCCAATGTACATCACGTTCGATATAGAAAGCACATGAAAAAAGAGGGGTTAATAGAATATCATTGGAAAAGGAGAAAGAAGAATATGATTCAGGGGCTGACTTGTATAGACACACATGTATCCATACAATATTTATATTGTATAATCTGTATCTGATAACATTTAAGATAGAAGCCTCTATTGTCATGTAGCACAACGTCAAAATAGAAGGACTAAAAATAATGAGAATTATATCATTTCATCGGAAGAGAGAGAAAGAAGAGGTTGAAAACGCAAAATAAAGGCCTCGACTCCGGGTTGATTTCAAGGGCTTACTGCTGTGTGATACCAAATAATACCGTTTATATAGGTACTCTTCGCTGTCTGCTTGTATACTGTCTCTCTTTCTCTCTTCCTTTCTTCTTGATACATCTCCCCACTTTCCTTTTTTTTTTTATGAAATCTACATAGAGACACTCACTATCCTTACAAGCCATTCCTTCCCTTTTATTTTTATAGCGCAACATGTCCGACACCACTTCCACTTTTACGACTCGATTAGAAACCTTGCAGTCATTGATTGATGCCGAGAAAAGCTACCTTGATAATCTGCAACTCATAGATTCGGTATACATGGATCTGCACTGCTGTGTATCTTTATCTAACATTTGGATTAGAAACTATCTCCACTCTGGATGAAGCAGTTGCAATCTATTGCACCTGATTTTAGCGAATTGCTCAAGTGCATTCAAGACCTTCTTTCAGTCAATAAGCCATTTTATGAAGTACATATAGCTATCAACAGATTTGATTCTAGTCTAACCTAATTTTCATCTAATGCAGAAGCTGATCTCAACAAAACTCGAGTCCACCGAATGCAATCTTAAAGATATTCTAAAGCAATTGGTAGAGTGGCATTGGAAACGCAAACATGTACACGCACTGAACCATTAGAATAGATCTCTGCTATAAAATTACCTTATCTCACATTCAGTGAAAACTACATTAATAATCTGAACCAACGTCAAGATATTCTCTGTGCACCGTCGATCCAGCAATTTCTTAACGTAAAACAAACATGGAAACATCTCTCACATGACACTTAAACAGCATATTATAGGACATTGGCAAAGAAAAAGAAATGTCTCTCGAGATGTTGTTTTCTGCTCCTTTACAACAGATCCGCTTTTACAAATCCCTATTTAATGTGAGTTCATGGACAACTCCCCTTTTTTTTTCTTTACTCAACCCTTTATTGTTGATTAGAAACCTCATAGCAGCATTGATCAACCCACCCTCGTACAGGCAAATCAGCTCTTCGACTCGCTCATGATTAAAAACTCGCTGCCTCCAGTCAACCTAGACCCGTCGTTTCATACCAAGATCAATTGCAGCTCGGTTGTGGATGTGCTCAGCGATACCCCCATCCATAATTACCAACTATCAAAATTAGACAAAATCTTGCTTTGTGATACATTTAATTGCACAGAATTGTCCAAGCGTGTGCAACTCATTTTAACTGTAAATCATCTCGTTTTCTGCTGTCCAGAAAAGAACGATTTGCTCTACCCTCCCATTGATATCAACGATATCTCAATTCGAACTATTCACATTGACCGTGAGCTGTTAGGAGAGTATCATGTCCAGCTTTGGATCAGCCAGCATAGACTATTTACTTTTACAACCAAATCAAAGCAAGAGAGAAATACATGGCTTGGCCTGGATATGAATAGCAATGTAAAGACATCAGACACTGTCGCTGTATCATGGGCGCCTTTATTGGCCATTGTGGAGATTTACGACATTCGAAGGCAATCAAGAGCCCCGACCAAGTCGATTCGCACTCGAGACATATTCACATTCTACACGGATCAGGCGGGCGAAATCTCTCCATTGGTCTCGTCTGATGAGGAAGATAGCGAAGACGACCAAGACAACGATGATCCAGTCAGTGGAGGACAAGAGGAGAAAGCAGCAGGTTGGTTTTTATTAAACTACATTGATTATTAAGAATCGCCCCAAAACTGACTATTTTTAAAACGGCCATCACATAGATAAATCAAGCTCTGCTTCCATTTCCTCTTCCTCTATCTCTGCTTCTGTTGCTATGGCTACAACTGCTCCGCCCGCCCCTCCTCCAAAAGAGCCTGTGAACACACCTCAGTTCCCCTTACAACCACCACCCAAGGAACCCTATAGACCTGTTGCTGTTTCTGGTACAAAGTCTCTTCCGGTTCGTAATCAATCATTAAGGCAATCGCCTCCTATTCCTTCACATATGCTTTCGCCTGATGTTACTAGTAAAGCCCCTGACACGCCTACGCCTGTACGTCCATCCAATGTAAGATCCTTAACAGCTCAACCACCGCAACCACAATCACAACCACAACAACCTATCATAGAATCATCATCTACAACACCATCCACCACGTCTTCCACTTCATCTTCGTCCTCTTCTTCTGTGAGCAATGGCAACACCAAAAAGCCATCCTTCATGCGTTCTGTCATGGCAGCTGTGTCCAATCGCTCTTCCCTACGCCATTCGAAATCAAACTTCAAGCCAAGCATTGACTCTGTCTTGTCATCGTCGACGCCCAACTTGAAGAGCCCACCAAGCAAGAATGCAATGCAAAACATAAGCACAGTGTCGCTTGATCAACAAACATTAAAGCGACCTACTGATCCTGCCCTAATGCGCCGTTACTCAGCAGCAAATCTGACGACTGACCAGCATCAGCAACAACAACAACAACAACAGCCACCTTTGCCGCCTCAGCACCTAACTATACCTTCGCACCAGCAAAGCCCATTTGGCCAACAACGCTCATCATTTATAAATAATCATTCCACGCCATCATTTGCATCAAGTCAATCTAGCCTAGCATTAACTCCACCATTAAGCAGAGCATCGAGTCCTGGATCCATGACCCCTGTTGGACTCTCTCGTTATCAAACACCGTCTTCTTCATCATCTGAGGACTTGGGATCACCACCGGAAAGTGTGAGTTTTTCTATTCGTAGTATACCACGTTTCTGTTACTAATTTTGTTTGCCATTTAGCCTGATATTTTACTGCAGCATGGAAACACAATCAAATCCGTCTTATACAGCAATCAACAATCACAGGTATTCCGCTGGAAAGACGAATCCTGGTACGCAGTGCAAGGGGAATGTTCTGTAGAAGTTCGACAAACATACAGCAATCGTTCTTGTGTGGCTATACATATGAAGGAGACTGGGCAACTCTATTTGAACGCGTGGGTGCTACCCGACACGTTTATATGTCGCACCACAGAAACGGATCTGAGTTTATCGTTACATATCACCAGTAGTCAATCTCAACTAGAGAACTACCTAATCCATTGCGAATCCAAGCTGGAAGCTGACCGTTTGACAAGCATATTAGAGCAAATGCATCAAGAGTCCATCAAGATGAACATGGTCATCTCCGCCACAAGCACGTTGAGAGGCGCCCCTCCGCTGTTAACGCGCACAGCATCTCTGGCTGCAAACAACACATTGACACCTGAAGAGCTGCAAAAGACATTCAAGCTGGCAATGCAATGTAAATGCAAGCTCTTTGTTCAGAGTGCAAGCTCCAAGTGGAATAGTTTTGGAAGCGTCTACATGAAGGTATCACAACAGTATACAACCAAAAAGATGCATATTGCCATGGAATCGCATAAAGGCGGCAAAGTAACTCAATTGGTCAGCGCGATGGTACAAAGTAGAAACGTCGAAAGGCTAAGCCCAAAGAGAATTTCCTTTTTGATGGTCGATGAGCTGGAAAAGAACAGTGTAGTTTACATGATCCAAGTGCGAGAAGAGACAACGGGTGATAAAATTTTGGAATACATCAAGACTAAAAATAGTGAAAACGGATGGTAATGGGCCATTGCAAGCATTTATATATATATACACACACAACATTATATCACTCTATACTATAAACAACTATCTTTCTTTTTGCTGTTTCGTGAATACATGATGAGATGATGTATATATAATCCGCTGTGAAGTTTAAGCTTTTATTTGCCTTACTCTTTTTAAATGCTCTAGTATGCTGAGCGGCTTTCGCATCAGGCGAATCAACCATATTGTTGATGCCCATAAACGCTGAAAATGTTTATGATACAAACGGCGTAACATTTGTAACATTGCTGATCATTTATTTATGTAAAACGTGCTTCATTCTTGGGCATGCAGCTCGCAGTGCCTGACAGATAGTGTCGTTAGTGTGATATGTAAACGAACGATTGCTTCGGAATTCCCCACTTTGACAACAAGAATGGTAAGAAACAGTGTTCATCTTGACCGTATCAGTAGCGCACACATTGTTAAACTTGTAGCATTGGACATAACAGAGTTTTCAATGAATTCAAGACATCCCGAAATGCTTGCCACTCAACACGTAGAGTCATTGCTACATTCACTAAGTGGAGCATAGTATGGCTGCACCACAAAGTTTATTATACCATTCTATCTATCCATTCAGGTCCATACCTTGCCTGCACACCTATCAGACTGTTATCAGGGCACACGCTCTTGGTTATTCAAATCAGATGACGGGAGAGGGTGGGTATATCTTGATTACTTTTTGTTCTTCTTTTTACCCGCACGTTCTGATAGATACATGGACAAGAAATCGCCTTGGTTCCCAATCTTTTTCTTCTTATTTGCATTAGAAGGAGCCGGTGTTGTTCCTGTTGATGTCGCCTTGACTTTCTTTTTGGAAGGTTGCCTTGTACCAATGGTGGTAAATCGTGATTCCTCTTCATCTTCTGAAGAATCAGACTTTTGATCTTGAGGACGAAATCGCTTTCCAATAGGAGTAGGTGTTTCCCGATGACTTGCTGCTTTTCTGTTCTGGTTCAATATCTTGTTCTTTAGCAAGATCTCCTCTTTTGATGCCAAACCGTTGTCATTGTTGTGTCTCATTGCTTCAGCATGTGAGAGAAATTTTGCTCCAAGGCCAAGTCTACGTTGGTTATGTGTGATATTAGTAGGTATATTCAGGCTAATGTAATAGAGAGAGACAGAGCTCCATTACCTATCAGGTCGACCAGTGGAATATTTAGTGAGTGTATCGTCATCATCATCATCATCCAATTTTTCTCCAGGCTTAGGTGGAGGTAGCCATGAATTAATGAGCGACCTTGCTATACCAATGGATGCATCGATCTGTGTCTTTATCTTTTCATTCTCTTCGGTGTTGATCTTGGCCTTTTCCTTCTTGTCAGACATGATGATATGGAGAGCAAAGAAGAAAAATATTCGGAAATGCACAAATACGTGGCTTGTCGTACTTTTTTTTTTTTTTTTTATTATTTAGTGGACTTTATTAGGCCTTTAAAATGGTTGCATGATGTTTGATGTGATCAGCAATAAAAGTAGAAATGAAAAAGTAACTGTGATCATAGCCATCTTGGTAGCGAATAGTGAACTCGCTTTCACGGCCCAAGTCTTTGGTGGCCTTTTGCAATTGATCAATGAGCAGTTCCTTCTCCAAAAATCCGTCTGCAGTACCCACATCCACAAGGATGTTCAAGCGCTCATTCATGTGAGTCTTTAATAATTCCACAGTGTCGTATTTCTTCCAAGCTTCCTTGTCGTCAGTTCCGAGGTAGTTGGAGAAAGCCTTTTGGCCCCAGGGACAGTTGATAGGGTTGGCAATGGGTGAAAATGCAGAGGCTGTCTTGAATCGAGTGGGGTTTTTGATGTGAATGGTTAATGCGCCATGACCGCCCTGCAATGGTATACTATCAGCTCTCTATTCCACTCTTTTTATTATTTGCGCCTTACCATAGAATGACCCATGACAGATACACGAGATTCATCCTAAATGCACGGAAATCAGTTAAACCATTAATTTTGGCGTTTCCCCCCCCCACATATCACTTACGATAGGCAATTGTTCATAGACGAGAAGAGGCAACTCCTTGACAATGTAAGAGTACATACGATAATGATTTGCCCACTTGGGTTCAGTAGCATCCAAATAGAAACCAGCACCAGTACCAAAGTCCCATGAGTCACTATCGCCTTCAATGCTAACACCACCTATATACCAGCACATGCATAAATTCAGTGTGTGTTGATCCTGCTCTTGACATTGTACTTACGAGGAGAGGTATCAGGAGCAATCAAAGCAATACCAAACTTGGCAGCTTCAGCCATAGCACCGCTCTTTTGGATAAAGTTGTCTTCAGTGCACGTCAAACCAGACAAAAAGTAAATGGCAGGCACCTTTTGCTCTGAAGCTTCTTTGGGAAGAAAGACATTGAACTTCATGTCGCAATTGAGCTCTTCGGAATGATGCTCGTATTTGACAACATGGCCGCCAAAGCACTTGTTTCTACTGACTTCCTTGATAGACATGATTTGTCGATTGTTTTGTATTCAAGAGAGAAACCAGATTTATATACTCGGTGGTAGATGATAGTGGTATATTTCAATTCATGGTGAAACATCTCCGCCAAACGTCACCAACAAGACCCCACAGACCCATTGCGAGGAGCTAACTTCCACCGCCGAAGCATAATCTCATGCTAGATGTAATTTTGGCTGATGATTGAGCAAAACAACATGTAGACATTGTCGTAGTTTATCTCTAGTCTATTGCTCTGCCCTCATGCTTACCATTCAATGGCATGAAGGCTGACCTGCAGACGTTTATTGCTTTCAGGTCAGTTTGATGTGTTCCTCGATGACTCGAGACAAATATCTCATCAAACACTTTACATACACAATGCTATGGATGCCGCAGACTCCATTTGACTAGACTCACATAGTAGAGCTCTAGAAAGCACTTGTCAAGGTTACAATATAAATATTACATGCAATGTTGATTACAATTGCAATTTTGCATCCCACATTACGCTTCGCATTTGTATGAATGATTTGCAGTTATTGGAGCTATCCAGCATAAACATATTCAGCAAAGGCAAGATATGGCAACTATGCTTAGTCATAATGCTATTCGATTTGCAATCCTCTTTGTACTAGCTTATAAACGTTGGTTGCATTGAAAAAAAAAAAATGCATTTTGCCAGCCAAAACTGATTTAATCTCCGGTCTTATTTTTCTCTCTTGAAATGGAAGTTTTGATCAAGTTTCGACTTCTTTGATCTATTTTGCAAGATTCGATTATGTGAAATGTGATGATTCTTCGAGACTTGCTTAAGCTGTCCCTGGTGGTAGGGCGAAGTGGTAAAACTCCCGTATGCCAACGGGAGGATCCCGGTTCAAATCCTGGTGAACGCAAGTTGTTTGATTTTTTTGACGTAGTACTGATGTCCTCGTTTGGTGTTTTGTGCTCTTATCCATGATCTATATTTTGACGATTTTCCGCAAGACTGTACTGGCTCTAGGAGTCGCACCTTATTAGTAGTAGATTTCTTTCCCAACTTAGTTCAAAAAATATCTTATTCCCCTTCATTGCAGACATTGGGTCCACCAACAGTCTTTTCTATCCCTCAGCATGACATTTAAAGGACTTTAAATAAAACCTGGAGCTCGACTCCCCTACAAAAAAAAAAAAAAAAAAAAAAAAAAAAAAAGACTTGCTTAAGCTTTCTTGGAGTACTTTTCAAGGCGCATCTAATGGTGCCGATTAAAGTAAGTGGTTTGAACTAGTTTATTGAGCAATTTATGAAAATATAAAATAAGGTTTTTGGTCGATTTTCAACGATCCTAAAAAAAAGTTGAGCAAAGGTGTCAGACAGCTAGTGCCAGATCAGAGCAACTGTTTGGTACTATTCTGACAGTCTAAAACGGCTTCTAACTCGAGAAATCACTACTCAAATGCACACAACTTTTGCTGTGGTTTGCATATTTTGGATTAGCAAAGGACATTGCTGGTAGGATGTATGGCCGTATATGAATGGTTTTCGTCTATTCAGACTTGGAACATCATATAAAATTTATATCCATATTTACAGCTGTATCATTGTCAGAAATCAACGGATTTTTTAGCAGAGCAATGTGCTAAAAATGGTTCCTGAAGTTTTCTCAAATAAACTTTCCATTTAATTGGATCCAATCCAACATTTTTTATGTTATGTATATAGTGTATAGTAATAAAACCATTCACCATACTTGAATCAAACGGAAGCCAACCAACACCATGACAAGATTGTCTCCAAATAGATTATGTTAGTCGGGTAAAGCATTGCAATGGCTCCGGATGATGTATCAAAGGCAAATCAAAAGGAAGTCGAACCTTGATTTCAGCTACCTCTGTTCCGCTGGATCTCTCTTGCATACTATCCAGATCATTATCAGGCACCAAGTCGGCATTGTCATCCCACAAAGACGGACAAAATAAAACGCCCAATTCAAAGCTTTTGATATAAATTTGTGTCCTGTTTTTTTGATATTCGCCCCAAGCTGCACGACTGAGGTTAGCCGATGTCAAGAGGTGCCATGCAATGTGTATTTTTCCATTCTTGTCTTGATAGGTTCGCGTATAAGTTTTGATGTGAGGCATGAGGAATTGTCGACCTGCTCGTTCGCTTTTCCACTCATACAAGTATGGATCAAACCAGGAATGGTTTTTACCGTAAGAAGCTGGATTTGGATTGGTTAGGGTGCTGTAAGTATCTATTTTTAATCACTTAGTCGACACACTACTTGCCTTTTTCAAATCTCAAGAAATCACCACTCATGTCTCTCCCAGTAAAGCTATTACAACAACGGATCAATCGTTTATTGTAAGATATCACTTAACACTAATAAGAAAGATACATACCTGTTTGATGCTGCGGTTACTGTCGGATAAACAACGCATACCCGAGGAGATTTGATTGACAGCGTTGATCTTCTATTCTTGAATTCAGCCATGGCTCGACTCACCTGTTCTTTGAACCATTTCTCTGGGGAATGGGGCATACTAGAGCACTATCACAGGACAAGATAAGAAAATGTCCTAACTTTAGCCCTGATCTCGTGTATGTATACGCACCTGCATAATGATTTGCGAATTCTGACAGTTGTATGTGGGCAATGTTACATACTGGCAGAGCACTTCTGCTAATCTCTGGAGGCCCCAATTACAGAATGATGATCCACTCTGTCGGTGATACCCTGGCACAGACGCAATCAAGATGGCCTATTATTCAATATGGATTGATGGGCCTGCCCTTGCTTGAAACATATCAAGATGAATTACCTTGCATACAGACCAATCATAGCGTGATACAGAGGCGATGGTTGAGCCAAGACAAGACAGATTATATGCTCGCAAATACTTTATCAAATCAGTTTCAAACGGAGATGCTGCCGATGTTGGATTGTTTGTCTTGAAGGAACATTTAGGAGATCGATAAACACCTTGTGTCATGACTCTAATGAACACATTGAGCTATATATCACAACCATGGTAGACGCACTTACTGCCAATCTTGAGGGATCATATTTGCCGTCATCACAATCAACTGAATCGAGTCTCTAAAGAACAGTAGCATAGCCTATTGAAAGTGTCAGGGTTTGTGCATGTATGTATGATATCATTACACGTACTTTGGTATGATGAACACCTGCGTGCGATACTGTGTTAGTGTGCTACTTTACAAGGCCAAAATGCAGCAACAAACCATATCTATCTTGAATTCGTGGTGTTGCCACTGTGATATTGGGCCATTGTCGTGCTTGTTCCATTAAATCCCTTGCAGATTCCCTCAAACCATGCACTATTGTCACTGGAATGCTCTTGTTTTTAACATTCGACATGAGAAAATCAATATCCACCAAAAAGTTAAATTGAACCATTGACATCAAATCATCCTAAACGAATGTGGTTTAACATAAAAATAGATTCATGCTGTGTCATTGTATAACATGTACATGGTAAATCAAATCTCTTAGTGATACTTTTTTCGCACAGGTTAATATACTACCGCACATGGAGACACACACACACACACACACAAAATTCCATACCACATCCCATGTTCTCTTTATCAGACAAAAGCACTGAAGCTGTCAAGCAAGTCTACAATGGAGAATTTAGCTTTGCAATACTGTCAAACAGACAAAATGTTTACATTGGTAGTCATTTGATTCTGTGATTTGTAATACAGTGTATAATAAAGCGTATATTCGTAGTATAAAAGAGGGAAGAAGAAAAAAGCTATGTAGAATGATAAAAAAAACGGGAGAGAAGAATGAAAGAAGGGAAGCAAGAATAAAACTGTGCTTGAAACTAGAAATACAGAGAAATTTACATGTACAAAATACGATTTAAGAGGTTGATTCCAACTTGTCACGAATACCTTGTAAGAATTGGTCGTTTGCAGGAACAGGTGGTAATCGTTTACAGTGCTTCATTTTCATCTTTCTGAATTTCACTATTGGATGGGTGGTATAAGGATGACTGGTGAAACTCTGGTAACCGCTGTATTTAGTACTTGCCATGCTATTCTTCTTCTTTTGTTTTTTGTCCTTCTTTTTGTCCTTCTTCTTGTCCTTTTTCTTGGTATCCTTGTCCTCTTTACCGAGCTCGTTCTTTACGCTGGCAGCAACGCCAATGGCTGTCTCGTTGGAGAAACTAACGCTCTTGCGCTTTTCTTCACTGAGGGGAGACATGGGCACATCTACGTCGTCGTCAATGTCGCTATCACTATCGTTGTCGTCGTCTGTGGAGGAGACGTCAGAGGAGGAATTGGCTGTGTTTCCGTTGCGGATGGTGTTTTGAATGGTGAGATGATCTTGGCTCAATGTGTCATTCAGGTTGAATCTACTGGTGGAGTCGTTCAATTCTTGGATGGCAGATGAGGGTTTTGTCAGAATGGTGGGCACAACTGGTGTTCCGAGAGGCGATGGGCTCTTGAATCCCTTGTCCTTTTTGCCCTGCTTCTTCTTGTCCTTCTTTTGCTTCTTTCCGTCCTTTTTCTTTTGTTTTTTGCCATTTGTCTTTTCCTCATCACTTGACATGATGTGATCCACGTTGCTGTTGTTGCTATTGGTGTTTGAAATATGATCTGATAAAAATTGCAAATTAGTCTCCTTGCTAATACACTGCATGTTTTACTATAGTACCTTGGGGAGGCCAGTGAGGATCAATTGAGCTTCGCAGGAGATCTTTCACCAAAGGCAGTAATTCAATTTGCTATGTAACATGCCACGGTCAACACTTGTCTATAGTAACCAACCCCATCATCACTTACTGTCCAGCTTTCCCCTGACAATGCTCTCAAATCACGGACATAGACCAGACGGTGCTTAGCGAGCACAGCGAAATCTTGTTCAGTATCAGCAGCAGACCAATTCTTTTCATTTGCGATGCGCTGCAGCACACTGACGACAGTCTGATGTTGACAGGGCAAAATGGTGAGTTACATGTCTTGATGACACTTTGTCTTCATTTCATATTTACATCAGAATCAGGTAAAGTTTCCTTCATGTTTGTTATGCGATTTATTGTACCCCTTGAGAAAACGCTTGGTAAGCACAAATTATGTAGACAGAGAAGAAAGAAAAGGAGGAAATGTCCAGAAATCTACACTCAATATATAGAGAAATTGGCTGTGACTCATTTGCCATGAGCACGGATTGTCTCCCGGTTTCTCGTTTGGGCTGTTTGCCATGTTCATTAGCACTCCGAGAGAAATTGTAAAACCTTTTGCTATGATTAGCTCCAGTTTTAGATATTTCAAGCATTGGAAGGCTGGATTTTTCCGGGTTCAAATGTATCAAAAAAAGCTGTAATCTCAAGATTTGATAAAAGACACATGTGATGTATCTCGACCCTTGGTCATTTGATTCATTCCTGTCAGTCATTAAATACATTCCAGCTCAAAAGACCCAATGCATTGACGCAGTGTCAGAAGCCTTAGCATGCTCCAATGTCAATTCATATTGTAATTCATCATTGTACGCTCTCATTGTTTAGATGCGCAATACGCTTGATTTATTACTTACTCAACCGAATGCACAGTAAATACTTATCTTGGTTATATTCACTCCTCCAGGCCACATCACACGCTTGATATCTCTTCTAATTTGAGTAGATGTCAAACTAGCCAAATGTCAAAATCGAATGATTGAAGCCCAGCGCAAAGCCCAAATCGAGCGATTTGTCGATCTGTCAAATAAAAGCAAGCATATGTAGTGAATGCTAATATATCTAGGGAACACATAGTTACAGTGCTTCCGAGAAAGCAATTAGAAACGATATGTAGAAGCACACAAATCAAACAACGTCAGAGACATACATTTTAGCAAGTTTGCTATCCGTTATAGTTTACATAATGCACATTGTCATTAAAATTCAGAATAACCGTGTATGTTCTTTTATTTCTGCGCCAAGAGAACCAATGCTATGGATTCAGATTCCTCCACAGAATTCGCAGAAGCTGTCGATCCTTATGGGGATCTTAAACAGGGCATGCCATACAGATTCATATGTTAAAAGTGCTTGTTTTGTTGCTTGATCTTTTTACCAAATTGCTGCAAATCTTCAATCAACATGTCAGGCTCTTCTAATGCAGGAAAATGGCCGCCCTATAAATGACATCAAAATAAGCAAAACTATATATATAGTGCTTGGAGATGCTACAAATGGAACTTACAGAAATCATTTCATTGTATTGTTGAAGGTCTGTTGATGTCTCCAACCAGTCTCTGGGCATCTATCAAACATGGATTAGTCTCACCTCTGCTAATAAACTTCTATAGGTTACATACCTTGGAGATGTCATGAGCAAACGCGCAGACAGCGACTGGAATCTTGACACGAGGCAGCACAACCTTGATCATTTCATTTTGATGCAAGCATTCATAGTATATACGAATCGAAGATGACATTGTATTTGTAAGCCAGTAAAGAGTAACTTGGGTCAAGAATTCTTTGGAACTGATGGTTTGAGGTAATGCTTCTGTTTCCTGTCTTTCCACTGGATGATATGTCCAATCATGGTACTTTTCCAACATCCATCCTATGAAAGCATGAGTTGGGGATACTTGCTACACGCTCCCTACAGAAAATGCCATACCTAATAATCCCACTGGACTATCACTCAGTCCGTAGGCCAGTGTATAGGGTTTGGTGCCCTGAATGCTGCGATAGCCGCAATCCCTATTTCGCTCAGCATTTGCAAATGTAGCGCCTCCCAGTACCGTCTTGCCAGCACCGTACACATTATCAAACCCTAGCAGCAAACTGGAAAAGAACTTGACTACCTTGAATGGATAGAATATCAAGTTTCTTGGCGTTGGAAGAGGCGGCAAGATCATTGGTAAGTTCGTATGATACGCCTTGCAGTGGTCGCTATGACGCGTGGCAATCCACTTGCCTATGATAGCGCCCCAGTCGCCGCCATGATACACTGTGAAATATTCAAGTCATTAATTGCCACGCTCCTGTCGATCCATTTTATATGAAACCTACTATATTTGTCGTACCCCAAATGAATCATCAACGCATTAATTGTACTTGCCATTTTGGCGACACCGTAACCCCTTTCCTTTGGCGCGTCTGAAAACCCGAATCCTGGTAAGCTTGGCACAATGACGTGAAATGCCTATTAGTAGCAGAATTAATCTACAGCTTTATCGTGTTGTTATCCGATAGGCGTACTTGATTGCCACGAATTCCATCTCGGAGTGGATTGATTAGCTTGTGGAACTCGTAAAATGTCGACGGCCAGCCATGTAGCAAGACAATGGGAACGGCGCTGGGGTTGGAGGATCGTTCATGGACATAGTGGATTAGCAAGCCATCAATCTTCATGCGGTAGTGATGCCATTGAGCCATCTCTGTTCGGGATTCTTCCCAGGCAAATGTTTGCCACTCTTCAAGCAGAGGCTTGACAGCCCAGGAAGGAGCTCCCAGAGTCCAGCCATACTCTTTCTCCAATTCGTTGGGCCAGACAACATCAGCTATCTTCTCATTTAATTGCTGTTGTTTCTTTTCTGGGAATTCAGGGATTTCGAATGATTCAAACTCTCCTTCAGATAGAAATGACATGATAATAGTGTTTCAGAGAGTATTGATGAGGGAAAGAAAAGAAGCAAAGAAGAAGCGGAAAGGTTTGTTTAATGCTCTATACAAGTGTGTGCTTTTTTTGGATAAAACGAGATGACTGTAATGTGAATTTGCCGTCGCTATTGTATGCATGTGTGTTACCTAAATAATGCCTGCCAAGAGCAAGTTGGATCAGCTTTAATTCTCTTGTTAAAGCAACGGCCTTGAATTATAGAATATCATATGCGATTCCCCAATTTTAAAAGCATCTTTGATGTAGCAAGGCTTTATTGACTGATATTCTAATTTAATGATGGGAGCAGAGGAACTACCTAGTAAAAGAAGCGCTTGGCAAAGAGGAAGTTGTCTATTTCGTTGCCCTTCATCTGGAACCCGAAGACTTCTTCCAATTTCGAGTTCAAGGATGCGGATGTCGCAAGATACTTGTCATGCTTTTGCTCTGTAACCGCTAGTCTCATATCCAAATCTTCCCTTTCGCTGTCATTCTGAGTATCCAACTTCGACACCAATTGTAATTTGTCAAGAGAAGCCTGTAATTGCTGCATTACATAGGTGGCAATATCTACTTGAGCATCTGCTATGGCATTCACATGAATACGTGCAACGTTTTCGCATGTAACAGAGAAAAGCACAGATTCGTTTGTTTTACGCTCCAGTTCAAAGTCTTGGTACGTGATAAATACAGCTGTGCCCTTTTCCAATTTGCAATAGACGGTCATTTCAAGACTGAGCAGAGAGACTTGTAGATAGCAAGAATGATGTGATATTAATTTGTCGCGCATGACTTGAGCATGATCAACACCATTGTAAGTTACATTAGTGAAGTCCACCGATAGAAAAGCGAGGGATGTGTGAGGCATAGTGATCGAAAAGACATCCACTTGGTGCTGGCCATCTGCATTGATAATTGAACAATCAGCAAGCTGCAGACGATACAGCTTTGGGTAAAGCTGGCTGATTTGGGGAAATATGCCAGCGTCAATTGCAGCATTCTCAATATCCAACTCCTCCAGCTTCCCCTTCATGCGCGAGTCTGCTTCTATTGGTTTGTATTCAAGTCGCTCTACAAAGATGGATAGTGTCTTCAACGAAGGTAAAGTCTCGAATACATGGTAAATAGAAATCAGTTGATGGCCGGTATCTGGATCCCACCAACGAGAGCGTAAACCGTCCACACAGAGATGTTCAATGGTACAGCGATCCGACATGGTACATAGTTCATCCAAGATGCCCAGTTGAACGTTATTTGCGGCCAATCCATCCACTCCAATTCTCAGTTCTTGTTGTCCCTCAATTTCGGCAACGTTCATGTAAGCCTTAAACCCAATGTTCCCCTTAAAGTGGCAGATGCGGACTGACATCTTGACTGGTGTGTCGCTTTTACCACAGATTGCAGGGATTGTAGGTCGAACACCTTGCACGGTAGCGAAATTGAAACCGACAAAAGTCTGAGGTATATGTTTTATCGCATCCAACAATCGACCAGACAGTTCTTCTTGATAGAATACTCGACTTCCGCAGATCAAACGTTGGATACTTGGGTATTTGTAGATCAAGTATAAAACTAGATCCAAATGAGGCATGTCAATGGCTACTTTTTGAAGGCTGCTGACTTTCTCCACGCTGTCTACTGTCCATGTTATCGTAAAAGGATCGCTTTGTGTCATGTTTTCATCGCTATCAGGATAAGCTAGCTTGAGCTCGCTCAGGAAAGGACAATTTCGCAATACAGTATCCAGCCCCTTGACATTGATGAGAGGTTCGGCATTCAGGCTTAAATCTTCCAATTGCTTGAATACCTTGAGCTTGTTGAGAACAGGGTTTTCATTGATGCATTCCATTGAAATTTGCAGCTGTTGCAGTGTATCTCTAAAAGTAAGCAGAGCGTTGATAAACTTCTTGCTGTTTTCCTCAGCTGGATTTGGCATAGCTTTGAGCTTGTATTCAGTGGTGGATAAACTTTCAGCGGCCTCGACTAAGGCTGCATAGAATGACTCGCTTGCTGACCATGATCCTGTTGATAAATACTCCAAGTTGTCTGTAAAGGCTGCTCTCGAAAGGTCAATGAATGCTGATTCTTTTTCTGGAAAGGCTTGCATAGTTAGGTTCTTAATGAGTCGAGCTTTTTGAGGCTTTTCTTTTAGATAAGCGAATAGCTTGGCTACTCTGCTTCCATATACGAAGAGCTTCTCACCGAACATGGCAATCTCAGCAAGTTGGCTCCACTGACGGCAGACTAAGCGAGACTGGCACAACTTTCCTGCTCTTCCAATTTGATGAAATACGTTCAACCATACTTCAGGTGGCACATGCTTGATGATGTCTGTCATTATGAACGCTGGCAATTGTTGAAATGTAAGAGAGATGAAAAGAGTAAAATCAGCAGTAGATCAGCAATTGAAAGTTGCTTTAACGGGTGAGTTTGAATTGGGTTTACAGAAATGATCCAATATATCCTTAATACTTTGCTATTCGAGCCTTTTTACGAAAAGAACGGCGGGAATTTCAGCTTATGAGATGTGAATAACATTGAAATGAAGCATGTGTCAATAATAGCACGTCTATATAGCAGCTTTATTACCATACGGTCAGCTTTCTTTGATGCTGTTGCTTCAGGAACAAATTTGAAATCCAAATTTGCATGTCAGTCATTGTTGATTTGTGCCAAATGTGCCATTCTCAAGTTGATCTGCCCCATCTGTTAACTCCCACATGACACTGGCCCTCAATAGATATTAGAGATATCTTTATTTATCATATACAATCTATTGTGATCTGAATTAAGTGTACTATCTACATTATTATGTTACATGAAGTCTCCATCATCATCAGCTACTGGGACTAACGGCTCTCTCAGATCCGAAGTGAAGTCGCTGATGCTCTCTTCGCTCCCCATTTCTTCTTCACTGATTACAACAGAATCATCCTCTTCATTCACATTGAGCCATTTATCCGCGTTGAATCGATTCATCCAATGCTTTCCAATACGTCGAATGGGATCATCCTCATCAAGTGTACGCAAGACCATCGGGGGTCCAAGGCCATCAGATGCTGACAATGCACTACCGTTTCCTATGCTACTGCAATCATCATCGTCCACGATAAAGGAATTCAATACGGATGAAGCGCTAGAGTTGAACAATCCTTCCACGTCTTCGTCTGTATGACTGCCATCAGATGAATAATCAGCCTCGTGTTCAACAAATGGATTGGTAAATCCTTCATCTTGAGCTGATGCATGATATTGCTTCTTGTGATGCTTTTTGTTGAGTTCTCTGCTTTGCAACAAACGCCTCTTCAATTCTTGTTCTGAGGGTGGAAGTACCACAAAATCGTCGTCTTCATCATGAACCGTCTTTCTCTTGAGCCGTTTTCTGCCTTTGCTTTTTGTCTGCTTATCATTATCATCGACAGAATCCTCTTCCTCTACTTGTTCATCGTCGTCGTCTTCAATTAAGGTCCTCTTCAGCTTTCTTCTGATCAGAACAGGGGATTCACTTTCAGCGGCTCGTCGCAATGGGGACGGGGTATATAGGCCTTTTGATAGCGCAGATAGTAGACTAGGACTCTCTTGCTCATCTTCACTAATGATTATCTTTCGACGGTGTCTATGAACGATAGGACTGATCGCACTCCCATCTTCGCTCAGCTCAACATGCTCATCCTGTTCTTTCTGTTGTGGTATGTCTTGAGAATCCTCGATAGAGAATATGCTAGGTTGTCTCTGTAAGGTGTCATGCTTGTTCGTAGCAGCATCCTGAGGAGCAGTTGCTGTTTCTTCGTCAGAAGCTGATGATAAGGCATCCACATCGAATTCAATAATATCCTCTTCCTTCGTAGAAGCATCTTTATACCACTGATAATTTTGACTTTGACTTTGATTTTGAGTGCTTTTGCTTAATGGAGGCGCACTGCTGGGATGTGCATGTTGCGGGTAAGACAGCACAATCGGCTCATGGCTGGTTGAGGGTTGTTCAGTGGCCAAATCAGCAAGCAGGATGGACTGCTCTGCGATATTCTGTGTAGATGTCTCGCCCTGACCAAACATAAAGTTTTCTGCATAATAACCATCGTCATCAATCTTGTTCTCCAAAAAGTTGGCAAACATATCTTCATTAAAGTCCAAATCACAAAATTCGTCTTCTTCCGCATTTTTCTCTGGTTCCTCCATTGAGTGATCTAGCTGCTCTGGCGGTGGTGGTGGCGACGGTATAGCAGTGGCTGTGGCGGTAACTGCAGGAGATGATTGAGGATCACTATTGCGAGTAGCAGGCTTCTTGAACTGCATGTGAATATAATGTCCTGTTCTTGCCTCCAATCTCTTCTGACGTTCTTCCAGTAACCGTAGTCCTTTTTCACTGAATGGAGGATGACTAGGCCAAATCAACGTAGATACTTTGTTCTCTTTGCCAGACACACTGCTCGTCTTTTCAAAATCAAACCTAGGCTCTAGAGCATCATCAAAGCCAAGCTCTGTTTTTGACTTTGCTAATGCATCCGCTTGTTCCAGAAATGAGGCATCCAATGAGAAATCAAATTCATCTCCAGAATCGCTCTCGCTCATCAAAGAGGCTGATGGCTGCAGTGGTGCTGGTGATGGAAGTTGGTGGATAGGACGACGAGAGGGTGGTGTAGGTGTACGCGGAGTATTGTTGAGGAATGATGTCTGAATAGAAGGTCCTTGCTGGCCCAAGTCAGGCAGCGGATCGACATCTTCAAACACATCATCCGGCAGCATCTGTTCCCATGATCGTGGCTCATTATCCCAAGATGGAAGGCTACTGGACGCTTGCTGACTAGCATCTACATCCATGTCTTCTGTCATAACATTGATCTCCCGCATTTCCTGGCTCAGTGTCATTCTAGATTTTCCCTTGTTGACTTTGGGCTGCTGTTGCACTATAGGTGGTCGAGTCTCCTGGTCGTCTTCAGGCAAAGGCAGATCTACAATCTGATTGATATTGTTATTCTGCATGAACGCATCGAAATCATCGTCGTCAAGCCTTGCGTTTGAAGGCGCTTTTCGCCGTTTACGAGGTGTAGGCATCGTCAGGGTATTCGTTGAAAATTTGGAGGGTAGCTTGAGTTGTGTCATTTGCTTGGGTATGTGTGCACTGATCTTTTCCTCGGGATGCATAATGCGATACTCCATTTTCTCCACCAGATTTGACAATTGCAGAGTTCTTTTGGAGTGACCGATACGATGAGTAGCTTGTAGCCGAGATTGCAGAGGGACAAATTTACTGACACTGTGTACAGTTTTGTCTTTCGGCCAGAATGCGCTTGTAATTTGATCCATGCTGGTATAATTATGGCGTGCGTTGCAGAAGGCACGAATGAATGATCGCTCTGCTTCGTCTTGAAGGAAGCCATCTTGGGTATAGTCAGTGCTTTCTGCCTTCTTTCTTCTCTTTTTGGTGCTTATTTTCGGTTGATATGTGCCCACTACAAGTTGTTTGCGACAGATGGTTGGCTTATAATTGACGGGCAGTATTTGCGGTTCAGGCTTGTAATACTTGATAGCGCCACCTCTTGATATCATTCTCTGTACATTAGCGTAGGCGTCTTTGGCTTTGTTGAACTTTTTTTCTTCTTCTTCAGTGTGAAGCAGGATACATTTACCCATTCTCTTACGGCCAGTTCTACCCATTCTTTGAAGCTAGAACATAGAGTGTTACTGATTATATGTGAACCAAAACGATGGAGGATACTTTACCATACGAATTGGCGATGAATGAGAATCGAAACAGACGATCAAATCAATTTCACCAATATCGAGACCTTCTTCACCAATACTTGTTGCTACCAGCACGTTGAATTCATCGGATTTGAACTTGCGCAAGACCTACTCATATCTGCTCAATCAACCAAAGTCTGTGTTTTACGCAATGGCATGCCTACCTCTTGCTGCTCTCTTTGATTCAAGCCTTTGGTGCCCTGCTTATCAGTGGCCTGTCCAACAAACACGGTGCTTCGAATCATTGGCTTATGTCTATCAAGCACATTGCGGATATCTATAACAGAGCTACGGAAACTGGAGAACACCATAACCTTGGAAACTTCACCGTCAGACAAGCTTCCAAAATGATTCAAGAGAATGGATACCAAATGATCCATCTTGGGATGGCCAATAAAGTCGGGTTTTTGTGCTTCTTGTTTAGCAAATCGTAAAATACCCTGCAGGGCAGCGTTATTCTGGAACGCAGTCTGTGCCTTGCTAAGTCGACCGCCGCTTGCACGCTTCTCCTCGTATTCCGCAAACAAAGTTTCCAGGTTTTCGATAAAGGGAGTAACGCCAATTTGAGTCAAATATTCATAAGCTCGACATGCACTTTCTGCGACCAGCATTCCACTGGAAATTGCCCACTTGAGGTTCTGGTTCAAATTCTTTGCCTCTGCTGCAAACCGTTGTCGAAGCATCATTAAATAGTAAGTCGATACACTCTTGGCCGAAGCTGGCACACCAGTTGGCTTCCTGGACAGGTCGATCAGCATAGGCTCAAAGACTTTAGTTACATAATCGTTAATGATGCGAGGCAGGATGCCAGTAGAGCCTTCAGTGTAACTTAATTTGACGACGATGCGCTGCGTATTCTTGCCATGAGAGAATTGACGGATGTCCATGGATTCCTCGGTTCTGATCTCGATTTTTGAAATGTGCAAGTTGGTCACCACATTCTGCACAGCGTCTACAGTGCTGCCAGGCGTAGCTGTCAATGCCAATATTCTGAAGCTCTTGTTCGTTTTGTAGATCTTTTGAATGACTTGTGTGTATGCATAATTGCCAGTAGCTTTGTGAGCCTCATCCAGCACAACACAAGCAACGAGGTGAGCAGGACAGATACCCGACCTGAGGTCATTTTGCACTGTTTGAGGTGTAGCAAAGAACACACGCTTGGCCCTCCATAGATCTCGACGTTTGTCTGCTTTTGATACGCCTGTCATCTCTGCTGTTTGATCCTGAGGTATGCCGCAAATCGTAAAGCATGCTTCAATTTGCTGATCTACAAGAGGCCTGGAGTGAGCCAAAAAGAGGATCTTTGAGTCTGGAAACCATCTCCAATAGTTGTACATAACGACAGCTGCAATGAAGGTCTTTCCTAAACCAGTAGGCAGTGCCACCAAGATATTATTGAACATTGCCCTGTGGACGATATTCAGCTGATAGCCGCGAATTGGATAGTTTGTTGGATACACCCATGTTCGCATCTCTTCTGGGTCAAATCTGTGTGCGCATGGTGTGGTGATTGGCAATGGTGGAGGAGGTGCTGGATCGTCATCGTCTGGCACAAAGCTAATTTGGCCTGCTGCGTGAGTTTGCTCAACTGTTTTTGCTACTTGTACTAGCTCCTCGAGGTCAATATCGTCTCCAAAGCCCTCTTCTTCGTCTTCAAAACCATCAGCGAATGCCTCTAATAGCGTCTGTTGGTCCATGATCTCTGTGCCATCCTTCATAACTGCGGATTAGATGAAATGAAAAGAAAAAAGCAAGGCAAAGGAGCACGAAAATGACTCGATCCCCGCAGCCTTTTTAAAGAGTTTTTAGTAACGTTTGGCTTTGTTGCTCCTTTTTCTCTAGTTTTCTAATCAGTCTACTGTCATGTCAAAAAGAGCCAAACTCACGCACCATGATCCAGAGGCACATTCAAGGCATCTAAGGCGACAATTGGAGTCATTGGAGAAGGACAATCACACATCCATCAGCAGTGTTGAAGGGCTGGTAACAGTTGCTTTGACCGCACAGGAAGAAGAAGGTTTGTTTGGCGCTTTCTAGTCGAGTCATTGATGCTGACCATGCGGTCCAGGAAGCACGCGTAAATCGCGGAATAGATCGAAAAACATATACTCGACCAAAGTTACACTCAGTGCATTGCTGGAGTCTAGTGTAAGTAGCGAGTAAAGCACCATGTCCTAGCAATCAGCCACTGACCTTGTATGCATACAGCCTATCACAGCGCACTGCTATCAAAACTGTCAAGTCCAACCCTCTATATACCCTGCCAGAAAGTTTTGTTCCGTATGTGGATACGCCAGTGAATACAAATGTCTCAAGTGCGGCATGAAGTACTGCTCCACCAAATGTCTAGCAACGCACATGGAAACTCGATGTCTCAAATGGACAGCTTGATTTTACAGATTAAAGAGCGTGCGTTTTATTGTACATCATGGACACGAACAATATGATAAATGAGACCTTCACGGGTTGTGTATAATTTTGGGTGGTTACATTTGGGATAAATGCAACGATACGGCTCTTGGCCGACATGAGCATCTGTCAAATGCTTAATCACATTAGTTTTTCTAGGAAAATTTTGTTTACAACTTGGACATTGTAATGGGGGATAAATGCTATTCAAAAAGGCCTCTGCCTTCTTGGACAAGATGGCTTTCTTGCTGTGTGAGTCCTTCTTGGGGTGATACATGGAAAAGGGTGAGGGTGGTGGTGATGGTGTCAAATTGTCTATAAATGTCGATTTGGGCTGCTTTTTGACAGCATAGACTGTGGGCTGTCTCGCCATCATGAGTTTCTTATGGTTGTTGCTACCTGTCATATTATTTGGAGGCGAGGAAGATTTGGAGGAATTGCAGGAGGAGGACGATGACAAAGACTGCAGCATTTTGGACGATTTGTATTCATTCTTGATGACAATGGCGGGCTCTGACATGATGGAGAGCGACGGGACGGGCGGTGGTGCTAATTGTGGTACGGGTGGTGGTGGGGGAGGAGGATGAAGTAGAGGTGGAGGCGAACCAGGCATTGACATTGGCTCTAAGCTCATTCTTGACATGGTGGGCGATGGCGTTGTCGTTGTCGTTGCCGCTGAAAAGAGGAGCTCTTCTTGCTGGAATGAATCAGGCAATGGTTTATCAGATTGAATCAATACATGGGCATGCGAAATATGAACACGCAGAGCACCTCGCGTTACAGATCTATAGTCGCAATACGGATGCATACAGATATATCTTGATTTGCAGTTTTTATGCTTTTCCTTGAAATGCTTATTTGATTCAATTCTTGACGCAAAAATGCCATCGCATAAAGAGCATCTGTTTGGCGGATACATTGCTTCCACCAAGGATGTGAGCGACATGTACTGGTTTTCAATGTGGAATCCCTTCATGTAATTTGATGTTGCAGTTAATGCTTTAATCTCTTTCTTCTTTTTTCTCTTGAATTGCTGTAATTTGTCCATATTAAATTTGGTTTCTTCCTGATGGTTTTTTTTGATAAGCATGTTCCTCTGATGAAAATTTTTTTATAATAAAAGAAAAGAAAAAAAAAAAAAAAAAGAGAGTGAGAGAGTGAGAGAGAGAGAAACCCCCCCCCCCTTCCCTTTCCTATCCTGTAAGCGACTTTTTTTTTTTTTTTTTTTTTTTTTTTTTTTTTCTTTTGCAGTAGCAAATACCCATTGAAATGTGCCTGAACATTGCACATTTTGGGACTGTGCAAATTAGTCGAAATCATTGTGGCAAAATGATCCAAGGTGGCGCACAGAGAAATGCTTATATACATCTACTCATTTCCATCTATTTCTCCTCCTGTTTCTCTCTCTCTTTTTCTTTAGATTTACCTATTTATAGACATTATGATATTCAATAGAATTCAAGCACGATATGCCTCTGTGTTGGTATCATTGCCGCCATCTCCACACTCATCCAGCCATTGTCTTCATCAGACACAACAGCACATCATCACTCCTGCTTCTCTGCCAATCACTGCTACATCAAACAATGCATTCAATCCAAACTATATCCCAAAAAACACAAAGGAGCGACTCACACTAGGGGAATTATACAAGGTGTTAGATAATTCTAAATCAATGTATAGAATGATACAGAATGAGTATCTCAAAGGTGATGATGTATTGCATCTGGAGGAGGCGGATCAAGAATTGAGCTTGGATGAACTGCTGGAAGAACAATACAGACTGATACAATTATTAAAGAAGAAATGAATCTCGTATGCGATCATAGAGTATTGTAATAAAAAACGATATTAGACTATTTATTTTCCAAATTGATATTTAAAGGAGCAAATTTTATTCGTTTGCGTGCACACTGACGAATTAAACACAAACCAGGAAGAGATGGTGTTACCATGAAATGATTCATGACGTAGCTGCGCAAATCATCATTCTTCTCGCACTTGCATGAATATTATCTTGATGGATGATAAAGATAGGGATGCAGTGCATTAAATAGGCCCCTGTGTTTCTTTCATTTCCAAAACAGCATACGTTTGGAACCGGGATATTTTGATAAACACATCATCTTTCAAAGAAGACTAGCGAGCCATCTGACAAATCACATTAATTCCAAATGGTCATCCTCGCTCTTCTATTGAAGAACAGAAGACCATCTACTTAGTCTGTATTGACAAAAGTTACCCTCTACATGTGGTTGTATCCAGAGTAGTGTTCAATTCAATGCCAATAGCCTATTTAACGTATAGATGGGATCGAGATCAGGCAATCATTGCTGCATTATTCGCATTCTACTCAATCCAGTCCAACACATTCTCAACTTTTTCATCGAATATTGAAATGGAAATGCTGATTGCATGCCATCATTAGCTACAGATTGAGTACTGTTAATCTTCATACTAATTGTAGTATATAAAATGTCATTATTAACATTTCGAGTTGATTACATGAACGTGCCTAATGCAATAGTACCCAGTAAGGCTCACGCAGTAATCTGTTCCTGAACATTTAATAGAAAGATTTGATGATTTCCGTGACATTTGGAAGGCTTTTTCATAGAAGAACAGACAGCAGAGCGCAGGTTCTAGTAAAATAGTATTACTTGACACATTGTGTACATCATAGTATTCTCGCTGGCCAAGCCAATTAGAGGCACTGCGATGCGCTCCACAAATGTTGCATTGGGTTGGAATACAAGAGATGCCGCCAAAGCTAGTGACATTCAATTTGGAAGAAGGCAATGGATAATATCAAAGCACTGAGCTTCTACAAATTAATATCATCGCCTTTCGTTTGTGTGGCAATGTATATTATCATAACATGATGAATTTATAGTCCCTAGATACTTTCAAAGCTTCAAAAAAGAAAGAAGTTGATCTAATAAGTACTTTGATAGACTGGCATTATTAAATATAGAATGCAAGGAAAATAGCACGACTAACTATAGTGTTATGTAATTTGCCACCTACTTTTAATACGCTTCAAAAGCATCTATTACTGTATTGCCTTCACGATGAAAAGGGCATTGAGTTTGCCAGCTGGCCCCACCAGCCAAAACTAATTCTAAACCGGATCCGTAGTGTGTTCCAGATTGGACCGATTTTAATTTTTTTCGACTTGATTGAATTATTCTTTTACATTCGACTATATAAAATATGATGATCATCTCATGCTTCCTAATACATTCTTGGAGTGCTTTTCAAGGTATATCCAATGGTATCAAGTAAGGTAGATGTTTTGAATAAATTTATTGAGCAATTTATGAAAATATGAAAAGAGGTTTCTGGCCAAAACGTTGAGATTTTGCATATCAAGCTTCCACAAAGATGATTTCAGGGGCTACGTCAGATTGATAGAAACATTTTGATGTAATATATACCATATTAAAAGTCTTCATTTTTAAGGTGAAAAACGCGGTCGTTTGATTTTCGATGAAAACCATGAGGAGTACCTCATGCTTTTTGGTCGATTTTTGGCCATGTTTTTTTTTGGTCCCCAAAAAGTTGGGCAAAGGTGTCAGAAAGTAACTGCTAGATGAGATCAATTGTTTGATGCTATTCCAACAGTTTAAAACGGCCTTTAGCAAGAGAAAACACGGCTCAAATGTATCCAGTTTTTGCTGCATCAGGCTCACTCTTGACTAGAAAGGGGGTAATACTAGTATACTGCTTGCCCGTATATAAAGTATCTCACGTGCATACAAATGTGGAACATCCATGAGACAGATCCACAGGTAATATGAGGAATTCTCATGTGTAAGTGAAGGCTTAAAATGAAAGTAGCAATATTCTGATAAGATGAACAACGGCAATTGGTAGCGCGAACTGCCGCTACGTAGGTTGACTCTCACCAAGGCGAAGCGAAGGTAGAAAGCCATTCGTAGCGTAGACAGACTCGTTATTTTAATGATAATTGTACGACACAGTCAAAACAAGATCACGGTCTGTTTTCAAACCTCAACAGATACAAGAATCCCAATATAGGTTGTCCCCACCTCCTCCTTACCTTTCAGATAGCACTACAGCAATCAAAACTTGGAATATTCCAATATCTTTTTTGATAGACCGATATCTCAATGAAGTTTTGCATAGGGTTTGTCTTTGAAATTTTCGCGTTTTTCATTAGACGATGTGATAATCCTTAATTGGATTATGATGGTTTAAGACATGGGATTGAATCTCCTTTATACACTATGCAGGCAAAGGTGTAGAGCAAATATATGAAAAAAAAAAAAAAAAAAAAAAAACAGTCGAGAGCATTCGGCATGCAAGGAGACATTTGTATCTGTACATTTACAAACAAGATCAGTTAAGGCTTGCCTTTCTTTTCCTACTATATCAAAGGAGAAGTACAGCTCATGCTTCTTGTGTAATGCACACTCAAACAATCACTACATTTCGTCCAGGTCTGTTATTCACGAAATAGGTAGGAGACAGGCCAATGTTTACCTTGTGATGAAGCTTTATTACATTTCTTTATCCCAATGTCAGGATGTCAGGGGACCAGGAGCATGAGTTTGAGGGGAAATGGAGGAAGGCCATCTTGTCCAATGTTGTTCATCAAGGACAAGTTTTATTAGGAGTGTAACATGAAGCAAAAACACGAGAAATTGGAGGATCTTAATGCTGTTTTGATGTATAAAAATAACCAACAAAATGGAATCTGAGTTGGTTAAATACAAAAGATTGATACACAGCGTCTCCAATAGAGACCAATCGTATCTATCTGCGTCACTTTGGGTCTGGTTAGGCTATAATCCCTTCTTCTGCCAGTTTCTTTTTTGTTTTTCTCTTTTTTCTTCTTCTTTTTCACTTTTCAAAGTTTATATATCTCAAAATGGAGGACGAAGTTGCTGCTGTAAGTTGCCTCAAATGTTGCTACATGACAACGGTGTATTGAATTTTACGTGTTTAGCTTGTTATTGATAATGGTTCCGGTATGTGTAAGGCCGGTTTCGCTGGTGACGACGCTCCTCGTGCTGTAAGTGTTGTATGAAATTATGTGGTGGAGAGATGCTCATCATCTACATCTGCAGGTCTTCCCTTCTATTGTCGGTCGTCCTCGTCACCAAGGTGTCATGGTCGGTATGGGTCAAAAGGACTCTTATGTTGGTGATGAAGCCCAATCTAAGAGAGGTATCTTGACTCTTCGTTATCCTATTGAACACGGTATTGTTACCAACTGGGACGACATGGAAAAGATCTGGCATCACACTTTCTACAACGAACTTCGTGTTGCTCCCGAGGAACATCCTGTCCTCTTGACTGAAGCTCCTTTGAACCCCAAGTCTAACCGTGAGAAGATGACCCAAATCATGTTTGAGACCTTCAACGCTCCTGCCTTCTACGTTGCTATTCAAGCCGTTCTTTCCTTGTACGCCTCTGGTCGTACCACTGGTATCGTTCTCGATTCTGGTGATGGTGTTACCCACACTGTTCCTATTTATGAAGGTTATGCTCTTCCTCACGCTATCTTGCGTTTGGATATGGCTGGTCGTGATTTGACTGACTACTTGATGCGTATCCTTGCTGAGCGTGGTCATTCCTTCACTACTACTGCTGAACGTGAAATCGTTCGTGATATCAAGGAGAAGCTCTGTTATGTTGCCCTTGATTTCGAACAAGAGATGCAAACTGCTGCTCAATCCTCTGCTCTCGAGAAGTCTTATGAACTTCCTGATGGTCAAGTCATCACTGTTGGCAACGAACGGTAAGGGCAAAGTTTTCATTATTACATTATACGGGTGTACTTATTTGTTTGTTTGTTTCATTTAGTTTCCGTGCTCCTGAAGCTCTCTTCCAACCTGCTCTTTTGGGTCTTGAATCTGCTGGTATCCACGAGACTACTTACAACTCCATCATGAAGTGTGATGTTGATATCCGTAAGGACTTGTACTCTAACATTGTCATGGTAAGTATAGATATATATATATATATACACAATTTATGGAGGTTGTTATTTTGGCATACATTTGTTTACTCATCATTCTCTTTTCATAGTCTGGTGGTACTACTATGTATCCTGGTATTGCTGACCGTATGCAAAAGGAAATCACTGCTCTTGCTCCTTCTTCCATGAAGATCAAGATCGTTGCTCCCCCAGAGAGAAAGTACTCCGTCTGGATTGGTGGTTCCATCTTGGCCTCTCTCTCTACTTTCCAACAAATGTGGATCTCAAAGCAAGAATACGACGAATCCGGACCTTCTATTGTCCACAGAAAGTGCTTCTAAGTTGTTTAGTAAAAAAAAAAAAAAAAAAGGACAATTTGTTTACTTTCTTTGTTCCAAACTATATATCTTTTTTCCCTAAAGTTCTCTTTTTCCTCACATAAATTTTTTTAAACCATTATTCTCTCTTCACTTTAAGAAAAGGACCGTAAGCAAATTGTTTTTTTTTTATTCTATTTTTTCATCTACATCTCCCTTTACTTAATAAACATCAGTAAAAAAAAAAACAAACCAAAATGGTAGTCAACTATAGTCTAGTCAATAAACCCAATGCATCATCCATGTCAGTCTGTGTTTTCTCGTAACGGCGTTGCTCCTCTTCTAGTTTGGATGTCTGCAGACAACGAAAGGTCAGTTCAGATCGCACCAGGCAGATCAAATACTTACATCGTCCATGCTGTCGTTCTTGATCTTGATGGCCTTTTTCTTCTTTGGTGCGAGGTGCTGTGTAAGATCATCCATCAAATTATCCAAATCCTCAGTGATGTCGGCGTTCTTTAATTTCTCGGATTTAGTCAAGGGCTTTTTGTTCTTGACAATTGCCTTTTTGTCTTTGGGCTTTGTTGAATTGTTTCGGGTATATGGTGTTTTCTTGATGCTTGATTCTCTCTTTGCTTTGCCCATGATTTACGAATGATTAAATGAAAAGGTTTTTATCGAGATTTTTGAAGCCTGCTGCGTTAAGTATCAACAGTCATAGCACGGACATCAAATAACTTCCAAATCCTCACATGAAAACTTTGTTTGATTGCGATCTGCATATTTGATCATGCATTTATTTGACATGAAATGGGTTTCGCTAGTTATCCAAATTATTGAGACTGCAGTTGGTATGCTGTGCTGAAGTTTACTCATTTGAATGAGGGCTATCTTATTGATTGATCCGCTATAACTCATCAGTGGCCTCGCAATGCTACATCAGTCTGAAATAATACCAAATGCCGAGAGTTATTAGCTATTCAGTCATCATTTAATCAACTGGCACATCAGGTATGGGATTCACTAGCTATGAGCAAATTGAAAAATAATAATTTTGCAAGAAAGATATTGTCCGTAGTAAAGCGCAACGTCAGTTATCCCCTCAAAATCTATAATGTGGATCATCATGACAATTAACCTGAGCATTAAAATGGCTACCATGTAAGTGGCCATATGTATTAGCGTTATTATCTGAAAGATATTATGCTCAATATTAAGGGCCAAGTATTACCAACAAGGAGCAATGTTTGTGAAAGTACCAGTTCACAAAAACCATCCAATTTCAGTCATTATCTGATGCATGACGGTAATTGCTACTGCTCAGTTTCCGTTGCGTCCTGGCCCATGTCTTCTGTAACAGATGTGCAGAATTAGCTTCTCTCCAAACTTTCGGATGACGATCAGAATCAAAATCAAAATTGTTGTCGCAATTTGCAATATAATAGATTAGATAATTGAAATATTTGGTTACATAACGTGCTCTTTGGGGAGCCAACGTAACTTGTACATCCACATCGCAATAGGCGGTTCTGCACACAAAACATCTATCGGACCATGCAAATAATGCATAAGATCCACATACGGTTCCGCTAGACCTTGATAACCGCATCATTTTGAATTTTATGTTCTTACAATTCAAATTTTCCACTTTACAACCCAAACCCTGCTACTTGTCTTCACAATCCTAAATTAAAGGTGTCTACTATTATGAAAATGGTTTGTTGAGTGTAGAGATTTCGCTGGAAATGTTGATTAAATCTATCTCTTTAATGTCTGGATAATGGTCCTACAGAACCTTACAGCAGACTATTGCTTATAGATTGAAACAGCTGTCAATATTGATTTTCAAATGCCATGCTATAAAAAATGAGAACACAATCTAGCAAAAGGAAGCCTTAATAGTCATACATACAAGAAAACCGTCCAAAATGACTAGCGCTTTTATTCCTAAACCGAACGGGTATACCTTGAAATCATCAGTCGCGCACCTTTTTCTCTATTTCTTCCACTTTTCTCTTTTTCATCTCTTTTGAATTCTCTTTGAAAATCGCATTGAAAGTAGCATGTCTCTATACCAGTTTTTGCCCTTTAAACAATGGAGCAATTGGATTTTAGATAGGGTGCGCTGGTGTTGAGAAATCAGAGATTTTTAAAATTTGCAAATTTTGAGCAAGTGCTACTAATAAAAGTCAATGAATTACTATATGAATGCAGATTGTATGTCTATTAAAAGTTGTAGAGGGTACTTTGGTTGATTAGGGAATGTTGTATTTGGGCTTGCTGAGAACGATGTCGATGAGTAATGAGGAAAAAGAGTGAAAATGGACAAATTTCAAAGGGCCGTACCGGTTGATTTTACCAAGTGAACGAGAGCTTCAAACTTAATAACTTCTGTTTCTTTTTCAATTCTCTATGCGATAATATGGTTATTATAGATAAATAAAAAAAATTGATTATCCCCTGCTTGTAGCTCATGAAATATAAGATTTTGAGCGAATTCATAAAGGGGATGTATATCCTGTACCTAAAACTTTTGCATAATAATGGATATAACGTAGAGCTATCAAATGGTTTTTGTTTTGTGTGAATCTGTTGAGTATTTGTCGAGATACGGCCAAAAAAAGGTATCATGCAAAATCATTGATTTTCCTTCAAAATCTGCCTGTGAGAGCAAGCAAATAATCTGGTGACGATTTTTTGGTCAGGACAAGACTTTCAATAATTCATGATAGAGTTATGCCAGAGCTTCAATCAATAGCTCATTCGGTAGGAAATTTTTTGGTTTACAACGTTTAGTAATGTTTAACGAAATGTTTTGATGACAGATACTGATTAATCTTTAGAAAACAGTCAAAAAATTGCAAAAACAATCGTGCCAAATATCAGGCAAATAATGTATACCAAAAACTTGATATAAATACCATTGTATTTTCCTTTGAATTCTCTACAAGTTTCATATAGGTTTGAAGGGGTGTTTACTATCAAGAAACGCGTAATTTTAAGGTCGATAGATTTCGGAATCCTATGGATCCTCATTCAGAATATTAGAAATTGAAGCTCCGTTGACCTTCCGCATGTATACACCTCACAAGTGTGCATTTGACCAAGCATTTTAAAAATCGGAGCGTACGAAAAGGGCCATATTAACTTGCTGGTTTTAAGTTATCAATAGATACTTGACATGTTGAAGAATCTTGCTGTTAAGACTAGACAGCTGTAGCTGACGTGCAAGGAAACATTTTGTAGGGTTAAAATAGGGGTAAAGTGTACATATTACCCTGTTGGGTAATATATATGAGGAAGTTATTTTACTATTTACTGCTTCAGTTTAATTGAAAATGTATTCAACAGTATCTATGTATCATTTAAAACTTAGTTCAATTTTAAAACTCTCTGTTGTGCCAGAAGGGCTACAACTGTCTATAAAGATTAAGGTATTCTTGATGGGTAGATATGTCTGTGTTGTGCAACAGCATGGACAAGCTATGATAATTGAAGTGCATCTCAGCTATCTAAATACTGAGGTTCACCAGATGTGATAAGCGTTATACAAGATAAATTGCTACTTTGGCATTCAGAACTTAGTATAAATAGAATAACTCTTGCCTTCATCAATAAATCTTTAGTTTTTGTGTCTGATCTTATTCAAACAAGTCTTTTCTTGTTTTTATAATATCGAACATTTTTTATAAGCTACAAATAATAATCCTTTTATTCTTTGTGCTTAACACTTTCAAAAGCATCTGTTTCTCAATTCACAGAGCTCTCCAAGAACTTATCATCTACCTGCAAAAAGAACATTTGTAAATTATCCCTAGTGTGGAATACATCCACTATGATCTGCATTCCGACAGTTCATCCAGCTACCAGATTTAGATATAAACTGTATGTACACTGGATTAGATGTACGATATCGATTTATACTATAAGAAGATATGGACTTTAGATACGCTAGTACTATAAGATTCATACTATATAAGTTATAGGCTATAGATGGCACCACGGACATGGATGGCGCTATAGACTTATACTTGTATTCCGACATTGACTACGGATGTTTACCATATCTGGATAAGCACCAAGATTAATGCAATATGAGCTTGTTGCTTCAGATGTGCACTTTATGATCCACGCTATAAGACACATGCTTATATCCGTGATACTAGCTACAGATACTTTATGTACTACAGACTTGTACTATATATGAGACATGCTATAGACATGCATACGATATGCTATAGACATGCCATATATCCAGATACATGCTAAAGATGTATGCTTAGCGATATACACTCAGATATGTACTATTAATATAGACTAAGAAGACTGTACCTATCGGATACATGCTACTAGATCGATATTAATTATCCTTATGGAAAGGATAGATCAGGGTACTTAGGATGAGAGTCTAATTATTCATCCAGATAGAGCTAAATCATGATTAGCTTGCTGGAGTTGTCTTTTAGCATGATTAGACATTAGTTGATCTGAGTTGACTTATTTGTCAATCTAATTAATAGAACTTTTATCCATTGTTATAGTATATAAGAAGGATCATCTACCTGGCCAGTAGAGAGACTTCAGTTTTACTTTACACCTGTCAGTTTGATAATAAAACATACCTTTATCAAGCTGACTTTACTGTTTTTTTTTATTCTTTTTTTTTCCGTGAATCTTAGTCTATAAAGCCTCAAATTCCACATTTTTTTCAACTTATATTTATACAATTTCTACGATCGATAATTACTTAATCAGTGGAACTTTCGAGTATATAAAGTACTTGATATAGCAACTGATAGTCAGATCAATGCCTGCTATCAGTTTCCAGAACCTTCTTCAAGTATATGCTGACGCCATTTAGTCGCTTTCTTTAAATTTGGCCTAAAGTTAAATTTAGGCACGACGCATGCTGATACTCTGCGGTGCTGGTTTTGTGAAATGTGTAGCGAAATGTGTGGAAGATCTTGCAGTAATAGTTGATCCCGAGACAAAACCAAGTAATTAAAGCTGTTTAAGTTGCTGATGTGTTGTAATAAACTTGATGTAGACAGTATCTCAGCGATTAAGTGTATATATAAAGTTGTGTACCCAAAAGATTTAAACGTAAGAAAGTTCGATTTATTTCCAATGTGTTGTTGTTGCATACAAGCATGCATCTTAGGCTACATTCACTTTCTCCTCAAGCCACCTTTTACAGTGTAGCAGCATAGATGATGTTTATCGTATCACATCACATCTATGTTTACAAGTCCAGTCAATTGTGTGTGCACAGGTGCCTCAGGAACTACAATACATTCAATCTCCCCAATGTCAAGATATCGAGATCCACCTACACTACATGAAACATATCGACTTAGGTGGCCTCTCAACAAGCTATACCAACAATCCATAAGGCCCCAGTGGCCTGTTATTTATATACCATCTCATCGTAGTAGTCATTGACCAGGGATCTACCATATTTAAGCAAGCTAGATGCCCTGTAATAAAGAAGCTCTTTGCTTTCGTTTTAGATACAGTTGACAACTGATTATTATCATCGACTTATTATTACGAATTCATCAGTTGTATAGATTCAAGTATATATGTCAAAATAAAAAAATGTAAGAATAAACAATTTGAACACCAGTTCAGGAACAGCACTCTAATAGGCTCAGAGTTCAGATACCGCTTCTTGAAATCAGCACCACCACAAAATCCTTTTACCATCGTAACAGTGTGTCATTGACATGTTTGATGGGTTGGTACCTGAAGCCGTATTGCGACACAACGCCAATAAGAGGCGAGTGTTTAAGCCAACCATTCCGGTCCGCAGACAATTTAGAAAGAAGCAGAAGCTAACGGTAGTGACTGAAGTCAGCCGTAATATATAGCTAAGATATAAACAGCGTTTCGATTGAATTGAAAAAAGGGGATCTTTATTTTCTCATCTAATTTTGTATATATATATTCTGTTCATATATATTGTAAACGACAAGTGTGTCAGGGTTGAAGGGTATTCTGACAGTGATTTAGATCTGCAGGATATCATTGACAGACTAAACACAAACAAGAATAAGAAGCGCAGGTTTAAACCTAGAGCGCCAGCTACCAGGAACATTAAACAGCGATTAACCTGGATAGCGCAAAACATTACACAAACTATATTGGATAAAATCAATGTTCAAATCTAATATTAATAAAGCACCTTTTTATCCATTCAACTAAAAGGCTATAACATCTTCCTGCACACTCTCTATATCTACTTCCATTTATATCTCGATCAGATCTCAGATTGCATATACTATCTCTACGTATTAGCATCTGACAATTGGTAGCAACTTCTGTTATTTTTTAAATCCTTTTTTTCTATTTGTCGCCTATAACAGATAGTAAACAAAAGTCGATCATGAAGGCACGCCGGCTAAGTATTCATTAAAGGGAAAGATCGAAACATCTATATTAGATCTTTGCATTTACTGAATCATAATAGTCAACCCTCTTTACTACAGTTGTTCATAGTTCCTCTCTGTGAACACCACCTACCTCATCTCGTTCGCTGTTGATTCCTATTCCACGAACTCGGAGATCCCAAATAATTATTCAACTATCAAAACAAACACACAAATCTCGAGTCAACACTCTCTCTGGTCTCTCTCACCACATTTTATTAAAACAACATGGCTGAAGACAATCAACAACCACAAATACCACCCAACTATGTTCAATTCATGGAACAAAACCAACACATGCTCACCAGCATGATGACTGCCTTCATTCAGGCACAAAATCAAGCACCTGCTGTCAAGTTGCCAACACCACCTACATACAGTGGCACTCGCAATGCAAGTGAAATTGATGCCTGGATTCGTTTGATTGACAAACAAAAGCTGCACAACAGCTGGAATGAAGAACGCACCTACAATTTTGCCTCTTCTTTGCTATCTGGACGTGCTGCCACTATTGTTGCCCATTATGAAGATCCCGACAGTAATCTTACCACACCTACAACGTGGATGGAGCTGAAGGACATTTTGATTAGCAATTTCCGTCCCACCAACGATCAAGATTTGGCCCGTGATGTTTTGGTCACCATTCGCCAAACCAGTTCAATTCGGGATTATGTGGATCGTTTTATGGATGCTGTCATTCCCATCAAGGATATTAGTGAACGTGAGCAATGTGATCGTTTCATGAGAGGTTTAAAGGACAAGGAATTGATTGCCAAAATTCGCGCCATGCCTATTGAATCACGTACGTTGGAGAAGCTGTTCTCTGATGCTCTGGCTCATGAATTCGCCCACCATCCGGAGATCAGTGCTGGTGTTCAGACAAACACTAGATATAATAACAACAACAGTGATGTACAGCCTATGGACCTAGATGCCATCATGCATCGTAACAACGACAACAACAGTAACAGCTACAGCAACAACAACAACAACAGAAACAGAAATAACAACAGGAGAAACAACAATAATCGCGGCCGTAATAGGTATGATCCCAGCCTCACATGTTTTCACTGCAAGAAAGTTGGACATACCACCAAGAATTGCCTCTCCCGTGCCACTGAAATTATGCATGCATTTGACAAGTTGGATCTGGACACTAGACGCAAGCTTTTCAAGAATGTTGGTGTTTTGAACTGTATTTTGGATGTTGAATACAGAGAAGAGGATAACTATGGTTGTGATTGCAACCAGTGTCAAAGTAGTAATAAAGCTAGTGGATCCTCTTACCTGTTGTCCCTGTGTGATAAAATTGCGGTTGAGAAAAGAAACGCACAGATGGATGAATTGAGTCAAGTCATTGCCATGATGGATTCCTCTGTTGCGTCTTCTCCTGTTTTGGTTTCTGTGCCTGTTACTACCCCGGATAATGTCTCTGTACCTGTGCCAGACAACAATCCAGTGGTGAATTTAAACCCTGTCGTTGCGAACTCAAATACTCGTCGTCCTGTGGAATTGTCTCCTATCATTCAAGACTTGGATACGTCAACCACCATTGACCTCACCACTGACTCTGTGTACCTGACAAATTTATTGAATGCAGCAAATACCTCAACTCTACCTTTGTATGGAGCAACTGTCAGACTCAACCATTCTCTGGGTGTAGTCAAAGTCAAGTGCCTAATTGACAATGGTGCTAGTGAAAACTACATCTCAGGTAGAATTGCAAACATGATTGAAGGCCATCGTAGCGTGATCCATGGAAGAGAGGTTGAAACTGCAGGTGGCAATGTATCTCCTATTAATGAAAAGATTGTCTACGATTTGAATTTGCAAGGTCATACAAGCCCAATGTCAGCATTCGTCTTTGATACAAAGTTCGATGTCATTCTTGGTAGATCCTGGCTCAAGGAACACAAGCCTGTTGCAGATTGGTTTGATGATACGTGGACCTTGTCTTGTTGTGGTCCTGGTAAAACCACTATCTCACCCACGTCGTCTTCCTGTGTGTCAAGCACACCAACTCAACAACCGCCTGAATTAAATTACTTAGTATCTCATCTTCAAGCAGAGAAAATGTTGAAGGAGGAAGGCACAAATGCATGTTTCTTGTACATGATGGACCAAGGAGAGAAGGATGGCGCAAGTACTGGAATTACTCAAGAGAATGTGGTATGGACAGATCAACTGATGAAGGATTTCCCAACGGTTTTTCAAGACAAATTACCTGGCCTACCACCCAACAGACAAAATTTCTCACATGTGATCAACGTTCCTGAAGGTGTCAATCCCATCAACAGACCTCCTTTTCGTATGAGTCCAGCTGAACTTGATGAATTGCAGCGTCAACTGACCGAATTGCAATCTCTGGGCCTCATTCGACCATCGTCGTCACCATGGGGTGCTCCGGTATTATTCGTCAAGAAGAAAAATGGTGAAATGCGAATGTGCATTGACTACCGCGCTCTGAACAAGGTCACTATTCGCAACTCTACTCCTTTACCTCGCATAGATGAATGCCTGGACCGTTTGCAAGGCGCTTCGTGGTTCACTTGCCTGGATCTTCGTTCCGGCTACCACCAAATTAGGCTAAAAGACTCTGATATCCCACTTACTGGATTTAATACCCGATATGGTAAATGGGAATGGCTCGTGCTGCCTTTCGGACTTTCAAACGCTCCACCCAGTTACCAAACTTGGATGAACGGAGTTTTAAAAGATTGCATTGACAGATTCGCTTTGGTTTACTTGGACGACTGTTGCATCTTTAGCAAGACATTAGAAGACCATATCAAGCATGTTCGTCAAGTACTCTCCATCTTTGAAAAGGAAGGGCTCATTGTCAACTTGAAGAAATGTGAATTCGGTAAGCGTGAGCTAGAATTTCTGGGATTCAAGGTCTCCGCAAATGGTATTTTACCATCGTCATCGAAAGTGAAAGCTATCCAAGACTGGCCAAGACCTACTAATGTGCAAGAGGTGCGTCAATTTGTTGGATTAGCACAGCATTATCGCCGTTTCTGCCCGAACTTCTCTTCTGTGGCTGCTCCTCTTACTGAATTGACTCATGGTAATGGTGCTAAGAAACGTGCTATTGTCTGGAATGATCAATGTGAAGTTAGTTTCAAAGCTATCAAACAAATGCTAACATCATCTCCTTTATTGAAACTACCTGATATGAGCAAGCCATACCGCATTGAAACCGATGCAAGTGACTTTGGAGTAGGCGCCGTGCTTTTACAGGAGGATCCTGATTCTTCTACTTGGTTGCCAATTGCGTATGAATCCAAGAAATTATCTCAAGCTGAACAAAAATTGCCTGCCCAGGAACGTGAACTGATTGCTATCATCCATGCTTTGAGAACATGGCGATGTTTTGTGGACGGTTGTCAAGGTGGTTATACTGTGTATAGTGATCACAAGCCTCTGATCTACTTCAAGTCTCAACTGAACCCAACACCTCGTCTTGTTCGTTGGATTGCAGATTATGAGGCATTCTCGCCAAATATCGAGTACAAAGCTGGAAAAGACAACGAAGTGGCGGATGCTCTCTCAAGAAAACCAGATTTACTTGTGGAAAATGGAGAGAATATACCTTCGTTGGCACCTGAATACTTATATGCTGCTTGGGATCAGTTATCTGATACTATCAAGACTGATTGGCCTATTCTGTATGTCGACAAGAACTACGAAAAAATGAAATCAGATGCATTGCGAAAACGCATGGAAAAGGAGGAGGATCAGTTTGTGGTACGCCAAAGAACAGTGTATCGACTAGTCAAGATGGAGGATGGAAGCATAAAGCAAGTCAAATTTATTCCGTTCTCGGATCGTGCTGATTTGGTTTTCAAGTATCATGAAGCTTTTGGCCATGCTGGTATCAAGACTATGCTAAAAATGTTCACTGAAAGGTACTGGTGGCCAGGTTTGCGAAAGGATATTCAAGACTGGCTGAAAACTTGTACTGCTTGTCAGCTGAATAGTCGCCGTGATCAGGTTCATCAAGATGTCATGCATCCTCTGCAAATACCTCAAGCTTTTGATCGTTGGCATTTGGATTTTGTGGGTGAATTGCCTACAACTGGAAACGGAAACAAATGGTTGTTGACGGCTGTGGATTACCTCACAAACTGGCCTATTGCAAGATCAGTACCAGTAGCATCTATGGAAGCGGTAGCGGATTTTATCTATGAGGAGATTGTCATGCGATTTGGTTGTCCCTCTGAAATCGTGACGGATCGAGGTGCCAATTTTACTAGTGGTCTTGTAACAGCTTACACCAAACGTGTTGGAATAAATCACAAGCTCACCTCGGCATTTCACCCGCGCACCAACTCCAAGGTAGAGCGATACAATGGCGTGATCAAGCAAATGCTTCGTAAGTATGTCAATGGTGCTATTCATCGCTGGGATGACTTTGTGAATGCGGCTTTGTGGGCAAGTCGAATTCGAGTGCACTCAACAACAGGTTTTTCCCCTTATTACTTGGTGTATGGACGTGAACCTAGACTGCCTGGAGATGTTTTGAGACCCTATATCACCAAGGAAATGCTGTTGGACAAACGAACGGTAGCTGACCTAACCTCGCGTGAACTAGAACTACTTGGTCAACATCGTGCTGCTGCTGAATTTCGTTTGAAAGCCATGAGCGAAGCGGACAAGAAGCGTTGGGATGCCAAGATTAAACCCACGCACTTCGAAATGGGTGATATGGTTATGCTGACTCATGAAGGCAAATTTGGCCTAGAACCTCGCTACAAAGGACCCTACATTGTGACAAAGGTGTTCCCTGATTTTGGTACTTATCAACTGGAAACTATTGCTGGTGAACCATTGCAATCGTTAGTACATGTGGACAGATTGAAAGCAGCGAAAGGTGACAAACCCAGGGAGCCATGGTATGATCCTACTACTAGTCGTCGTGCTGTTCGTGAAGCCGATTCTCTTCGTATGGCCTCAAATACTAGTTCCACTGACCCCAATGGTACCACTGCTACTTCCTCTTCACCATCACCTTCGATTTTCTCATCAAACCCAAGTCTAAATCAACCTCAAGATGATTTTATCGACATGCCAATTTCTGATCAGAGCACGCCAAACAACAGCTCCACTACACAACCTACTACCACTAATAAACCGCCAACTCACTCTCAATATCATCACATACTTACACAACAAATATCAGATGAGGATAGCTCTCTACATGGGAGTAGTGTGATGGATGAAACAGAGGACAACGAACGTGGATTGGGTCAAATCATGGATGGATACGACTTTTTGTCATCTACTGATAGCGATATTGAAGACACAGATCAACCACCAACACTATCCCCACCACATACCATGTCTCCACCACCATCTCCTTCTACAGAATCGTCTTATTTGTCATCTCAGTCTACAGTATCGAATATAAGTAGTGGTGATGCAGCAATAATCAATGAAACAGTCAGTGTTGATACAGATCTTGAACTGGATGAACGTGTATCAGAGCCAGAAAACACAGAAATGGTGCCAGGTCTTCGAAATGAACCTCATGTTGTTTCTCCTGTCAGCCCACCTTCCGTTATTCAAGCTACTACTCCAGAACCTGATTCCACTACTACTGTGAATTTTTTCCCTCCTGCTGCTACAAACCAAACTCCCATTGCACTTACTTCTCGTCCTGGGCCACCAAAAAGTACTTTTGTCTTCAAAACTCCTGCCATTCCAAAGATCCACACGCAAAATGAGACCACCCAACCTGCAAAAATCGTCGATCTCTCTTCTCATATGCCAAACACTGCCACTGGTTCATCAAGTTCAAGTGATGTTCAGGGTCGAACATTTGTCTCGAAGGGGGGTGATGTCAGGGTTGAAGGGTATTCTGACAGTGATTTAGATCTGCAGGATATCATTGACAGACTAAACACAAACAAGAATAAGAAGCGCAGGTTTAAACCTAGAGCGCCAGCTACCAGGAACATTAAACAGCGATTAACCTGGATAGCGCACAACATTACACAAACTATATTGGATAAAATCAATGTTCAAATCTAATATTAATAAAGCACCTTTTTATCCATTCAACTAAAAGGCTATAACATCTTCCTGCACACTCTCTATATCTACTTCCATTTATATCTCGATCAGATCTCAGATTGCATATACTATCTCTACGTATTAGCATCTGACAAATGCATGGAATGCTTCCGTGGCGCAATTGGCTAGCGCGTCTGACTGTTAATCAGGAGGTTGGTGGTTCAAGCCCACCCGGGAGCGATTCTTTTTTGCTGATCGTCAATTTTCGTGATACGTTTTTGTGTACTTTCTGGCCTCACGGTATATTCTTTCATTGATCAATGTAAATGTGCACTGACAAACGAAATATAAGGCCTTCATTGTTTTAAAATACGTCCAATTTCTTTTGTCTTCTTAAAAAATGAATACACACCACAAAATTCATGCGCGTACGAAGAATATTTTGATCTGTGGTATGTCGGTTGAACCCGATAATCAGATCAGGCCTGGTCCAGAAATAATATTTTGTAATACTCTGGCTCACTTTGACAACATATATGCAAGTATACCACCTTGGAGGCGTGTATCATTTTACTTCACTGATTGCTTCGGAAGAACTGCGAACGTTATGTTCATTTTCTTTACGTATATCATTACTGAAATGAAGAATCAGTGCCAACATGTAAAGAAGCCGTAATTATATATGTATTTACGATATGTACGAGAATTATGTGTGATTTACAACTTGATAGTTCGAAGAGGATCTAATCTAAATTTTAGTTCTCTCAATCGAGTACTGGTAGGATTCCACTGTTCAAAAAGCTCCTGCAAATGACGAAGATCCTCTTTCAGTGGTTCATCTGCAAGAATCAACGGATCTGTACACACAGCATGTAATGCCCAAGGCAGATAAAAAGGGTTTTGTTGCTGCTTTGCTTGAAATGACTCCAGTACTGCATCTTCTGCTGATGCTGACTTCTTTGGTTGTGTGGATGATGGTGGTGTTTGGAACGAAGGAGACATGCGACGAGTGTATTTACCAAAAGGAGCTGTTTCAAATGTATATCGAATGGCTGTCATGTACACTTCCAATTCTTCGTAAATGGTAGAATGACCACCCTCCAATGCATATAAGCTGCCTGCCAATACCTCGCTCAAATGGGTCAGTAAATCATGATCTGATAGACCCGAGTTCCGCAACCTTAATGCAAACACAATCAAATTGATGAGAAAGTCGTTCTGGGAATAAATGTGTCCGTCAATGTAAATAGAACGCAATATGCTCGAGTGATTCACCGATGACATGATGGCAGAATACAATGGCACCACTTGGTCTTGCATAGAGCCTGTGAGCACTACCTTGGTTCCACATCTTAGCACATAGGAAAGTGATTGGCGGAACTTGATCGAGATGGGGCTGTTGGAGTCCATGAATTCAAACAATTCACGTGCGGCATCGGCTTCGAAATACTGGATAATGCAGAGGTGAGTGATGCTGTGGTATGTGAATAGTTGTGCTATATGATTTTACCTTGACAATGAGGCTGCCTTTGAGAGCAGGAAAAGGCCCGCTGGAGATACCAGCCATGGCTAGCACACAGATGGATTGTCGTATCACATGAATATGACCTCTCTCTAGTAGTCTTTGCAGGAGCATGATGGAGACAGGAGTTCCCTGGGAATGTGTTGCCCATAAAACGACGTCTGCTGAAGACACTGCTTCCAGCCATTTCGAGTTGTCAATCAGCTTTGTATACAGTTGATTCACTCTGTCCTCTACTTTGCCTTCTCCCTCCAATGGTACCATTGTAATAGCATCATCAGGCAATGTGACCTGATGAACCGATTCAAAATAAAGTTTTACACCCGAAACCATCTGTTCACAGAACTTGATCGATGTTCCTGTAGGCTCACCTATCATGCTACGCACGAGCTATGTTCCGTGGCCATGATTTAATACTAGATTGCGAGATGCACAACAGCGCAACTTACCTTCATGGGGAACCAGCCATGCACACCCACCACAACGATGCGTTTATCAAGCATGGCAGACTGCACCGGGTCCTTGGCCGACGTATATTGCTTGATATCTTCCACAAAGTTGGAGAATTTAGCACGCATTCGTTTTGCTATCCAATTAGATGTATTGTCGTCTTCAGCAGGTGGTGCAGGCACAGGTATGAGGATGGAATTGATAGCATCCATCGCTTTGATAATCAGGCTACTGCTATTGTTATGCTGAGTGCTGGTGGTTGTAGATGCATTTGATGCCGAAATTGTATTCGTTTCTGCAGTGTCGTTCTCTAAAAATTGCGATTCGAATGGTGGAAACACAAAGTTCTTTTTTTTTGATGGCTGCTGAAAGGATGATATGGATGCTGAATAGCGCAAAGTCTGTGTTGTTGATAAAGGAGAAGACGGCAGAGACGATGTGCTTTTCACTTTGCGAAGGTTTGCATCTGAAGCCGACTCGTCAGCTGCTGTGGTAACTGCTTGTGTATTTGTATCTGTATTTGTTGTTGTTGTTGATGTGGATGTGGATGTTTCTAACGTTTGGTTTGCAGGAACAGCAGGTTTTTGTTGTGGTTGCTGTTGGTGGATCGACAACGGTCTCGATGAGAATAAGAAGGATGACCAAGAAGACGTCTTGATTTTCTGGTCTGATTTATCCAACTCTACTGCTGCTGCTGCTGCTGCTGCTGCTGTTAGATTAGATGCCGCGGTGGTTGTGGTGGTTGTGGTGGTTGTATTATTCTGATCCACTGCCTCTCTCATCCCATTTATTTCCCCTTCCTGTTGTTGCTGTAGCTGCTGTGGTTTATCCTGATGCGTGTCTTCTCCTTTCGACCCCAAAGGTTTTTCTACTGTTGCAACTGTACCCCTTGTTGTAATAGTGTCCACCACTGTCGACTCTGTATCCGAGGATGGGAAGCCAAGCCAAGTCCAAAATCCACCGACTTTCTGATTTCCTTTTTCCTGAGCGACGACGAATGGTTTCTGCGTGGCATTTGCACACGTGGTGGATTGTGAGGAATCTAACTTTTGTTGCTGTTCTTGTGGGTGCTGTTGTGATTCCTGCTGATGATCCACGTTTTCTTCATCGTCTGTTGTGTTCATGGATACCGCGGGTGTGGCTGTATTGGTAGCAACATTGTGTATGTCTTCCTCTGTCAATTCATCTAAATCTTCAGCTGCAGGAGGAGCAGGAGGGTTGATCTGCTTTGATAAGCTTTCAATAACCGCTGATGTATTGCTGCTCTCAGTGTTGGCTTGGTGTGAATTATTTTTGCCATTTGCAGACACACTTGTCGAGAATGTTGCTGGGGCCGCTTTAGGTGAATGAGCCATGCGTTGCAACAATGAATTCGAGGAATGGCTGGCTACAGAAGAAGGCCTTTCTTGCTGTTGTGCATGCTTATGGATGTATTTTGGCAAACTGGACTGCGGAGTAATATTGTCTGGTTTTTGCATGAATATGGGCTTGCTGGTAGCTGTAGTATTGAGACTCGACGGGCTATTCAATGACGAGTAAGATGTCTTTTTAGCCAGCTCAATCGACAGTGATATAGAGGCAGATCGCAAGGGCTCTGCGTCGAATTCGAATGACATGGCTGAATCATTATTGGCAGTATTGATCTGATCATCCATGTTGACATTGACAGATGTTGATTTCACAGTGGGCAGCACTTTTGGACTCACCATCATAGTCCTTGTGTTTGTTGCATTTGCAGTGGCGGTCATGGGAGTTGTAGGAGGAGGAAGAGGAGTAGTAGTAATTGTGTTAAACAGCTTTTCACCCTGATGTCTAGCTGTTGTATCGATTGCCATGCTTTGTTTAGCAGCCAAAGGTTTAGTATCTATAGTAGTAGGGGTGTTAAACCAACTACGAAGCATTTCAAAATATGTGGAAAAATGTTGAGAGGAAAGAGAAATGTATGAAATAATGTATTGTGCTGGATTTATTAATAAAGGGGGTGGGGACATAAAGCACCAAATAAGTAGGGTGATGCAAGGCATGTGATCTACACAACAAGAGCCGTTGTTCATGACCGACTAATGATATATGCTACGTTAATGTCCATTATTCATCAGCATCACGATACATGGATTCTTGAGTCACTCGAATCTCCTCCAGTTCAGGTACTAGTCCACTGAATAACTCTTGTGCTTGTTTGAAGTATGCAAGTTGGATTTGAGCGTAGTCTGCTAAATCACGCAAAGGCTCAGGCTAATCAGCAGCATATTAGTCTTTATTCTTACTCCAGCCATTTTTAACCATGTATAACTTACATCCTCCAATACTGCTTTCATCAAATGGGTTGCTTCTTCAACTGCCCCTACAAACTGATCTTCGGCTTGCTCCACTTGGCTGCGAGCGGCATCCAATTTCACTGTAGGCGACTCACGGTAATTGGTCTTTGCAGCATCCAGAGCCAAGCGCTTTACTTGAACATTACGTCTTGTCTTGTTAGCACCTTCAATAGCAGTCTTGAGTGTAACCTGAATGGGTGTATTGAATTTGGTGACAATCTCGCTATCCATGGCAAGTCTAGCATCTCCCAGCTTGTTGGACACATCACCTAATTTATCAAGAGCCACACCAAACGCTTCCTCATGGCCGACTTCCATGGCACCATCTATAGCGACACGACCAATAGCGTGAGAAAGGGTCTTGGGATGTTCGACTGTCTGTGCACGATCAGGCTTGTTTCTCAATTGCTGAATCTGATTAGTCACAGTGTTTGTGAAGCCAATGAGGGATTCTTGGATCTGCACAGGATAGTCATAGTTGGGTGTGTTGTACGTCTTGGCCACCTTAAGAAAGTTTTGATGGACTCGCGCAATTGTGTCAACTCGCTAGCCATGAATGAGTTAGCATACGTCAAATAGATAGCATGACGGAGATACCCATCTCTACCAAACTAACCTTTTCCAAATCCTTATATTCCTGAGGTAATTCTGTGATTTCATCAGCTGTACCAAACTTCTCTTGAGCGTACTAATAATACAAATTAGCAATTAAAAAGCGGGGAGAACATGTAACACACTCACTTGTCTCACTTGGTCCAGTCCCTTGCCGAGTTTTTCTGTGAGTGGGTTGATTTTGGATGAGATGGTAGCCAGTCCTTCAATGGTAGTCTCCAAGATGGTAGAGGGATTGATGGTACTGTTGCGTCTGTTATTGGCATCCTCGGCCGAAGCAGCAGCAGGTTCGTCTTGGGCAACGCGCATCTCGCTGTGGTCTTGCTCAGGCTTCTTGGCAGTAACAGAGGAAGTGACATCTGGCTCTTGTGTTTCATTTACCTTGACGGCTGGTTGTTCCACAACGACAGGAGCAACCTCTTCAATTGTTGGAGAGACATCAGCAGTGTTTGGCTTGGAGGAGGGGATCAAGTTGGCGTCAGCAGCAGCAGTGGGAGTAGACATGTTAAATGTTGGATAAAGGAAAAAAGAAAAAACTTGAAACCAAGATTCATCTAAGCATTTTATATTAATAGCTTTCGAAATATAATGCAGAATGAGGATTTGTGTATCACTGTGACGTGGTGGTAGTGGTGGTGGCCAGCTTTAGTCCACCATTTCTTGCGTTTTATTCTTTTTCATCTGCCTCTTGTACAATCAAATGGACACTACAACACCAGCAAATGAGGAGCAGATAGCAGCACAGAGACAGCAAGTAAACCGGTCAAGTTTCTATATGCTTCTTTTCCTGTTTTCCTTGCTCTTTTTCAACTTTTCAGACGACAGCTCTGTCAGAACAGGAAAGCCCACAAAGAATGATATATTGGAAGATTTGGAGCAGGAGAAAGAGTTGCTGAACAACCTGACATTTGGTGTTAATATCACTCATGTAACTGCTTGGCTTACAAACAAGTCTGTGTATATGTGGGCTAACACGTTGCATTGTAGCCTTTACCACACTCGCTTGAAGCGCCTCTACAAGACCTGTGGTCCATTGAAGAATCGCCTAAATCTCATTACTACCACAACATTACAGGCATCTTTAGAGGTGAAAATGGAGCCTGCTTATACTACTGCTAGATGACTAACGCTTGCTTTGTTTAGGTGAGTGGAAGAACAGTAACATCAGCGTGCCCGAGTATGTCAATAAAACGGCCATGGAGCAAGCGAGACACACATTTCAGTTTGATGGACCTGGTTCATTCACTCTGAATCTCAAGTCGACAGTAACATTGGACAAAGACATCAACTATATCGAGGTTTGGAAGCAACATTTAATATGAAAATCCAGTAGCAACGTCTAATAATCACCAATTGAAGGGATACATTCGTCTGAAAGATGCAGATAAAAGCGATTCTGGCGCGCTACTGCTGGCAGGGGGCGTTCATTTCTTGAATAACGGATCGCTGTATATGATGGCTGTTCCAGAAGGGTAAGTCGATGCAGTTATCATCAGGTGTGTTTTTTTTACTGATAGCAAATGAAGGTTTGCTATTCCTTTAGATGATCTTTTGCACATGCTTCCCACCAATGAAACGCTGGTAGCGGCTAGAAATGTGATTGACGAGCAAATTGATAAGAGAATTGATGAATTAAGGCGAGAGAAATACTGGGATTGGCAAGACATAGACGATGCGGATAATACAGCCAACTTACCATTCACATGCCAATTTCAGCTATTTGGCCAGTTACACCCAGTGTCATCACACATCAAAATGTCAGAGCTGTTAGAGTACGAAAGAGGTTTGTTCTGTTAGACGAGTGTGTATTGATACGGTATTGATGTGAAAGGACAGAGCTCCAGTACCCTCAAGGTATTTCGACGATCGATCCTCCACCTCTTTTGTTATCCACCGAGATGTATTCTCCCAACTGCGAACTATTGATTTCGAGCAGAAAGACGGATGGTATCAAGATTGAGAACTATTACAGCAAGGCAGTCGTCTATGCTGGCATTGCAAGTGTGATAGCCGTGATACAGATATTCTCACTGACCCATCAAATGGAGTATACGCCTACCCCTTCGGTAAGAGAGCTAACTTGATCTTGTATTGCCCTGTTCTAACTAGTGTGATAGAGCGTTTCCAATGTGTCGTACTGGACGATTGCTATGCAGGCTATCATGGACGGATATCTGTGCCTACTGTATATTACAACAGGTGTTGTAGTTGAAAATGTGTTTATACCATTTGCTACTGCTGCATTCTTCACATTTGTCTTGGTCTCCGTGTTTGGCATGCGCTATTTGCTGGTCGTGTGGAGAATACAAAGGCCCGAGTCCATTCGGCCAAGCTCACCGACACCGACACCGGCTGCTAATGATGATGAGGATAGTGATCGCCGTGCTCCCGATACCGAAAACTTGATACCTGTAGCCAATGTGCGAAGACCCAACACAGCTGAGGTGCCCAATCCTCAACGCGACATCACCTACTTGTACTATCGATTATACGCTGTGCTATTACTCGGATTGTTCTTATTTTATCAGTCGGTGACCAGATCAGCATTTGTACAGAACATCATTGTAGGCACATTGGGATTCTTGTTCTATTCATTTTGGGTTCCACAAATTGTACGAAATGTATTCAGAGGTTGTCGACATCCTCTTAGCCATCGCTACATTTTGGTGATGAGCACTACTCGTTTAGGCATTCCATTATACTTTTATGGATGTCCAAACAATCTCATTGGGCACCAAAGTACACCTTGGGTGTATGCCCTCGTTGCGTATGTTGCAGTACAAGCCATGATTCTGTTCCTTCAGGATGCATTTGGGCCTAGATTCTTTGTACCATCTCGTTACTTACCTCAGACTTACAACTACCATCCAATTTTATCGGTCGATGACGAGGAAACAAGCGAGGATCCAATGGGGAAACCGCAGCAACCAAAAGACTGTGCCATTTGTATGCTGCCAGTAGATACCAATCATCATGGACACGCTGGTCTCAATGTATTATCGAGAACAAATTACATGATAACACCTTGTCACCACATGTTTCACACAGAATGTCTAGAGAAGGTAAGCGAGTGTGTGAGGACAAATGGATGTCAGATCAAGAAATTCACTCTGATCTATATAGTGGATGAGAATTAAGCTAGAATGCCCAGTCTGTAGAGCTTACTTGCCAGCTTGTTAAATACACTTCTTTCACATATATCCCTTCTCTCTCTATTCTTTCAGCATACATACAAGCATTTTTAATATTCCACCTTATATATTGTTATGGTAACCGGGAACATGAAGTGATCCTTTCTGCATAGCAACCAGGTACAAGATATTTGCATCCCGTCAGTCGCCATCACCATGGAAACCAATTACTAGATCAAAAAACAAATTTCATCCCCCATCGTTGGTAATACAAAATATTCTCTTTGTACAAAACTTTAAATGTCTGTATAATGATTGGCGCCATCTTCATGTACCGTTTACAATTACGACTGTAAAGACATCCGGCTCGAGCCATATTAATGAAAAAGGGAGTTTTCTTGATAATTTTCTTGTCGATTTCCCTTTAAAGATATCTCTTTTCTCGTTGTTAGATTATATATTTTTTCTCTCACTCTCTCTTTTTTTCAGTCGAGGGAAAAAAAGAAAGATTCAAACATTATACATTGGTTCAAAAATATATAGAGTATATACGATATATACGCTATATATTTGATCAGCTAGTTATCAATGGGCAATACCATATCAACGCCCAACCAGCCAGACCAACATCATCATCATGGAGGCACATTATCTCACAGCTCTCGAAGACCCTCTCAGAAACCATCATCCACAAAAAGCCTACGAAAAATGACTTCCTCATCGACTCTGTCGAGCTTGAAAATGTACAGACAAAACAACCGTTCAGAGACTTCATTATCATCAAAGATGTCGAGCAGGTCAGCTAGTAGAGCCACATCAAATTTTGGGGAAAAGATATTGGACATCAGCAAACCGACGAAATTTGAGCATGGCATACATGTAGAGTATAATAGAGACAGTGGGAAATATATGGTATAGTCTGTTAAAATGTATCTATGACTACAGGATGATTCATCCATTTGTAATAGGGCTTACCTGATGTTTGGCAATCCAATCTACCCAGTGATGATGTTTTGGACACCCACTATGTTACTCCTCATCTTGTGCCTTCGCCAGTAAAACCAGAACGTAATGTATAGTTTTTTTAAAAAGAGAGTGTAAACATGTGCTTTTTCTCTATGGGCTATATAACCCTCGCTTTTTTTCTTCTTTCTATCTGTTGGTGTGGTGGGTCCCCTTCATACTGTATAAGATTCTAACCTCCCGTTTTTCTCATTATTATAGGCGATCCAAGCACACTACAGAAAGCACCTACACTGATTGGAAAGCCATACAATGTTCAGCACAATGTGCACGTACAAGTTGGAAAATATGGATTCAAGGGATTACCCATAAAATGGCAAAAAATCCTACTGGCTTCGGGAGTACCTGAGGAAGTGGTTAAAAATAATCCTGCTACAGTCGAGAAACTGATGCATAATATACGTATGCCTGATTCACTTCAATCCAATGCTGCACACCATGCGTCTCCCGACAAACCCTCCACATCCACCACCACAACCATTTCATCCTCATTATCGACACATACCATCGAGGAAGAGCCTTCAGACGAACAAGATCATGAAGAATATCAAAAGCAACAACAGCAAAATGACCAGTTACCGATGGGATATGCACCACCCTCACGTGCAAGATCTTCCAAGCTACTACATCTCTCATTATTTAAATCATCCACAGATATACCACCTCTTCCAGAGATAGAGGATCCCACCATAACATATAATACTACTAACAATAATACCTCAATTAATAACAACAGCACTGGTTCACACTTGGCACTCGATTCAAACTTTATCGGTAAGTACAAGGTGTTATAGGCAGACACAACCAAACTAAAAACCTCTGTCTAGATGATCTTGTGGATGCAGCAGACCCTGTCAAACTATATACCGACCTCATCCTCATTGCAGAGGGCGAGTCAGGTCCCATGTACGCTGCCAAACACATCACTACTAAACGCATTGTCGCCATCAAAAAGATTCCCCACACTGCACAGGAAAAACTGAGCAAGATTCGCAACGAATTAACCACCATGAAGATGAGCAGACACCCCAACGTAGTGGAATTCATCGCCTGCTATACAACACCTGACGATATCTGGGTGGTCATGGAATGCATGGATGTGTCGCTGGCTGATATAATCTCTATATCTGAAAGCCCTCGTATGCGGGAGGATCAAATTGCTCGCGTGGCAAGAGACACGCTCAGAGCACTGTGCAGAATACACCGTTTGAACCGTATTCATAGAGATATTCGAAGCGACAATATCCTGCTGAATATGCGAGGCGAGATCAAATTGGGTATGTACATGTTGTATCAGTGCGTTAGAAGCAAACTAATACTCTAAATCTCAAAAGCTGATTTCGGACATTGTGCACAGTTATCGAAAACACAGCCTGAAAGAAATTCAATTGTAGGCACACCGTACTGGATGGCGCCTGAAGTGATTAAAGGCTTACAATATAATGCAAAAGTGGATATATGGAGCCTAGGCGTTGTGCTGATTGAAATGGCAGAAGGAGATCCACCCTATGTTGAATATCCACCATTAAGAGTGAGTGCAATGTGTTGTCAATTAGCTGCATGGCCACTAATCCACTCTTTTAGGCATTATTTTTGATTGTATCCAATGGGCTACCACCGCTGAAAGAGCCAGATCGTTGGTCTGATCAATTTAAAGAATTTCTATCACTTTGCACTACTGTGAATCAGGAGGAGAGACCTGATGCGGATACGCTGCTAAAACACCCATTCCTTCGATCTGTTGGAACGACAGAGGACATGATTGAACTGATTGAAGATACTCGGCGACTGGAACTGCTGGAACAAGAGGCGGAAGAGGAGCAGACCGAGGATTTAGAAGTTGGTCATTCATAAAAGCATTATCGCTTTAATTAAATGTGTAAAATAACTTTTTATATTTATTCCAAATTATGTACAAGAGTAATCATTTCAGTTGGTGGGCACTTCCATACCACGAAGACTGGCTGTTGCTAAGCATTGATTGACAACCTCCAATAAATGATTGTTTTCCAAAGCTGCTGCTACTCTTTCCTTGTCATTCAATTGCTTGTTAACTGCTCCTTCAGACTGATGAGTTCCCTTGCGAACTCGGATATCCACCTACATTCAGTCGTCTTAGTCAGCTATACAACATCTAGTTAGTGTCAAGCAAGTTACCTTGAATCTATCTGGCAAACTACGCAACAAACGAACTCGAATGCATAAGCCGATCAATGTAGCCATAGAGCAATGGGGAATAGTGGGTGTGAATTCAATTAGAACCTTGCTTGTTTCGTTGTTCACTTCGATATGATCAAACTGAGTGACATTCAATTGCTCCAAAGTCAAGGGATGTTCAGGGTCTGAAATGGAACGGATAAGGTCAAAGACTTCTTGTGAATCAATAGCATCTTCGATATCGTCATCATATTCTGCTTCAGTTTCTTTGCGGACAAATGTCTTTGTGTTGTAAATGGTTGGATTGGCGTTGATAAGATTTTGCGACATGGCTGCGGGATGACTAGTAGGAAAGAGAGAAAGAGGGATAAAAACCAATTGCAGTATAGACAGATCTTTTATATCAGTATGAAAAGATTTGATTGGTTTATTAGTTGGTTGTAATGCTCTGTTTCAAATGTACACAGGATGAATCAGAGAGTGTTATTTCTGTTCAGGGGAGATCATGGCCTTGTAATGTCGTCTACAAAGCGTCAAAAGGGAGCTTAAAGTAGCAGAATAGTATGTGATACTGCTTCTTTATTATGCGTATTCAAAAGACCAGAGAAATGTATGAGATTAAGTTATTAGCTTTATTAGGAGCTGATGTTGATGAAAAGGTGTTACATTCCAGCGGATGCTATCATCTTGCTTGACACATCCCAAAGATTTTCTGCCATATCTTGATTATCTACTTGCTCATTTAATAAAACAGTATTAACGGTATTGCCACTATAGAAGGCGCCCTTCTCGACATTTGGAGAAACAGCGTAATACACATTTGTGGATGCTTCTATGCCGATTTGTCTTCTATTTCCCATTTATTGGAAAGCGGTTTTAAACATTTTCTCGTCACATCCCAGAATAGCTTTTCAATCAGTGGCAGTGGTCTCTTTAAACGAATTAATGAAACAAATACTGCCTACATGCCATGCTGAAATGCTGCAAATCATGATTAGGAAGTTGCGATTATATACTGTATATTTTGGTCGAGAGTCGAGCTGACTGGCGTTACCAGATACGAAAATGCCCAACAAAAGCAAAAGAAAGTATCCAGGCTAAGCGATAGTTTTTTTTTCAATTCCATGATCCCCATTTAATCAGCACCCCAATCTTCATTTGCCATAATCAGAATGGCATTTCAGTCATCTAGCAGCGCCACCGCCAGAATTAATTCAAACTCAGAGAACGTTTCTGCTGCTCAAGATTGGACAAATTTTGGCTTTTTTTCGACTCGATTAATCTATTTTCCGAGATTCGACTATATAAATTGTGAGATCATCCAATACTTCCTTAAGCTTTCTTGGAGTACCTTTCATGGCGCATCCGATGGTGTTGATTAAAAGACATGTTTTGAACAGACTTACTGAGCAATGTTTAAAAATATGAAATGAGGCTTTTGGCCAAAATATCGAGATTTTGCATATAGTAACCTCACAAAAGTGGTTTCAGGGGTTGCTTTGAATCGAGAGAAACAATTTGATTCAATATTTACCATAGTAAAAGTCTTCATTTTCAAGGTAAAAAACACGATCGTTTGATTTTTGGTGAAAGCCATGAGGTACCCCTCATGCTTTTTGGTCAATTTTTGGCCATGTTTTTTGGGTCCCCAAAAAGTTGAGTAAAGGTGCCAAAAAGTTTCCTCTACTTCAGTACAATTGTTTGGCGTCACTCCAGCGGCTCAGAAGCATCTATATGTCAAGATATAAAGGCTTGAAAACTGTCAAATTTGGCTGTGTTTTATACGTTTACTTGTCAATAGGCATGTTTTTGTCATGGTACAAAGGCGTAAAGACATTGTACGTATTAATCTAAATCCAAAGCATGCTGTTACATCCAAATACTCAGCTGGAAGTACTAGGTTGAATGGCACTGTTGTATTGCTGTGTTATAACACAATGATATAGCTTATTAGTAGTGAAGTGATAGCAGCTATAACGTACACTGGACATCTTATATGCAATAGATAGTCCACATCTATTGGTTTCTCATGCTACAAAAGAGACCAAGTGCCATAGGGATAGACTGGTGGCACCTCAGATTGGATTCAACAAAAACAGGATGCGGACTTACTGGCGTAGTATCGACATTTTGAGCATCAAATCGATGTTGAAGTTCGTTTGCGTGCAGGATATTTGCAAATTTGTATTGTGCCATACACCGTATCTTTTCTCGGCATTCAAATCATCAAACTTGATACTTTTAGAATCTGGCATGAGACAATTACCATCTAAGGTACTGACATTGACCACACGAGCTGGAGTACTTTATTTGAGTTTGTCTGTCAAGGGCTCAGTGAGATAAAAGTGGCTCAGAAGATTCACATTAAATTAAAACTCGAAACCATGTTTAGTGAATAATCTGGCACACGCCGTAACGCCCGTGCTGTTGATGAGAACGTAGAGAGGTAAACCAAAAGCCTAAAATGCATCAGCAAAAGCTTTGATGGAAAAGAAACCCAATCATTGGCATCAGGTCTGCTTGAGGCACCGTCTTTTCGAATTCTTGAATAGCTCCATTCGCAATTTCGAGCGCTTTACAGGAAAAAAATAGCTTTGGAAGCAACAGAGAAGAGAACACGAGCGCTTTCAAAGCCAATACTAGACTTAGATCCAGTGATGATGACAGCCTTGCCTGCCAGGTCGGTATTGTAGAGCTTTACAATGTCTTTAGCAGATAAGCTGCCAGTGATGGTAAACGTATTTCGAGCCATGATTGATTTAGTATGCGTTAAGATGTAGATCTTATTATTGGTATCGATCTATATCAGCTCGGATATTGAGGATTTTGGCAATCTCGAGCAATGGTTGCTGTAGATCTGTCCTCTTTGCTTTTAATAAACTCTGGACTTCAATGCTGATCTCAACTCTTGTAACAAAGCATCAACGGCAGATTGCTCCACAATATCTCATCACCTTTTCACTTTAAAAGTCGGAAAGTTATAGTAAAAGCAAACCAGATAGCATCTAATTCATCGCTGTAACCTTTAGCCCTTCTAAACAAGCTTTAATTGCATACAGATTGATTTTTTAGGTCTTGAAACAGGAAGCAATGTGACGCTGTTAACCACAGATGAATACCTAAGGCTGACCCGCGTTGATCAATCAGGGACCGACGTCCAATCCCTCATCGCGCGTTCATTTTCATTTCCTCTCAATCAAACTTCGTCCATTTTATCACTATGGATATGCCAAATGATACACCCTTCACATTCAGTGAAATACCTCCTAGTAGACGACAATCAAGCGCAAGATCATTTGTTACAGCTTCAAGAATAGGGGATAGGACAAGCTCGGGAGGTAAAGTTTTTTTCCTACATATCATGACTTTGTTGACTAACTCTTGCTGTTTTCCAGTTTCAACAGCCTCAATCGTATGTTGGTTGTGTTAGTGTGTAGAAGAATCCGTCTTTTGTTGAACTAACTTCTTTTTGTTTCTGTAATAGACTACACCAAAAACTCCATCTATGGGCCATTTATCAACATCACCATCGTCAACCACACGCAATCAATCATTTCATCAAACATTCATTGAAAACTGGATCTATAAAACTTCTAGTCAGCAAGAACCTCTGGAGGATTCGCACAATGAACAAGATAGTGACACCAGCTGCACCGACTTACCACCTTGGGCTTCACCTAATAGACCAACAACAAGCTGGCATAAGCCGACCAAGTCTTTTACTTTACTGGAAGTGAATGAAGAGGAAGAAAGCGACAATGGAAACATCGGTAGAGGTCGAGCCAGCTTTTTATCCGACGATCACCTTGATGACGAAGAAAACGAGCAAGAGAGCATAGAATATCCTTTAGCTATTAACGAGTATTCTGTCATGGCAACAAGCCCAACAAATCTCATGCCGCTGCTAGATGATGGATTCAATGAAAACGATCAAGATGAAGAAACAACTGCCGAGTATAAAACTGCATCAACAACACTTCGTTCACCTGATATTATTCACAGAGAGATAGATCTGGAGTATGAGAGAGAATTAAACGAATTATGCAAACCACATCCTGCTCCCAGTTTCCATGGCAACAGTCTAGGTGATTCTCAAGACACGATACCATATGGGGAAGATGAGCTAGACGAAGGAGACACACAGCCTTATGATCCAGAAGACGAGGATACACAATCGCACAATTCATATGGCGAGGATACTCAGCCATACAATCCAGATACACCGTTGCTGGGAGATCAACAAGAAGCACCGGATAGTCTACCCGAGATTCCATACGACGTCCCAAAAGATGTCTTCCCATTCCTGCCCGAATTTGATGATAGTGATTATGTCTCTCCTTTGGCCTCCCTGAATGGAGATAATGAAGCTGGTAACTGCAGCGCTGCTTTTGATACCTCATCACCGGTGCTGCTGCCTTTTGACGAAAACGAGCAAACAGAAGATGAATTGTTTGATGATATTACAGAGAGCGATATTCTCCAATGTGAGCAGGAAGTTGCATTCAAAATCAAGCACACAAGCCGAGGAAAAAGAAAAGCAGAGTCGCCTATCCCGGTTGCTCTCGAGAGCCAGATTGTCAGATTAGACAAGAAGCAAATTCGCACTAGTGTTGTTAAGAAACCCACGACGATTGATGATTACTTTTTGCATCCAAGTACCATTAATAGCCAAACAGGTATGATAGTGTCTTGTTATTCTATATCTCACGCGGCCATTCTTATTGACACTTTTGTAGAACAAGACATCGGCAAAGAATCGAGCACACCATCATTTACTATCAGTAGCAACGAAGACATGAACAAATCACAAGAGCCAAAGAGAAGACCTCGCTTTGGGCTCTCCAAAAGCAGGCATACCACCAATTAGCAACACCATTGTGGCAGCATACGCAAACAGAAACACAAACACAAACACAAACACATTTGTACATAGGGATCATGGACTCGTTTAATAATAAAATGACTAGATTTATGGCATGAAATCCCCATGGCTCGTTTATGCACACGTGGTTGCTGTGTATTTTAATAATTTCCACACTAGATTGCATTGAACTTGAGTTGCACGATTCGTAATGTGATACAGTTTATTTTTTGACAACAGTTCAACCATACTTTGGTGTCACTGCCGCTATCTACCAGAAGAAATCATCCTATTTTGAACATCTTGGCCGGTTTCAATCTATTTCAACGGCAGGCCATCTTGACATTCTATGAAAACAATAACAACAAGACATATAAAGTAAGATTTGAGATTGATTTCTTTTAATAGAGCCGGACAGCTCTTGAGATGACAGCGGGAGGAGAGACGTTGTATGTGGATCTTGATGGAAAAAGGGCAATGCTTTTTTTTGGAGGGTAAAAGATATATATATATATATATATATATGTATAGGTTGGGTAAATATAAAGAGTAATAATAATAGATATAAATGATATAAGATGGAGTGAATGAATGTAGACATGGGATAATAGTTTAGATATTATGTATAAAAATGGGGCTATGTAAGAGAAGCAATGGTTACAGCATGTGGGTAGAAGCAGATCTACTGCCAAGTCCAGGGTCAATATTGCCAGAGTTCATCATGGAGGGAGAGTATTTAGAAGAACTCCAAGTGTTCATCATGTTTGGGTCAAAATGGGTGTCGTTTGACTGGAAGCCAACAGCTAACCGTGAAAGGTTAGTTTGTGTGTTTATCGGCATTTGTCTTGTATACTTACGATACAATTCAGCGGCCATGAGAGCGCGGTGGTTTTGCTGGTGGTTGGCTTCATACTGGTTTTGGGGAGAACCATGTTCAAGATAAGAGGGGTTGCATGGTGAAGATTGATATTCAATATCATCTTCGTTAGCACTGGACACATTGTCTTCATCATCACTTTTAGAACTAAAGTCCTGCTTTGTCAGTTCTTCAGTACTGCTATATGGAGTCATTTGAGGAGTGGGAACCATGTAATGATTTGTGCTGTTAATGGACCAGCCATTGTTAGAAGATAAGTCGGTATACATATGGGGAATATTGGTATTGGAAGAAGCGGCATTCATCATAGGAGCAGAGGGCATTTGCATGGATTGCTGTCTGATCAAAGGAGGAGCCATGGCAGAAACAGGAGCAGAAGCAGCAGGAGTCTCTTGCGGTTGCATTAACTGAGCCAGCAGTCTCTTGTTTTCTCTTTGGAGCTGCAGTACTTGGTAGCGATAGCGTTCTTCTCTAGAAATACTTTGCTTGACCCAGTCGAGAGCTTTTTCAACAATCTGACTCTTGGAGGGTCTGCGGTAATTGATGAGATTGGGAAGAGCTTGAGCAAGAGATTGGAATTTTGTGTTCAAGTTTTCACGGCGAGCACGTTCAATGGCATTATGTTCAGCACGACGTTCAGCCTTGCTCAAAGGTCTATTTTAAGAATTGATTAATTGATACATGTACATGGCATATATATAATGCAAATACATTACTTTTTAGTGCTCAATGAGTTGGTGGCATCTTCCTTGGCCAAGTCAGCATCAAAGAGATCATCGCTTGAGGAGGGGTACTGCATTAAAGGCGATTTGTTGCCTGACATGTCAGCAGTGAGATTGGCATTGGTAAAAGGGAATGGATCAAAATTCATGAAGTGGTATCCTGGTTTAGCGAATTGGTTCATAGTAGATCTATGACCGTATAAACCTCGTTGAGCGGGAAACATATTGTGGGTAATAGTGGTATATAGAAAAAAGAGTAAGGGTGGAATAAATAGAGCAACCTTTTGATCAACAAAATAAATTACTAGACGATTAAAAAATAACAAGATGGAAAAGATAAGGAAAAGAGGCAAAAAAGAATAAGATGATGAGTTTATATAAGCAATCGATTAATCGATATTATCTGCAGCATAACAACTATATCAAAAAGTAGCAGCACAAACATCTGTCTAGTCATAGCAATAACAACAACAACAACAACAACAACATAAATCTGTCATCTAATCTGAAAATGTGAATCACCGACTAAAAACGGAGACGTAAAGTGGTTTTAGTTCATGTACTCAAATTGAAGCATTGCAACATGTTCAAATGGCATTGTTGATTCTCATTGATTCAGTTACTGGTTTCTTGTGTTGCCCTGTGTTCGATATGTTTGTAACACAATTCCTTTTTGAACTCTTGGTCTTTCTCTGTTAGCAATAGGTAAACAGCAGCAGGGAAGGCGAGAAAGATCGTGTCAGAATGGATTGTTGCTGAATATCTTTATATAGGCACGCCTTGCCCTGATTGATCTCAACTGAAACAAAAAACTTTGACCGCACAGACATGTTATTTCGAGCTGTTTATAGTCAAAGGAATCGCCCATTGCTGTAGCAATCAGCATTTACTCTAATCTTGAGAGACATTGTCTCACTCTCCCGTTAAAGTCATCATGTATTCGCATTGAATTAAGGCCTTCTTGTGCGATTGAGAAGATTAGAAGCAATCATAGGTGGAAGGAAAATCACTCACTAATTAAAGCTAAGCTCCTCCATTCGATCTACACAATGTGGTTAGTGCCTTGTATTTCATGAAGAGAAGGAGAGAGAGAGAGAGAGAGAGAGTACGGCGAAACTATAACCGATGCCTTTGTGTTCTATTTGATCATTATGACGACAAAATTAGTAGGTCGCTGTGGCTATGCATGGTGCGATTTACCATGGCAAATCAGTGGCACATTTGCCGTTTATAAATAGCAATTTTCACTATTTTGTCCTTGTCAGCGAGATGCATAATGGCACACTATTATTATCCGGTCGCATACTATAAACATTGACACGGCACACGAGGTTGGTTTCCCTCTGGATTCTATCCTAGTTCTCTTATTGTGTGAATAAAAATGACATTTCTCACAGGACATTTTTGATCTGGGTGTCACTCATCCAGATAGCGTATTAAATTACTATCATAAAGTTAATTGTACGAAATCTTTGCTAATTGGTCTTTGATTCATGATCTACTAGTGAAACTAAATCGAGTAAATTGAACATGTTATATATTTAGACACGACCGCTGTATCTGTAAAATGAGTAGAAGGACAAACGAAGGCTGGCCGAAGTGTGGTCTAGTTCGATTCTTTTATTGCACAAGACTGTAATTCTATTCACATTGTTACCTTTTTTTTGCAATCGTAGCATTTCTTGGGCTCAAAATAATGATACGCTTTTGCAGCCCAGTTCCTCTGATTCTCACTAGTAATCGTAACTCACAGAGGGAATGTCGAGAGGAAGGGGAAATATAGGAACATTTTGCATCTGAAACATGGCCAACCTTTAATGGCAATCATGCTGATGGTACCTTTTTTTTTTCTTGTTCTACATATTTCTGTGATCCTAGATGTTACAAATTTATAGTACCGTTTCATTCGCATTCAAATAGAATTTAATACAAAAATTAGCAAGGTTTCTATTTAGATTTAGATGTTTTAATAGACCCTGAGCATAGAACAAATATAGGCTTATTTCTTCAAGATTTAATTCCATCATGTGTCACTTTTACTGCAATGTACAAATCATTAAGCATGTCTGTGATCGTGCAGGACAGGATAAAGTAAAAATCCACTGTACCACCAAAGAACAGTGCGTACCCACACGCTACTCGGATTTTGCTGTTCCGTTTTAACAGGATTCTCTCTGGTAGCTTGCAGTGTGGGATGCATGCTTGATTTCTTCCTCCTTCTTCTACCTCCGTCTAGCATGTTTGTTAGTTTATAGGTCATCAAGAAATTATGGTGTTCTTGGCTTCTGTGCTTGTGAATTAGACTTGATGAAATGAAATTACGTTTTCCCTTGTATTTTAAAATAGAATCTTTAGTCGTATATAAAAAGTTCAGCTTTCAAACTTAAAAAAAAAAAAAAAAAAAAAAAAGCAGAATAGATAAATGTGTATGGAAATAATCCATCACATTTATCATACAACAAGAGTTACACATTGTCGATGATTGCACTCACTGTATGATGAATGTACAGATTATAGGAACTAATTTGTATTTAATGCAATGTATACTGTAGAACGAGCACAGATGAGCACTTGATTCGCCAGCTGATTGCAATATACTATACTGCTAATGAGAAGCAAGCCGCGGTATTAATAGTTGATTCTTGAAAGAACAAGAGTGATTGCCCTGTCAGTGCGCCCACAATCTTTGTATCGCCATGAAAATGGCATCATATCCCCATGACTAGCGACTATGTTTGTGTTACTTTTACTCAACTAATCTAAATCAGTCTTTTTGACCGAGTTCGGTTAAATAGAGGTAGGCATTTAATCAACTAAGACGTTCGTGATTATAAATTTGAATTCATTTGCTATCTCCCAATGCATTGCACTCCAAGATGTCGCCTGTATAACCGCCTGCTCTTTTATAAATCCTAACAATAGTGATATCTTTATTAACAAAGTTCATATCTTGATTAACAAGCGCAAATGAAAAAAGATGTGGAAAAATGGGATATACGATATAATGAAGAATAAGTTACATTTCTTTTAGCAGGGTGCAACACTGACTGGTGTTATAGGCAAAATCGAACTTTTGGGATCAGCAATCTCACCGCTGGCTCCTTCTTGCAAAGGTGGGATCGTACTGGTCACGAATTGATCATTAGTTAATCTTCGAGCCATCTGGCCCCTGGGTCTAAAAGTATCTACGGCTCCAACATCGACTATAAACACATTGCGATAAGGTTAGATTCGCGACCCCTCCTTACTAGTCAAAAGCTCCACTTACCTTTGTAGAGCTTTTCTTCACATGAAAATGCTTTTGGTTTTAATTCAATAATTGTATGTAATGGAATACGAGCGTAGGGCAACTCCTCGTGACTCAGACCCATAAAGTAAGCGTACATGCAGCGGATAGTTGCTTGATGCGAGATGATCAAGATGTTTTCATGTCTCTCCAGATCCATAATTACTGGCTCCAATCTCAAAACTAAATCGCGGTAGCTCTATAATATACAGTAAGCTTCTTTTGTCTTTACATCCTATTCGACTGGAATATCACCTCGCCACCACGGTATCGATAATTGAACTTGTCTTCATCTCTTCTTGCAAAATCATCAGGGTATTTCAACTATGAATGGCAAATCAGCATCACTCCTGTGATGTTGAAACACTCGCTCCCTATACTCACAGCAATCTCATCATATGTCATGCCATCACACACGCCTGTATCAAGCTCATCCAATGCTTTCCATTGCTTTTTGGGGAATGGCAAATGTCTCGCGGTTTGAATAGTACGTGTCATGGATGAGGTCCAGACAGTGAGAGGTCGGTCTCCAATATTCTGCTTGACAAGTTCAGGCAATTTCAATGCATATTGTTCGCCTCTAGGTGATAATCCTGCGTCACCTCCAATCTTGTCTTCTAAATTGAACAAAGACTCGCCATGCTGCATAAAAGATGAGCCTGCAGATCAGTTTTCATACATGACATCTCACTTACTCGGCTGAACCAGATTCTCTTTGGACGAGTATGTAGGTTCATCAGATAGTACACAATTCTACTCTCCAGATAACCACGAATCATATTAATAATGTATTGACTGCCGACATTGATCAGTTTGATATAAGTCAAATCCTGCTCTGTGATTGTTTCGTAGCACGCCTCGTAATGACTAATGCGTTTCATGAAATCTTCAGTAGCTGCTTCCGAATCTCGGTTGCAGTAATCTGGGGAAGACAGCTTGACGTCTTTGATGTTGTGTAGAATCACATTTTCATCATCGCAGATAGATTCAATGAACAGCACTTGAATGTTGCGACTTGTCAGTTCTTGATTGATCCATGCTCTAGCCTTTTTGGTGGAATTAGTGGCGTCCAGAATGCCCACAGTTCCATCCTCCTTGTTGAACCACTGAATCATATCATTCAATGCCATAGCAGCTGCTTCGTGGCGTTTCTTTACTGCTTCTTCATTGCGCACATCAAAAAAGGTGTGGGGTAGGTTCAATCCTGCAATCTTTCGACGGTAGTTGCCCACACTGAATATCTGCGTTTTGATGCCTAGCCAAGTCAAGTATCTACTGACTAAATAAAAGACCATGTTGGTAAGAGACAAACCTGCAGTGAGAAATCACCCGCGTATGTTTCACATACCTTTGCATGCAATATATGTCTTTCCTCTAGCTGGCAAACCAACCATCTGCGTCAATTTGAATATCATCGTTTAGTATACACTACACCACTCAATCACCAGCGCATGTATCGTCTACATTACCACACAAGCTATACGTAAATCTATAGGATGAAGACGAGCAGAGAGTTTAGACAGCTATAGCAGTTTCCAGATGGACAGAATACTTACTAGCAGTATTGTTCATGTTGTAAGTTTCTAAATGTTATGATGAAATGAAAGAAAAAAAAAAACGTAAAACGAATACATTGCTGAAAGAAGAAACAAAATGCCCCATTCTTCCCCTCGCCATCAACTCCGATATTCCATTTTCCATTGATGGATGAAAATGCGGTTATTTTCATGATGAAAATGAACAGCTCATGAATTGATCCAGTGTACTTGTTAGACGGGCACTGTTGAATTTTCCCACTTTGCTATCATATGATATTTACTTTTTTTTTTTTAAAAAAAAATAGACTCTTGTGCCTTGAACAAGCTACCTAGTAGCCAATGTCTTGTAGGCATTGATGTAGTCGTGATATCATACATTCAAAAATGCCTTGGAAACGATCCAATGAGGGTCCTCAGGGCCTAGCTTACTGATTTGCAAGTGCAGAATACATCTTTTTTTACCCATCTTACAGCCTTTCTAGCCTGAAAAATAAGCATGTGTCATCGCTGATTCATTGCATGTGGCTGCAATCCACATAATTTTCGAGTCTATCTTACTGGTATATTTGAACAGAGAGATGGCAATGATTTGATTACATAACATGTCTTTAGACATGTAGCGCTTGCTGTTTTGTAAGTCTGAAACCCCGCGGTACGGGATATCTTTGAATACTCTTAGAGTTAAGCTAGGGCTATGGGTTGGCAAACGACATTGATGAATGCATTGTAATAGCTTTGAAGGCACATGGGAAGCTCTAGTATTTATTTTCACGCCACAAATTTACTAACTGCAGATCATGAGACGATGTTTTATGTATTAATGATTACTAAACAGGTAGTACATGGCATCCCTCTAGTAAACACTGAAATTCCACTTTGAAGCTTCTGTCTCTTCGTGAGAAACGCCCGTAACTGTGAGTGTGGATCTTTGGTGGGGCTCTGAATTTGTATACACAAAAAAAGTTTATGTACGGATAGACAAGGCCTTTCAAAATATGCAAATCACAGCGAAAGTTGTATATATTTGAGCTACAATTCCTGCTCATAGAGGTCGTTTTAGACTGCAAGAATAGCACCAAACAATTGTTCTCGATTAGTACTTACTTCCTGACGCCTTTGCTCAACTTTTTGGGGACCCAAAAAACATGGCCAAAAATTGACCAAACAGCATGAGGGGTACCTCATGGTTTTCATCAAAAATCAAACGATCGCGTTTTTCGTCTTGAAAATGAAGACTTTTACTATGGTAAATATTGAATCAAGATGCTTCTCTCGATCCAAGGCAACCTCTGAAACCACTTTTGCGAGGTTACTATATGCAAAATCTCGATATTTTGGCCAAAAACCTCATTTCATGTTTTTAAACATTGCTCAGTAAGTCTGTTCAAAACATGTCTTTTAATTAGCACTGTCGGATGCGCCATGAAAGATACTCCAAGAAAGCTTAAGGAAGCATAGGATGATCGTTACATTCAAACAGTCGAATCTCGCAAAGTAGTTCAAACAAGTCGAAAATCCATCAAAAATTTCCATTTCGAGTGAAAAAACAATAAGTGGAGATTGAACCAATTTTGGCTGGCAAATGTAATCCCATGCCTATTGTGGTGACAATTGATGCTATTTAAAGCTACTTAGAAGAGGATTGTTTCGAAAAAGTGCTATAGCATAACATAGCCACTGTGTTCTACCGCCATAGCAAAATTTCATTCTTGTTAAATGAGATAATTGCGAATAGCCTATCCAAATGCGAAATCTAGTGCGAAAAGCAAAAGCGTCACCTTACTCGAAATGTCTTATGATACTTCTGTTGTGGGTACTGGTATAATCTTATTTCGATGATATCTATTGAACTACAGGATAAAGAAAGGTTTGCACCGAGTATCATCGAGGGCAGACGGCTAGTAGATTTACTTAGTATGACGAGAGCATAGATTGAATGGGTTTGAAAGCCTTATACAGTAGTATGTATTAGCATACAAAATGTCTATGTACGCTTTAGATTTCTTTATATATGAATATGAAGCCTTGGAATGCACTAGTCTCATGTAGCGCTTGGCAAAAGTATACTGTAGATGCCATTGCCTGAATTTTAAATGACTGCAATCATATATGCCAATCTAACAGACCAGATTCTTAAAAGGGCTCCAATCCGAGGATAACTAAATGTTTCGACTGAGCAATCAATGAGGAATCCAAATAAGGTACGATTTCCGAGAACTGAGATCCAGCAGAAAGATCTATCTTACATTTTTAGCAGCTTCATCATTTCTACTCCACACCAGATAAGCAGACATCGTATGACATTTGCAATATTAAATCAACTTGATAATCTGTAGATTTTTTTTTATCTCTTCTGAAACAAAAGAACTATACTTTAAAGTATAGATTGTGTCGGTTGGTCCTAGTCACAGTGAGATATGGATATAAAAATCATGCCAATCTGTCAAATGTTTCGTCTTTTTAATCTTCTTATATATCAAACACACATAACACAATGAACAGATTTAGAAACTTGGATCTGACAGCAATCACTCAACAAGCCAGAGCTGGATTTGCCAGACAACAATCTCGCATTTTTCCTCGTGCTACCACTATATGCATCTTGCAGAGAGCTTACAATACCACCACCACCACCCAACACGTTCCTCAAACTTTGAATGGCTGGGCATGCTTTGGAAAAGGAGAGCCATTGAAGAAGGCTGAATTTCCATTGACTCAATTTGATGATGATTCGGTTGACATGGATATCATTTGTTGCGGAATCTGTGGAACTGACATTCATTGTATCGATTCTGGTTGGGGTCCAACAAACTATCCTGCAGTGATGGGACACGAAATCATTGGCCGAGTGACTCGAGTGGGCAAGAATGTAAAGCATCTTAAAGTAGGCGATAGAGCAGGTGTAGGGTGCCAATGCGGCTCTTGCCATCAATGCACCAACTGTAAGGATCACAAGGAAAACTTATGCGAGGATCATGCTATTTGGACGTTTAATGATCACTGGTCTAATGGCGATACAACATATGGTGGTTTTAGTGATCGTTGGCGAGGAAACAAGGATTTTGCCTTCAAGATTCCTGATGCCCTTTCCAGTGTGGATGCCTCCTCTATCCTGTGTGGCGGTGTCACTACTTTTGCGCCTATGAAGCGTTTTGGCGTTGGTAAAGGTAGCAAGGTTGCTGTGCTCGGTTTAGGAGGTCTTGGTCACTTTGGGTAAGCATACACAACTGCTCGAGAAACGAATGGCTTACCAACATTCATATTCATATAGCGTTCAATGGGCCAAAGCTCTTGGCTCTGAAGTGGTCGCTTACGATATTGTTCCTGATAAAGCTGCTGATGCTAAGGCCCTGGGTTGCGATGACTATGTGCTTGTCAATCAGCCTGAACAGATGAAACGCCATATGGACTCTTTCAGTCATATTCTTGCTACCAAGATTCTCAACAAGAATTGGGATGACTACTTTGCCCTGCTCAAAAAGAACGGTACATTTATCATGTGTGATATCCCTGAAGTCCCATTAACTGGCCTGAATGCGCTTACCATGGCAGCCAAGCAGCTTAATGTTGCTGGTTCCTTCATTGGGTCTCCAGATGACATTAGGAAGTCATTGGAATTTGCTGCTAAGCATGGCGTTCGCACTTGGGCCCACGAATTCCCCATGGATCAAATAAACGAGGCTATTGAATATGTTAGGTATGGCCATCCCCGTTATAGAGCAGTTCTTACAAATTAATCATCATACATCCACTTACACCCCTCTCTGCAAAACATACATTTGTACATACTTTTCATAATAAAATACAATCCTTTTTTCCAAAGCTTTGTTTGAAAGTAAATCATAATCATTTGATATCTATTCTGCGATTCAATCTCACGTGGAACCGTAATTGTATTTCAGGTCAGGGTCCAGCTCACATATACATTCATCATCATCATCACCTTCACAATATATACTAGAAAACTATGTTTATAAAAAATAGACAAGCCAATCACATTCTTTCAAATAGAATTCTAAAGAATTGAGAGCTGGACAAAGGTGAATAAAACCACCAGAGAAACCGGCAATGGGGAGGGGGTTTGGGGGAGGGGCTTAGCCCCTCCACTAAGAACATCAAGCATCACAATTTGCAAATATCTTTTGTTAAAATCAAATTGAATTGTCATGCCTCCTGTTCAAGCTAGAAACTGTGTAACCTGTAGAGTTGCACTAACTGAAGATTTCAATTTTCGAAAATGAGATGTATGTCGAGTAAATAGAGGAATTTGATAAATAAATAAATAAAAAAACGAAAAGAGCTGCATTGAGACCACCCCAAAGCACCATGGCCACCGAGAACACCTGTCGCTTTCATTTCAGAGCTAAAAAGAATGTCACCTCATTTTCTCCAAGAATATAATAAAGCATCTAATTCAACACTTGATAGCATTGGTTTACAGGGAGGGTTTACCGTATCGAAACAAAGGTGCAAAGCCGTGGTAATCAGGCGTCTAATCCAATACTTGGTAACATTGATCTATAGGAGGGCTTGATCGCAGCAAAGCGAAGGTTCAAAACCATAGTTTTCAAGCAGCAAATTCGGGTTTTTATTTCCATTGTTAATAAGCTTACCAGTAACATATCGCATCAAAATTTGCATGAATCAGCTTTACCAAAATCAATATACCTCCTGTTCGAAATAGAAGTTGTACAGGCTGCAGAGATGCCCTTCCAAAAGAATTCAGCTACCAAAGATGTGATTCATGCCGTGTAAATAAACTCTAAAGCAAAAAATAACCAAATTGTATAGTTTTCAAGCCTTCATATCTTGACATGTAGATGCTTCTGACTCACCGGAATAACGCCAAACAATTGTACTTGGGTAGTAGTAACTTCCTGACACCTTTGCTCAACTTTTTGGACCAAAAAAAAACATGGCCAAAAATTGACCAAAAAACCATGAGGGGCACCTCATAGCTTTTGACGAAAATCAAACGATTGCATTTTTGACCTTGAAAATGAAGACTTTTACTATGGCATATATTGGATCAAAATGTTTCTCTCGATCCAAAGTCATCTCTGAAACTACTTTTATGAGGTTTTCATATGCAAAATATGGCTATTTTCGCAAAAAACCTCATTTCATATTTTACCGAATTGCTCAATAATTTCAGTCAAAACAGCTATTACAATTAGCACCATTGGAAGCGCCTTGAAAAGTACTTCAAGAATGTATTAGGAAGCATAGGCTAATCAACACAATTTATATAGTCGAATCTCATAAAATAGTTCTTTTTTTTTTTTTTTAAATTGTGTTTATTGATTGAGCCGCGTACACTAAGAGTAATAGGTCAGAGTGAAGAGGCGGGTGCAATTGAGAAATGAAAAAAATATAAATATAAATGGAAACTAAACTAAACTAACAAAAGGAACTATCTAACTATCTAAATTACAAGAGGGAATGGATTTGATCTTCATCCACTGTCTGTCGGACAGTGGAGTGGATATGTACCAGAATTGCCTCAGGGACAAAGATAGTGCCGTCAAAAACAAAGCGCATATGGGCTAGCCATATTTGAGACAGGGTGATGAGTAGGATTCTGTATGGATGGATGCCTTTGACTTGGGAGTACCAGATATCTGAAAAGTCCAGGGACAGAAGAGCCTCTTTGATGTCAGTGATGGACGTGGTGGGCCATAGGAACTCAAAAATGACGCCTTGCCATACCTTTTCTTTGGATGGACAGTCAAAGAGCAGGTGGCTGGCAGTTTCATTGGGGGACAAGCAGACAGGACAATTGTGGGACTCGAAAAATGCAGGCATCATGTAGTGTAATCTGCTTCTAGAAGGGATACAGCCTGCGATGAATCGGTATATCACATTACGTTGAATGTAGGTAAGAGACAGGGACCAAAAGAATTTCCAATTAGCAGCAGAGACATTTTGCAAGACCAAGGGCTGTTCCGCCGACGACAGTACAGACAGACGAAATGTTTTGGCGGAAGCCTGAGCGTTTCTAAGAGATTGGCCATCGTGCAGACAAAATTGATCCACCAGCGGCGCAAAAGAGACTCCAGGATCTACTACAGGGGCTGGATTACACACTGGGAGGAAGTAGGGTTGGAATTTAAGAGTGCCAGATGCGAGGCCTCTGAACACTGTTGAAGGAGCTCTCTTCCACCTGAGGAGGGAAGGGTCACGAGTGTCTCTCCAATGTACAAAGTTAAGCCGGGCATCGTACTGAAATACATCAGAAACCATCATCTCTTTGACTTTAAGAGGAACAACCAGTGAGGAGGATGGAGGAACATAGAAAGCCGCCTGTAATGGAAGAGCCATGGCAGTTGCAGAATTGATCGGTGCCGCATCAAACGACTTAGGAAGATAGTCAACTGTACGATATAACATATCGACAGTTCCCGTGCGTTGCTTTTTCAACCCCTTAGTACGACGAGCAGAGGGAAATAGCAGCGGGATTTGATGGTGGGGGTAACCATTAACATTGCGAATGTGGTAGCTTAAGAGGTACGACACAGGATGGGAATCTATGACATCTTGATCTTGAACCAGTAATGGGTGGAGCCAACGAAAATACAAAGCTGAAGCTTGTATTTGGATGTCTACAACACCGAGACCACCTTTGTCCTTTGGTAGAGTCCACACCTTCCAAGGGATGACGGGGAAGATGTTTCTTCTCAAGAACTGAATAGCCAGAGAACGCAGCTGCTTGAAGTCAGCTTGAGTCAAAGGCGTAACACGCAGGATGTACCATAGCTTGGAGAGCAAAAGAGAGTTCAGCACTGTAGCCTTTCCAACGACCGACAGGGAGCGACCAGAATGAATCTGGATGGCAGTTTTGATCTTTGTTACCAAAGCACCCATAAAGTGAACTCGCTGAATCCTACTTTGGACGAGAGGAAATCCCAGATAGGTCAACGGTTCATCGTCCTCAACAGAATGGAGATGTGTGATACCCATTTGTGATAATGGACCATCCCACATATCCCATGTATCCCGACCAGACACTGAAAAGGCTTCCACCTTGGCATTATTGAACTTGGCGTTGGAGGCAGCACAGTAACGAGCCATATGGAGCTGTAACCGAGTCAAATCATTGGAGTCATGGATAAACACCAAAGCGTCATCAGCATAGCACAGGAGTTTTGTTCGTGCAGTACCCATCAAGTAGCCTTGAAATTGGCGATCATGCAGGATTGCAAGCAGAAAAGGTTCAAATGCCAAGTTGTACAGTACAGGAGAGAGAGGATCCCCCTGCTTCAAGCCTCGAAGTTTCGCCACTTCAGTTGACAGATGGCCATTGATGTTGATACGTATGAGGTTGTCACCCATCAACTTGGAGATACACTTGATAATAGGGCGAGGAAACCCAAATTTCCCCAATACCTTCCTCAAATATTCCAAGTTCACCCGATCGTATGCCTTTTCTTGATCCAGAAGAAGACCGATGTCATAATCCAAAGTGTTAAAGGAAGGATCATTTTCCTGTTGTTCAGCGATGGACCATTTCCGTTGAGCATCTTCCATTAGGAGCTGGCAGATCATTCCATTTTCAGCAATGAATCGACCAGGAATAAACCCAAGCTGATGTCGGCTGATCAAGTTGGAAGAGACTTCCATGATTCGACGGTTGATATTGCGAGTGAAGAGCTTGTAGTCTGAATTAGCCAGAGACAGAGGACGGTAGTTCTTCATTTCAGCTGGATCGCCTTTCTTGTAAAGCAGACACATGACGGATTCGTTCCAAGATGGCGGGAACTTACCCTTCTTTAAAGCTTCATTGTAGACTAATTGGATGAGATCATGGAACGGTGGAAATTTCATTACCAAGTACAGGATTTCATAAGGTAATCCATCAGGTCCAGGACTACTCAAACGACGAGTCTGCTTGCTATCGGTCAAGAGTTCCTCCACATCAATCGGCATCATCAATGATTCCTGCTGCTCGCTGTTGAGCTTCAAATGACCTGGGATGTTGCGAATTATAACACTGAGGGAGGTTGAATCCAGAGCCTCCGGTGTGAACAGTGAGGTGTAAAAGTTGGTAGCAATGTTGGAGATGCTAGGTTGATCTTGACATAGATCGCCAGTTGTAGGGTTCCTGAGTTCCACAATTGAACGACGATTTTCTCGAGACACCACAGAGCGCTTCAGGAAGCCTGGAGATTTCTCACCATGTTCCCGCCAAAATTTTCCTGCCTTCAAGATCTCTATTTCTGCAAGAGAGTGCTGGAGAGATTGAATCTGTTGATTAACCGTGTCCAAGCCTTGAAACACCAAGCCTCTTGTCTTCTTATGCCGCATCATCTTGTTTCTCTTTGATAGCAGTCGGTGTAGCTGTTGTTTCCGCCAGTTCAAATCCTCCATTTGATACTGTTTGATAAACATCTTTACTTCGGCTTTGATCCAATCCCATTGTTGTTGGGGAGTGGAGAAACGCTTGATTTCTGCCAGACGCGCCTCACTATCAATGAGGAATTCTGCCAATGCCTTCCTAAATGTTTTGTTGCAAGCTAAGAACGGATTTGCCTTCCAGTTACCAGGGCCACGGCCATTCGCATCTTGATATCGAAAAGAGAATCCCAAGAGTTCATGGTCGGTCCAGGCAGGAGACAGATACTGCTGGTTGGTGCTAGTGACTAGATGATGGGCGTTTGAACTACAAAAGATGTAATCCAGAATCCCTGAATTGCTTCCACTATGCCATGTGTTGTGTTTGTCTTCCCCAAAAACGTCA